CCCAAACACTTCCTCACGGCTTATCAGTTTTTTTTTATCAGTCAACTTTGTTTTAAAGTAATTCCCTGCCTGTAATTGTAATGATAAGCATCTGGGGGTGGAATTTTTAATCGAAAACGGCTAAATAAACAGATTTTTTGTTTGAAGAAAGTGTTTTGTTCAGAAAATTGTTGTCTACAATTACTTACTCATTGTCGACAGTAGTGCGAAGTTGCTCATTTTTATGAGACATTCCTCCATTCTCAGCAAATACCACGTGTTGTGTGTGAGATTGGTTTATGTGGGCTATAAAAAACGGAAAGTTGGGTTTCGTTGGACTAAAATTGTTTAAAGCAGAGACTTTTCGGTCTTTATTTATGGCCTGGGGGAAGTCACGAGAATGGGCTCCATAAAAAGTTACGAAATGTTTGAATAAACATGTAAACTCACACAAAGTAACACATTGTTGCGGTTGTCTCCAAAAGGAATTACATAAATTTTATCGAGATACTTGAAGCGGCCAAATTAATTCATGAAATGCACGGCACATTGTTAAACCCAGATTTTATACTCTTATAAATGTAAGCTTTAGTGATTACAGTAACCCTGTCCATCCTCCATTACTCCCTTTTTATCAATAATATAGTTTTTAGAATCTTTTCTTCCGTTATCAGTTATTATTGCATTGCGGCCTTATCAGTACAGTCAACTACTGCTTCCTCGCTGTCTCAGTTGAGCAAACGTGCATGATTCCCCTGTTCCGATATTAATCACCCCAACGATCATTTGCCTTCGTTACGAGACATTTTAAAAGTGCTGACCATTTATTTCAAGATTATTTATAAGTGAAGTGATGCCAGTTGGAAAGTCTTGAGATTAAAATTTTGAAATTAGAACCTAAAGTGCTGATATTAAGTCCTAAGATACGTCCAGCTCATGCCCGTGTTTCTTCGAATCTGGCTCACCCGATCTGACGCAATAAATCCAGAAACAGTTGGTGCTTTTAATGGAGAACAAAGGAGGTCAGTGATCGCTGATCAGGATTTATGGGCTTCCTTCTTCACTCATAAATTACAGCTCTCTCATATGGTTCTTTAGAGTTCTGTAATAACAAACGGTATTTTTAGGCATCCCACAACCATCTCCCCAAACCTCTGATCTCTCGCTTGTTTAAACATTCCAACCGTCGTCTTGATTATCATATCCCAAGACTGGCGAGGACATTAACTCTGTATAATCGAGATGTTATTTCCTCAAATATTTCATCATAAGTTACCTCGTTCGGAAAGTTCTCGTCGTATGACCTCTTAAAATTCCTTTTATGGGGCAATTAGAGGAGGGGAAGTCAGAGGTCAGGGGACATCGTAGGAACATTGTAATTGGCCCTTCGCATGAGTTCAGGAAGCTCGATTGGTCAGGTGATCGATAAATTTTATTGCGCCACCTCACATGATAATCTAGACAAATTATACAAATTATTTTCGTTATCAGTAGTTTGTAAAGTGATGTTCGAATTCTTGGTTCCAGGACGAATAATCGATATTGTTTTGGAAAAAGTCATGCGGCAGTAATGCTGATCCGTGGGGATTAAACACTTCCCTTTGCAAATCGTACAGCTGCTAGCAGCGAGAGGGAGAGAAGCCGCTGTTGTTTCATAAATAATATTGACATCAGCCCGTCCTTTGTTTAAAATCCCGATCTCCCATAAATTTTGAAATTTTTTCGCGTTTTATTACAGCGCTCATAACGTCATGCCCATACATACTACTTTAATTCTACAGAGTGGAATTTATATATGCTGTCCGAAATGTCATCACCTTATAAGGCGATAACAAAACTTTTCGTCGGCTGATCTGTTTTCAAGTTTTTTTTCAACGTGACGTTTTAAGCGCCTTTTTGGTTGATTATTTTTGTATTTCAAGATAAAATCTCCATTTTTCGCTCACAAAACTTTCGCTGTTTTATCGATAAGATCTCTGTAATTGTTGACAATAACAAAAGTGCAATCGGCCATGGAAAGTGTCAAATTAATACTGTGTAATTCGTATTTTAGGACATCAAATAGTCATCAAATTTTAATCAAACTTAGGTCTCAGCCCAGATTTCAACACGGATTTTTGTGAGACTTTCTGGAATCCCAATACGAATTTTTTTGTATTCGAATACGATCCAGGATATACGAAAAGATTACTCATTATTCTGGACCGGGAATTGCCACGTCGACCTTCTCGAAAACTCGTGCATTTTCTTGTGTCTACGCTGGTTTTCGCTCTTTTCCCTCGGCGCCGGCGTCTCTCCAGTCCCTCCACTCTCTCGCCCCCACAGCCCCAAAGCTCCGCTCTTCGCAGTGAAACCGAAAATTTCTCCAAAAACAATTTTTCGTCCGATTTCTCCACCAAAAATTATTTTTCAACCATCTCGGAGTTGGTTATGACTATTTTCTTGTTCCGTCTCCGTATGACGTTGCTGATATTTACAGATCTCATACAATATTTATTTGTTTTTTAGGATTGGATTTTCCCAAATTTAGCGAGTAAAATTTTATCAATATGGCGTTTTACAAAACCCCCATTCTTATTGTAAAATTCGGATTCCCAGCCTCTTCCGATCTCCGCGGACGGTCTAGGAGATCATTACACCGTAAAACGTAGTTTGGATGGGGATGGGAGTAATATTTTAATCGTCCCGTGACCAAAAACCGATTCTTTTGAACTGGTGATCGCCTTTCCATAATCACTGAAACCACTTTTCTATCGACAAACACAATATAAATGCGTTTTTTTCCATAATACTGTTCCTCAATTATTTTTGCATAATTTTGGAAGTTTTCGTTCCAGGACCCGGCCTTAAAATAGATGACTCAAAAAACTAAGTCGTTGCAAAATAAAAGCCGTTTATAAGAGAATTACCGGTTTAATTCAACGTTAAGTCAAGATCCGCATGGCGGCTCAAATTATTTGCTTTAACCCTAATTGAACTAAAATGTAATGTAAATCCTACCGTTTTTAGCGCATTTCAATGTAAATCCTTTGTTTTTATGATCATATGGTCTTATCGACATTTTTTTCTCTGCCATCCTTTCTTATTCCGCTAAAATTCGCCTGCATTAATTTTTATGAGGGAAATTGATTGTTACTCTTACTGGGGAAGGTTGTAATTGGTTGTGATGATGTAATCTGTGTGTTTGGAGATGTAGTAGATGTAATTTGCAGTTAATTACGCCCTACAAAGCTTCGTCTTTCCAAAACGCGGTTTTATTATTCTTTTCAGGCTGTTATTTTTGACGGAAATATGGGAATTACGGTACTTTTTGTTTTCGAATCGCAATTTATGTGTGTTCGTTCATGCCGAAATGAGTTTTCAATTGAATTTGCATTATTTTCGCCGTTAACACTTGTTCCGTTGACCGTTCCACTGACTTTCCCAGGCCATTTTCTACAATAAAATGCATCGGGAAGGTTCGGAAAACGATTGGCTAGCGTTACAAAGGGATTTATCTGACATAAAGAACCTTTATTTGGTGAGAAAATCATCCGATTCGAGGGGGTTTTGTGAACAAATCACCTTGAACAAGGCTCTTCTGTTACTGCGTTCCTTCAAATTACCTTCCAACGCCTCTATTTATCCATTGTTTGTTGGTTTTGGGTATGCAGAATGCGTCATGATGCCAGCATTACTGTATTCCCACCTGATGGCTAACGTAATGTCAGATGGAAGTGACCTATAATCAAGCGAGTAACCAACACATTTCGAGTAATTGATTAATCTGGGATTTCCAATTTTCCGAGGGATTTCAAGCGGAAATTTTCAAATCTCGGAGAACCCTCCGCTCCGAAGGGGACTTTGTATAAAACAAACCGAAATGGGGGACTAAAATAGCTATTCTAATTGCAGATGCAGATAGGAATGTCATAATTACTGTCCTAAACAGGGCACATCTTTTGATTCAATTATGACGCAATCCTCTCTGTTTTTGAGATAACGGTTGTGGCTGTTTAAGTTAATGTTTGGAGTGAAGTATACACAGGTGTTGCGGGTTCTTTGATTCCTTTGGTCCCTCAGACACCCTCCCCTTATGACTTCCTCCTCGTCCTCGAGCATTGAAAGATTCAAATCCTTTCACATCGAATAACAAAACATCCCAATTCAAGTTGATGTTGCAGAGAGAGGGAGAAAAAAACTTTTTTGGGGGGATATTTTTCAGACTTTTTTATTACCCCACCCCTCGTTTTCCCCCAAAAAACGAACACCCCGGAGTCGGAATAGGCAAGAGAAGAGAGAGCGAGAGGGTGTAGAAGCTGCTGGAAGCTCCCCCTCCTTCTCCTTCTCCACCCTGTTTGTGCCGAGGAAAGAGTGTTCGGAGATCTTGTGAGCATATTTATTTGTGAGAAGGGGGAAACGGTGGGGCCCAATGTGTCATCCCCCACTACTCTTTGCGGGGTAATCAGAGTTTGTTGTGGAGATACCGTGATCTCCCTTAATTTGGGGTCCTCCGATTCTGATGACTCGTTGTTTTCCGTTAATTCTCCGACAATTTTGGTCGAACATTCGTTTTTTATTCGTTCCAAGGGCATTTACTGATAAACACTACAATTTCCGATGTTTCCAAATTTGGATCGATGTCTTATTGCAACATGACCCATTTCAAATAAAGAATTTATAGATGCGTGCCGGGATTCTTAACCCAATGGCCCTGGCCTTTCCTTAGCCGATCAGTGGTGTCTCAAAACCGGGGGTCACGAGTTTAATTGTAGAGCAGATGTTTCCCTTGTTGCCCTTTTTGGCCAGACAAGATCTTGATTTATTCTTTGATTTTTTGTTTTCTTTTCCAAAAGTCATGCGTTCCAATGAGACAGCACGTATGATACTTGATGAGGTAGACGCGAATGTGATTGTTTGTACTTTTCGATTCTCGTGCATACACATTGTAAAACGGGCGAGCACAGAGAGACGGGGAATGTTTTACATAAATGATGAAATTTTATTCGAAATTGAAAAAGTATCGGTTGAGTGTTGTTTATATGGAATTCCATGCTGACTGGTGGGGACTGTATCGGCCAGGACTTCTTGGCCAAGCACTCATAACTCGAAGGAGGGGGTAAGATTAGTTCTTTCTTCTCCTTTTGTCCTCACCTGACCTTCCACTTGAGCCCAATCACGGGACTCTTCACCAAGCCGCTTCTCTCTCGCTGTGACCTATTTGGGCCCTTATAAATTCCTGGTTTGTTTACATTAACATAATCGTTGATTTCTTCCGTTAATGCGTCCTTTTTATATTAACATGGGTGTTATTATCCTCAGAGGAATATTTCCATAAACAAAACTGTTTTCCTCATTGTTTGGGGATGTTTTCTAAGTTCAAGTTTTCAGAAGTGAGGAAAAATTAGACAAACGGGGTTATTTACAAAAAACACTCTAGTTACGTAATCGTTTTGTCGGATCTCTGCTCCTGATAGGCCGTTGATCTGTTCGGGGGTCTTACTATTTTGGGATTTGGTGTTATTATACGAAATAGGTTGGAACCTCTATATATTTCTAGATAAGTATCTCAAAATTTCAAATAAGGCGGTTTGGTCTGTTTGAATTTTTAATGGCCTAAGAGCAGACATGTCAATTGGGCCGGGATTTTTGCTCTTGGGGGGTCGAAGCCCGGTCCGGTAAAAAAGTAGGAAAATTTTCAATTCAAAAAATAAAGAACTTATTTTTTACAAAAAAATTTTTAATTGGGTTTGGGAACCGGTTCGCAACCGGGCTTTGGCCGGCACGGTTGCCATGCCTGCCTGAGGGGATCAAGAAATTTCAGGTGGGATGCCATTATCTCCCTGCTTAATCCAGGAAACCAGTTTACTCAATGTGACTTTAATCCCCTTTGCTGTTATGAGCCTTTTTCGGGATTAAAATAGTGTTCTGTGGGTACCGAAGCGATCTCTTTTATGCTGTTTTATTTCAAAAAATGCAAAAAAAATCGTAAGAAACATGGACGTGTTTATGTTTTTGATTTGCTCCGCCTTTTACAGCCGACGTTCTGAGCCGTCAAGCTCTTTTTTCTGGTCAATTTTTATTTTGTCCATGCCCCGAGATCAAGAAGACTCTCTGTTTTCTGGCAAATTGATCGGTTTGGACCAAACGACAAGTGCATTTGATTTGTAGTGTGGGTAATGTGTTTCCGACTGTAGATCTCGTGTTTACGGCCCATTTTGCAGCGATTTTTGGTCTGATGAATTGATTTCTCCTGCCTTCGCCCCCTCCGAATGGGTCATTTCGGGCGCCGCGTAATAAACGGACAATCGAGAACGGACCGTCGAGGCGGAGAGGGGCAACGCGTCTTGGTCTCGCTCGGCTTTTATTCTCGTTTTGTGTTATCCATGGGAGCGAGGACTGTCGGCGTTTACAATCGCGCAGTGACAGTCGAAATGTTTTCCGGGATATAGTGGTCTTGGGGAAGTGGGGAGCAGGACTCGTTGATTTGTGATGCAATTGCCTTGTTTACATCATTTTCCTCTCTCTTGCGTCAAATTTTTCTTAAAATTGATTAGATTTTCTTGATTTTTTACTGTCGTTCGTTTCTTTACCGAAACAAATCATGTTTTCCCTGGCCCTCTGCAGTTAATGTAGATTTCTGGCGTTATACTTATTCCGACCCACTTCTCTCACCGGTTTTACGACTTTCATTGATCCTATCCATTTTCAGACGCGCCCACACCAGAAAAATCAGGCGACTTCCGAGTGACGTCGACCGAGATCTCGACGTCCAAGGTCTGCCAGCCACTCCCGAGACGACTTCCACCTCATTCTTCAACATACGGTCCCATCGTTGCTGAACTTTCGCCTCTGTTCGTCGTAGACGTCAGGGCCCAACGCGCCGCAAACATCCGCGCACCCTCCAATCCCATCGACAAGTTGAACTCGGCGAGCTTTTTGCCTCGATTCGAGATTCCAATGGACACCAATTTCAAGTAAGTTGTGTAGAATATTGCTTTTGGACATTTGGCATCACACATTTAAGTGTTTTAGATATGAATTTTTTTTTTGCAATTTTTGATCAAGTTGTGCTTTCAGAACAACTGAAATGGACTTGAAACGTCGCTCCCGCGTGGAACGTTTCATCATCGGGGATTCGGACACGGAAAGCGAGTCAGGCCACGAGCCAAGACGTCGTCGTCTCTCCTCATCCGACCTGTCGGACGAGGACGATCATTCGGTGGTCGGTGGAGCTCCAACAACTCTCGACTTCGAACTTGATGAGGACCTTCAAGAGGTCCAAACTAAGCCCGTCGCCGCCTTTTTCATCGAGGACGACGACGAGGAGGATGAGTCGAGGCCGGCGCTCAACGAACAACATCAACTGGTGCCGTTGAGACCTCTGGGCATCGGCCAGAATCCCGTGTTGAAGGCGCAGAAACATCGTCAACGTAGAAATCGATTCTCCGGTGGGTTCTTTTGATTAGTTATACTGGGGGTTTGTGTTTTTTTACTGAGATTGACGCTATTTTTGAGCCAAACGTTATATTGGGCACGTTGTTTTCCAGAAATTTTTGGCCGGGATTCCCTCGAATTTTCTATTCCTGACCCCGTTATTAGCATGACGCAACGCTGTCAGTCCCCGGCCCACCGCCTCGAGGTCTTCAATTGTCCAAAAACATATTTGCTAAGCCGGGAAAGTGCTGGGCTTTGTTGTTTTCACCCCCTTTCCTGGACTATGGTAGTTTTCAAAGGGAGGATTTGAGTGTTTACAATTGGGAACGCTGGCAGAACGTTCTCTCTTCCCGCAGTCGTCCTTTTTTTGAAACGTTCTGTCCTCGAAAACATCTTAGCCCACCTTTTTTTGCTATTCAAATGGAAGAAAATCCACCGAAAATAACAAAAAAAAAACGCATTCAGCAAGAGGGATTCCTTGCCAAAAGGCAAACAAGATACTGTAACGTACAAAAGTCATTTAATAAGCCAACAGAGAATTAAAGAGTCTGTTTTTATTTATTTCGAAGGACTTCTGCACAAATTCTTCGATAAAATTAGCTTTTTCGAATGAATTCGATTAAAAAGTTGAGCTAGAATAGTGTAACGTTAAACTTTTAATCTCAAAAGCTCTCAACCACATCCAAAAGTTTGTATGTCGCCGGCATGTGTCAAAGTGCCCCTATTCTTACTGTAATGTAGTGTGAACCGATTGTTTTCGTGCAAAAAACAAGGCCATATCTGATTCTTTCATTACTCCCGAATGTTTTTTATTTTTTTTTTTTGTTTTGCTGTAAACTCTCCCATTTCTCACCCCGGCCTACGGTAACATAAGGTTTTAGAAGAGAGAAAGTGCATTTCTCCTTGTTTTGGTCAGAGCCGCGGCCTTTTCCTTTCCCTTTTCTCGAGTCACAAGACTTGGTTCTCTCTGTCATTCAGGGCTCCTCGGGCCCCACGCTCCCTCGTTTCTCATCTGTTACAGAGATCTTCAGCCTTTGAGATAGGGAAAGAAAGGAAATGCTGTTTGTCTGACAAAAGTCTCGAATCAATGCAAAGGTCCTGTTTCTCAGAGTTTTTTTTTGTTTAAACTTGGCTTTTGACCCGCCAGTCATTTCTCCCTGGTGGGAGACGGTAGAGAAAAAGACAATACAAAAAAACGAAAGAAATCGCGTGACCCTCCGAGCCCGCGCCCTTCTTCCTTTTGTGCAGCGAAAATAAAACAAAAATAATTTGAATAGCAATTACAATATAAAAGAGAGCAGAGATTAAAAAAGAAACCAATCACAAAGTAATTGATGGGAGAAAGTAAATTGCAGTGACATATGACAATAAACGTCATTGAGTGTAATATCAGTAAATAAACACAGCTTTGCAGATTTCTACCGCCTAGCCAACGATCATCTGGGTTCGGGAGCCTATGCCTCGGTCCGCACTGGTATCTGCATTGAGACCGGCAAAGAGTACGCGGTGAAGGTGGTCAACAAACATGAGCCTGGGCACACCCGATCTCGGATCCTGAGAGAAGTCGAGATCTTCAAGATGTGTGCCAACCATCCCAACATCGTCCAGATGGTCGAGGTAGGCTTGAAATAACTTGAAGAAAAACATTGGAAATGCTTTTCATGTTTAATTAATGTTTTTTAGTGGTTCGAGGACGAAGATACCTTCTACATGATCTTCGAGAAGATGCGCGGAGGTCCTCTGCTCAACCACATCCAACGCAAGGTCTGTTTCACGGAACAAGAAGCCTCCATGGTCACCCGCGACATCGCCAACGCTCTCAAACACCTCCACGAACGCGGGATCGCTCATCGGGATGTGAAGCCGGAGAATATCTTGTGCACTGACCTCGACCGGGTCAGTCCCGTCAAGCTATGTGATCTCGACCTGGCCTCCAAACCCTCCATCAACAAGATCCGCAAGCAATCCCGCACTCTCCACAACGTGCAATCCGAGCCCGATCTGGCCAGTCCAGTGGGTTCGGCCGAATTCATGGCACCAGAAGTGGTGGATGCGTTTGTTGGGGATGCTCTCAAATACGACAAGCGATGTGACATGTGGAGTTTGGGGGTCATTATCTACATTATGCTCTGTGGGTACACCCCATTCTATGGAGAATGCGAACGCGAAAACTGCGGTTGGGATCAAGGGCAGCCATGCACCGACTGCCAGGAAAGTCTCTTCCATCGAATCCAACGAGGAGACTTCGATTTCCCCGAGGAAGATTGGGCCAACATCTCCGTGGAAGCCAAGGATCTCATCTCCCACCTGTTGGTGAAGAATGTTCGTCTTCGTTACACCGCCACCGATGTTCTCAAACACAAATGGGTCTGTGGGGGAGCACCGGAGACTCCGCTTCAGACTGCTAACAACCTCTTCCGCAATGATTCGGCCAGAGATGTTCATCAGATGAACGAGCATTTCAATGTAATGAACAGATTGACCGCTGTCAGATTGAGCGCTCGGTTGGAGGAGACTGTCCCTGATCTCGGGTCGTCTCCCGAAACGGAACTTGTTCTCAGTGAGAATGTAGATGAAAGTGAAGAAGAAAAGGGTATTGAAGTGAGTGATTAGTTGTAGTGTGATGCTATGTTTGGAATCTGGGTTTGCTAAATGAGTTGATTTTAGAATGCGGAGAACACTGAGAACGTCCCGATTGAAGTCCCGCCACCGATTGCAAAGTCTCCGGATGTGTTCGAACAGTCTGATCTTCCTCCTCCCGAAGCCAACAAACCCTTCCAACAGGTCCAACCCCAACCCGATTACAACCCCACATTCCCGGTCTACGCCCCTCCCCCGCCCATGTTCACCAATAACTATGTTAATAATTACGGGCCCCCTCCGGTGATCAACATGAACGGGATGTTGTTGTATGCGCCCACCCAAGTGATGGCCACACAGGATGGGCCCACGTACTTCAACCAATTTTACCCCCCTTGTGCCCCGATGTTCAACCAAATAGACCCCGCGATGGTGCCGCAATGGCCCCAGAACCCCCAAAGAGCGGCCAACCAGTTCTCGAATGCCCACTGGTCCACCAAACCCGAAAACATTGACACGGCCAACCGAGGCCGTCAACTGCGCGCGGAAAGACTCCGTCAACAACGATCTCTCACGCCCGGATATCAACAACATGTCCAGACTGCCCGCAATCAGCAGTCCAGACAATCCAAAAACAAGAAGCTGTTTCCCACCAACATTCGGCCAGGAGGCTCTCACGCCGCCTTGGAAACATGTCAGAATGCAATGGTCAGACAGGTAAGAAAAATTTCTGCTGTACTGGAGATTAGACAGTTAACAGTATCTCAGACTTTAACAATGTCTTTTAGGAATCATCCCACGATCTCCATCACCGTCAGACCAACCGCGAAACTCAAGTGAATGTCTAGGAAACCACCCAAAACAAGAGGAACAGCCAAGGAATATGTTGTTTTAACGACTTTTGTACATTGTCTACTATGTTTATTTTATATTTTCTCCCATATATTGTACAGTCTCACTCTAGATTCATTCGGATCACACGGTTCCCCAGCTTTTGTATTTGATTTAAGATTGCTCCCCGCCTCAGGTAGACCCGATCTATCTCTGTTAGTACTGGTTTGTCTCCCGTTGTTAATGTAAATTGTTTATATAATTTTTTTTTTATATTTTGGTCATCTAAATGATTCTTTCTCTACCTTCGGCCTTCTTTTAATCCTATTCTGCGGAAATGTAGCCCAGTCAATGGTCTGAAAAAGGCGGAAAGCCCCGCTATTTATACTATTTAAGTCTACATCAGAAGTAATTTATTGACCAGTCGGCAGTTCTTGTTGAGTTTTTTTGTTATAGCCCGTCTCTCTAGTAGAGAGTATGTTGTCGTATCAAGGGGTTTTTATTACAGTAGAAAGGCCGGAAAGAATAGATTTTTTTGATGGAGAAATTCAAAAAATGTGCGGAATTCGGCTCAACGCATGCCTAACCACTATTCTCGAGCGAACTTTACAAGCGAAATTATTGCGGCCTCCAAATGTCAACGCCCTTTTCTTTGGCCGCCGACATTACTTTCTCCCATGACATTACGAGAAATGGGTGTTTACGACAACATACGACTAATAATAATGTTTTTATGTACCTCAACAACCATCTTCTTGTAGCCTCTTCATTCCATCAACCAAAAACTCGTGTTTTATGGGTTTCTGTAGTGTCTCGAGGGGCCTTCTGACGTCCGTAAACGGATTTTGGGGGTTCCTTGGTAGTTGTGTATATACATCTCTTGTAATTAACCCCCACGCGAAAACGGTTCTGTAAAAATCGCTTTTAGTGCGCAAGCCGAAGGAAATGAATCTAGGGAACGAATGCTGAACATTTGGATGGCAAGATATTCTTCTTGAAGTTCAATGTCAGCCGTGATCCCCTGTAGATTTGATTCCATCCTTCCTCTCCATTAGGTCCGCCCACCATAAAATACGGCTGTTCCCCCTCCCCTTAACGCTATATAGGTTCCACGCGCATCACAGGATTACGGTAATAACGGTTTTTTGGGTGCTTTTCGAACGTTACGGTTCCCCTCCCCACTGTACATAGCTATGAAGTGTAATTAGAATGCAGGTGTAATTATTATTTAGCGACCACTCGGTCTGTCCAAAGCGAGTATTCCCCACAAGTTCCATCAATGTTCGGTTATTCGTTGTACATAGTGTAGAATAAGTGTTGTAATGTAGATATGTAAAAAGAAAAGGATAAAATTAAGAAAAAATATCAGAATAGCGACTGGTTTACGAGAGTCACTGAAAGATAGGGGTCGAGTGCTATGTCATGAGACTACACTTGACTTTTAGGAAGGCAAATGGTCGTCCATTTGAATAGGATGACGTATTACGTCAACTAGGGTGGTCGATTGCATCGACGATCATTAGCACAAAGATGAGCAGACTCGTAGTTAGTGTCCTTACGTACAGATACAGGTATATAGAGATACAGTTATCTTGAGTACAAACAACCGAACGATCTTCTTCCATTAGGTTCTCCCCCTCCCCTTTGCGGTTGTGCTCCCTGAGGGCATAATCTTGTTCGCCCGCACCGGCGGATCCCCGACACTCCGAGAGTGGAGATCATCTTGTTTTATCCTTTTCCAGTCGATGATCTCGGAGCTTTCTTCAGTCAAAGGGACGATAGAAAAGACAAGATGCATAATGGTGTCTGATGCAAGACATCGTAATACCATTCTCGCATCTTTCTTTCTTTGAGCACTTTTCCTTTGTCAATGCCCTCTATCTTCCCCTTGATTCTTGTGTCGAGGATTTTCCGGCAGCAAACTACGTTCTTTCGTCATCAAACAAAACACCACATATATTGTATGCGAATATGACGATCTGCTCTTACATTTTCCATTAATGGGAATGTTCCGAAAGGATCATAATATATATATGTGCAGTTCTCTCCATCCTCTTCTTATATTTTACACGGCAGTTGTTAGTCTTGATTGCGTAACATCAATCATTGTCTTCGAAAACAAACAAATACTCTGCGACGACATTTTATTGTTGTCCACGAATTGATTGATGATATTCATTGTATTTATGAGATATTAGAGATACATTAAGAGCAAGAATAATATTGGAAAAACGGAGAAAAACATTAATAAAAATTATTTTAAACACACCCTCGGTACTTGAATTAAAACTAAATTGATCTAATGGACGACTTCAAAACTGTGTTAATGCTTTATCGGTGAGGTCTTTTAAAGGCTGTTGGATATACATGTATTCGAGTATAAAACCGGTGAAAGATCACTGTTAAGTTAATAAATAATAAAATATGTTCACTTCGTCGTTCAAAAGAAGTCTATTCGATGCTGGCATTGGCGATAGATCTTCCCATGGACGCTATCCGTTTCCATCCAACCCTCGCCGTGTTCTTCGATCTGCATACCCCATTCGTTTAGCACGAAATTTATAAAGTTATGTAATTCGGAGTCATTCCTAAAGAAGAGCCATTCAGAATTTCCAGATTCCCGTTGGATGGCCAAGATTCGATGGGATGGCGTTTTGGCCGAGGAAATGGCATGAATATCACAGATAGACATCTTGTGGAGACATCGGACGAAGCCGTCGACTAAGAAGTTGGCTCCTTCTTGGACAAAAAGCAGAGTGGCGTCAGTGGCCACGAGTAAACAAGCTACCGCATCCAATTCAGAGGCCTAAATATGTAATATATGATTAAACCAAAATAAACTTGCATGAGAAGAGCTGACTGCCATTGTGATGGCCGATAGCCATTTGTTCATCTCATCCATGGTCTCGAAGGAAAATTGGATGAATGGTTCTTCAATTAATGTAATTTGAAATACAAAATTCTCATCATTTTTCAATAAAACTTGTTCAACAAGTTCAACTTTCTGTCTAAGATCAACGGAAGCTATTGCTTCCTTGCAAGTTGAGTCCGTAAATTGGTACAACATGTGCTCTCTGTAATAAAAAAAATATCCGATAGGAACAAAGCAAACTTCGAATATTAAAATGAACATACCTTAAGATAAAGTAAGATTGCACCCATTCGTCAGTCTTTTTTCTCCATGCATTTGGATAAACATTTCTGGCATAAAGATAACTTTCCATGGTTTCGGCTGAGGTATCGGTTTCTTTCAAAGACTGCAGCCAGTATATTAAATTTGCTTGCTTGATCTCCACTTGTGGCTACAATAACACAAAATACCTCAAGAAACTAAATTTCTTACCAATCCAAGCTCTTTTCTGACAAAATTGTGAAGGATAATTGAAGAAAACGTGTTCTGATTTCTGTCAATGGCCATCGAGTGATTAAACTTTGCCTTGATGATGGCACTCAGCTTGAATACAATCAGCTCGCCCAACTTTTGACTGGCCGTTTCCACTTGAAACTGTTTTTCCCTTCTTTTGGGGTTGCTGAAGAAAATCTGCTTGCTGGTCGAATGGAAACACAGGGTTTGGGCATTCAATCCAACACTTATACAATCGAGATATTTAAGGGAAAGATACGTCTCTGTTCGATAGGTATACTAAAAATAAGAATAATAAAATATAATAAAACCCCACTTTAACTCCATCATGGTTTGAACCCTCAAGATGATTTGACTCGCTTAGATTCCTGACCGGTGACATATTCTCTATGGATCTAGAGGAATCAAATCTGGAGGCAGCAAAGTTTAACGAAGAAGAATAGAATTGATCTTGTCCTTTTTCGTTTTCAATCTCGGCCTTCAATAAGTAGATACACTGGTCCGTGACTAGAAGAAATCGATGTTGAGGTTCTCCAACAGAGTGATTTATATAAACGGAATACATGGCTTGATATCTCTCCGAATCCTGATGGAAAACTTCCATCGCCAAAGAAACAATCTCTCCGGATATCAATCTACAAAGGATGAAATAAACGTCACATCTAAATCAACAAAAAATCGAATAAAGAGGTCTTACTGCAAGTTGCCTTCGATTGGCTCGTCCGGAATCGCTTCTCTTAACGATTCCGCCTTCACTTCCTCGGATAGAACATTTTCCTCCTCCGCTTCCTTCCCTTCCTCCTTTGTTTCTTGAAGTTCTTCTGACTTAACATCATCTTCGCCAGCTTCAACCTCTACTTTTCCCTCTTCATCATTACTCTTTGATGAACGAATATCTCGTTTAATTCCAGAAGAAGTAGAAGACGATGGAGAAGATGGAATAGCGACATCGACACTCCTTTCGCGATTTCTTTGAGATCGTCGACGACTTAGCTTGGATGGGGATGAGGACATCTTCCTTACCACTTCCTCTTCACTATGAGCTTCATCTGAATCCGTCTAAAAGAAAGAAACATAAGCAATGTAAAAAACTCAAACCTCAAATCTGGCCGACGACTGTATCCTCGTTCGATGATTCTTGACCATTGCGTCCAGAATATACTCCTAGAAAACTTCAGCTACTTTATACTTCATAATTATTTTAAAAATAAAATATTTTTTTACCTGATCTCTTGTAGTGGAAAGAAACGGCTCGTTTGCCGTTTGTGGTACCTCAACTCTAGGAAGATCCTCATCTTCTTCTTCTCGATCTTCCCTTGGTCCAGGATGATCAAAAGAACCCACTCTGAACGAGGCACTCGAATCGGCAGCATGAACGGAAGCCGAGAGTATAACTCCCGGACGATCAAGACGCCTTCTCGGAATAGATCTGGGTTGAATTGCTGTTGAACTAGGAACATGAATAATTGGAGCTTGGGACGATAACTGTGCAATTGGAACTTCCTGGCTCTCCCGCATCGCTGGTGACTAAACGAAACGAAATATGAAACATCAGAACAACCTACAAGAAACTTGAAGTTCACATTATTCAACGGCTCCACCCCCACGGCCACCAACTTCAACAAGGCCTGGTTCCTGACCGCCGCATTCTTTTCATAATATTTCTTCATTAGTTTTGGCTGGGCCACAAATGATAAGAACTCGAAATATAGTGTTTTATTGTTCAAGGTGCTCTTTAGCCATCCTATGGACAACTTCCTTTCATCTGAAGTTCTCCATTCAATCTGCAGATCGGCTTGGGCACTTTTGGGAATAAACTCCTTCACATAAAACCAATAACATTTAGGCGGGTCTTTGAAACTAAAACTTAAAGCTTTTACCGTCCAAAAACCTAACTTACCCATGGGCCAAGAAAGCATCCAGAGCTCTGAGCAACTCTACCGCCTCGATCTCGCGGCCAGGAATCTCATTCTGCCCAAATCGGAGACATTCTTTGACGGTGACCTTAATATCGTTCAGAATGGTCTGATGTTTATCCCTTTTTACTCGGGAAGGACCGTCAAGCCCAACTGGGGCTAAATGAAACATCTTCTACTCGATGTCCTTGATATTGCAGTTACTTTTCAATTACCCGTCGAGTATAAAGTAATTCGGAAAGTATCAATCTGGTTTCATCTATAAATCTAAAAAACCAATCAATTCGGGAAGAACTTTTTTGCATCAAAACATCTCTCGGAATATGAGTCATTTTAAAACAAAGTCCGATAAACGAATTCGTCATGGATAATACAATTTTTGAATTCCACAAGGAACGTAAATAAATTACGAAGCTATTCGGTCAATAAATGATCAAAAACAAAGTTGTTTATCAAAAAGTCTAATCGTGATCTAAAATTCACATTATTTTTTTTTTGAATTAACAGAAAGCCACATATTGTTTTCGTGGTAGGAGAGAAACGGGTCAAGACTAACGTGCAGACATGACCCTGAAATAAACGCGCGGGTATTTTTATGCATGTCTGAAACGGGACTGCATTTTGCATCTGCATTCAGCATTCTATATAATGCCTCCAAAACGAAAGTCGACTACTGAGAGTCAAATTGCGGCCAAAACGGCAAAAAAAGGTGGACCTCCTCCGGATACTAAATATAAAACCAATGACATTGTTATGTGCAAGTACGGAGGCACTTTTTATGAGGCAAAAGTCTTGGCCATCGACCCTGACGATGGATATTTTATTCATTATCAAGTAAGTTAACGGTTTCATTATTTATTATAACTGACTGATCTTCATTATTTTTTAGGGATGGAACAAGAGATACGATGGTTTCGTCAGTTTCCAAGAGTCTAACTCTAGGTTCAAACCTTTCAGCGAAGAGGAGGTAAAGAAAGCCAAGGTATGAAATTTTTATACTGTTTATCTCCCTTTAGGAAGTGAAAGCTGTGCTGAAGGAAAAGGCTTCTACACCCAAGATAGTCAAACCTAAAGGAACGCCAAAGACCAAAGAAAGATCTCGGAACACTTCAACGATCTCAGAGGAAGATAAACCTTCTAAAGATACCCCGGCAGGAAAACCCAGACTGTCCTCAAGGACAGCGGAGAAACAAAAACCTGATGGTAAGTGGTGTTGACATCTTGTCAAGAGAATTATCTTTCGTTATTGGTATTGGGTCACGTGTTTATGTTCCTAAACTACCATTTGTTCTAATTACATTGAGATTAATAAGTTTCCCTTCCAGGTGACGGTCCCAGGGCTCAAAAACCAAAGAAGGAAGACAATGTTAATAATGGAAACAGTAATTCAACGATTCCAAGAAAGCGATTAGAAGCTCCAGCCAAATTGGAACCTGGAACCAAATTGATTGGCCCGGATTTGGCCGAGGTTCTCACCGATGAACAAGAAATGATCACTAGAAGATATAGACTTCCAAAGACACCTGCTCAGAAGACCGTTTACAATTTGATTGAAGACGTACGTTTTGTTTTCATTTTTTTTTTCTTTTGATACCATGGAGTACTAAAGTGCGAAAAGAAATGTTTTAGTATTGTAATGACAATCACGTTAATTTGATCAAAGTGGAGAAGATGATGGAGTTTGCCAAGACCAAAAACTTGGCTGAACCTACAAACATCACTCGTGCGGATTGTTGTGCTGGGCTCTTGAATCTGTTCGAGGTGTGCGTTGCCAGTGTGTTGATCTATCCGTTCGAAAGAGAGCATATTAAAACTTTGGTTTTGGAACAGTCTGATGGAGAAGGTAAGGTTTTCCGTTCATTCGAATTTTTTTTTTTATTTTTCGCTTCAAAGAAAGTTGATTTAGATGAAAACAGAACACTTCGTTTATCTCGATTTTTGGGTGTCACCTATCTTCTCCGTATGCTCTCCAGAATCCACGAAATCCTCGAGAAAACTGATATCCCGGAAGAGAATGGTAAGACTGTAATGGAGGTTTGTACAGGCATTACCAAACACCTCTGCGGGAAACTTTCTTCCTACTTCGACCCGACCTCATACTACGTTCAGCCAGCCAGTGATTACATTCGTCGGAATTCAAACCTTTCATAATACAAAGTTTTTAATTTATTTGGAGATCATAACTTCAATGTATTATATTGTAATGAAGTAGCAATGTGAGGCTAGTTGTTGTTTGAAAGGTTATAAACATTAAACAGCTAAATTGACAACAAAATAAAAAGTGAAATTGTTATAATAAATACATCATTTCTTGAGCGATTATTGACTTTCGTGGGAAGTTGTGATTTGGCTGATGTTCAAAGCGACCGGAACGAGGCGTTCTTGGCCTGTTTGTGGATCTAAAACAAAAAATGTTCGCGTTCAATCGTTCCTTGATGTTATGAATGGGAAACTTACCAGCAACAGCCATATAATGTTGTCCAGTTTGGCTGTCGATAAATACTTGGACTTGTTCCAGCGACGACCCATCGTTCGCTGGCTGAGGTTGCTCGGATTGGAAGACGAATTGTGGAGGCTCTTGATTGCTCTGAGGAGTCAGAGAAGGCGGGGGATGGGCGTCGCCGTCTGAATTTCTGGCTCGCGTTGGGGTGATCTTGGACTGATCCAAAGTCAACTAAAATCATAAGTTTCAGATAAAAATATTTACGCCATTTTTTATACACTTACACTCTGAGGATTAGCAGTGCCTTTATTCAGAGCCGCGCGATAATTCTCTATGTAAAGTTTGAGAATGTCCACATAAGGATCGAAGCTGAGATCCTTGAGTGCTCGGAGAAGGTCCTCACATGTTATTGTTTTCCGTTTCTCCTAAAAAAAACAATCAGTCGCAAAGAATGAAAGCGATTATGAACCACTGTTTGAAACAAATGGTTAAGAGCGACTCTAGCCTAACTATTTAGTAAGGGTTTAAATGCCCTATAGGTCTAGAACAGAGTTTTCCGGCCGGCCTGAAAGTTGGATTCTAACCAAAAAGTTGAAATGACTAGCCAAAACGGGACGCTGAATAAGCCTTTGAAGATTTTACAGCCAAGCCAACCATTTATTTAGCCACTTGGGTGATTTTTTACTAATCTAGCTGTTTTGCCGCCCTTGATAAGATTTTTTGTGGCTAGCGATTCCGATTGAAGCCTTAGCAAATTATTTGAAGCAGTGGTCATAATCGCCACAATTCAGTTGTGAAAGCCTTTCTTACCTGAACACAATTGTCACTAGCTTCTGAGATCACGAATTGGATGAATTCGGAGACAGCCTCTTGGACTGCATCCTTTGCTTCCTTGGACAACTTTCCTTCCGGTGGCACCACTCTTCTCATGATCCTATTTATGTTTGCTAAATCATTGTATATTACCCATACAGTCCCTTCCCACCTGTCGGTAGAAGCCTCTCCTGCTCCATGATCATATCACTTTTGTTCTCCGAATTTGCTTCGTGAGCACTCCCATCCTGACTGATGGTTTCATTGGCATTCGAATCATGGCCGTCATTGTTCTCATCGCTCTTCACTTTCGCCGAACCGGGATCATTTTTGACCTTGGACTGGGATTGGTGATCGCTCATGACTACAACAACCAACCATCAGTAAAATAATCAAAGATGGCTTCAAATTTTAGATATCAACGCATTCAAAACGCTAGAGAAATTTATCTGAATGCAATCAAGTTAATATTTTATTATCTTAAACAACACAATGATAATATATTACACCTCGGCCCTCATGTTCATGCGCTTTTTGAATATGTCTCCACTGCCGTTGATGTCATCATCGTCCTCGCCCCATGCTCGTCTCTTCTTTTGTGCATATTCTGGATGAGCTAGGACCTAAAACAAACCGGAGATTCCAAAAAAGCCTACAAAGACTTACCACTGCCGGGTCTGTTGTAGTGGACAATGTCTGATAAAACTCTTTTCTAATCTCTGAAGCTTTCACTCCGCCAAAAGTGGCATTTGGGTCAAGCGGTGGGTCTTTGATATCGGATTTGGGCACTAAAAATCGTATTATTTTATATCAAAAAGTACTCACTTTCTTTGTTGAACTTTGCAAGGGAGTCCATAAGGAAATCTAGATTAACAAACGGTCCTTCGAAGCACCAAGGAGGCGGCAACATCTGAAGAAGCATGGCTGCAGCAGGAGGAGGAGGAAAAGCACCCCCTGGGACTGGATGAGAAGTCACTATTCCTGAAGCAGTAGGCTTGAAAGGTAACATTTGGTCGGTATCTGGCATCGGGAACCCTCCAATCTCCAGTGACTTGGCATTAGAAGTGGATGGCTGGGAGGAAACGGAACCAATCACACCATTCTGTGTGTTTGAAGACTGGCGCGAACCCTTCTGAACAAAAAAAGTAACATGAACAGCGTAAGTAACGTTCACATACAACTCAATAACGGTGTCAAAACTTACATTATATCCCATAAACTTGAGCTGATCAGATGTGCATGGAGAAAGATTGAGAAATTTGTATCTATCCACCAACAAGATTGCTTGTTTATCCTCATACTGATCTTTCATAGCCTCTCTTCTTCGAGAATCAACTTTCAACACACTTGCCAGATCTCCAACTTGAGATTCAAAATCAAGGTATTGATCCCAGATCTCACTAAAACATCAACAATAATTATAAATAAATGACTCAATCCAGTCACTGCAAACACTTACATCGAGTTCTCAGCAGCCAGCTTTCCATCAGTTTTGCTCAAAATTCGCTCAAATACAACTCGGGTGTTATTGTCCTCTAAAATATTAAATCAATTATAACTTATTCTTCTCTATAATTACCATTCAAGTGCGATAGGAAATCAGTGTAAGCCAAACAATAATTGGGGTCGTCTCCGAACTTCTTCAATCCCAAATCGAATATTCTCATGGCCACAGCAGTGTCCTTACTGCAATAATATTCCATCAAAGCAGCGGCGGCAAAGATGTGATATGAAGACCTCGGGTCTTCCCTGGCCTGTTTGAATATAGTCCTCGCTTGTTTCACACCCTCAGTCCTTCTGGTGAACTTCATCAGCTGTATGTATACCTAAAATAATATTTATTTACTCTTGAACCCCAAAGAAGTTCATAAATCAACATTGCTTACCAGAGTTGGATTGACATCTTTTCTATCCAAGAGTCTATGATAAATCTTTTTGGCCGCGTCGAAGTTATTCCTTTCTTCTTCATAATCAGCGTAAGAGAAATACAACAATTGACTGTCCTTCATAAGACCAGTCAATGCCTTCTCATAAAGTTTAACCACTCCATCGAAGATATCCTTGGCATGTTTGACATCCCCCTTGTCCTTCAGATTTTTTGCCGCCAATTGTTGGAAATGGGCGGCCTCGTACCAAATATCAGGCAGATAGCCGAGGCAGAGTAAAGCCTGATCATATGCGTATATCACTAAAATACAAAAAAATTAGATAATAAAAGTAGAATAAAATATATAGCTTACCTCTCTTTGAAAAATTTGCATATTCTTCCAGATTCAAAGGATTACTCTTTTCCCAGTGAATGTACTTCCTCCACAACTCAACCTGTTTCAATTCGGCTCCAGTACCTCGAGGCGGGACACTCACGGCACTTCGATTGAGACCTCGAGTAAACTGTTCCATCAACCTTGTTACTCTTCTCGCATTCTGATGGTCCTTGTTCTTGTCCGCAATCAATTTCTCTGCTAATGTGGCGTTTATCCCCTGAAATAAAATTTTAAAGTGCATTTAACAATTCGAATACCAACTTACCCGTTCATAACTACAATACTCATTCCAAAGACTGTCAATGTGCATCATTGGTGTAACCACGCCTCTCTGGAAAACTTTACGGATGGCCGAAATCCTCTGATTCTCGGCATATTGACCAACCGCAGGACTAAATAATGAATTAAATCAAAAAAATGTAAAGACTCACACTGTCTTTAAAAAAGTTATGTAATCGTTGTAAATTGAGTAAGCGTTTACATCCAGACCAACATTCTCGAGGGCAAAATCGTAAGCTTGTGCCATTTTCTCACTGAAGAATTACTGTTTGACATGGATACAATAACACTTACCGAAACCCAGGAAGATGTCCTTTTGTTTCTTTCAAATAGAAGAGATAACATTTCCAGAGATCAATATTTAGAACATTAATAAGAGATCGTTCGAAAAGCTAAAATTTGAAAGACAATAAAATAAGTAATCTGTCAACTTACAGCTTCAACATTCTCAAAGTTCTTAGCACGAAGCTCATGCTCAATGTATATTTTCCAGTATTTTCCACAGTTTGGAAACTGAGATACCAATTTTTCATAGAAGATCCGAGCCTGATCAATTGCCCGAGCCTTAAAATAATTATTACTCTGAAAGAATAATATAATTTTACCTGTGTCTCCCTGATTAGAATATTCCAGGCGTCCGTATCAAATGGATTTAGCTCAATTCGCCGCTCAGGACTCAAAACCGAGATCGATGCCATAATTCCTATCAACTAAAAATAATTTTGGAACTAAAATCTTGCATTTTTTTCCATTTTTCTGCTATGTAGCGCAATGCCAAAAGCTGGTCTTGGAAATAAAACAAGCAAGAGCAACGGTTATGGTAGAAATTTTGTCAAAAGGATTTTTGCAAATTTCTAGTCCTTCTACTTTATACAAGTTCTTATTAGTTATTCTTGATGCGAATCTTGACTTTTTTACATTTGATTTTTATAATATAAAATATTATGAAGTATCGTGATATATGAGTTTTACTTGGTTCACGTAGCGAAGTTGCTTAATTTTACATTAATTTCAGAGGGGTTTGCTCCAACGATGAAACTCAATCCATTCGTTTCTTCCTCGGCTCGCAAGAGCAGGAAGTCTCACTTCCAGGCTCCATCCCACATCCGCCGGCGTATAATGTCTGCTCCTCTCGCTAAAGACCTGAAGGCCAAGCACGGAGTCCGATCTGTCCCAATCAGGTAAGATAACTTGTTCGATTTAAATTCTCTCTTTAGAACCGATGATGAAGTCACCGTTACTCGCGGACACTACAAGGGCAACTCTGGTCGTGTGATCCGCGTCTACAGGAAGAAGTTTGTTATCCACATTGACAAGATCACCCGTGAGAAGGCCAACGGAACGACTGTCCACATTGGCATCCACCCTTCAAAGGTGAGGCGTTGTTTATACGCTAGTGCCACGACATTGGCAATCTGATCGTGATGTACGGCTGTAAAACGCTGGTTAATGATACAGAAATGGGGAATTTGGTGGGCGACATTTTTAAGATGGAAAATGTATTTGGTCTTATACATGTCGTCCATCTGCTCCAATTTTATTTTTAATATTTGTTTTATTCAATCTTTTAAGGTTGTGGTCAACAAGCTGAAAATGGACAAGGATCGCAAAGATCTCTTGGAGCGCAAGGCAGAAGGACGTGCCAGAATTACCGGCGAACTCAAGGGAAAGCACAGTGAAGAGACTGGAGAACAGTAAATTTGTTGTTATTTGTTCTGTTTTTATTATAAACACGTTGATTTAAATGAATTGAAAATTTTAATCTTGATTTCCAGTAGCTTGACGTGTTATCATTTATGTGAACACAAAAAAATTTTGGGCTTATAATCCAATATCGTGCCAAATAAACGTAAAACATCGGCGGCCAAAATGGGGTAAAGGAAACTAACAAGAGAATCAGCGTTGCAACAAGAGACGTGTTCGTCGCCAACCATCAAAGGACAATTAACTAAACCAAGAGAGCATTCAAGTTCATTACGACAAATGAAATTTGATATACATTTACATATCCTGATATTGCGGATCTATGACCGCGAATACCCATTCCAGTTTCTTGATGGCATTTCCTTTGTTCACAATGGCTATTCGATTAGTTTCGAATGTTTTGAGGGCCTTCTCCTTTCGTTCTGACGCCTCATCTGCCGGTGGGCCATCCTTCTCTGTGATGTATTTGAAGAAACTTTCATCTGAGACCTCTGGTTCGTTAACCCTGGCCCTGTCAATTCTAATCCTGATTTCCAGTAGCTTCTTAAACAGGAATCTAATATAAGTTAACATGGCTTCAATGTCCGTGAGATGGTTTCGTCGATCCCCCATTCTCAGAGTTGTAAGAACGTTCATAAATCTGATGGATAGTTCGGTCACAATCTCCCTTCCTTGCATACACAGTTGAATTATACTCATTTCATCAGTCTTATCCAACAATTCAAAGGACAACGTGGGAGGGAGGAGATTCTTGACTCTCTCAAAGATCGGCTTCTTCAGTTGAAGTGGCAGCTCCAAATTCTGATGAATCTGAGGGCCGAAGCTCGGATGGACCATCTGATGTCGTTGATACTGGCCTTGAGACATCATCTGTTGCTGCTGTTGTTGCGCCATCATTTGTTGCTGTTGCAACATGTTCGGTTGTTGATGCTCTCTAAAACAAGATAAATAATATCATAGCCCAAACGATCAAATAAGTAATAAATCAGGCAGACTGACCCCATCATCATATGTTGTTGCTGCTGCTGCATCATCCTTTGTTGGGAATATTGCCCCATAGGCATTCCTTGATTATACATTGGAGGCTGTTGTGCGATGCCCTGAGGCATGCCTTGCTGAGGCACCATTTGTTGCGGCGGCATCTGCTGACCCATATATTGGGGATTACCACCCATATAAACATTCGGAGGCGGATTCTAAAAACTACAACAATAAGAGTTGAAGACCTACCTGATTATTCATTGTCACTTCTGTATACAGTAACCCGAGGAAAAAACCCAAATTCATTATTTTGTGAAATTGATTAGATACTCGAACTGAAGAATACAGTTTGACCAACCGTATCCAACATAATTTATAGTTATATTTATTTAAATACTCGTATTATAAAGTTATACTCGGAACGTGCCCTCACGAGCCAAGACAAAAGCGGCAATCATCGCGTTCATCTGGATATTCTCAGAAGCGCCCATCGTAACATTGGTTTGGATCTTCGACAGTTCCATGATCAGGTGAGCGGCGATATTCTCGTCATATCCGATGCTCATAACCAATTCACTCATATTCTCCAAGACATCAGCCATCGACAATGCATTCTCCTTCAGAATTCGTTTGATCTCTGAAAATATATTAATAAAAATCAGAGTCGGGAATAATAAGAGTCTTATAAATAAAATCCTTACTTCGAACAGCTTCATCCATATTCTCATTCATTGCGCATTCAACAATTCTCTTGATGACCTCGGGGTTGGACTGACCAACACATGCATACACGTTTTTCTCAGTCACTTCTCCAAATGCTAAATAAGTCGACTGAAACGATATATAGGCATTCATAGTACACTTCATACTCAGCCACATCTGCTTTAACTTACTTGCAAAACATTCAGAATCTTCCTCATATCACCTCCAGAAAGAAGGAAAAGCGCCTTTTTCCCGTCCTCTGTTACAGAAAGCCCTTCATTCTTCACAACAAAATCCAATCTTGGTCTAATCTGGTTCTCCCCCAGAGGAGGGAATCGAAATCTAAAAGCAAAACATGAAAAATAAATATGAACATACCTTGTGCATCTTGATTGAATGGCTGGAATAATACTGGACAAGTGGTTGCAAATCAAACAGAACCTGGTGTGTCCGGAATATTTTTCAATTACTCGCTTTAATGCATTCTGGGCATCCTTGGTCATAGCATCAGCTTCATCGAGGATGATCAGTTTGAATGCGCTCTCATCAGTTGGACCGAAACCCACCACCGAATTCTGTGCAAAAGGAATTATCCCTTCCCTCACAACATCAATTCCACGATCATCTGAGGCATTCAACTGAAAAAGCCTGGATAAGTCTCCATTTTAGTCAAAAAAGAACAATCAAATCTAAATGGAAAATTACCTCAAGCACTTTGCTTCTATATCCGTCTTTCCCATACAATTCATGAGCCATTGCCTTGATTGTGGACGTCTTTCCGGTTCCTGGAGGTCCATAAAAGAGGAAATGAGGTACTTTATTCTCTTTGATCATCTTCTTGACTAAACAAGCTAAATTAAAACAGAAAGGACTCACTTGTTGATATGATTTCAGTGTGAGAAACCAACTCAGAGAGATCTTTTGGTCGATATTTCTCGACCAAAGGTAGCCGAGTAGTAACAACTTCCACTTCGTTTACAGTCATTTTAATTACACGCTCGAGATTTGTTGAAGTTGAGATCAAAAAGTTCCGCGAACAATTTTTGGATAATTTTGCAAATAATTTCCCGCTTTTATGTTGCATTTCGAAACATTAGAATCGATTGTAACTAAATGTCAAAAAAAATTTTTGCAAAGTTGCAACCAACTAGCTAGTTGGTGAGTAAAACTAAAAGACTGATAAAGATTATCAGTCATAATTTTTTCTTCTATAGATTATTCAAAAATAATTCTTCCAAAGTCAGTAAGTTTATTGGGGTCTACAGGAACTTTAAAGATCAGACTTGATGGGTCCAACGGCACTGTCCATGAGAGCCAGTGAGTTGTGAAATTCGGAGTCGTAGACCCTGCATCGGGCTCGGATCTTCCTTGATCCCTCACAACAGCATTCACACCACATGTAATTCATGGCAAACAGGGTGATTAGGATGACTGCGAACACCACGGCGCCAGCCATATAGACCTGTAAATATTTAGCAATTTACACACGTACGGTATCATTGACATGGGCTATAGACTAGGCTTATACATGTAGTAATGACAGACACAGATTTTGTATAAAATAGGTTGACATGTATACTACGAGATAAATTGGCTTACATATGCATCCATGTGCATCCTGGTGGGATCAGGGAAGTCGGAGACCAGCATTAGCTGAGCAGTCTCATTTTGAACAACCGCCATTTTGCCAGTGAAACAAGGAAAACACCAAGATGGGCGAAAATTTTGAAAATGGAAAAATTGTGAACCTTGCTGTTATCTATCGGGCAAATTTAAGTGGCCAATCATCTACGGTTGAAGCTTGTCAACGGAAATTTGACCGGTCAGAACAAAAGCCACGGTCACGTGAAAGGGCAAGCTACAAACAATAAAATTCCCGTTTTGCGTTGCCGAAGATTGTCATAAGACGAAGGCCCGACTAATTTTGTGTGGTATTGCACTAGACACTTTGATCTATGATTTATCATTTTTGTCATTCTTTTTAATTTCCATTTAGTACGCATCACGCTCCTTTTGAAAAAAAAATTTTTGTGATTTTTTGGTTATCCAGCAAGGGAACGTGTTACTGGCACACGCATATTATTGCATAGTAACGTATTCAAATATCGAAACAAATCACCTTGGACTAAATTTGCATGGTTCGGATGGACTCTTGTGCCATATATGGGCAGTCTAATTTAATTAAAAAACCGTCGTTTTGCAATATAAAAATCACCGGAAGATGTGCGAAGATTTATTCATGAGAGGTGCTTTTAGAAATGGTAAGAGCATAATTTTATCGGAATTGAATTTATTAGATCTCGGCCACCTTTCCGAACAGATGATTTCCAGGTACTTCGCGGTCGGTGGAGAAGAACAGTTGGAGAAACATTTCCTTCCATTGCTGTGGATTCACTCTGTCCAGATGGTTTCCTTTCTGATCGACTGCAAACTTCTTGTAGGCCTCCACGCATTCTCTGTAAGAGAAGCCGTAGAGAGACATGCCATCAGCGTATTCGGCCATGTCCAAGACACCATCACCTAAAGTGTAGATGGATCACATTTGAGGGGACAATACCCGGATAAAATAGCTTGTCGAGAAGGGAAACACTTACTTGAGACATCGAAAAGCTTGAACATGAAGGACTGATAGTCATCCAGCCACTTGGGGTGGTCATCTTTTTTCTTGCTGACCTCTTTTATCAACGACACCCACTCTTCCAAAGATATTAACTTGTCTCTGTCCGCATCCGCCGCTTTGCATAAACCTTGCCATAGAGCTTCCATAGACTTTCTGGCATATCCGATTTGAGTGGATTCGGCTCCGTAAACGTCTCGGCAGCGCTAAAATATTATATAAGACATGACTTAAGAAAACGGGGGTTTTACAATATGTAAAAATAAATCAACCCACCCGCACAACCAAGTAGAAATCTCCCCAGTCCACGTTGTGCGAAAGGTTTCGATCTAAAATTAGGACATTAAAAACATTGGCCTTTTAAAGTTATAATCTCTCGAAGATTAAAAAACATGCCGAAGAACATAGTGAAGATTCGTTCCCATTTCTGTAGTAAGAATGGATCCACATCCGGGAATTTGGAGACCAAATCCGCGTTACCGTTTTCCGTCTGAAATTTGCAATCAAATTATATTTTAATTGGCAATTAGTGGAAATTGATGGCCTTTGGCTAGTCAGTTGATCCTTTTTTGCTGTGTTAGAAGTGGTTTCAAAACAATTATACGGTATAAAGTGTTTCTGTAAACAACAACAACCTCAAGAAGAAAGGATTTTTCTAGATGTTGCACTTGATCTCTCAGGTGTAAATAGATCCGAGGTTACAAAGAAAAACAATGTTTAAGGCCAGATAGAAAGAGGTAGCTTAGTCATTGTGGTTTTATCTGACAATTCGAGAGTTCCTCGTAAGACCCCCATCCACCTTGACCAGCTGGCTACCGTAACCCGGGTTCCGTTCCAAACCCGGAAAGACCTACCATTTTGTGACCGTCAGGATTGCACGCCACTAACCCGAATAGCAATTGGTTCCTGGCGGGTTTGACACTGAAATGACTTTCTCTGTGACTTTGTGCTTGATTGGAAGCCAAGTTTTCTCTCACATGGCCTGGTAACGGGACCTAAGGCCACCCGCAGGCTCCACCCCGATCCAACGAAATTCGATATTTCTCTTCTAAAGCGCATGAAAAACGCGATTTCCCGGGGCCTGCGGCGGGTGGGAGATCTTCAGGCCGACCCTCTTCACGGAAGTTCGAAAATCACGTTTCGTCCTCAAGATACCGCGAATTGCGAGGATTTATAAAATTTTTTGCAAACATTTGGTCAGGACCTCATATCCCCGCTAAAAGGACCCTCAGGCCGGATTGGGGACGAAACTTCGAAATCAAAGATTGGACAATTAAATAACCCCCACTTCAACGTTTACAAAAATACTCAACATGAAGGGGAATATAAAATAGAGTGATAAAATTACATTTTTATTAAGACATTTGGTCATCCAACCATTCTCAATCGAGAATTCAAATACTCTCAACGAGATCTAGGATATCAGTTTTCAATTCGAGACTGGATGGGTGATCATAAACTTGATCCCGCAAACGTTAATATTTACGATCAGAACTCAGACATCTGTGCTCGGAAGAAAGATCATGCAGAATATCCATCTTGCAGTGAATAAAACTGAAGATATGAGTTTATAAAAAGAGACTTGTCTTTATTTTGTAATGGATGTCGTTTGTGTGGCCTTCAAACTTTTTGATTTGTACTTTAGACGGGGAACGAACGGCCGACACAAAAAAAAGATGACAAAATATGGACTGGACGTTCGGAAATGAGACGGTAATCGACGCCCTGGCCTTATATCAGCTACGTAGATTAGGACTTGAAAGAATATTTTATATTATTTATGATCAACTAAAATGATGACCCTTTATGATTGTATACGGTACGACAAATAAAAGCATACCATTCCAATATAATCCCCACAACATTGTTTGCAATCTCATAGCAAAAACAAAAGCTATTGATATCTTATTTTATATGATCTGGGATGATGACTCAACTCCGTGGATCTCGTGTTTATCGGACATCCCATTTTACCCCGCCCACATTATGTCGGCATATGGCCAGGATATGATGTGATCTTCATCTCTCTTCAGGTTCAATGTTATTTTTTCGCTCTTCTCGGTTAATTTTTGTTGTTTCAAACAAATGAGCTTTAAAGAAGAAGGATAAGATTACAGACCTGACCCTTCGTGATCCACAGAACAGAGAATGGAACTCACTGGTTTAAAAATATGGGTTTGACATCTGTCAAGCGTGGGGTGGGTTTTTAGACAACATATCTTTAAGTGATGTTATTCATGTGAAGTCTCGTAATCAATTTGATTTATAATTAGATTTTTTGTAAGAATTACTCGAGTCTAATTGGTGGAATAATAGAAAGATTCTACACAAAAAACCTAGGACTTCTAAACTTTCGATACTGCCCGATCGTGTGACTGCAAATCGGGCAATAATGTAAATAGTCAGCGAAAGCCCTTAATATGCATGGGAATATTGCACATGGCCAGAGAAATGTGACCACCAGTAAGACTGTACAGAACATGGCAAAGCCTCCAACCACGGGCTTGGGGATGGTGGTAACGGCCTTCCGACATCTACTACAATAAACTCGACAAGGGCGCTCATTAAAGTCCAGGTTAATGGATCTTGTTTGTCTGTTGGGTGGGTCCTGCAAGGAGAGGATTAGACCCTTGAACTCGAGTTGAAACGCGGTTTACAAGTCCCGCGGGCTTTGTCACGCACCTGTTGTTGATCTTCGATGGTCTTGAGAGCGCCCGAATCAGCTGATTGTTGACGGGCCCGGAGGCGCCAGCGTTGCGCGTAATTGAATGCGAGGCGTTTTCGTTTACTGTAATACATTTCAGACATCATATTACACAAGTTTCCATTCAGTCGAGTCTGTGTTTCCCTAGGGTTTCTATTATTTAACTTACCCTTCTTTTAGCTTCTTCCTTCCAATTTGAACTTCAAAAAAGCTCAAGATAGATCCGACCACCACTCCCACGGCCACTAATATGAACAGATCTCTCATATTCTGTAATCCCAATCTGGCCGGAGTCTTGTGGATTTCATGATGACACTTCTCTTTCCCTGCTGTCCCGATCCATTTACTCTCCATTTTCTGAATATCTCCCGCTAAATGTGAACTAAAACAGGATGTAAAGACAACCTTACTCTCAGCCAGTTTCAAGATCCTTGAAGTTATATAAGGAGTCCAAGGGGAGTTTTTCCTGAGGGCAATACCATACGCAGACCTCCCAAATAAGGTTCCCCGGGCTCTGAGATCACAATTCTTTGAGGCCTCGAAATCCAGACGAGCCGAATCCCAAATAAATGCCCCCAGGCTTCTAAAAAAAATAAGTAAAGTACTCAACCGTTCATGGCACGAACGATTAAATCTTACTCATTTAACAAAGCATTGATCGCTTCTTGGGCGGTTTTATAATTGTGGCTCTCCATTTTCCTGAACATTGTACTTAATTCGACCTGTCGTTTGAAATATTGGTACGTGTTGGAGTGGATTACTGTGCCGAATGAGAAATTTATGGAAGGATTTCGGAACTAAAATACGGTTGGAGAACAATTTAGGATCAAACCATAAGTTAAGAGGTGTAAAATCTCCGATGAGAGCATGATGACTAAAAAAATGGTGACAAACCCTCACCTTCGGATCATTGATGCCATTGAGACTCTTATCAGGTTGATCCAGAACCAAGAACGCGGCCAGATTGGCCGTATAAGAGGCTACCATAATCATACAAAATCCACACCAAACAATTCCAAGAACTCGCGCGGAAAACGAACGAGGAGTCTCTAAGATAAGATAACTCTTGCCCAACTTTGAAATCACTGCAAATGATCGCAAACGTACTTTCGCTGACTCCCGAGTTAAGTAGCACGCCCCAAACAAACCACATTGCCTCGCCGAAGGAAACCGGGGTATCCTCCAATTCTGGTCTCGTGAAGATATCTTTTTGATAGGGAATGTTGAAAGGAGATCTGCAAAACATATCCATTCCCTTCGATATATCATTAAATTATTCTACCTCCAATCCAGTAGATATATTATGCACCCAATGACGAGAACAGACACAAAGAGGGCTCCCCATAAACTCTTCTTCAGAGGTTGCAGAAATGATTCCATTGGAGAATCTCGAGGATGCTGAAATCAGGATTACAGTAATCACATTTGGTCGACCAGTGTTTATTGCACCGCCCTACCCATTTCTCGAGCACTCGAATTCCATGAAACAGCCATGGCTCACTGAAATCCACGTACTTTTCCCGTTCCGGATTAATCGACAAGGCGCCGATGGCCAGATCAGCTAGTCCAATATCCAATTCTCCGATCATTCCATTCAAAATGAGGTCATCTTCAGTGACGACTGGACCCCCATAAGTATCATTTAAATGGAGTTCAAACTCGAAAGTGGCATCTCTTTGGGCTTCCATCGACGAGAGCTGTACTAACAAATCGATGGCAAATCCAGCACAGCAATGGTAGGAAGTGTAAGTGAGGTTCTCCTTTTTGGTACAGGGGGTCCAAGGACCTGGCTAAAACAATATAAAGATCAAAAGAGTGCAACTATATAAGAAGGAAAGTTGGCACGACTTACCACATGACCTCCCTCCACAAACATTGTCTTATAATATTTGCATTGACTTTTCTCAGCGACTGGAATCGAATACGTAAATGGGGGATCGGGTACCGTAACGGCCTTGAGATTCTTTGGCAGTGTAATCTCTTGAGGCTTCAACAAACTATCTCCAGGCCATACAATCGAGGACTCATTGATGGATAAGTTACCGTAATGGGTCTAAAAACATCAATCTCAAAACATAGACCCACCATAAATCCAACAATGGCATCACCATCTGCATGGTGATTAAGAACATCATACGAAGCCTCTGTTCGATCTCCATTCCCATCAAATTCGATGTCATGGTAGTCACTATGGACCTTGGAAGTTATCATCTTGTCATAAAATCGCTGCCCAATATTATTAATCCACTCATTGTTTTTGTTGATCTTGCATTGAGAAGGTGGACGGACCTCAATAAAATCATCGAAAATCTCCAATCCGTTTCGCAACACCGCCAACGCATCTCTTAACGAGCTGAGGACGGTCTGACGCAGTCTGACCGATAAAACCCCTCTGGGCACATTGTCCGCTTTGAAGCCGGCTTCATTTACCAACCAGACCCGACCTTTCACAAAGAGTTCAACGGATTCATTGAAGATTCTGAAGGCTTTTGAAGTCTTGGCATACAAAATAATCGTATTAGAAGTTGTGCCCTTGAGGGATTCGGTCAAATTGAAATTAGCATCCTCAATTTCAATGTGTTTTTGGATCTGGAATAACAAAAATTATGCATGACTGAATCAAAAATACCTGAATCTTGTTTCGAATACTAAGACTGTCAAATACTTGGACAAATTCTTGGCCATTTACGTCTTCCGCTACCGTAATCACCACAACCTGATGGTATTTGAGGGCATTCAAGAGATGGACAAAGACAAACGCCTCGTTACTGAATGGAGGGGAAGTTCGGAGAAAGGTCGGGTAGACATTCTGGAGGAATTTTGGGCATACAGCTTGATGGATAATATAAAAAATCCGATACCTTTCTGGAGAACTGAGCGTCCTTAACCATTACGCCGATCACTGGGACTCGATAGAATCCAAGGGCGTAGCCAACGGCCGAGAAAACGGCCAAAGCGGCACTGTTTTCTTTTCGGGTACATTGGACCAAAAAGATGGCTATGGAACTGTTGAGAAGATCGCGACATACCAACTCTTTGGTTACGAACAATCGGTTAACCTGTCTATATATAATGAATACAAGAACCTTACGCAAGGACTTAATCACCTGCTAATTGATAATCCGACCTCATCTTACCTATCCTTCCCGTCCAATGAAACCTCCCATTCGAATGTTTCTGCTTCCAAATTCAATTCTTTTATTTCATCATTTATTGTGGTCTAATATAAATACAATTCAGATAGTAAAGGATCGCGCTTACCTTGACTCTGTCACTCAGCAATCGAGAGTTTTGATCTTCATCCACCACTATCAACACTCCTACTTTTTGTTTTTCGATACAAAATACAGGAATTACAAAAACTGAGGCAATAACAACAGGAATAAAAGAGAACATTAAGTCGTTCTTAAGACGTATTATGATAAGTAATTTATAACATAAGAAACATGAGTCTAGACAATCTTAATTTAGACTTCAAGCTTTAAATCGTCAAATGTAAATTAACGAAAGAATGAGAAAGTCCAATAAAAAGAGCCTATACGTCCAAAAAACGGTACCTCAGAGGTTAGGAACGGGGTATAAACAAGTTTCGGGCAATTGAGTCCTCTAGATGGCCGGCATTCCTTCACGGAGCCGCTTCAACCGCGCCGCCAATTCGTCCTTCTCAGGCACCGGAATGTGTTTGGGGACTTCAGGCATGGTTGGGAGAGATGGAGCTTCCTCTTCCTTCAGCAAATCATTCAATTCATCTTCAAGAGCAGCTTCGTCGACCACATTGGAAGGACTGGGGATGTTCTTGATGCCTTCTCGGAGAGCTTCATCCACATCATTCGCCTCTTGAATGGCTTCATGGATACTATCCATGGTCTCGTCGATCTAGAAACAAGATTCATTTCATGTGAATAAAGCGCAAAACATGAAATCTTATAAATTGTTACCTTATCCATGGTTAATCCTTGTCTCTGCAACGCTCCCTTGTATGCGTCGGTTCCCATCTTGTAAACGTCCATGATCTCCCTGGTTTGTTTCGTTGCTGCAAGCTGTTCCATCATCTGCAGTAACTTCTGGCATTGATTATCCTTATCCAGAAGCTCTTTCTCTGCTCTCTTCTTCTTTTTCATCGCTGATAAGGCGGCCATCTTATCTCCCTTTCGTAAGTTATCCTTTGCTTCATTTGTAAACACCCGGACTTTGTTTTCAGCCTTTCGTATCTCTGACTGTAGCCTGGTCATTGTTCGCCGGAGATTGTGAACAGATACATCAGCCTGTGTAAACTTGGCTGGACCTTTGGAACCTTGATCCTAAAATAACAAGAACTCAATAAACTTCCGATAACCTACTTTAAATTTTAGAATTCGCTCGCCGTCTTGTGACTGGCCTTCTGTAACTTCCCCTTGCCTCATCAATTCATCCAAAACGAGATCAAAAGAATTTTTATCTACAATACCCGCACATCTTGCTTTGAACTCGTCGTAGGCGACCACCTCTGGACAATCGACCATCTCATATTGCACCTTGTAGTACTCGAGCATTTCTCTCGCCAATGCCTAAAAATAACAAATCACAAAATTATGCAAGATATATCTAAAACACTCACTTTTACCGTTGGCATGTGCACTAGCTTAACCTTCTTGAAGTCCACACTCAAACCCATCAACCATGAGCTCTTTGCGACCAACGAAGTCCCCCAACCAATCCATCCTTGCCTTGGAGATGCTAACTCTTCCACGGGTACAAAGATTTGTTTCCTAAACATGGAATTGACTCAAAAATAAATGATACTTACTTGTGCAATTCTTCAAAGACGGTCAACAAAGGCGCTGGTAATTGATTTCCCCTTCGGAACTTCTCCCTGAGCTCTTCATAATCAACTAAACATTTCTTTTCCATCTTACAATAATTCGCTATCAAGTTCTTCCAAAACTCAATGGTTCGATCAAAATTAATCGAATTCACACTTCGCGCCTTCAACATCGACATCAAACCGCGCATTTCATCGTCGTCGTCCCAACAATCCGGCAGGTATGCCGCCTTCTTCATCAGGAATATTGTTTTAGGTATACCACAGAAAATAAAAGCTAATGAAAGCGCAAGAGCAAGACACTCTACCAAATGAGTTCAATTTGTACCTCGTGGTGATCTCCTTCTTCACAAATTATGAACAAATTATTTCTGGACGCTTCAGCGAATTAAACGAAATGACACAAAATATATTGGTTTTTTGACACTTTGCAACAATTTATTGGAATGAATGAAAACCATGACATTCCTGGAAACCCAGGTTTTATTCATCTCCAAAAATGTTGGGATGATCATTTAGATGAGATCGAAAACAGTCTTTGATGGGATTGAAGTTCTGAAGACAGAAAATGTGCTTCAAATAATCATTTGGCGTGGTTTTGTAGTTACAGTACGGTAGGCATTGTGAGAGAACACCTCTAAAAAGAGTTCAAACTGTATTGGGGAAGCTTACTTTTTCTTGCAACACTCCGTGTGATCTGCTTTTGATGTTGCACATGCCCACATATCAGGCACTGTATTTCCCTTTGGAGTGCAGGAGTTGAGGAAGAACAAGACCTATAAAAAATAATAGTACAGTAATTAAAAGTAATTTTTCTCAATCTTACATTATCCGCAGCCAAAGACGAGAAGTCGCAAAATTTTTGTTTGCAGATTCTATCAGCGTTCTTGTGCTTCGAGCAGCATAATTTAAATTTGGTATTACTATCCCGTAAAGCAGTAGTGTTAACAACAAAAAGAAACACGAGTAAGACGGATGGAAACATAAAGAAGATACGCATTACTACAATCTTTTTTAGGGATTTCGGAGATATTGATAAGGGAGTTGGTGAAAGAGTCAAAACTGGTCCGATTTAATGTTCGGATCGACTGAAGAGCCGTCGGACGAGTCAATTTAGGATGACATAATGATCAAGTTCAGCCTTACTGGCATTTATATTGCATTTTAAAGATCCCTCAGCCATCAAAAGTCCAACAAAACTTTATTCCAAATGAAACAATATAAATTGAAAACCGAGTTTTAAGTGACAACATAAATACAAAGAAGATATCAGTTAGCTGGAGGTTGATCCTCCTGGAGATAAGCAAGGGACTCGGCGAAACGTTCGGGCTCTTGGTTTAACCGTTCTCTGATTGGAGCAAGGAATCGTTCTGGTTTTATATTCAGCCGGGAGATCAGCTCGGGAGCGGCCGAACGGCCGATATTAGCCAAGGCGATGACACAACGATGGAGTAGATGATCATCAGAGACGTTGGAGGCATGATGGAAAGTGTCTAGCACTTTGGAGTGCCCATCCAGTTGGACGAACTTTCTGAAACGTGAAAAGTTATGCTGTCTAACGATTACTGTAATAAAATCCTTATTGTTAGAGTTTTAACTTACATAACAGCTGGAGGAAAAGATTTGACCATGGCCGATAACGCCGAGACTGCCTTCAGTTTTCCGGTCTACAAATAGAGTAATTACATATATCAGTTTCTACACGTTAAAACTTACATTATTTTCCGTTTGAATCAAGTAATCCAGGCAATGATCAATGAAGTTTGATTTGAGGAGCTCTTTTTGAACTGGAGGATTATTCTGGGCAATTTCGGAGATCAAAGGTAGGATCGAAATGGATGAGACATCTTTCTTTTTATGCTGAAAACAGTAAATTAGTATATTCAACAGGTTATTCTATAATATTTTATATAAATCATCATAAGTTCTTACCAGAATATCCTCAACAATCCTAGTTCCGCCCAGTTTACAAAAATCCAGCGCCAGGTCAAGATCACAGACCAGATCGATCAGATTGATTACAGCCAGATCCAATTCTTCTTTCAATTCCTCATCGTTTTTCTCCAGATCAACATCCTTTAGATTGGCAATCCTCGCTTTCAATTTTCGGATGGGATCCGAATCCTTTGCGAATTCAGTCAAAGCTTCTTCGAGCCACTTTCTGTCATCTTCATTTAATGGTTTGATCGATCGATCGGTCTCATTTTCTCCTTGAGCAGTTGTGGCCAAGGCCAGGAGTTGGCCATAGGCTCCAGTATCCAATTGGGACTTCTTTTCAGCCATACAAAAAGCTAAAGGAACAAATTCGTTTCCTTAATCACTAAGTCTAATATAAGAGAGACAATAACTCTTTCCAAAGACATCATCTAAACCATTCCACCCGTATTTTATTATCGCGATTAAATAAAGTACAACTGAATAAAGTATTATATTACATATACAGCTATGTACAAACGCAGCGATTTTAATTGAAATTCCCCAATTGATCGGCTTCGTATTCATCCTGCATATTGTTCTTAGGATCCTGAAAACAGGATTCAGTAATTACAACATATAGATGATGCACTTTAGATCAGATTACTTACATTTCCGAAGTCATAGTAATGTCCGGCAATCTCCCTGAGCCAATCCAAATCAATAACACTCAAATCTCTGATCGAATTCTGTAGAATATCAGTAAATACCACATATTTGGGATAATCTTTTCGATACATTACAGTAGATCCTTTGTAAACTTTGAATGGAATGGAATCCCGTAATGTTACATAGTGCCCAGTATGATCGTACCTGGCACATTGAGAGAAGAACCCAGTGAGAAGACATCTTCGGATCCTAGCCGTCTCTCCGATCAGTCCTTTACATGTCTTGAGGGGTATCTCGAACTTCTTCATGTATCTTTTGAGTTGTTCGCAGATGTTATGAGCAGAGCAGAGACCTTTGTAATTCACATAGTGATCTCGGCACCATTTTGAAGACTTTCCGTTCTGAAAATAAATTATTAATCGGATACCCGAATGAAACTTCTACCTCAATAAAACAAGTGTAAACATTCAGCATGGTCAAATGATCTCCCTCCTCCACAGCAAATTTCCGTTTGGTCACCTCAGCCATATGTCGATTATCACCGGGAATGAAAACATTCTGAATCTGCATCATAGCCAAGATCGCGGCCATTTCTTGACTGCATTCGTAGGTTGCCGATGACATTAAGACTTTGACATGCATTGGAGGAAGAGGAAAGGAGGACATTGTATGCCCTAATGGGTTAACCAACATCCCCTCTTCATCGATAGCGCCTAAGGCGAACAGTGAGTGGAGAGCTTGGATTACAAGTTGGGATGGAGGGCGCTGAAATGTTATAACATCATTTAAAATTCATCAAAATTTATATTACACCAGACAGGCAGGCCTACCGAAGGAAGTTCGAATTTCAATAAGTTGTTGATGCCAAGTGATTTAAGCGTCAATATAACTTGACTGAGATCAGTCCTCTGCATTTCCGGGACTTGTGATGGTAACATCTTCTGATATTCCTCCTCTGGATATAACCGATAGCATTTCCCAGCATGAATTCGTCCAGCACGACCCGCCCTTTGTTTCGCAGATGACTTTGATATCTTCACAGTTTGTAAGGTCTCTACTCCATTGTCCGGATTATATACTCGTAGTTTCACAAGGCCACAATCAATTACTGTAAATGGAATTTTGACTCATCCACAAATCAATGCATAAAATGCAGTCGTCTTACCGTAACAAACTCCGGGGATCGTGACCGAGGTCTCGGCAACATTGGTGGACACAATAACTTTTCTTGTGCCATAGGCAGCTGAGTCGAATACCGCGACCTGAAAAAAAATATATGTTTATGAAACAACAATATAACGACAAGAGCATTTATAAACTAACCTGTTGTCGTTGTGTTAGTCCGGAATACAATGGCATGACTCTCAGTTGACCATATTGCTTTAGATTTTTGCTTGCATCAATCAGCATTGAAACCGCTCTTTCCACTTCGTCTTGTCCAGTCAAGAAAACCAAAATATCTCCATATTTCTCAGTCTTGTGGATAAAGATGGCTGCGTCAACTGCTGCTTTAATGTAATCAGGACATGGTCTAAAGGAATATAACATCATAAAGATGTGATACTTACACTTTAGAGTAGAGAACACTAACTGGATACATTCTTCCTTCCACCGAGACTATTTGCGCCGTGTCCAGAGATCTGTCCTCGCTATCGTTGGTCTCAAAAAAGTCTTTAAACACCTAAACAAGATGGATCTAACATAGCAAAACTTACCTCCGCATCCATTGTTGCCGACATCACCACCAATTTCAAGTCCAATCTTACACTCAATACTCTCTTCAAGAGGCCGAGGAGAAGATCTGTGGTGATGGTTCTTTCATGACTCTCGTCCACAATCACGATACTGTACTTGGTTAGCAAAGGGTCGGTTTGGAACTCTCGGAGGAGGATGCCGTCCGTCATAAATTTGACTTGGGTATTCTCGGACATAACTTCATTAAATCTGAGGACATATCCCACTTTATCTCCAATTGAACAATGCATTTCAGCCGCAACCCGAGTAGCCAGCTAAAGTTTTATAAAATAATTATGAATTATAGAACCTACCGTAACCGCCGCGACTCTTCTCGGTTGGGTGATCGCGATCTGTTGGCCGTTCTGCGCCCATCCATTTTCGGCCAAGAACTAAAACACTTATATCAATGTATAGAAGTCTTACCTGAGGGACCTGTGTGCTCTTCCCTGATCCGGTTTCCCCTACAATAATCACCGTTCTGAATCTCTCGCATAAATACAATATCTGAGTTTTGTATTTCGTGATGGGAAGTTTTTTCCTTGTCAAACTGATGGACATGGCCAAAGAGGGGTTCTGGAATACGAAGTCGGTGGTCTCATTCCCTCCACTTCTCTGTTCCAAGGCCAGGTTCGGATCCGTATCATCATCATAAGAAGGGCGAACAAATCGGGCCGACATCTGCGATAAGACAGAACTTCTCACACCCCTTTTAGTATCATACTGAGTTCTTTACAGATGCATTTCTCTTACAACTATTTCAAGAAAACGTTTAATAGTATTGATAACGATGAAACAATAACAATAAACAACAAATTCAACAAGTACTTGATTAATTCTGAAGGATTTCTTCGCCAAAAACGCCCTTGAGCATCCGGATGGTTCGATCGCATTGATCCGCCACCTTTTGATCATTATCTAAATCCAAAATTATACAATCGATTGGAACCGATATCAAAGAAAATAAAGAACGAATGATTACCTTCCAAGACTTCAGTGAGGGCTTGTACAACCACAGGGAGTAAAGGAGCCATGGCATCCCCGGCTCTGTTGGCTACCCGATCAAAAACAACCAGAGATCTGTGCCTGATTCTTCCATTCGAATGCCTCAACTTCTCCAATAATTTATGACAAATGGAAGTTGAGAAAAGATCGGGGGAAGACTCGCTGATGTAGTAGATGCAGTCGATAAGGTAGTTCACGCATCTTTGTTCATGACCTCTGACCTTTCTATTCTCGAGTTCATCCAAAATACATTCATGGACAACCTCGGCTCTGTCTCTGAAAGAAAAATAATAAACTTCTCGTCCAAACACAGCTTTCCAAAATAAATGACAAAACTTACTCTCCGATGAAAACTCTATGTTTGGCGCAATTTGTGACGAACTGAACGAGTCTGATAATTAATTCATGGGCAACAATTCCCTCCACTGATCCCTTGGAACTTCCATCGATAAACAGCTCATCTTTACTTGCTAAAAGCAATGATTATAAACATTCGTGAACAATCTCACAATTCAATTTACATTAGATTCACTTACTCTTGGCCACATTTAGGAGTCGCATCAATTTGGGAACATAAGAGAACAGTCGATTGAAATAAGGCAGGGCCAAGGTGTTGTAGTAGTCATAGAACTTGTTTGCCAGGAAATATACCGTCGAAACCCTGTATTTGATATTGGGTTCATTGCTATTGAAACCCTCTTCCACCCAATCCGCGAACTCTCCAAACACCGGAGTCAATTCGGATTCGCTGAGATTCTCCGTTAGTGAAATGAAGGCTCGAATAGCAGCTGTCTCAGCCAATTTTAGGGCTTCAAGATTCTCCTAAAGGCAACAACAATATAAATGAAGGGAAACTCACTTCAGTATGTTTAGTGTTCTTTCGGACCTCAATAAGATCAATAACAACTGGAAGGAACTCGACTGAAAGACTTCCGATCTTGTCGTTGTTCTCGTTCTTCTTGATTGCTTCTTCTAATAACAGTCCCAAAGTCGCCAGACATTCCTGTAAGTAATGCTGTTAATCAAACACCCCCACAATTACTAAAATATATTTTTAAGGTATATCTAACATATGCCAAGATATATTTTAAACCTACAGTATTCTCATAAACCTTCTTGACGGCCCCATTCAAACATTCCTGAAGTTTTTCCAGGTTCATTCCACTGAAACATGCGTTCAGTTGTTGTAATCGATGTCTTATTGAAGAAGTCTTCTGAGAGGCTGTTTCTAATTTCAGATCCTCACCATCTCCTTCTTTTAACCTTTCCAAAACTGGAATATATTTGGTAGAAAGCTCTGAGACATTGACGAGGAAATCTTCGTGGTATGATTGGGATCCCTGAAAAAAATAAATAAATTTTACTCTACCATCCATTTCACGCACCTCATTTTCATGATCCAGAAGCCTCAAAACCAATGTCAGAGCACAAACAAACACAACATCATCTCCAAATTGTCTTCCGCTCATCGAATGCGCTCGATGTCTGACTCTTTTGGCCATCGCTGAGTTCTCCTCTGCCGGTCTACTCTGTTCATTACTTATATTACACTTCTTGAGAATAGCCAGGCATGTTTGGGAGATGGAATCACAATTCTCGAGGACAGCTGAAGACACCAATCCAGAACGAACAATTTCGGCGACCAGGAGGAGGATGTTGCCAATCATCGAGTCATCCTGCTCCTCCCATTTCACTAGCTAAAGTGATATAATTATTCAATCATCATAATATTTATTACCATATCACTAGATCTCTTCAGGACTTCTACAAAGGTCGGCCGAACTTCATCGGAGACTACCCGTTTGGCCAACAATTTCAAAGAGAACGCTGCTTTCTGACATAATGCAACCTAAAACAATATTAATCAATAAGAATCATCCACTAATCTCCTTACATCGTCAATCTTCTTAGCTGGTTTTATCCACCGTGACAAGAGTTTCGCAAACTTCACAAGATAAGTATCGAACTTGTCAGTTTTCTCTTCGTTCTCCTTTCCAGTTTCACTCAACAACTTCACATTCAATAGTTGAAGTGCGCGGTCTCTCATCTTGGAACTGGCCGATTTATTGTCCAGGAGATCACAAATAATATGGCCGCTCACATTGGCCGGCAACATGCATCTCATTTTGTCGGCGATGACCTCGGCTCTAGCTGACAACGCGATCCAATATTTGAGGGTTTGGATGGCCGCAGGGGCTGATTCCTTTCCTCTGGCGTTCTGTTCCGCCTTTTCGGCAACATTGAGTTCCTTGAGTACAAAGTCATCCAACGAGGAGATAACCTCCAACATGCGGATGCCAACTTTGGCGGTTCTTTCGTAGATCTCGTCATCAGTCAGATTGGAAAGCTACATGAAGTGAATTGAGAACCGAAACGATCAACATACCTCTTCAAACAATGCTTGTTGACTAACACTCTTGGCAACAAATCCGATCATAATGTAACGATAATGTCTCAACTTCTTCAATGGCTGATTAGACCCATCGAATACCTTCAGACCATCTTGATTGGAGGTTCTTCCCTTAGCATCATCTCCTCCCAAACCAACGATATAACCAAGGAGATCGATGCAGACTTGTATCTGATGTTCTGGAGGCAAGGATCCCATCAAATCCAGTGACAGATAATCCAATTCCTCCTCCCAATCCCTGGCTGTTCCTCGAACCCAATTCAAACAAAAATCTTCGTAGATCGCGGCAAACACCACCCATAAATCCTCCGAATCCACACAAGTTCCAATAACTTTGACTACTTTGAGACGTCGATGAATCGGAATATCATGAAGAGACTTGGCGAAGATCCGACTGATGGCCAAGAGCTGTTTCTTCAATTCTAGGGACCCCTTATTCAAAGGTTGGAGAACAGCAGACACGAGGGAGGAGAGAGACTCCTCCACAATACTCAACGTCATCTCATTATCCTTCTTGAGCAATCCTTGGCCCATAAAAGCGAAGAGAGACATCACTTGGGAAGTCAGTTTGGTCTGAAAAATTATTTATCTTTTCAATATTTAATTCAACATTTTAAACCATTTTAAGGTAAATTCGAAAATTTTTTTGAAATTTCTTGAGAGCGACCTCATAGTTATAATACTATGTATGCAATATGGCATATTATCAGTTTTGCTAAATTCTTCCGTAGTACAAACATACCGGCATTCTTGGGGCAACTGCAGTTAATATCTTCAGGGCGTTCCTCAAGACATTTACATCATGGCCAAACCGGATAATATTGATCAAGACCTCCGCTTGGCATTCCTGTTCAATTGCATCTAATACTTCGGAATGTCGGAGGGACTTCACCAGATATGAGAAACAGATTTGTTGAACTTGGATTACATTCTTCAGAGGCTCAATCATCTTCTCGGTTGCTTGGGATCTAGGATTACAAACTAATTTCATTTTAAGACAAACCAACTTTTGTTTAGTAGAATAAAAAACTCACATATCAATTAGCTTAAAGATCCGTCTGATGATAGTCTTTGTTGGTTCGATGACAATGGAAGCTAAGAGGGCTTCAAGAACAAACAGAATTCTTTCTCCGAACTCTGCGTCGGTTTCGTTTTGGAATTTCTCTTCAGTCAAACTCTTATCCAATTTCTGTTTCTTGGGGTTAGATTGATGTCTTGATAGCAAAGATACAACGTTTTTTTCGGATATATTCACCTAAAATCATATTTTCCAAACATTATCCTTACCTTCACCAACCCTAGTTTGATGGATTTCCTCAGTTCCGATTTCGGATCCTTAGAGATAAAGGTAACAACATCAACCCAGAAGTCATTTAGGTCTTTCGTGGTCTGTTTCGATAAGTAACTGTCGTCATTCAAAGATTGGAGAGCCCATTCCACATCTTTTACGTCAATTTCATCCTTAGTAAGCATCTCCAAAATATGAGAAATGGGCTTTTTGAACATCCTCTTGATCTCATTTCCGTCTTGGAGAGCTTCCATTTGATCCTTTTTCTGTAATAGAACCAAATATAGTACCAAACAATATTATCGTAACACTTACAGTAATCTTGGGTGCCGAACCTGGTCCAAATGAGACCGTCGGATCTTCCTCCAGAATTCGCATACTGGACGTTCTCCTTCTTCGTTTCTTTTTGTTCTCTGTAAAGTCCAGAACTCCTACTTCATGTTCTGCAATCTTGCATTGCTCCATTAACTTTTCAAGGATATGGCTCTCAGTTAAATGATTCTGCGCTCGGAACTGATCGAAGACATTCGAGAATCTAATGACCACGTTCTTGATCAAAGGGCACAATCGCTGTGGGATTATAACATCATCTTTTGAAGTAAAACTCTGCAAGATTGCATCAAGGAATCCATGAGCAGTCGATTGTGTCATGTTCTCCAAATCAAGGAGTGCTTCCAAATAAGTCAGGATCAAATCCTTGGTCTCTTCATCTGGATCTAAAAGCAGAATAGAAAAGAGGTAAAGCAAACCTACTTGACTCGGCCAGATAAGAACACATTGTCCTGGAGAAAGCGACGATAAAACAACTGATATCAAGTTTGGCAATTGCTGTCGAGAAGAATTCCTGTAGATTGATATCGTCGTTCTCTTCACATCTTTTTAACAGTTTTACAGTCGTTCTTGCAGGCAGTGTTGTCAACTTCTGATTTTGAGAAATAACAAAAACGGTGTTCATGGCCATCTCAAACCAAGTTGATCGCATTTTCTATAACAAAAATATTTTTGAGAACAAAATAACATACCGTCATACAAAGTGTGAGAATGTTATGAAGCACTTCTTCGTTCAGGGTTGCGTTCATGCAGAGATCACAAACAATAATATATCCAGCAGTTTTGAACGGCAATACCCTCGACTTGAGGGCAATCCCAACAAATGGGATTATCCTCGAAATTAGCTCTTCAGTGATGTGAGCAGGATCCGCAAATAAATGAACGATCACACTGGCAAAAAATGTGAAATGCATTTGCATCTTCTCACTGACATAATTCTCGCCCACCAATTGAACGGCTTCGGTCAAGGAAGCGGATAATGATGAAATCAAAGAGGATCCAGACCTCAAACAAGCTTTGACAAGAAATTCGAAAGGAATTGGAAGACCTTTCAAAGCAAAATCCGAACAAAAACTCCAATCATTTTTGTTCAAATTTAGGATGGATAATAAACGACCAAAGGAATTGGTCGAATGGTAGAGAAGAAACAGATTCGCAATCAAATCAGCATTATAAAGATGTACCTAAAAAAAATATTTTTTAAACATAGACAACACTTACCTGATACTTATATATCAACCACTCCAACACTTGGCGACAGGATTGATGATGAAAATATGGACAAATATGAACCAAAAGGCTTTTCAGCTTCTTATCGAGTTCGTCATTTTGGTCTGCTGTGATTGTTGCTCTATTGAAAGATACCTTCGACGGATGAAAAAGGTCGTATTCCGCATCAGCTAAAGTTCTGTCCAATTTCCGCAATCTTTGGAGACCCAACAAACCTAAACCAAGTAAAGTTAATAATTTAGAGCATACCTAAGTTAAAATACTCCTCAGAAGTAAAAGAAGCAGCTTCCTTTCGGTCGAATAACAAGGAATCCGTGGACTTCTCGACTCCCAGTTGCTTGGAGACCGGGGTCTTCAAGGTCCGAAGCTGATCTTGCAGCGAAGGCATCCTAAAAAATTCAATGGATTCGTTTTTGTTACTTTATTATATAAAATACATCTAAAATTTTTATAAAAAGTTACCAAACAAAAATTTTGAGAAATCCTTTTTCATGAAACGGTATGCCAAACACTTGTTTTCGCTTCGAAAAACGTTACGAACGACGGAATGTAACACCGAAATTTCGGCCGGCCGAAACACCGCATACAAGCTAGAGAAATCCATATACCCCACGAACTAAACCAACCAGAAGATTTTATTATCGATAACACAAAATTCACAAAATATATTATTAGTTATATCCGTTATCTACTCTTGTTTCTGGGCCTTCTTCTTCAATGCGCGAGCTCTAGTTGCGAGGGAGTTTTGGTTAGCCATGTAGTTGAACACCCAGTCAGGGAGGACATTAAAGTAAAGATCGTGTTGAAGCTGGTGGCTCAGATAACCAGTGGTTTCATCAGCCAATCCAACCGTTCCAAGGGCAGCACGAGCATAAGCGGAAGCCTAAGGATTACTTATTCTTCGGTAATGGCTTACTTGTGGTATAAAGAAAGAAGACTTTCTGACTTTGGACATCTTGGTGGCCACCATCATTGGAGCGATGGTCTGAATGGTGACTCCCTTACCCGCGTATTCCTTCCTCATGATCTCGGAGAGCCAGTTGACGTACTTCTTTGTGGCACTGTAGATTGCCCAGTAGGCAAGAGGTTTGGCTGAGGCAGACGAGGAGATGTTGATCACTACTCCATTCTTTCTGGCGGCCATCTTCTTCAGAACATAAGCGGAGAGGAGGGTGCAGGGAAGAGTGTTGATAATGGTTATGCCAGCAACTCGAGCAAGGCCACCATCGATGTCGTGGAGTCTTTCTGGGTACTCATACGACATTCCAACATTGTTTACTAAAAATGAATTCGATTATTGTATGCCTCTAGGCGTGACGACTACCGAGAACTCCAATTTCGTATTTGTCCAGCTGGTTGAACAACCGTTCTTCGTAATTCTTGACATCACCAACCGAGAAGTCGAAGGAAATAGTGTCAACTTTGACATCGGAATGCTTATCGGTGATTTCCTTGGCAGTTTCGTCCAGTTTGGATTGAGTCCTCGAGATTAGAACGAGATTGAATCCTTTCTTGGCTAACTCGAAGGCATAAGCCTTCCCAATCCCATCAGTGGCCCCAGTTACGACTAAAGACGACATACAGTACAAAACAAGCAAAACATTCACGTACCAGCCGTATTAGCTCCAGCCAACTTTCTGAGGTCCTTCTTCGCACCAATCACATAGGGATATAGAATTTGCCATACATGGGAAGCAATCTTTGAGAGGACAAGAGTAACGGCAGCATAGCCAATCGCTTTCACCAGACAATCACAACCCATTTAACTGCAAAAAACAACAATCTGATATATCATTATATACAAAGCGGTTCACCCGGAGCTGCCGACGTTATTTCATACATTTCTTCGCAAATAATGCACCAATTTCAACAAAACTTATATCAAATTCAAGGATGATTTACTCCATTCTTTTACAGAAACGACTAAGATGATTTACGATTAACTTTTCGTTCTCATTCCTCGCCTACCTAGCTTCAATTTGATATAAATTTTATAGAAATTCGTGCATTATTGGCGGGGAAATACCTGAGGAATCCCCGAGTCAACCAAGCTATGCTAACAGGGTGGTCGACTTGTAACTAAATTCATATTTCGACTTAAAAAATGCCCCTCAAAAAAAACATGTATCCAATTAACCGTTTTATTGCAAGATTAACACTTTTTGTTTCATTAAAAAGGGAGGTCTTTCGATGGCTGATAAGGAGTTCTCTCTCCCCATCTCTACTGAACAGAGAACTCCAAGAGTGGTGCCATTGGAAGGCTTCTTTTCAGCTGAAGGTCACCCACAAATCACAAAAAAGCAAATAGTTTTCCGCAGCAGAAATAACAAGATCAATATTAATCTGAATTCTTATCAGACGAATTATGTACTTATTGATAAAAACAAACAATAAAATATCTGTCCATGCAATCGACATTCAATTTAAGATAATTTTATTTTGTCAGAGAACGAAACATAATACAATATTAGAATAAAAATTTAGTATGGATAACCGCGAATTTACAGATTATCGAATTCGGGGCATTCTCTGATGATGCGGAGCTGTTCCTCGTCGAAGTCAGCCTCCTCATTCAGGAATTCACGGAGCTCCTTCAACTTGAGATTTTGGGCACGTTCACAAAGGAAGTAAGTGCAGAAAGAGATGAAGGCGGGGACGATCAGAAAATCTCCGGCATTGGCGGCAGTGATCAGCAGATCCTTGTCGACATCCTTTGCCAAGGGACGCAACTCTTCGCGGTTGCTGGGCTGAAAATCATAAAGTTTTATCGTCATTCAAATAACATCTAAGAATGCGAAGGCAATAAGTACAATAAGACTTACAATAAATTCCATCCAGAAATCCTTGCGGTCCTGCTCATTTCTAACTTGATCCTTGTGATGTTGCTCCAAGAAGGCGACGAACTTGTTGAGAAGTTCGACCTCATCGTATCCGACGTCCTTGGTGGGAATCTTGATGGAGTTTCCTTCCTGCTCCTCACCCAAACTCTTCAGGAAGTCCTTGAGGAATCCAGAGAGATGCTGGAGGGAGTTGTGGACCTTGATCTCACGCTGATCGTCCAAAACAAAGTAAATCTCCTTATCGGATGAGGTGGATGGAGAAGCTTCAGCGGCAGCCATTTTCAACTGTAGAGAACTAAAACAAAATTAGTCTTAAAAATAGGGACAGCCAAAAAAAACATGGCAATCTCGGCAAGACGTTGCAAGAATATTCGATTTATTGGCTTTTTGCAATTATCTAGGCACGTCAAGAAAAAATAAAACAAAAGCGCTCAAGCAATGAAAAATTCTTGGCATTCTGTTTGATCTCAAAGACAATTTTTTGCGATAAAGATAGCCTGATTACACGATGAAGATGGGGTAGAATGGGGTTATTGCATACATAAATTTGAAGCTGGGCTCCTGCTTAACCTGAACATATATATTTCATATAAAAAATCGGTCGTCTTCTATCTGTTTGAAGCCTAAACTAACAACGCCTAAAAAATGTTGCGATTTCGAGGATTTCTCTAAGATTTTCCCTCGCCCCTATTTGAAGTTTCGTGGAAACATAGTCTGGAACAAGGCGGATTTTTTGAGCCTAAAACGAAAAAAATCAAATGAGCCAGTTTCGAGATAGAAAATCTCTTCATTTTGCGCAATATTTCGCCTTTCCTCTGACCTCGTCCAAAAAAACTGTCATTGAGACGGATTTTTTGGACACTTCCGTAAGCGGAAACAGAATGCCAACTTTCGTGTTGATACATAACCCTTTGAGCGCAAAATCTTGACGTGCTAGGGCTTTCGTAACCTTCCACAACGACTAAATAGAAACGTTTTGTGTAAAAAAAGCAAAGGTGCAAACAACAGTGTTTAAAAAAATAAATACACTAACAATTATTCCGAAATTTCGCCCATAAAACAACGAACTAAGACTAGAAAATAATTGACCACTCTTCGTTTGGCTATCAACTTCACACTTCACAACTCCTTTGACGACAAAAAATAGAAAACAAAAAAGAAAAAAAGAATACAAAAACAACAGAAAACAGCTCGTTTTCGTTGTGAGAACAAAAAAGCCTAGGTAGGATCTGGGATTTCAAACCAATCCTATCACAGCCTGCGACCATGTGTGTGCAAGAGAAAACAAAGTTAGTAACCTTACCCAAATCAAAGCAGTTTATGGGAATGGAATTTATCTAAACATTGGAAGGGCCTTCAGTTCCCGAGATGAATCACCAAAAAAATAGGTGTGTTGGGAGAAAAAGGAGGAAGGACATCATAAGGTTGGTGGATGCGGGCTCGGGTGAACGCGAAATTGTAGGATAGGCAGTGCGATAAAGAAACCGTTGCAAGTTGTGCGTCAGAACAACAAAGAAAGTTGCAAACTATCAGAATGGAATCAAAGGGATAGTATAGAATTAACCAAATGTAAAACACACGGACCTTATATCATCATATCCCAAAATTTAACATTTATTGAGATTACTTCAAAAACAGACGAGCGAGCTGACATTGATACTGTGCACTAGCCAATCCAATTTGAGGGATTACTGCTTGATCGAGTTTTCCTGAGTCTTCTCCGTTTCTTCTTGAGTCATCTTAAATGGGCAACTACAACAATGCTAAGTAAGGAATAACTGACCTCTGTTTTGATCATAACGCTTGCCGGAGGCTCTTTGGGTTTGCTAATGGGCGCCTTTTTGCTGAGCGAGGAATTGCAGTTGGACTTCTTCTTACAGCATTGAACAAATAAGGACAATGAGACAATCAAAGAGGCGAGAACTGCAATCAAAGCAATTTGAGGTGGTAAAACACGAGTCAGTGTAGTGGCTATGTCATAGCATGAAATTTACCAATCCCCAGAGAAATCGACCACTCCATATTTACGAAAATGATCCGGAATTCGCCGATTTTTCATTTTTTATTTGTTTTGAAATTGAATTTTAAGGTACTGTAATCTTGCAACCGAAAAACAGAGTTTTTTTTTTGTATTATTCAAGATCTTTTATCCATAATATTACATCATGTTGCTTGCATTTCCAACAAACTTTTGTGTCCCAAGGTCATTTTGTTGATCGCCGGGGATTAATAATGCTGCAGGTTCTCCAGAAGTGTGTAAACTTTGATAGTTATATATTTATAGTGCATTTTAACTGTTCGAAATGATCACAAACCCCAGGAGCGGCCTTAACCCAACCGTTTTTTGCTCAAAAAAGTTCCCCTGAAATCAGACTGGAAGTGGAAGTGGGGTGGATATCGGATATCTCGGTTCAGTCCTCAGCTATCTGTTCTAAAAATTACTCTGTAAATATTTAATGAGTAGATTCGCTGCCCTCGCCCTGCTCATCGCTGGTGTGAGATCGGCGGATCTGCCGGGCCTCACCTTCACTCCCAATTTCAATCATTTCTCGGGATTTCTGAATGCTTCCGATTCTAAATTCTTGTTCTTTTGGATGATCGAATCTCAGAATGATCCCGGAAATGATCCTTTGATACTGTGGTAGGTGTGACTGAGTGGTTGTGAGAGTTATTCGTTGTGATTTATGGTTGTTGAAATCTCCTTTTCTCATCATTACTGCTTTGAAGAACAAATAAACTTCAGGTTGAATGGCGGACCAGGATGTTCGTCTTTACAAGGAGCTTTTCTCGAGAATGGTCCCTTCAGATTGGCTCCAGATGGCCGCGAGATAACTGAAAATGAAAATTCGTGGAACAAGGTGAGATATAATACTTGCCAAAACTTGGCTGACTTTATCATACAATGACAAATTCCTTCAGTTCTCGAACTTATTATACCTCGAGAGCCCCGTGAATGTTGGTTTCTCATATTCCAGTCGAAATGAATCCACATTAGACGACCATACGGTAAGACTCAAATCTCATTCACCTATTTGGTATCTAAGACAGCTACCGAGAATCTTATGGCCCTCATCCATTTCTTCACTTTATATCCCAATTACAAAAAGAATGACTTTTATATAATGGGAGAGAGTTACGCCGGCTATTACATTCCCACATTGGCTACACTAGTCCTGGAACAGGTTGATTATCGGTTCAATTTGAAGGTTCGTATTGCTTGGGTTACATCATCGGTAATGTTCAGGGTATTGCCATCGGGAATGGTGTGGTAGAACAGGGCTGGGACTCTGTCTTTGCCCCATTTTATGCCCATTCCATTGGACTTTTGGGAAAACACCAATTTGAATACTTTACATCGAGATGTTGCTTATCAGCCAAGTCTCCAGACACTTGTAGTACGACCTCCGAATGTGTGAAAATGAGTGTGGAAATGACCATGAACATCCCCGGCGTTGATCCCTACGACGTCTCCGAACACTGTCTCGATTATCTTGGCGAGGTCAAACAGGTAAGTTGAGGGCTGAAAGAAATGATGATATGAATTTATACTGAATATGATCGTTGATGTTTAGGAGACCATATCCTGTTTCAACGACTCCTCTTTTGAAGCCTATATGAATCGAAAGGAAGTTCGGACAGCTCTGAATGTTCATCACGACCTTGAGTGGAAAGTATGCAAGTAAGGATTACTGTAATTTCCACAAATAAATATAGGAATCTTGCAGATCCGGCTGGAAGACAGTATAATGAATCAACATTCCCTTCAATGCAACCGTTTATACATTACATTCTAAAGAAAGCCGTGAGAGTGTTGTATTTCTATGGCGACACTGGTAACTAAGCACATTTAATGACATTGCTTTAGATATGGTATGTAATCACATGATCGGAGAGTACTTCACTGCCAAACTTGGAGGTACTCCGGTCAAAGATAGTGTTCCATGGCTGTTTAATGGGAGGATTGGAGGTAAAAAGACGACATATGAGAGTGATCTGACCTACACAACGATCCACGGAGCCGGTCATATGGCCCCTCAATGGAGACCTGATGTGACTGCTTACGTGATACGGAGTTTTTTGAATAATCAAGAGTTCTAGGCAGGGTATTGTGTTGTTTTATGCTCAACGATGACACCATTGCAAGTGCAGTTGTTTGGAGAACAATTACTAATATAAATTGCCATGTGTGACAATTTTTGAATTTTTGAAAATAAAATGGACAAATATTTGTTTTGCTGATGCCATCCCGTCTTTATGCACATATCTCGGGCTCTTCCTTCCTCAAAATAAAGGACGTCTGAACACGGCCGAATCTCTTTTATCCCGTGTCCGGAGAGATCGCTCGGATCGGAGAGAGGCCAGAGATATTACAGATCTCAAGAGTTTTTTTTCTCGTCTGGCCGTGTGAATAACGGATATCGAGGTCTTTAACCTTGTCCCCGGAGGTCTTGTTTATGATTATTTAGATGCTTTTTGGGGGAATGATGTTCTTGTCTTCTGTAGATGGATGTTTGTGACCTTTCGTTTTGGTTTTGAAACTATGTCAAGTTCGCTTTGCTAGGCAGTCGATTTTTAAGAACTATCACAGGAAAAAGAATATCTTTGTTACGATTACTGTATTATCAATTAAAAATTTAAAATTTCCGAAAAACTGATTGTTTTCCCAAAACTTTGAGTAAATAAAAGATTGCCGAAATTCTGCACCTAGAATGCCCCAAGCTTTGATTGCATCACACATTTGGACACTTGTTCGGACATGTGATCACTAACTTAAGGTCGTTTCCGTGACTCCTTTTAATTCCGTTTGACGTACTTTTTTCTTCAGGTTTATAACCACCTAATTGACGTTAATACCGACGTCGAAAATGGTCAGGACGTTATTTGATATCTGTCTGACCACAATCTGTCGTCAAAAATTGGTGAAAGAGATATCGCATCTTCCGATTGAGGGAAAAGAAAAGTTGTTGGAGTACTTTACATCTCATGACATGGTGAGGGAAATTCAAGAGGGGTTCCGGGTAAATCCAAAAAATTTTTTGACAAAGTTTTTGTCTAGTGTGGGCCTTGTATAAAAAAACCCAATACTTACAGTGCAGAATATGAAATAAATTGCTATGGGCGAAAAGCCGAGTAATACATATAAGTATGCATAGCCAAATTTTTTTTGAATCTACCCGGAACCCCTCTGATTCGTTAACCACATATTATTTAGCTGTCCCACCCGAATTGCGTTGAAGTTTTGTCATCCGGATTCTCCTCCAACATCGAATCTCTTAACTTTTATTTGAGTGAAGATGTCACTGATAACTTGTTGAGAACTATTGTAAGGTCGTGTACATCCCTTAAAGAAGTCTCCATCATTGACTGCCCGAATGTTACGGACCAGGGAATCCTCGATATTACTTTAAATCAGCCAGAATTGTATTCGGTGGAGCTCAGATATCTGAGGAATCTGACTTCGAATGGACTCAGGAATATCAAATCGAGCTATTTGGAGAGTGTGGATCTCAGTGGATGCTCACGGGTGAGGCTGAGAGCTTTTTGATGGCCACTTTTACAGCTTTGTGAATGTAAAATTGCGCAATTTCAGATAACTTCCGAAGGGATTTTTGATCTAGTCTATAATAATCGGAGTATCAAGAAATTAAACTTGAGTAATTGCCGAGATCTGGACGATCAGGCCTTGTATGACATTGCTTCTTGTATCGGGGAAAACCTGGAGATAATCGAGTTGGATTGCCTTCCCAATGTCCTCGACCCAGCGACCACAATCTATGATCTGTCCCACAAATGTCCAAACATATCACAATTGAGCCTTTGCCGGTTCTTCGGGGTCAGTTTGATTACTTTTATTTTTTGATATTGCTTCAAAACAAAACGATAACTTTCAGTCGGAGGGAGAGAGCGAAATGATCTCTCAGTACGAAATTGAAGGCGCCGTCTTGCGGGAAATCGATTTATACGGTAAGATCGCTAATAAAACGCTAACATTGTGCTTAGGGAATTACTTCGTTCACCTACCAAAACTGCCTCAAAATATTCGAACGATACGATTGTCGGTTACTGGCTGTGAAGATGTCGAGGAACTGGTGAGGAGATTGGAAACACAGAAGGAATTGTGTGATCTCCATCTCCAATTGGAATGTCTGGATGAGGATACGGTTAGTTTTAAATTGCAATGTAAAATAGCGTAATGTTTTGTGATATTGGTGTCATGAAAACTTTTTTTTCAGTGGTTAGTCGAAGCTGCAAATCGTTTCCTGGTCCACTTTTTATCGCATCTTGGTCCGAAGATTACTCGCCTCCATATCAGCGCTTGTCGTATCGTCGATCCGGTCATGGCTCTCATCACCGACTCCCTGCCTCATCTCACCGATCTGGCCTTGTCTTGTCTGCATCTGAACACTTATTATCTGAGGCGCTTTTTCTCCGGAGGCATTAATTCCAAAGGATCCAAACTCAAATCACTTAAACTCAAGGGCCTGAGGATTACGTATCGGGCATTATTTGCCATCGGAAAGGGAGCACGCTCGCTTACTGTAAGTTACAATCATTGACGATACAGATTTCTAGGACCTCGAGGCTTCGCATATGCCCACAGTAGATGATCGATTCCTTGTTTTAATCGCTGACACTTGCAAACATCTTCGATCCGTTAATTTCAATGGCTGCCGCTTTGTAACGGACAAGGGACTCTCAGCATTGGCTTGCAATGGAAATCTGAGTGAAGTCCGGATCCGAGGGACTGGCTGTACGGACAAGTTTCTCTACCGACTCGCCGAGCACTGCCCTCAAATGGAATGGATCGCCCATGCTGACTTCAGTGGAAGGCCCAGATTCAGCCAGAAGGCCCTACAATTTCTGAGGGACACTTGCATTCAACGTGTTATTTGTTGAGCAATTTGTAAATACATCTGAGGTTTTATTGAGGTTTGTTGCAAACACTTTGGTGGTGAATAAATTATTAAAAAGAGATCTCCGTAATGGTTATAAATTTATTGATATCAAATTTAAATCTCCTTTACGAAGTCTTTTTTATCTAAAACTTATTGACAAGTTGGGGGAACCGGCTTCTTCAAACTCTGACCTCCCAACTTTGGTCTTTTGACGGGGTTATTTTGATTCGATGATTAGTTTAAATTTACCGCATCCCTATTAAAACCCCCATTTGTACTTTTTATTTGATTAAAAAAGATGTTAGATGTCAACGTAGCGAGAGCAAAATAATATTCAAAAATATGCATGTAATTGTAAGTATACAAGACTAATCAATATTTTTTACAAAACGCAGCATCAATTAATTTTCTCAGAAAAAAACTTTTTTACTCTAAAATGACCGATGACATGAGAAGATTCTCTTCTCCAGTTCAGGCTAATTTAACGTACTTTCAAAGACTTTTAATACGTGATTTAAAGTGCATGCCCCAGGTTATTTTCAGTTTATTGATCATTGTGGTTTATACCATTTTTTAATCAAACCCACTCTATGACCTTGCCTCAACTTTCTACGTGTTTATATTACAGTTGTAATATAAAAAAGAAGTTGAAACACCGAGTTCTCTGATATTATCTTGGTTATCGAAAAATTCCCGAACTTTGGAAGATCATCTAAAAAGAAATGCAATATAACCACATAAACATGACAATCTTCAATCGATCAACGCCCGGAAGACAGCGAATCCCGGGTTCTGATCCATCGATCACAACAAGGAAAGGGCCGTCCTCCTGTTGCGCAAGAATGGGTGGGTTTAAAAAAATATTTTCGCTGATTTCCCCTTCCAGCAACAGACCTCCACAGTTGGGGGTGAACGTCCTGCCGTGTTTGTCGACAGCCTCTCGAATCGTATCTTTTATCACGCAACACTGAGTGTAATAATCTTCTACTACAATATTCTTTGATTACCCTCCCAATTTTTTTTACATTTTTGACCTTCGATCTCTCATCTACTGTTATTGCCCGTTTGGAATCGCTTTTCAACTTCTTCTTCTCAACTCTCCTTTGTTACTTTCCCTTGCTTTACACCGCCAGCCATGAAGACGGTGTTTTTTCTACATCTGGTAGTCTTTTGGACCGTTTTCTTGGGTAAGTTGACGTGCAAAATCATTCTATTTATTATTACAATGGTTGGGTGAGAAAGATTCAAAATGTGTGGAAAACCAGTAGTTTGCTCGCCGCTCGTTGATGTGTCTGTTTAACAGTCATAGTATTTCATAAGAGTAAATCCGAACAAAGTTTGAGAGAAATGTGATTTTAAATAAGGAAGGACAATGAATCCAAGTGCCCAACTTTCAGAATCCTCCTCCAAACCGGCCAGATCGCCGCTGGATTTGGGGATATTCAGATCCAACCCTTGTGATTCCAATGCTATCCATCAGATTTGTGAGAACATACCGACCTACAACTTTGGACAATTTGAAGTTTTCACTCGTTCGAGATCGGTAAGTGCAATAATATGACAATATAAAAATCGGTATGTCGGCAAAGTAATGTGGACTCGTCGCAAAAAGAGTATCGCCTCGTCGCAGTCGCTCATCAAATCCCCAACCGCCGCAGGGCAATGATGGGCGGTTCCAATATATAGAATTAATAACAAATCATTCATTTTAGAGTGACAGACTGAGAGATCGATTGAAGACGGTGGTAAAAGAATGTAATCAGCCGAATACTTTCAAATTAAAGTCATCAGAGTACATCCGGAAGATCCTTGATCGCTATGAAGTCATCAAAGATAGGGCTGAGAAAGAGCATAGCACAAAAGCGCATGCCTTGCATCTTTATATGAGAACGGCCGCGTTCCTAAAGATCAATCTGGGCATTGATTATTTGTATCGGATATCGGTAGGTAACTGTTAATGATCAATGATGACTATAATATTGAAATTAATGTTCTAGATCGAAGAGATTGAAGATTTGGTCTCAAAAAGGCAGAGAGTAGTGCTTCGAGCCGTGGCTGAGCCCGGTTGCACTCGCCCAGACATCTTACAAAAGATGGGGTTGAATCAATTTGAGATTGCGAGTGTTCTAAAACATGATCAATACATGACCGAGGCCTTGAAAAAAGTGACTGGACTCGAATCTGTAGTGTAAGTGGACAAAAATTCATTCTACTTTGCCTGAAGGCATTTCATTGTAATCCATTTACCTATTGATTTCAGTATTTTATCTTTCAGCTACCGGCAATTTGCCCCTTTTTTTGAAGAGTTTGGCCAACATCTCAGCTTTGCTCATGGCCATAAATTTGATGACAAATTCACTCAAATCCTCGCCGAACACACTCCCGCCGATCAGATGATGATGGATTTGCGTGAGAACTACGCTCATTGGCATGTGGAATGCACAGTGCGCGAGAAAGCGGAGGAGGTTTTCCAGGAATTGAAGAATGGAACGGTCGGATTATCCAGTTGCAATGATGTTTTGCCCGATGTTTTGGACAGACTGAATGCTCTGGAAATGTTTGACACTTCTAATAAGAGACAAAAAGTCATCAAAAGATTGGAGGAGACATTTAATTTTGTCAAAAAGGCCATTCGAGTAAGGACCATAAAAAGTAATACTGATGTTGATTTAGGAAAAGTTCTTCAGAATCCCGTTGGTCAAGCAAATGGAATTGAAATTACTCTCTCTTCTCCATTCCTTTCACATTCAACTTCTACATGTCTCGGACTTTGACAATCACAAGACTTTTGTTCAACAAATCAGCGAGATTGACAAGGATTTGGATGATCATATCTCGTACAAGATGAGTACTCTAAACCTCTCGCTTACTGTTTATGATCTTCTGAATTCGATTCATGCAGTAAGTCTAAAAACTTTTTCATTTTTTATGATTTGTGTCAAGTATAATATTAAGTAGTGTTGTTAACCCGTCAATTTGACGCGTTGGCCACATTGTCAAATTGGTGTCATTTTTGTTATGTCGAATTGCGTTTTTCATTTCGATTGTCAAATTAGAATTTTGCGGAAAATTTTTGGCCAACATAAAGGATCCAAAAAAGATTAAAGCTATAATAGCGGCTTCTTAATTCAACCCATTTTTACTTTGACCAAAGGTATGATACCTTTGGTTTACAAAAAAATCCTTCATTTTGTCACGTGACCGGTCCAACTTTGTCAAGACTGAATTTTTTTTTCTTGTCAAAACGGCCAATAACATGAGAAGTAAAACCAATTGCGACTAATACATATTGACGGTAATATTACGTAATGTTTAGGGTAACTCGAATACAATCCTTATTCAAATCTCCGAAATAAAACATTGGAATTGGGCTGAGAATCTGGATGATCCAACTTTCTTTGGCTCCATTGGCACTTTGATAGCGAGAAAAGTATGGAAAAAGATCAGTAAGTGATGGATGATATAATTTGACGATTTTCAGATGAGACTGTGACAATTAAATGGGGAGACATTGTTAACTTGGAGGATAATGAGGAGTTGACTGACTATCAATTTCAACAAATCGGTGAGTTAATTGTAAAGCATTACTTTCCCACTATTTTCTTTAATCTCTTGCTTTTTGATGACTTAAATTAATGTCTAATTCCAGCTTTGACAACTGCCCTCCGAGCCTTGCAACTCAAATCTTACCAAACTCCGATCCACGTTGATTCTAAAGGCCAGAAGTTTACTTCAGATCAAGCCTTCAACATAGCCTATTTCATCGAGAATGAGTGCGATTCCAACAGCTCCCATCCCTTGTCGGACGTCTATTCCAACTCCTTCAATTGCATCACCGATGACTACTTCTCATTTGCCAATGGCAAAACCAACCTCAGACTCGAGTCTCCCTTTACCCTACTCCATCTTCGACAGCCTCAAGTGGACAAAAGTAAAGAAAATCATCTGGGTTTATTCAGCGAGAGAAATCTGAACAACTCGATTAATCCCTGCGATGATTTCTATCAATTTTCATGTGGAAAGTCGACGGAAAGCATTTATCAGGAGACTTATAATCGAAATATCAAGCTGATTGAAAAGGAACTACAGAGGAAAGTCAGCGAAAATGAAGTGAGTGGGAGAAAAATCAAAAATTACTGTAATTTTAGCCCAAAGCGATCCAGTTTTTGAAACGGATCTACCAGAAATGTGTTCGAGGAGAACTTAAAGACCTCCCTTATACCAAAGAAGAGCTGTTGCCAGTAATTGAGAAGATCAAAGGACTCCTGGGAGTCAAAAATATACCGGTAAAAGCCGGGGAAATCAGCGGCAGCCAGTTCTTGGATAAATTCGGAGCTCTTTCTGGTTATGTTCACAGCGAATTTAATGTAGGACCATACAAATACTATACAGCGAAGCGAACTGGAGTCCACAAACATGTCGAGGTAACTTTGGTTGACATCTAAAATACTGTAGCATATTTGTTCTGATTTCTGTATTTTCAGGCCAGAATTTTGACTCTCCCTCCCTCAGATTCCTCTCCAAATGATCGTGGAAATGCTTGGGCCAGATTCTTTGATTTAACAGGCCATGGGATCAATGCCACCGAGATCGACCAGCTTGTTTATGATGGAATTAATCTGAGAAATGCCAGTTTTCTGGCCGATATTAACGGAAACGGGAGTAAGAACCTTCGGGAAAAGTCAGTCTCCTCAACTGCAGGGGAATTGGATTGTGCTGAAGGTAAGAAGAATTAGTCAAATCTTTGCAGTAATGCCTGAAAGTGCTCACAATTACCTTTCAGTCGGTTTCAATCTGACTTCATTCTTCTCCACCAGCATCGGATTTCTTCTCCCATCTGAAGACAAAGTCTCTGTTAGCCTGACAGTAAATTACAGTAAGCTTGAGGACCCTTCCCTCCAAGCAGCTGCCATAAATGGGGTCATCGAAGAGACCTTGCTCCATCTGTTTAGCAACGACATCCCGGATAATGTTGTCTGTTATGGGGTGATGGAAACGGCCGGAGAATTCTTATTGGGTCGTATTTTATTGGACTCGAGATTTGTGTTCGGGAAGATCACTCAAGAGGACAGAAAAAGCGGAAAGATTTTGTTCTCTGAGTTTCAGGTAAAGGTCACACAAATTATTTTATAAAATATAATTTTTAGGAAAAGTTGACAAAGCAATCGGAACATGTTTTCAATTCCATGAAATTCATGCTAAAAGAAGCCCCCTGGCTGAGTGAAGAGACTCTTCAAAGGGCGCTGCAACGGGTTGACAATTTAACCATGATCCTTGGGAACGATCCCTTATTGCTGGATGAGGCTTTGACAAAGATTTATGACAAAACTTTGTTCGATGAGAGCCATGTCATCAAGAAGCAATATGCGCATAATGTAATGCCCATCAGACGAGCTGAATTTGGATGCTGTACTTTGAGTTTGCTGCCGTATTCTCCGGTGATGAGTGTAAGTGAATGATTAGTTGAGAGAAGAAGTTTCAACATTCTCTTTTCAGTTCTTAATCCACCTTCTCGAGACCACCAAGACGATTATTTTCCCGGCGAACGCCCTCTTCTGGCCAATGTATGACCACAATCATCCGTCTGAGTACGTCTTCGGATTCTTCGGGGCGTCTGTTGCTCATGAGGTGGGGCATATGTTCGATGGACGGTCGCTGCTGCCCAGTGAATTCCCCGATGATCCGGCATGGATGTCGGACAGTGAGGCCCGTTCTTATGCTGCGATGGCTGCTTGTGTGGCCGAGCAATACGATCATTTGTGTGATGGGGAGGGAGAGTGTGCGGATGGAGTGCAGAGTAACATCGAGATCATGGCTGATAATATCGGTAGGTCAGATCCTTTTATTGGCTTTTTTCTGAAAACTTTTTTCAAAAAAATAATTTATATTACAGTAGAATCATCAATTGAAATGATCGCTAAATTTCCTTTTTCAGGCCTTCAACTAGCCTATCGAGCTCTCCAATCCTGGCTAGAGATTTATGGACCTGACCCTCGACCTCCCGGCCGCTTGATCGCCCGCCTAACCACCCCTCAACTCTTCTTCCTAAATTATGTTCAGTATATGTGTGAGCCTAAAGGGCGTGCACGACAGACCGAAAAGGCCTTCAGGGCACATCCTCGAGTCGACTTCAGAATCCAAGGAGCGCTGATGAATATGCCCGCCTTCTCGGACGCCTTCAATTGTCCGGTTGGAAGCAGATATTGGAGGAATGAAGAGAGCGGAGGGACCTGTCCGATCTTTAATGGAGCCCTCAAAAAGATTCAAAACTCCAGATTAGAGGAGATCTGGGCGAAAGAAGGAGTGCTCAAGGAAAGGCTCTGACAATAATATAGATCAATGTACAAAGTTTTAAATAGTTAAAAAATGATAAACATAAATTTATTATATTATAGATAATTACAATTACTAATCAAAATAGCTTATTTAAGACTAAAAGAAGTGTCGTAGTTGTCAGAATTAAAAGTAAGGATGACTTTAGAGCTGTTGAGAGGCTGGAGCAATAAGGGAGACCTTCCATTTCCCTCAGGCAATATTCAAGACCACATTCCTAAAGAAGTTACAGTAACGCTAAAGAGATATCTGCTCACCTGATACATGTCGACCTTGTTCAAAATGGCCTTAGGTCTCATTTCGTCGATAAAATCATTGAGTAGACATTTATCGCCGCAGGAAAATTTTAATTTTATTAAATTTGGTTCGTTTTTCTGCGTTTTTATGCTACCGTAGCCGGTCTTACGGTAGTACATCTAAAGAGGTCCTATAAAGATTACATATTGCGCCTACCTGCACATAGTACTTTCCTCTATCGTCTTCTGTAACCTCCAAAATCAGAGCACTTGCATAAGGGATCATGTCCCCATCCAAAACTCCCATTGTCCCCATTAAAGCCAGTAATGTTCCGTCATGCTAAAAGCAATGTCAATCGAATACTTATGACCTTACAGCTGAATACATCACCAGTTTCCTGGATTCTGTGCCATTCTGTATGTTCTCCAATCGCTTTATCCAATCCCCCAATAAATATCCACCTCTTAGTTTAGCTAACTTAGGTTCAGTAAATTGAGAAAGCCTTTGAATTCTCTTAATCTCGAGGATAACATCCAAGGTGCTGTTATTCGAATACTGAGGCCACTTCTTGGCTATCCATAAGGGCTGATCATTTAGTTTGTGGAGAAGTTCTAATTGAATGTCAGCTGTAGATATGACCTGAAAGATAAAGTAATATAATTTGTACTTGGAAGTGGTGCTTTACGTCTCTCAGTGTGATATTCTCGCCATATCCGGTTGATTCTTGCAGAAACTCAACCACGTCTTGATACTTTTGCATCAACATCGTATCGATTTTCTCCTTGACCAGATCATATTCGTCATCATAAGCGGGACAGTCGAATGAGGTGGGTTTTAACATCTGAAAATAATAATAAGATGCTTTAAACTTTTTTTATTATTGCGGGAGATCAGTACAAGTATCAAGTAGACACGCACCATGTCTTTTCCCACTTTTGGACTTCCATGGATAGGTATTGGTTGCCAAAAAATGGATCGAAGAAAGAGATCTGACTCCGCCGGAGGGTAAAATCCACTCAACATGGCCTGTGCACTCTGGAGAGCTCTGTCCGATTCACTGGACTGAATATAAACCTCTTTGGCATTATACTCCCGACCAACAAATCCGGAGTTCTTATATCTTATCTTGTAGAAGGTGCCGAGCTCGTACATTTGACGCATTCCCATCTATATGAAAGATCATTACCACAGTTTTGAAAGGAAATTGGAGATTAATTTAGTTCTCTTACATTGGTCAGCATACTCCATCCTCTGGGCCAAGATTTCTCATCATATTTGTCCCGAGGATACGGTAATTTACTGGGCGCTCGATCTCCATGTCTCCAGATTGTCTGCACAAACCGGAGCTTTTGTGAATTTATAATGCAGACTGTAAAAAGAAATACAAAAATAACCTTCATCTCCTGAGAAAGGCCAATTGGATTGAATAAAATAGAAAGAAAGGGATAAGATCGCTATTTACAGATACGATTTGAGCCAAGAATGCTTGAAAGAGTAAACATTTTAAAAGTTTTTTTTGATCTCTTTCACCTCTCGCTCGATCGAACTTCCCCTTGACAGATCATTTTTGTTCCCGAAAGCATGATTCAGACTTCATGGAAATACAAAAAAACGTCGGTTTGGAGCTCCAAGTATACTAGTAAGGTTAATCCATCGTGACTTTTTATAAAAAAGTTTTTGGAAACACATGAAAGGCCTATTGGAACATATAAAAAGTGTATGGAGCACAAAAATTAAATTATAATTGACAAATCAAGCTGACTAAACCTTGATTTAGAGTCTCTTTTGATTTCGGAGACGTGTGTTTAATTATGAATTTATTATAATAGTTATTGAAAATGAAAATTGTTTCAATGGCTAAAAATTGTGACATAAATACAGTATTTACGAGTTAATTCGTCAAAACAATTCAAATCCCGATGAAATTCCTCTCAGAACAGAACAAGTACAAGAACAAAGCCCTTGGATGCCCATAAATCTCCAATTCCACGTCCAATCCGGCCATAATTCAGAAGAACCTTTGGCCTAATAGACGCTTTAATGAGCGCCAGTAATTAATGGGAAATCATGCGGAAGCCCAAATCTTGGCAATATCACCTGTTCGGCTATCGATTCGCTTTGCTCTCGGCTTTAATCAGGCCTTATCACCAATCTATTGATAATTTCTGGCGGGTTTATTACAGTAAAGGCCGCGTTCCGATATTTCTGGCCGTTCTAATTCTGTTTTCATATTATTAGATCTGTTCAGCTGACTGGTCATTTCGGATTCTCGACGTCTGGCGTGACCCGACGTCTGGAGACCATCCAAAACATTATCTTAGGTATTTTTATTCGCTTCGACTCCATTTTTTATGTACTCATCAGGCCGAGTGCACCCCCCGGAGGGCATAAAACAGTAGGGTCCTACAAATTTTTGATGAATTAGCCCTATTCAGAAGATGACCCTTGCATATGAGAGAGAGTAATCTTACATTGACCGCATTACTTTTATGCATCCATTAAAGACATCACCCAATTGTAAAAACGCCAACGTTCCGTTCGACTTTACGGCATAGCGTGGTTATCTTCACTCAAGTTCACTCTGATTTCGCTAATACCAAAAAACGAATCCGAGTTCGGAGAGAGGAGGGTTCAGGTTTTTTGGAGATTTTGTAAGTAATCATAGTCTAAAGTAATATAAAATAGACCATACTAGAACAGCAGAACAACCATTTTGGGTTACTGTAGGCCTCATAAATTTATCAGTTTTGATAAAAAAAATTTATTTTATCCTTGACAACTCGAGAACAGAAGAGCCCCCAGTAATCGAATTAGATGAAGATAACCTTGTCGAATTTCGAGGTTGTTATCAAGCAAGGAACTAGTAGGAATGATCTTAGAACGATATATTTTTCCAGGGCAAGTCAGAAATTATTTATATTACAGTAACAGGTTTTGCGCGCATTTGCCGATAAAGTATTTTATTATTTTCTCTGCCTTTACATTTTCTGTTACCCAATTTAATTTTAGAAAATGTACAGTACCACTCTTGTTTTCGCAGTCTTATTTTCTTGCCAACCTGTTATTTTTTCCTACCCAGTATCAGTTGATGACCCTCATGCTCCACCACCCATCCCATTTGATAGAAATCGAATGGAATTGATGGATATGAAAGGATGGGACAATGCGTATGGCCAGAAAAGGGATATTGAACCAAAAGATGGCCATCAGAAGGCGCATGATCGAATAGAAAAGGTCAAGGGTGACAACGTTGACCAACATGTTGAAGAAAAAGTGAACCAGGATAAAGTCGATGAGCCAAAGGATAAAACCGTCGACGATTCCAATGTCGGAAAAGATGTCCATGAGGAAATGAAGCTCTCCAGAGCAATTGAGGCCCCGGTGAATATAGAAAAGGTGTCCAAGTTCACGGGTGAATTCCCAGAAGATGCAAAATCCAAAGAAGAAGAGATCGTCAAGTGGAATATAAACATAAAAAAGATGATTGATAACCCATTTGTGGCTGTGAAGAACGAGAAAATCATTATTCAGGATAAGAAGCCACCTCAAGACATCACCGGTGACAAACAGAAGATTCCTGAAACCAGAGAAGAAAATGAAAATAAAGAGAAGAATGAAGAAAAACACAAGGAAAGCGATGAGAAAAGTTTTGAAGAAGAGAAAACTGAGGAAGATTCTGAAGAAAGCAACCTTCAGAAAATCAATGATGACAAAAACAAAACTGCGGTCGATAAAAACCCCGATGATAATAACATAAAACCGTAAGTCGGCGAAGAAGATACTGTAATACAACTTTTTCAGAGTAAAGCCAACAGATGGAGAACAAAAAAAGAGAGAACCCGAAGAAATTAAGGGTAAGTATGAGGAATATTTGTTTAATCCGTTAGTTTCAGATCCACTTACACCGATTCCATACAACAGTAATGCTCCAAAACCGACGCCATCTTCACCAGTAAAAACAACGCCAATGACACCCTCAGTAACCACAAAACATACGGATACAGTATTACAAATGGATGAGGAGCATCGACCAGTCGAGGGCAAACATATGATGCCCGTATACTTACCGAAGGAACACTTCGAACGTCTAGCCGAATTGACCAAGGAAGATCAAACAATAGAAGTCAAGTTCATCGATGATCCAACTTATATCGATGAGAAGTTGCAGTTAGACCCCGTCAAGGATAATGCAATTCCAAAGACTACGGTATCGAAGATAGACCCCATAAAGACTGATCAGATCATACCAACTGAGTCACCTTCTGTCATAACAACAACAACTGCAGTGACAATAAAGGACACTGTCATGAGTTTCTTATCAAAAGTAGCCGCGGCCCTCAAATGTACAAAGAGGGATTGTTCGGAAGCCATCAAGAATATAAATGTAACTAAACGGAAGGAACTGAAGGAGCACTCAACACCACCGAGGAGAGTTCGACAAGTTATGAAGGAAAGTGGGAAGATCTGCACATGTCAGTTCTAACCCAATGTAAACTATGAGCAGATACCGGTAAAAACCCAGATATTTTTGTATTATATTCACTTTGTATGCATAATAAATGTAACCATTTATGTAAATATCAACTTTATCAACAAAACGAATAACGAAAAATGGGGAAGGAAAGTCGATTCGCGTTCCGCACCGTGACCGAATGGAGCAGGCTACAAAGGCATTAATAAAGAAAAGTAATATTAAAACGGTAAAACTTCCGTGTTCTAGCCCATTCCAAAAAAAAAAGGATTTTTTCCGAGCTGCGCCGAACTTCGAATTGAGTTTTTTAATTAACGTTCACGACGATTTTACGTGAAGTCTTTTTGTGACATTAAATAAATTAGAAATAAATAAAACACAAAAGGTACCATTAAATCTGTTTTTTGCCAATTTAGACATCCCCCTACTTGTCCGTTCCCTTATTACAGCCCGCAAAAAATAGAGTGGGCCCGAACACGAAGTTTTTCCATTAAAACAGCAGACTATAACCCAAATACTAAAAAAAAATTGTTTCAAAAGGAGTGTCGTGCAGTTTATGGATGCAACCGGGTCATTTAAGATCCGAAGCGACCGTCCAACAGCTATAATTTTGGCGGGGTATCGGCCCATAACAATCATTTATCGAAAATCATGGTTCCTATCCGCCTAAGATCCCAAAACTCCTCAATTCTAATCCTAGGAATCCAACCCTCTAGATACCTAAAATCAGCAAAAGCAAATCAAAGGCCTCACCTTAGAACTGAATGACTTGTCCACGGGATTTCTTTTGACCTCCAAGTTCGAAATGTTTGCAACGCTTGATGGGAAGCTGGATTCTGTGTTTGCAGTCGGTGCATTCCATTCTGAGGACGATCTTCTTGGTGGTCTTGGCCTTTTTGCGGAAGATAGGCTTGGTCTGACCTCCAAAACCGCTCTGTTTACGGTCGTAACGTCTACGTCCCTGGGCGAAACGGCTCTCCTTACCCTTCTTGTATTGGGTGACTTTGTGGTTGGTGTGACGACGGCATTTGCCTGGGCAGAAAGTCTTACGCGTCTTGGGGACGTTAACCATGGCGGTGGTTTAACTGAAAGAACAAAATAGTTGATATAACCGACAAAACAAACCCGTTAAAAATCAAAAAATTATTATTTGAAACGCAGTTGAATGATTTTTTAAGGTCACATAAATCGCATATCGAAAATGGCATAAATTTTGTGATTTTACAATATGCGGATGAAAAGTAAAACGTTGTAAACCTAGAGAAATCGCGCAACAAAAAGAGTTGAGGAGAGAGAAAAATATTTTTAGAAAAAATAGGAATACGGTTGAGGCGTTCGTTTGTTTTCGTGGTGGGAAGCAGAAAATAAAAATATTTTTTTGGGGTTCGGGAAAACTGGAAATTACAGTACACAGGGGATTCGGATTTACTTATAAAAACTTTTATCTACTTATAAAAACTTTTATTTACTTATAGGTGCCAAAAAATTCACTTATAAGTAAAAAAAGGCGGAGCCTATTTTGCTTTACTTATAAGAAAACCGTATTTACTTATAAGAACTTTTATTTACTTATAAAAACTTTTATTTACTTATAATTACCAATAACGAATCCGAAAAGAAAACATTTGAGCGGGAAAGACGCTTTTGGCTTTTTGCACGTATGTCCCGGACTTGGAAAAATTCTAAGTTTTTCGGAGCAGTGCTGGTCAAAGAAGGTGCATAAGGGTATTTATACCTTGGATGGAACCAGGTAAGGTGCTTACAGTCAGTTGTTGATGATAATAATTGTTTATTTTTTGTGAGTTTTTTTTCAGAACTGTAAAAAGTGGACAGATGAAAAATCCGGAACATAAGAAACTTCCTGAATAGAAAGCATGTCAACATGGAAGATCTAGGAACAAGCATGATCAACCAAGAATTCAGATGAAGAACCCCTTCATCAATTTTGGTAGGTTTTTTAAACTGATTCCATATTTCAGAAGGCCAGAAACTTTTTAAGACAAAGTTTTGTTATGTTGTACTAGGTCCAGGTGAACCGCTAGTTTTCAGATAATCGCAAAATTGGTCATGGAGGAAGTAAATGGACAACGTGAACACGATGCCTGGAAAAATGGCTCCCATATGCTTCAGGTATGTTGATAATATTCGCCTGGACCTAGTACAACATGACAAACTTCATGTCTCAAAATCTTTCATTGTCAAATTCCTGATCCTCAAACTAATTTTTGGGATGGAAAAGGAGAAAAAAATCGGTTCAAGGACAGCTCATAGTAAACTATCTCCGAAAATTTTATTCAATTTTTCTTTATCTTTGAATATTTTCAGTGAATTTAGCCGCTGGAGTACCCATAGAAAACCCGCGCAGAAGCAATCCTTGCCCCGCCAGGACAAATGACACAGATGCTTACCCGGAGCACGGAAGATGCGCTAACCACATATCTTACTGGTAATATATCAGTCAGGTTGTTTTTTCTTTGTTTGAATAAATTTATATCTATCCTGCACTGTGCATAATTTTCTATTACCTATAAGTATTTATAATTACCTATAAGTGAATTTCCCGGGCGCCGAAAATAAAAATTACCTATAAGTGATTTCAAAATCACTTATAAGAACTTTTATTTACTTATAAGAACTTTTATTTACTTATAAAAACATCGAGTATTTATAAGTAAATAAAGGTACTTATAAGTAAATCCGAGTCCCCTGTGTAATGCAATTGTACAAGTTTTCTAATTCGTAAAGGTTGATAATGAAGTTCTCATTAAAAGTATGAAATTTCTGAGGTATAGTCCTCGAGTTTATACTGTAATTTGGAGGTTTATTACGCTATGAACAGTTGAGATTATTCGTAATCGTATAGATCTTGATTATATTTGTCTTAATTCCCGTTTTTCAACTTCTCCATGACATCTCCAAGCATCTGATTACACATTGCAGCGTAGGGATTCAAGGCGACCAACTCCAGTTTCGCGAATTTGTTTCCCAGTTCGGCCGCTTTCTCAAGGTCGGCTTTGGCCTCATCTGGTCTTCCTTGGCAACGATGTATAAGTGCCCGCTGGGCAAAACTTTGTGCAGCTGTCTTTCCTTTCCCTTGGCTCAGTTCTATTGCCTTATTTAGATATGATAAGGAGTCTGAATTCGATGATTTCACATAAAAGTATAAAGAAAAAATGTTTATTTGTTTGCTTTGGCCATGAAACTGCCCAAACATAAACAATGACTCACCGTCTAGTTTCCGCAAAAACTGGAGAGTTTGGGCCTTGTTGTTGTACGCGGAGGGATTATTCGGGCAGATTTTGATGGCCTCGTCGAATTTTTGAAGAGCTTCCTCATGTTTCTTCTCTTCGGACAGTCGAATTCCTTCGATCTCTCGTGATTGGGAGTCTTTGAAACCTTCCAACTGGGAGTAATCTATAACGTTATTGAGTGCAAACGCCAAAAATGTCCAGCGACTTTCCGGGCGGACTAGTAAATTTCAATGATGACTATGAGGTCATCATTTAAATTATCTCCTTTTTTTACTTTAAATTATCTTCTATTCATTTTTCTACTTATAGGGTACATTTAGTGTTAGCTTACCTTCATCTTGAGGTTCAACTTCTTCCGCAACATTCCCTGTGGGCATTAAAGGATTCATAATCATATTCAATATTGCCTTATCTCTCTCAGAAGCCATGGTTCTTCTATTATTTACTGAAATCTTTAGCCATTTCGACACTAGTTTGCAATTACAAATCGTATTACGCAATACCACGTAAAAGTAAACTTTTTTTAAAAAAATAAAATACAAATAAACTAAATTAATTTAAAAGAATAAGAGCGAAATAATATCTGAACAAGGAGCCAGATGAAGTTTTAATAATACAAATGACGCTCAAACGGCCTTTTGATTGTGATCGCAATTCTTTACAAACGAAAAAAAGTCTGATGTAATAAGAGATGCGATTTCCCCTCGACATTTTCGGTTCTTTTTTGATAAAAGTTTTGCCTGGCAGAAGAAGGTAATAGACTAATTTGGGAATGGATGCAATACCGAAGAAAATTGTAATTTTAATTATTAAAATTATTTTTGTGATAGGTTGGACAATGTTGTCATTTTACAAGATCCTTGCTCGGCATAAGCATTTATCACCAGTGTCTTTACTGCGGAATGTAATAAATATTTTTATAACCCCTTTATGTGCAATTTATAGAGTTCTCTTTCAGATCAGAGATCGATGTCATTCGATAAAGCAGTTAAATTTGTGCCTGATCTTTTAGAACCGGCCAAGTTGGACTGGCTGGTGGAAGAAGCCTCCGATTTTGCTCATGTAGGTTTTTAATATTATCTCTATATTCAGAAATATTTAGATATTACCGTATTCGTTCTAGAAGAAAAAGTTGACCCATTTGGGTCAACTGTTTCCCTCATTGAAAGTCTCAGAACTAGTAAAGAAAGTGCTTTTAGTGTGTCGGACTGGTATTGCGCACCCGTGAACACAAACATCGTTCAGATGTCTGTCAAGCTGCTCCTCTTGCCCTCTTGCCTTCTCCTTTCCCTCGACATCTCTTCGAAAAAGCTGTTGAAGTACAGAAATGGATGAATTTACTGTATTTCCGTATATCATTCGATGAGAAGTTCTTGTTAAAAGCTCATGAGAGGGTTATCGAGACAGATGAATTCACGTCCAACATGGTCAAGTGCTTTTTGGAGACAATAAAAGATGGTTTAGTGCAGAAGAAAGTTGTTCTTACTCAGAGGGCTGATTACATGTGTCATCACATCGATGGGCAAGAACCGGAACTGAAACAGGTACGTGGAATTGGAATTGTTCATAATAATGCGTTCCTTTATTTTAGATCGAGGTCAACAATATTGCAGTTAGCATGGGCGGTCTTTCACAACGAGCTTCTCTATGGCATCGTCGCGCTCTAGTCAAACTTGGTGTCCCCGAAGATGAAGCAAAGCGGAGGGTGCCAGACAATCAGCCGATTAAAACTTTGGCCGCTGGATTGGCCACGGGATGGTAAGTTGAATTATTATTAATTACTTTTGTAAGCTTATTGTTTTGCGCATGACGTCATCGTTAATTTAAGGAAATCCTATGGAAATCCGGCCGCGTCAGTTCTTGTGGTCATCGAAGAAGTGAATCAGAATCAATTGGACATGAGATTCGTAGAGTATGAAATCGAGGAAAGCATTGGAGTACATGTGAATTTCATCAGAGCAACCCTAACTCAGTGTTATGAAAAGTAAGAGTAATATTGTAGAGTAATTTTCTTTTAGACTAACAACCAAAAATCGCATACTGTACTACGAAGGTCAAGAGATCGGTCTAGTATACTTCCGAGCCGGGTATTCACCCTCAAGTTATCCCACAAACAATGAATGGGAGGCCAGAACACGAATCGAAAAGTCTTTGGCCATAAAATGTCCATGGATTGGACTTCAACTGGCCAATACGAAAAAGGTGCAACAGGTACTCGACAAGGCTGGAGTTGTAGAAAACTACCTCTCGGATCAACCTCAGGAAGTGATAGATTTGGTCAGAAGTACATTTGCTGGACTTTGGGGATTGGAAACGAACGATCAGGTGACGTTGGATGTGATTAAGGTAATACTACAGTCGTTACTGAGTTTGTCATGTACATGGGCGTAACTAGTGAGTCCCTCCAGACAGAAGTCGACAAAAAATGAAAGGACCAATGGTCATGTCTAATGTTTCGAAAAAAAGTTATGATGATTGAATTTAGGACGCAAAAGAACATCCTGAAAGGTACGTGCTCAAGCCACAACTGGAAGGAGGCGGTGGGAATTATTATGGGGATGAGATCAGAGAAAAATTAAATCAGTATAGTGATGACGAGAGGTCCGCACACATCCTCATGCAGAGAATACAACCTCTTATTGTGAAAGTAAGACGAGACGGTTATTTGCATTTCTCTTTCTTAGAATTACCATCTCCGGGCCTTTGAAGATGTTCAGTTAGCAGATACAGTAAGTGAATTGGGAATCTATGGATGTCTGGTGGGAGAGACAAAGACAAACCCGCTAGAAGGGTATAGTCTAGACAACTTTATTGTCAAGTCAAACACAACTGGAGGACAGATTCTTAGATCGAAGGCAGAAGACATAAACGAAGGTGGAGTCGCCGTGGGGGCAGCTGTCATCGACACCCCTTACCTCTTCTAAAGTTTTGTTGGATTACTTGTTGAAAATCTGTGATAGATAGTAATAAATAGACCTCAAAGAACTTGCTATCTCATAATAGTGCAGTGATTCCAGAGTTTATGGCAGAACAAACAAAAACAACAACTCCTAATATTATATCAGCTTAAGCAAAAGAATGAGGACGAATTGGTCTCATTGGGTCGAACAGTTTGGGATCTCGAAGGTATTTTGGATCCTTGGTAAAGACCGGCATGTAACCCGCTTTCCTACTAATTTCTATGGTCCGCAGTAACGTTTTGTATTGCTTATCGCACAATCCAGTAACATGTTGTTCATAAACACGACCACTGAACGATGATATGAATTGCTGAAACCATTGAATTAATTTGGGAAGTTCGAGATTTTGTTTGTTCTAAAATCAAAAAAAAAACAAAACTCTTACCTGCAAAAGTCGGGCATTCTTGTAATCCAATTTTACCTTCTCTCTGCATAAAATGCATTGCTCTTTATCTTTCTCATATGGGTTGGACGACAGGGTAACTGGCTCAAACTCATCCACCGAATCACTTTTGGAGGTCTCGTTCAACTGATTAAACTTTCCTGGTTCGTCAGTTGTGGATGAAAATGGTCGAAACGAGCGGATTAATCGACTGGATGATGTTCGAAAAAAAGATTGCAGCATTCTGAAGATGGCGGAAATAAATACTGGTCAGTTGCACAACTGTAATGTGCAATCAGTAAATTTACTAAAAGTACTCCAGAAAAAAAATATTCTTCGCACAGGGGATTCGGATTTACTTATAAAAACTTTTATTTACTTATAGGTAAAAATATTTCCCAAAAATTGACTTATAAGTTAAAAAAAGGCGGAGCCTATTTTGATTTACTTATAAGAAATTTTATTTACTTATAAGAACTTTTATTTACCTATAATTACCAATAAGGACTCCGAAAAGAAAACAGTTGAGCGCCAAAGACGCTTTGGCTTTTTGAACGCATGGGCGAGACTTAGAAATTCTAAGTTTTTCGGAGCAGTACTGGTCAATGAAGGTGCATAAGGGTATTTATACCTTGGATGGAACAAGGTAAGGTACTTTTAGTGCATTTTGTCTTTCAGAACTATAAAAAGTGGATAGATAATAAATCCGGAACATAAGAAACTTCTCGAATAGAACGCATGTCAGCATCAGGCAGCTTCGGAAGATCTAAGAACAAGCATAATCAACCAAGAATTCAGATGAAGAACCCTTTCCTCAATTTTGGTAGGTTTTTTAAACTGCTTCCACATTTCAGAAGGCCAGAAACTTTTCAAGACATGGTTTTCTTATGTTGTACTAGGTCCAGGTGAACCCTCTAGTTTTCAGATACTCACAAAATGTTCATGGAGGAAGTAAATGGACAACGTGCGCACAATGTCTGGAAAAAATGGCTATCGGATGCCCCAGGTATGTTGATAGTATTCACCTGGACCTAGTACAACATAAAAAACTTGATGTCTCGAAATCTCATTGCCAAATGCTGAACCTCAAATTAATTTTTTGGGATGGAAAAGCGTAGAAAAAACAGTTAAAAAAGGGCTTATAGTTCAGTTATCTTTCTTTATCTTGACTATTTTCAGTGAGTCCAACCCATCGCAGATTCCTCACAAAAACAATCATGCCCCGTCAGGACAAATGACAGATGGAGCATAGAAGATGCGCTAACCAAATATCTAACCGGTAATACATCAGATTCAAGTTGTTTTTTCTTTGTTTGAATAAATTTATATCTATCCTGCACTGTGGATAATTTTCTGTTACCTATAAGTATTTATAATTACCTATAAGTGAATTTCCCAAACGGCGAAAATAAAAATTACCTATAAGTGATTTTATAAGTAAATAAAAGTTTTTATAAGTGATTTTGAGTTCCCTGTGCGCAAAATCTTTTCTTGCGACATTTTATACGACGAAACCTTTTTAAGCGGCACAAAGAAGACAAGATCTTGTCAGGTTTCCTGTAGACGAAAATTGGTTCCTTGACCAACCCCGGCTGTTCACTTTTCTTTTCAAGCAAATCGTCAATCTCCACTCATTTTCACGTACTAAACGGAGGTCGTTCAATGGTTCTAATTATACCCAAGACTGCCTTCACCGTGAGTTATTATTGAGCGCGGTTTATTAACAAAAATTAGACCTGGATACATCTTTTCACGGGGATTAAAACAGCGAATACAAGATGAGGGCCTTTAATTGAGGGTACCCCCTATAAAAAAGTATTTGATTTTAAAAAAACAATATAAAAACCCTCCAAAGGTAGGAGACCTTGGTAATCACCAAGACCTTTCCTAGGCGATCCTATGGAAAGCTGATGAAGAATACGACATCAAAAATTCGTTAAAAACAATATGATATGCGATTTCCTGATTTCAGAGGACTCTGGCGACTTTTTGGCAGTTTTCGTTGTTATCCCAGTGAAGCGAATGTTTGGATGCCTTTTGAGATTCATCGAACTGAAATAAGATGTGTGATTAGTAAAGCGAGGAAGCAATGGGAGGTTAGTTGTCTTATTTTACACGCAATTGTTAGTAATGTAAGATTAGCGTCTGTGCTTAGTAATTAGCAAGCGGGGAGAAGGATAACATCCACGCTGAGATTCGAACATTTTATTTCATAACTACCCTTACGGCAGAGTGTAAAGTCAGGAGAACTAAATAACTTAGGATGACATGCACAACATAACTAACTTAACATCAACCGCTTACTCTGGATTGAAAGTTGTTCTTGTACTTTCTGAAGATCTCTCTGAGGGTTTCATTCAATTCGGGCTTCTTGGAGAAGGAGTAGAGAATCACATGACCGGCTGGGGGGTTTGTGACTTGCTAAAGTGTGGTAAATATGACATGATCAGCTATATTTACCTCAGATTGGTGTGGTCTCGTTGGTTCGACGGGACTTTTGGCGTCGTAAAACCAGATTTCGTCGATGGGATGACGCTTCACACCGAGTCCACGATGCATTGTGGCTGGTTTTACAATCACATCACTTTCTTTGATCCCATTGGTTGCGTAAAATTGGAGTAAGGTCCTTTTCTCCTGCTCATACTGTTCCACATCCGAGAGTTTGAGTTGGCCGACCTTCCTGTAATGCTTCCGCTTCAAGATCTTCTGAAGGATCTCTTGAGCTGGTTCAAGATTTGGATCGTCTGAGTTTTGAATCTGCAATGAAAATTACGTAAGCTATGACGTTACATACCAAGCCAAAAATGTAGTCATCACTCAATCTGGAGAATGCTTTGGGATCATTGAACGCCTCACTCAGTCTATATGCTCTTCCTTCTTCTCCTTTGAATGTAAGAAACGGGTCCGCAGCCAAAAGCATTTCCACAAACATGTACTCCAAGGAGATGACCGTCTTATGCTGATAGACCGACTCATGAAGAGCGACTCGCGAGTCCGAGGCCTCTGACAGGTTCTCCTTGACTTTGGTGGCATAACAAATTCTGTAAAGCCCGTTCTCCACCTTCAGAACTTTAGCTGCCTGATGAATTCGGTCAAGAGCACCCTAAATCAATATAAATATTGATATTTGGGATTACCTTGCTGAATCGAATAGTAACAGTGGTCGCTCTGGAATCTCTAAGGAAATAGTCGAACTTATCAGTGTCCAGCCCATCAAATTTGTTGCTGAGAATGTCGTAAAGGAAACCTTTGTTGCGCGGGCGTCCCTTCAAAAGCCATTCCCCGTTTCCATCGACATAATTAGCTGGAGGGTCGATCAACTCCTTGATGAAGATATAGTCTTCATCACTAAGGTACTTATCAAGGCCCTCTTTGACTTCTGGGTTTTCCTTTAGAAGATAATCGAACATCATAATTGATCCTTGTTCGTGCTGAAAGTCATCAGTCATATATACATTACTGAATAAGGCAAAGTATCACAAAAGGAAGCTGATAAAGTGTTTACCCTAAATGGAGACTCTCCATTGTACGCCTTCCCCAAGAACGAGCCGTCGTAGAGATGACTGTATGGACCATGGCCCAAATCATGGATAAGGCCTGCGATTGCGACACAGAGCTTGTCGGTGCCCGTGATGTTCAGTTCGGGTTGTTCATTGGCCAGAAAAGTGACAAACTGAAGGCTCAGATGATAAACGCTGAAAGAATATCGCAATAATAATATTCAAAAATATTAGTCTTTTAAAACATTACAATAAAAAGAACGAAGCTGCTCCACGTGAACGGCTTACCCAAGAGAATGCTCGAATCTCGTCAATCCTGCAGTAGGATATACCAAGTACACTACTCCCAGTTGTTTTAGAAGACGAAGACGTTGAAATTGAGGGGTCTCGATGATCAAATTGACTGGATATTTAACCCGAATACTTCCGTGGACTGTATCAGCGACTTTAAAGACCTTCTCCTGCAAACACGGATTTTAGACAACAACTTCAAGAAAGTTTTTTATGTTATACATGAAGAATCAGTCTAACTATTTATCAAAACGTACAGGTAATTTCTACATTAGTACTTACTCTTCGCATGTTCCAATCTGTTTTTTCCGGCTGTTCCACAACCATTTGTAAATCCAGAGAGCTGAAAAAGATTCATTGGTTATGTCCCACAATGTTAATGTTAGTTCATTAACATTGTGGAACATATTACCGTAAAATACGCGAGATAAAGGAGATAAAAAGAAGCAGAGCGTAGTTGTAAGATTATTCAACTACCGCGAATCGACGAACTTTTTTTTGGCGTGTTGGATAAAAAAAAATTCTTGGCAAAAAAAATTATTCCTAAAATTCGGAAAAACCGCCGTTTTACAGTAAATTTACAGCCGCAGCCGGGACTGATAAATATACGGGGAAACACATTAGTGAGGACAATTCCATTATTTTTTACAGATCTTACAGCAATTACAAGTAGCCCCTAAATAAAATAGCGATAAAAATAATGGGACATTTCCAAAATGGTTCGGGACCGGCAAAAATCAGGCCCGCAAAGCCCGGTAAGACCGCGAACTGGAAATTTTCCTTTGATCTTACCGCCTCTGTGGTGGTAAAAAATACTATGAACTATAATACATGTTCTAATTGTGGATCTTACATTATAACATATATGTGGAAAGATACTATAAAGTAGTAAACTGTTGTAGATACTGCAAATACAAACCCATCAAAGAAATTTCCCGGCGCGAAAACATTGAACGCTTAGCATTCAACAAAACCGGACCGTCTGGGTCTGAAAACGGCCCAGAGCCTGGTAAAAATCAGGTCAGGCCGCTTTAAATTTTGTCAGGCCCGGCCCGATGGCCATTCCTGTTCGGGACGAAATGGAAAATTAATATTTTGGACTCTTCGCTTTTCTTTCGAGCGTTTTGGCCACAGAATCGGACCTCAGACGGACTCTTTTTCGGCTTTGAGAGTTCCTTTCCTCCCGTTTCGTTTCCTCTATAATTTACCATTTCTTTTATGAGATTGATCTGTTTTTGCCCGCAAACAAATAAGAAGTCCAGACCGAAAATGTGTAACATTCCGAATGCCGGTCTGCGTACTGTTGTGGGGACAAAGAAATTCCGGATTCTCCGATTTGTGGGCCAGGAGATGACTAATGGCATTGAAAACAATCTAGCTGACTGTAGCTTGATCAGATTGCAGTCCTGTGGAAGCAAAGGTCGATCAGATAGTCACCGGGCAGAAATAAGAAAAATATATTCCACTTCCAAAGTTACCCTAGGCGAATCGGGAAAACCTTAGAAAAGTAAACTTTGTAAAATAATGTCTTGTGGATTCGCTGAGACAGGTTAAAAGCTGATGGAAGAGATCGATAAGATCATACGAGAGGAACCGAGGAGAAGCAGGGAAGAGGTTATGAGGGAATTTTGGTTAAAGTATATTATCCCTCTCAACTTTGGGGTGAACTTATGAAGGAAGGGTGACATAGCAAATCACACTCTTTTACAGTTGGAAACCCCAAGTTATGCATTGTCTTATGTATATTGCTTGATATCAGAAAAAGAAAGTATAATGACTTTCTAAATATTTTATTAAATTATTATCATTAACAACAAGGACCAGTCATCTACTTGGTTTTTTTGGTATCCTGGCCAGTTGTTTCCTTTGACTGTTCTTTGTGATAAAGGAAAACGAAGGAAAAGAGAACAACGCCAACCATCATTGAGAAGGAAGAGACGTAGTATGGATACGCAGCAGGCAAGAAACGTTCGTATTGAGTGTGTTCGAAGGGACGGACAACAACCTAAACAACAATGATACATCCTTTGATACTGTCACATACCTGTTTAACATCATACAAATGGGTGTAACCAACTCTATTATAATCAACAAGGAATTTAAAGACACCGTAGACATCAGGGAGTTTGAATTGGGTGCTCAGTTTTCCATCTAAAAACACATTACAGTCCAACATTGTTCTTACTCTTATTGTTTAAGGTGGTTCTGACAAAAGGATCGATTCTAACGAACTCGAGCTGGACATCCTTGGCTTGGAATGGGGCCCACTTGCCGTCCTTGAGCTCTTCGATTTCAATTTCGTATTTCTAAAATAAAATTCAAGAAGATGTTATTTATGACTTACCACATCCTCGGTGATGGTGTATTCTCTTGGAGCAGTAGTTTCCCCGACCTTGGAATGTTTCACAGACTTCACTCTAAGGACGCCGTTCTCCTTCAGAACCCATTTGGTAATGGCAGTGATGAATTCAGCGTTTCCGCTCTTCTCTGGTCTAAAAGCAAGCATTTATTAAATAAGAGTGCTCCTTACTAATACAGGGCGTATAAAAATTTGCGGAGTAAGCGCATAGTTTCTCCTAGGAGCATTACAGAAAAGCTATTTTTGGCATACTAACTGCACGAACTATAAGCGCAAATGTCATTTCAACCGAAACGAGGCAAAAACCCGAGGAATCCATTCCAAAAAATTGTGGATTCCCGTGAAAAGTTGGGAGTTTTTTCTGCGTGCAGTTATAGGCCTCCATTTTCGTCCACAAACTTTAACACACCCTATATAAGACGTAGAAAACGACTTATACTCTTCCTATGTTCAATCTAAAAATGCGCTTACTTCTGATTGGCCCCATTCTTCTGGATCTGTGCATTAATGTATTCATCACTGAAAAGAGCCAAAGATCCAGTCAAAACAACTCGGGCATTGTTTCTGGCTTGAACAGCTCCAACCAAAACGGTATTCTGGCCAATAGCCTGCGGGTATTCGTTGATCTTCTGCTTGGGATTGAAGTTGTAAGACGTCAACGTTCCCGTCAAAACGGAAAGACGAAGAGGATTCTCGGTGTTGTAGGTCAAAGCAATACCCTTATACAAAAGTGGGCTCAGCTTTTTGCCAGCAATGAGTTCAGCATCAATTAATTGAGTCTTTGGAACAACCAAAGCGGTGTGAGTTCCATCATCAAGGCGGGCGTCATAATTGAAGTGATCAATCACAAAGGTTCCCTCCGTACCGAATTCAAATCCAACCTCAAGAGCAAAGTCCCTAAGAGCATCTCCGATCTTAGAGTCGCCAGTGACAAGGACGTTTCCACCTCCATCGACGAACTTGGCCAACTCTTCCGCACTCAAAGATCCGCCGAATTCTAAAGCAATACGTTAGGCCATTTATGTTTAAAGTACGCGCGTCGCCATAACTAGGGAACACTTGGCCATTTTTTAAAATAAATCGCGTCGGGACCAAAATTAACTTGAAATCGTACGTGTGTACGGTAGAAAAATAATTTTTCTGCGGCTGGAGCCGAGAATTATTTGTTGCGTTGTTGACGAATTGTCGGATTCGTGGATCAGTGTGTTTATAATTTCTATAAATAAATCGTTTGTGGTTCGTGTATATTTAGCTGTATTTTAGATTTTTTTAACGAAAACTAATGTTTTCGGTCCGAATTTTAGGCAAGAAACGTGAAGACGAGGTCATCTACGGGTTCACGTGCGTTGATGAGTACGATGTCCGGCAACGGAAGGAGTTCGATGTAAAGTAAATGCTCCGCGGAAGTCTTGAACTCCATGAATTCGAATAGGAAAAGCAGAAGTTTGCAGAAAAAGGTCAAGATTCATGGAGAGAATCATGAAGGATCAGACTTTTGTTGACTCGTGAAACATGGGATCGATACGTGGGTTCCAAGTATGAAGTAAGTTCAATTTTTGACATTGATTACTCGCTTTTAGGACTCTCTGCGAACGTGTCAAAAATGACAAGATCCCCTGCGATCTGGATGTCATTATCTACGAGGCAGACTTCGTGCTTCTTCCTGGAACGGCCCGCCTCCTACTCCAACAGAACTCGCGCATGATCATGAAGTCGATGCCGTCACAAAGCCCACATCCTCCGCAGTGGAGACTTATAATTATAACGCGTTGAATAATAATAACAATAAAGACATAAGAGAAGGTTAATAAATTTATATTATAAATCTTGATTCTGAAAAAGTAAAGAGGAAATGTTGGAGGGAATAATACGGCTTCTTGCAAATCACAGATAATCGGGAGGGGAAGGAGTCGAAGTTGCTGTAGGAGGTATGGTGGTAGTCCATTGGTTGACGTGAACAAACTGAAAAGTTCAAGCAAAATAAATGGATAATATCGGATTTTTCAAAAAATGGTTTTTCAGTCTAAATAGTAATTTAAACAGACAGAAGAGCGCTTGTTCATGTTTTTCACAGCTTCTTTAGACGATAATACTAACAAATCATGGATAAGATAGCATTTTTCACGAGAAGAAAGGAAACCCGACAAATTTTGAAAGAAATCATAAAAAAAAACTAGTAAACGACCTTCTCTAACCGTCCCTGAGCTCGCCGTCTAGAAACAAGCAAAAATAAACATAAAATAACTTACTGAGATCAATCCATCGCGATATCAAACAACAAAATTTCCGGCTGCAGCCGCAAAAAAATATTTTTTCTACCGTACACACGTACGATTTCAAGTTAATTTTGGTCTCGACGCGATTTATTTAAAAAAAATGGCCAAGTGTTCCCTAGTTATGGCGACGCGCGTACTTTAAATGTTATCTAAAAATAGGGAAAAATGCCAAAAAACGACGAAACTTACCTTCGACTTTAGGAGCCAACACAATAACGTGATCGTACAAGAATTCGCCAAACTTGATCAACGCGAGAGATGGATCATCAGCTTTCTTGATGGTCAACACGAAGCCTCGGTCTTTGAGAGATTTCAAATAAATGGAATGAGTTTGTTCGATCTTGGGGTCATCCAACAAGACGAGAACTCGAGGATTCTCGGGAACCGCATGTGCGAGTACAAAGATGAAGACCAAAAGGCTGGCCGAATGTGTACTGAACAAGCCCATTTGGCTGAAATGATCAAGCATAAAATCCTAAAGGCATAAAAAAGCGAAATTCACGGCAAGATCTGTATCAACGCATATAATCACACTATAGTACTACAATAGGCAGCCACGTCGACCAAAACTTCGTTGCGTTGCGATAAACGGAATGCCAAAATATTTTGGCGTATGTTGTTGTCGCTACGGAGCAATTATTTTGTGTCAGTCCGACGAAATCAATATTGTGTGACATTTTGTTCTTATTCTGGAAAATATTTTTTAGAAATTTCTACGAGGTCCAGAATGTCTTACACAAGCGTTTCAATACACATGGTGCGCCATTTTCCTTTTTCCATCTCCTTACTTTTATTTAAAAAAAGCCTCATATTAGGTACTTCAAGCGGTACTCCAAGCCGGTCGAATTAGTACTGCATATTCGCGAATATTCTGGAACTATTTATTTGGCACCGATGACTGCAGATTTTTTATTTTCAGTGTGAACTATGTCTCGTGAAGATAGAACCGATGGAGTTTTTATGTCCTTGGCTCAAAACTTGGATGGTGGAGTTCCCGAGCTCATAGACTGTCTCTTTAGTTTCTTGAGTAGGAAGACTGACTTCTTTACCCAGCCACAACAAGCTCAAAAGATTCTACTGGAGGCTTACAACAAATACACGCAAGCCGCGAAAGACGTGAGTATTCAAAATATTTTTTCTTATTAAAGTTTAAAGGGTAAAACCAGACCACATTATACATATTTCTAGTCGGAGGAAGAGAAACGCAAGAAGAAAGAGGCCGATGAGGAACGCCTAAAGCAGAAGCGGATTGCGGAACAGAAAAAGATAGAGGAAGCCATTGCTAAACAAAAAGAAGAGAAGCCAATAATGCCAAGTCCACCAGAATCATCAGAACAGAAGAGTGAAGATAATGAAGAAGAAGATCCCGCCGACAAAGGGAAACTGGCCCCGAATTCCGGCAATGGATGTGATCTCCCGAACTATCAGTGGACCCAAACTTTGGATGAAGTTGAGGTAAGATTAATAGTTGCTTTTCATAGTTGTTAAATTAGATTGTAATCCCTCTTCGAGCCGGTGTCCCATTGAAATCCAAAGATGTGGCTGTTGAAATCAAGAAACGTCATCTTAAGGTTGGTGTCAAAGGTAAAGAATTGATCATTGATGGTGATTTATATGACGAAATCAAGGCCGAAGAGGCTCAATGGATCCTTCAGGACTCAAAGGATGTTGTGGTTACACTTGAGAAGGTTCGTTGGTTCTTTTTTATCGATATCATTCTTATAACAAGTTATATTATGTATGGTTTCAGATCAAAGGTATGACTTGGTGGTCTCGTTTGATCACCACAGATCCCGAAATTAACACAAAGAAGGTCCAACCGGAGAATTCGAAGCTGTCTGATCTGGATGGAGAGACTCGGCAGATGGTGGAGAAGATGATGTACGATCAGAGACAGAAGGAAATGGGCCTTCCCACCTCTGAAGAGAAGAAAAAGCAAGATATCCTCAAGAAATTCATGGAACAACACCCTGAAATGGACTTCTCCAATGCCAAGATACAGTAAGCTTCCCTGTTAATTGTTCAAGTTTGCATATTTATTATGAATAAAGTGGTAACTGCTATTATATATTGTTCTTTGATGCGTATTTTGTGTCAAGGACTTGTATGTATATTGTTTTCTCTATCTATTTTATCCTTAGAATAACTCGCATGTCTGTTCGTATCTTTCTTTTCCGCCGGAAGGTCGTATCGAATACCCGGCTTTTTAATTAAAATTAAACTAAATCCATGGGTGTTTTGAAGCCAAGAAAATGAGATAAAAAGCGTCTTAAAAAGTGAGAAAGTGCTTTGGCAGAGATAAGGTCGCCTTCCGTGGCATCTCCAGAGCATCTTCATCATGGGTACGTTCAATTCCGTTGAAGTTTTGGTCATCTGATGCAGAATGTATTTATGTGGTTTTTTCATGCTAAAAGACTTACTTTTGGATACCCTATCTATAATATTTTGGGCGTTCTTATAAAATATTGGGGGATTCTGGAGTCTATATACATTATTCTAGTCATCTGTGAATCTCTTTTATAAGTGATTTTTTTGTTTAGTTACAATTAAAAAAATTGTTGTTAGAGTAAAGTGGACATTCCATTTGACCTGTTGCCTTCGCGCCGATTTCATTTTCCTTTCTTTCTCATGACGTGGCCGTCTTTAATGTGCCCGAGGGGTTTAAGTTTTACGGGCCGAAGAAAGGACCATTTGTTACTCACGGTAGATTAAGGGGATAAAGTTTCCGCAATGTTTGTTTTCACGACATTCAAGAAGTTTTCGCGAGTCTCGGATGGCACGGTCTGAACCTGGAAATAAAATATGGGCAGTTCTTTGTCATTCGTCAAGATGAAAGTTTATTAAAAGAAGGTCCAAAAAGTCATGATTTTTAGTAATGCTATTTAATTATTGTGTAGTATACAGTCCAAGTTGAGTTAGTTATTCATTATCATCTGCATTCGCTTCAGTTTTGTTCCCACGCCTTTTTTATACCCTCAGATCCACATCATTACCAAGTGCAATGTAATAATCATTTCCAAAACATCTAAATTATTCCCGCTAGCCAAAAACACGACCATCAATTCGTTATGATTAACGCTTTATTCAAACAAGCTGGTGTTCGTTATCGCTCTGGGCCATTCAACTCGAGTAATGAGCCCACTTATAGGCTTTGGTGGAGCGAAAGTTTGCTCTCAATTAAAGTCATTCATGGTTTATTGACCGAGTTCACAGCATTATTCCTCGTTTTTTTGCATTATTTTCTTTGCATTTCGTAATACGTGATCCGTATAGTTCATCAAATAAATAATATTATTCGAAGGGCTCGTTTTTGGAAATAATTTGAGCCTACGGATGTGGAGGCCGGAAACTGAGTAGAGATTGATTGTCCAAGTAATCAGGGAAGTGTCAGGAATGGTCCGCGAATTCCTTTCTGGGAATTGGAGGCGTGGAATCTTCGGGAATGGGATCTTGAGTAATGTTGGTAAAGGATAAGGTGGATGGTGAAAAGGATCGATCCAAAAAATTATGAATACCGGTAGAGGTTGGAAATGACCAATCAGCGACAAAGGCTGTTTTTTAACAGTCATTTAACGCATTTTTGCTACAAATTTTACGGTATCCACGATGACTAAATTATGATCTTGTTTTTCTCCCATTTCGAACGCCAATTCCTTTCTCACAATCTTCTTACCGTTGAATTGTACCCTTTGGTTCGCAACAACCCCTTCCCTATGTTACATTTCCCTCTGTCACATGCCTTTTCTCTCTTCTCATGAGTTTTTACATCCTCAATTAGAATATCTGTTATTACCGGCACCTTCAGTGCGCAATTAGTTTCCTCGAAATAATTTTATTTGCTAGTTCGGATGACATCAAGTTTCGATGTCGGAGGACGTCATATTCGAATGCATTTTTTGATGCTTTGTCGGAACTTTATTTCAGAATATTTTTATAGTTTCAAAAGATTTTTTTTTATAGAGTATTGTAAAATTTCCATCCTCGTTTCGGAATAGGCATCAGGTGCAATCGACCGTAATTTCTGGCAAAGAGTGATTAATTTGGATGAATTCTTTTCGATTATTTTAATTCAGACGTCCAGAAAAGTGGGTGTTTACGGCTGAGGTAAGGTGACTTCGAAGAGTTCGTCTTGAGTTATATAAAGAGTCTTAAGATTTCCTCTAAACATTCCGAAGCGGAAATTGTCGAAGTGAGAAGAACGATTTTTTGCAAATCGCGGCCGAGATCTGGCAACTGATCTTTCGGCGAGAGAGTATGTGAAATAGAGAGGTTCTATTAGACAAAAATTATTTTTGGATCGGATCGGAAAACACTTTTTGGCAGAGGGATTGCACAGTACGTTTTTGCCGGAATTTAGGCGATTATGACCCAAACTGGAAAAAAGTCGTCGTTTTTAACAAAGCGGCCGTCAAACCAGGGCTGATAGCCAATTGGTCCAAATAACTGGACCAACAAAAACTTCGGTGACTGTTTCTTGTTTCGTAAGAAGTAATGTCAAAAAGTAATTTTTTCATTTTTTTCTAAAGATGTATGCTTGATTTATGGATTTTTGATAGTGATGACTTCGAAAATGACGTTCGCTTTTTCGTTACCACCAAAAACCCTAACAGTCAAATATTTTTTAAAAATTGCAAAAAAATACTTGTTAACAGTACTAATATAATACTTACGAAAAATTAACGATCAAAAATTCTGTGGAAAGAGGCGGCTTTTTTCGTCCTTGGATGATACTCGATCTTCTTGGGCGTAACAAAACTCTGCGGTTTCCGCAAAGCGCGATCTCTAGTGATATCGCCATTATTTCTTTTTTCCGACCTTAAATTTTGTTCGAACTTCACTAATGTTACCACCTACTCCCTTTAGCAGCCTCTTTCTTCCCCACCGTTCTTATCCCCAATTTCTTTTTCTCATTTCCTGACTAATTATCCATGTATATGCATGGAAGAAACACTGTGGTTGATTGGGTCTAAGATGTCACAAAAAGAGCCTCGAAATGGCAATGGCCTTCTTCGATTCTTTAGTCAGCGGGCATCGATGTTATCCATGGTTAATGTTGAATCTGAGTTTGTTTAGATTGTTAAAACACTTGTTTAACTGTAACCCTGATATTTTGTAAAATCTGTCAGCACATTGGGCGTTGTAAAGATTATATTTTTGCACAGAAATAGTAACACCAGTCGGCCTCAGCGTTGGCCACTTATATCCATTGAATGTTTATATTTTTGATATCAATTCGCCTTTGACCACTTAACGATCTTTTTTCACGACATTTTTTTATGTACTACTTGACCGTCATTATAAATTCCTTCAACTTTCTGCCCTGAGGATTTGGTTCATTGTCCGAATGCGGCTGAGAGTCTGGCCAATTGTTTTACCCCCCAATTTTTGCATGAAAGATTAGTTTCCTTCTGAATTGCCTCAGGGTGTTCCGTTCTTTTTATTTTTTAATTGGCATTTATATCCCAACTTTTTTACGACCTTGTTTTTTTGATTATGTCGCTAAAATGCAAGTGTTTTTTGTGATCAATGAAGCGGGAGTAACCGCATAGTAAGCCGAACGATTGGTATGAGAAGTCGAGAGTTCTTTGTCTCTTGGCCAAGCTTTTTTTTGAGTTTTGGTTGCCGAATTCTCGGAGAACTCAATTTGTGAAAAGATGAGTTAAAAAGTAGTCTAGCGAGATGCTGTGGTTGATGTCATATACAAGTCTTCCTCCTTGCAAGTCATTGTTTTACTTTACACTTGTTTCTTTGTTGCGTGCTTTTGCACTTTTCGGTGTCTGACTTTGTAAAGATTTCCTTCTTGGAACATTTTTGCAAACATAAATAGATCAGCTAGAGTTGTTTCGTCTGAAAGGAGATGCCAGAAGACTCATAAACAAGCTTGTTTTGCCCATTTGGCCCCATTATCAGTTGTCATTTCCTCCAGCCCTCAATTGGAATATATTTTATAAATTTTGTATTCCCCGTGACTCTACTCCATTAGAAACTCCCATTTGACGCATTCTGAGGCCCCAGAGAAATGAGACAAACCCATAACGAATTAGCGGATGTCGTAAAAATTGCTCGAAATGAGGAAAGAATACAATTTCCGACATTTCCGCGCTTCGGCCGCTGAAATGGCCTGTTAAGGCATTTTCGGCCGCCAAATGGGCGTGTGAATGGCGAAATAAAAGGCGCGGGAAAACGAAGAACCTTGAGGTCGGACTGTAGGACGGATGCGGCGCTATCCGCGACGCTTCCGCATGGGTTCTGACTTGTTGTTCGGGGTTGATGGGACGTGGGATCTTTGAAATTTACATCCAAATTACCACAGCAAACTCACAGGAAATCTAATCTTTGATCATGGAAAGTCAGCTGATTACTGTTAATAGCATTTTCTCCACAAAATAATTGATTTATGAGCCTCTTACAGTAATCCTGGACTACATTAAAGTCAGAAGTTGGTTTTCGGATTGGTTGATCCATTCTTTTCACCTGATACTTGCCTGGTGAATTCGTAATTTTACATTTTTCAGTAGTCCGCCCTTCTTTTACGCAGTCCCAGACTCCCTTGAGGGCAATTTTACCGTGTTTATCAACTTTTTGTCGTATTTTCGCTTATTACTTCTACATTTTGTAATAATAGCTAAAACAAATTATATATTATATTATATAACTAATAATCATAATAAAAGAAGTATTAACCATAACCGAAAAACGCTTGAATCGGTTGTTTGTTTCACCTGTAATTACAGCCAGTCAGTCCCCTTTATCTTCCCCTTTCTGACTCCAAAACTTTTTCTTTTTTCTGTCCCCTCAGGCATTCCCTAACACCGCGTGATTTTTGGCCAGTTATTTTCTTTGTAAGGCCTTGAATTTGCAACTATGACTACAAAACGGTCCTTTCTTTAATCACGTTTGTTTATTTTATTATCCTTTTTGGACTCTAAATTCGTACCTTTGTGTTCCCGCCAAGTTTTTTTTATTTTAATTCCCTAGTGAGAGAACTGGAGGGACGTTCAGATATCAACAAGGGGGGTTAAAAATTTTCGCCATTTTTTTGATAAACTTGTTATTAACAAGTCACAGAATTTACAGATGAAACAAGCAAGTTGTTTGAATACCGTTAGTATTTTGTTTAGATTTATTTTTTAGTCATCATGGAATATAAAAAATGCAAAAAACAAGTTTGAACTTTGAGCTTTACATTACCAGGACAATCATGTTTTAGTTACACGCTCAGAAAAACCTTGGTTACATGTTTTCCGAAATAATATTATCCGTTTTATTAAAAGGTAACTAACTACAGAGTTTGACAAAAAAAACCATGAAGGAAAGTCGGTGGCTATAACCTTAGATGGAGGCGGCGCAGAGACTTCGTTCTTTGAGTACGTATTTTCAAGCCAGATTATTTTTTGTCTATGAAATAATAAGATTTGAAAGTGCTAACTGAGCTCGCTACGATCTGTTGAGCTTTTTTTACCTACCTTTAACCAGTGTTTTTCGGTTGAAAACGGCCGTGAAATCTAGGATTTTTTTGGTTTAAAGTCACCGAGAAACAATTCTTGCTTGGAGGAGCGAGATCTTTGATCATGACTATTAATTTTCTGTTTTAACTAAAAAAAATTATATTAATTTTTGCTAGAAATTTTACAATAATTTTACAACTTTGGCCTGATTTTATTGTCATGGCTAACATAAATCCCGAAATTTTGTTTGTCAAGCGGGATAAAAAGGCGGAAAGCAGACGGTCAGGGTCAACAAATACAGGTTGTTATCCATGCAAGGCCTCTATTTTCGTTCAAAACAAACCCCAGCCTAAGGGCATTACTTACTTCCTCCGGGTATTAATATGATTACAACTTTAATGCCCGCCTTTCTGAATTATGTATGAGCTCATGAATTACCCATCACATCCATACCTATCGTACAAGTTCTTCTGGAAAAAGTCGTATTTTTGAATAAATCGGGGGATGCTTGATTCGTAATATAAATCTTGACAATTCTAAGAATGTCTTTTTAGGGGACATTTCAAAGTGCAGTAGTACCTAGATTACTGTAAATTTCGTAATCTGTTACAGGTCAGGTTTTCTCTGTATGTAAATTCAGTGTTTTGATAAGTGTTCGGAAAGTTATGAACGAAAAACTTTTTTTTGCTTGGCCGTCTCTCCTCATTTTACGTGACCTTTTTTCCCCGAATCCCATGTCTTGATATACTCTTGTCTGGGGTCATTTATGGCCATTCGCCAAATTGAATCGCGCACTTTTTGTTCGACCCTTTAATCGTATAAAAGCCGTTTGATTTAGTCTTCCCACTTCCTCATGTACTTCTGTTTTTGCTCTTTGTTGTATGAAAAGGGTTATTAGAGCTCGGCCCAGACTGTTTTCTGTCATTTTGGTTAAAATCTAAGAGAGTGATATTCTTGCAGCAATTGGAAAGATTAAGGTTAATGACATAACTGAAATTTAATTTTTAAAAAAACACGAATATGGAGCCACAATGAGAAGGGAGAATCTTATAAGTAAAACATGACTTATTTTTGACATCAAAAGGTGTAGTCTTGAAGGAATTGGGTTGTTATAAGCAGACTTCCTGTCTATTCCGCATTTTAATTAATGTTTTTTCGCCAAAAATGACAATGCGAAGAAAAAAACTATTTGAAAAAATAACAAACAGAATTGGCCGACGTTAAAAAACGAAGGGAATTTTAGTTTACTTGTATTTTTATATTGTCTATGTGACAGGAAGAGACCATAATGATCATCTTTTTTACGAGGATTTCCTCGTTTTTCGACGGTCAGTCGAAATTCAATGGAACCTCTGTGAGTTCGCATTATCACATTTGATTATATTATCTTCGATTCTATGGCAACATTCAAATCTGATAATATATGCGCTCTACATCAACTTCCATGCTTTTTATCTCCAACTCCTCCTTTAACTTTACTCTTTAGCCCTTCAATGACGCCTCTGAATTTAAAAAGTTCCAGTAGTTGTTATCCCTTTCCTGAATTTCGCGTGCTGTTCCACTCATTTAACTGATATTTCTATTTATGGTTAGAATTGATTCTACAATCATTCCATTGTTACTCGAAAATACGGTCAAGATGGAAGGAGGCGCCGGATTTCGTCGAACTCAGTCTCTCCGTTATCCAAAAGGTAGGTGAAGGTGTCTAAAGAGGACCTCATATACTACTTCTCATTTCCACAACTTATCGGAAGCACATTAACAACTCCATTTCTGCTTTAGAAAACTCACTGCAATTATAAAGACATGATTAAACTTCCAGTTATGACTTAATGTAACTCTCATTTTAGGCAGTCCAGTCAGCAACGGACTTACCCGGAGGGGATCGCGTGCCTACAGAAGTCGGAGTACTCGAAAAAGTAAGTAACATTTCCAAAAGAGCAATCCAATTGCATGACAACATTATTTTTTTTTAAATGTTTTGTAGCCTTGTTTCTCTGCAATTTTATGGCAAGAGACGAGGCTGTAAATGGAATGGAAACGTCACAAAAAAAAGTTAAATTTAAATAGGGAATTTGATGACATTTTTGGATTCTTCTAATTATGGTATTATTGCTTCAAACACTTTTTTCAAAAAATATAAGTCTCCAAAAAATGCTTGAGCAACATTAGGTTTGTAGGAGGAAACTTATTTTAATAAGTTTTAAAGCCAAAACCCATTTGAAACACGATAGATTGAGCCGAATCGCCTAATTAGGTCTTCGAATATCCTAGCCGAGTACGTTCAATGTGCAATATATGTATGTAATATCATTAGCACCCCAATCCCGAATAGCGACGGGCCTTTTCTATGACCGGCAACACAATGGAATTGGCCTACCCATTCTTTGTTGGCTCCCGCTCCGTCTGTAATTTTATTAACCATGGTTCAAACTTTTGGCATCTGTCCAGAAATCTTTTAAAGTAATTTTGATCTTAACAATTTGCTGGAAAATGATACAAAAATCCGATAAAAAATTAAAGAATCGTTCTTTTGTCTAGCACACGAAATCATTTTTTTTAGTTTTTGAGCCCAATTCCTCGTTAGCTCGACTAACTTCAAATCAAAAACAAGCTCTTCAACATTCCTGGAAGATTCTGAAGACCCAGATTCCCCAATTATCCCGTAGGATCTTCCAAGAGTTGGAGATTGTATGCCCTAAAGTTAAAGATGTAAGTATAACACCAGCCACAATTACAATATAATCGATGCAGATATTCTACAAAGCCGCTCTGGTCGACTGCTTTGTAAACAAAGAACCGGGAACCCAAGGCACGTTGGACGAGCATGTAAAATATTTTGTAAAGTAGGTCATAGTATTTTACTTAGACCATTGCATTAATTTCAGATTTTTTGATGACATTGTGGTGAACATCGATTGCGAAGCTGCAGTCACAGCAATGGTACGAAGATGCGGACAATCTCATGCCATTCTCAATCAAAGTTGCGGATTTCATTCGGACATCTGGGAGAAACTCGGGGAAATCTGCATGGAAAAAGTCTGCTCTTCCGATGCGGTTACGGTAAGTGGAGACTTATTTGGGGCTTCGGTAGTTCAGCCCCCCACGAAAGGTAGTTCAAACCCCCACTGTTTTGCCCGTTTCACACCCCACATAATGAACAAATTAGAATAATACAAAAAATGTAAGTGGGGGTTTGATCTACTACGTTGGGGGTTTGATCTAAAACGTAGGGGGCTTGACCTAAAACGTAGGGGGCTTTTTCTAAAACGGAGGGGGCTTCATCTAAAACGTAGGTGGCTTGATCTAAACGTAGGGGGCTTCATCTAAAACGTAGGGGGCTTGTGCTGGACCATACAACTTGGATTAATTCTTTGAAATAAATTTTGGGGTTCAGAATGGACGAGGGGGGGGGGTTGTACTGGGTCATGGGGGGCTAAACTGGACTGGGGGGCTGTACTACCTTAGCCCCACTTATTTTTACGCCGATTTTTTTTTCTTGAAAAACTATTTTTGTGAGCTGCGCCCGAGCTTGGTGAAAATTTATTGCCATTTTATACTTTTACCTTCCCACGATTTGTTACAACTGGTTTGCTGTCTGCCGATCAAAAAATGAAAATTTTCAGAAAACCCGAGAAGCCGGCCGTGCCTGGCGCACCTTGATCGCCTTCCTGACCGACGAATTGAGGTGTTCTTTTGATGGAGAAGCTAAGATCTACTCAAGGTGGGTGCCTTATTTCTACCAAGACATTATTTATACTACTAGCCTTCTATTATGCACTTGATTTGTTTATAGCAATATCATTTAAGACGCTCTTCCCTCGAACAACAATCGAATCGACAATCCCCCAACTTGGAAGCCCATGGAGAAGAACTAACTGAACGACTACGAGAAATGAGAATAGACTACCAAAATGGATACTGAATAAAAAGGCAATCGGTGGATGCAAATACGGGTTAATTAATGATCTTATACTCTTGTGATCTCTTTGTTTTATCTCATCTTATAGATAGATGCCTCTAACTTTGTTGATAAAGTAATGACTAATAAATATTTTTGCGAGATTGATTTGGTAATTTTCCGATAAAGTAAAGCAAATGACTAATTTTAAGTTTTGCAGCCTAAGATCCCTTGCATTATACTTGACGTGAGACAAAGGTCCCCGTGAAAATCGGCTGCAAAAAGCTCGCTTTCGATAAAAAGTATTGTAAAAACGCGACAAAAATGACCTTCCTATCAATTGCACATCCCAGTCACGTCCAATTCCTTCAAAAGATCGAATTTCCGTTCGGAGAAAGGGATAAAATTTTTTGGTAATCCGTCACTGTGACTCATTTTCTGCACAGAATTTCTTTCTTGTCAGCAGGGGTGGGCCACCGGCATCGGGCCGGCCCTTTTAGACATGATCGGGCCGGCCTGACAAGTTAGCGTTGGCATTCTATGTTTTCGCGCCAGTAAAATTTTTTGATGGGTTTGCATTTTTATTATCTCAAGTTCAACAACATTTTACTACTTTATAGTACTTTTTTGCATATATCTTATAATCTAAGGTCCAAAATAGAAGTACATAGCTGATATTATCACCACAGAGGCGGTAAGATCAAAGGAAACTTTTCAGTTTGCGCCATAACCGGGCCGGGACTGGATTTTTCCGGGCCGGGCCCCGGGATTGAAATTTTCAAAAAGAGGCCGCGGCCCGGTACACCACGGTGGTCACCCTTGGCCTTGGCGAATTTAATCATCTTTTTCCCTTTCCAAAAGCCTTCTCTTCGTTGAGCGGGAAAAGTCTTTTTGAAATATTTGTTTCCCAATTTTTCTGTCGCGCGACTTTTCAGGCCTCTGACCTGAGTAATCGCTGCCATTTTCAGTTAGTATTCGACTCGTCCAAGGTTCCAACAGCGTATCAAAATGGTAAGCTGAAAAAAATTGATTTTTTTATGTTATAATTTCTTTGATTCTTATAGTAAATAACGTCTGTTCTTTGTAGAGAGAAGTTATTTCCATCCACATTGGACAAGCCGGAGTTCAGATCGGAAATGCTTGCTGGGAGCTCTACTGTATGGAACATGGAATCCAACCTGATGGAAAACTTCCATCTGATCACGTCACTGATGGAAGCTTCTCCACCTTTTTCAGCGAGACTGGAAACGGTCGCTATGTTCCTCGAGCAGTAATGGTTGATTTGGAGCCTACTGTGGTTGGTAAGTTGAAAATAATTTTGTTTTGATTCTGGATTCAGATGAAATCAGAACTGGAACTTACAAGCATCTCTTCCATCCTGAGCAACTTATCAGTGGAAAGGAAGATGCGGCCAACAACTACGCTCGAGGTCATTACACCGTCGGCAAAGAGATTATTGACACCGTGCTTGATCGTGTCCGCCGTTCTGCGGACAATTGCTCTGGACTCCAAGGATTCCTGTTGTTCCACTCTTTCGGTGGCGGAACTGGCTCTGGCTTCACTTCATTGTTAATGGAGCGACTCTCAACTGACTACGGAAAGAAGGCCAAGCTTGAGTTCTCTGTCTACCCAGCACCTCAGGTGGCAACGGCTGTGGTGGAACCTTACAACTCAGTCTTGACCACCCACACCACCCTTGAACACTCGGATTGCGCCTTCATGGTGGACAATGAAGCCATCTACGACATCTGCAGAAGAAATCTGAGTGTGGAAAGACCCAGCTACACTAATTTGAATCGTATCATCTCCCAAGTGGTCTCGTCCATCACCTTGTCCCTCCGCTTCGATGGGGCTCTCAACGTAGATCTCAACGAATTCCAGACCAATCTGGTACCCTACCCAAGAATTCACTTCCCATTGGCTACTTATGCTCCCTTGATTTCTTCGGCTAAGGCTTATCATGAATCGAACTCCGTCCAAGACATTACCAACCAATGTTTTGAGACGCAGAACCAGATGGTGAAGTGTGATCCGAGACATGGCAAGTACATGGCGGTATGTCTTTTGTACCGCGGAGATGTTGTTCCCAAGGATGTTAATGCTTCTATCGCCGCAATCAAGACCAATAGAGCGATTCAGTTTGTTGATTGGTGTCCAACTGGATTCAAAGTAAGATTTGAGAACTTTACGATGTATAATGTAATTCGCAATCAAACGTTCATTTAAGGTCGGAATCAATTACGAGCCACCCACTGTTATCCCTAACGGAGACTTGGCCAAGGTCCCTCGAGCTGTCTGCATGTTGTCCAACACGACCGCCATCGTTGAAGCCTGGGCTCGTCTCAACACAAAGTTTGATCTAATGTATTCGAAGAGAGCCTTTGTGCACTGGTATGTTGGTGAAGGAATGGAAGAAGGAGAGTTCTCCGAAGCCAGAGAGGATCTGGCCGCCTTGGAAAAGGACTACGAAGAGGTTGGCTTGGATTCGAATGAACAACCTGATGAGGATGAATACTAAACTAAATTTTAAACAGTGTTGTATTGGTTAATTGTCAAATAAATCTAATTCAGATTGATGTGACTTGACATTCAGAAGTTTTTGAACCGATCTTTGATTATTGTCATACATCTTCACTTTTTTGTGACATTTCGTCGCAGCCGACAGATCTGTGGCATTTCGTATAATTCTTTTATTTTTTTATCTCGCGAGATTCGAGCTCGAACTCTCGATTCACACCCGGGACAGCGTAAAATTGGTTAGTGACGAATCCGGGAACTGTTTCTATTCAATTTCAACGCAGCCTTATACTTCCTATTCGGATTATTTTCGGTCCATTTATTTCGATTATCGATGAAATCGATCGCCTTCGAATATCCAGATCAATTTCTTCCACGTTTGTTTACGTTCCACTCGGATGAATAACGTTCCGTTCGTTATAGAATATAAATTTATTCGAGAGCAATTCGCATCCGAATCCCCGGGTTTTATTTTCAGCATTTTTTCTCGCGGCCCAATGGCTCCAAAGACGGGAAATTCTCTCTTTTCGGCCGCTTTTCTTCGATTTTCGATTTCGGTTGCCTAGAGTGGTTACGCGGGCCCGTTTTTTGAGAAGAAACGTAATTTTTGAAAATTCTTGTCATAAAAACCCCGAATTTTATGTATGCTGAGGTTAGACATGATGCCGGCACGGGAGTCGTTATTTTTTACTTATATTTATATCAAATTTTCTCTAAACATCGCTGGTAACGACTGACTGTGTATTTGACAGCCTTGTTTGCCCGCATTTTTCTGGATTTTCCTTTGAAATTCCTGTTCAAATGATCTTCAATTCCGGTGTTTAGCATAAGATAATTGCGCCAGTTTGACTTTGGTTTTGTTACGCGGTTCAAATGTCTATTCAATAATGAAATACGTAATAATTATGCTGTTTAGGTATTTGGGCCGTTGGAACGAGAATGACGTCCGAAGAAGAAATCGCCGGACCTCATTTCGACGTGTATCTCAATTATTTCCGGGAGGTGAGTCTGTGTTTCCTTTATTGGAAAAAAGGTTCATTTGCCTTTTTTTGGTTCATGGTGTGTGTATATTTTAGATAAATCCGAATAATTTGCCGGAGATTGACGCTCAGCCGGCTGCCCATTTCCTCAGGTCATCTGGAATTGACGTTTCCTTGCTGAGTCGGGTGAGATTTAAGTTTATTTTTGAAATTTAGATTGAACGGCACTTAATTGGAATTGAGTTCATTTTTTAATTTGTGGTTCTAGGTATGGGATCTTGCTGATTATCGGCATGTGGGACGTCTAGACCGAAAAGGAATCTTCATCGCATTCAAGTTAATAGCAGCAGTCCAAAATGGACATCCACCTCTACCGGCTGCTTTAACGGCCACACTTCCGCCTCCATCCTTCTCGGCGGTTTCTGGCCGAGTTTCCACCCAGTCCGAGCCCATCGACTGGGAATTACCGGAATCTGAGCAGCAAAAGTATGCGGCCATCTTCCAGAGCTTAAATCCACAAAATGGAAGGCTATCTGGGGACCAGGTAAGTTGCGATTTATTTGCAAAAATGAGTGGACGAATTTGTTTTTGACCGGGATTTGGTTTTAGGTCAGGCCGCTTCTTCTCAACTCTAAGCTGCCGACTTTCAAGCTTGGCCGGATTTGGGATCTGTCAGATATTGACCGAGATGGCTACTTAGACCGCTACGAGTTTTATGTGGCACTCCATCTTGTTTACAAAGCCATCCAAAACGAGACCTTGCCGGAGCGACTTCCAGTTGGGCTGATTCACCCAACCAAACGACACCTCGTGGCCGGTTCGAGGCGACAATCGTTTGCCGCTTCTCCGTTACCCAAGCCTTGTAAGATGAGGATTGAACGATTTAATCTGCATTATTTTTCAGCGTTTAGTCACGGTTCGAGGACTCCAAGTATTAGTTCGCTAAACCGAAGTATCCTAGAATCCATGGCCGATCCCGTAACGCCCGGCTCTCCGATACGGTCAGTCTTGGATCATAATGTAAGTCTGGCCTTTTTATTGTTTTATTTTCATTTTTAGAATGTTGAAACCATTTCTCTGCAAGCGACGGAGGCGGATTTCCAAAGATTTGACACGGATATGGATGGCTTTGTGGATGGGGCCGACGTCCGGGAACCACTTATGCAATCGGGTTTACCTCAACATATTCTAGCCAAAATTTGGGGACTAGTCGATTATCAACATACGGGCCGACTTAATCACCCTCAGTTTACATTATTGTGAGTTTTTATACGGGTTGTTTGCTTATTAGACATGAATTGGTGTTGAAAGGAACATTTTCAGAACGGTATTGGTCAATGAATGTCGTCATGGCGTGCCAATGCCGGACATGTTACCCGCTCATCTCCTTCAATGGCTTCAGAATGCAGCGCAACCAGTGAGTCGGGTATTAATTAATACGTATATTTTTGTTTTTTCAGAAGATTCTGGTCCCATCATCCCCGCGAATTGACGAATTGAACGCAGAAATCGAGAAATCGCAGGAGGAACGACGAAAAGCCGACAAGGATTTGATGCAGTTGGATGCGGATACTGTAGTCAAGTCAGCGGAAATCAAGAACGCTGAAATCGAATATCAAACTTTAAGTGCGACTGTCAAACAATTGAAGCATCAGAAAGGCGAGGCGTCCAAAAGACTGGCAGATCTGGACGAAAGAATTGTTAGGCTTGAGAATAATTGTGATGAGACCAATGATAGGCTCAAAAAGGAGGAGGAAAGGCTGAATCAAACCAAGCAGGATATACAAATGGCGCAGGTAAGGTATTTAGATCCTGTTTTTGGTGGGAGTAGAGCTGTAGCGAATTTATATTTGGTATTTTTAGGAAGGAGAAAACGCTGAAAGAGAATTGTTAGACAAACTCCGAACAGAGCTTTCCCAGCTCGACTCTGAATATAGCAGAATACAATCAGATTTGAATGGGAAGAGAAGAGAGATTGAGAAGACTGTGGATGAATTATCTCTAATGGAAAGAAAGATTGATACGAATAAGGGAGATGTGGAAAAACTCGAGAAAAAGGTGGAAGAGGTGAAGTCTCAGCTGGAAGAAGCCGAGAAGATTGAAGATCCGACTGGAGACGAGGCTGTGCTCTTCAAACAGTTCGAGCAGATTTCTTTGGTATGTATATGATCTTTTATTGATAAGGAAGATTAGTTTGTTTTTGTTTATCTTTATGTAATGTAATTTTAGAATGGAGCACCCAACCATGTCACTAATAACTCGTTTGAAGCCGTTGCCTTCCAGGCAAGGCCGATTTATGAGGCTCCTCCGGTCGATCCATTCAAACGTAAAGATATTATTATGTGATTTTTATCCTTGGTCATCTGGTTTTTGGATCGGTTTTTTTTTCAGATGATCCCTTTGATGATAACACGGTAAAGGCGGCCTTTGGGGAGTCCGATCCCTTTGCCAGTCAGTCCCAATCCACAGGGGATCCCTTCGGCTCGGATCCTTTTGCCAATCCACCTCAATCCAACGGCCAAACGACCCAATCCAATGGATTCGCCAACTTTGCCAATTTTGCTCAATTTGCGAATTAATCTTGAGTATTTGAAATTCAATGTTCCGGTACAAGGTGTGTTTTCTATCATAAAAAAGTAGCACTTGCTATTTTATAACCGAACATAGGTTAACTGTATTCGGAAAGGGCCTTGTACTCGTCCGCAAATCTCTATTTACTCTCCAGATCACAGTTTCTAATGTCCCTTCAGGAAATATTTATTGTTGGTATTCAAATACGCAGAATCTAAATGACTATTTAGATGGCCATAGTTACTTAAGGTTGTCAGTCCCTTAAATTATTTCGAAAGTTCTATGAAAACAATGTATTGCTATCGTATACACTATGTCAATTCACTGCACCAATCTCTTGTTTTATATTGTTACCTTCCTAACACTCGAGTCTTGTAGTTTGTAAAGCGTAATAACTCCAGACTTTTATAGAAATATGAATAAACTAACTTGATAATGATGGTGGATGCAAGAATCGTAATTTAGGTTGCATTATACATGGTGGATCATCTCATAAAATGCCCGGCTTCCTGCAAAACCCGTCTAGCCAACAGAACAGGACCTTTTCCGCCAATTCCAATCCATCAAACCGTCAACGGAGAACCTCCAAGCTCAAGTGCAATATCAAGAATATACTTCTTGAGTGTGATGGATGCCCAGCCAACGAGAACAGCCTGTTATTGACGTAAATTGGATCACCTGCTCATGAGCTTTGCGTGATCGGCGTCTTGGGGTGTTATTTTAAAAACGCCGCGGTAATTGAGCAATTTACGGCGCGATTATATAATGGAAGGCGCAGAGGAAAGTTCAGTGAGAGCTACAAAAGAACGGCGAATAGCGGTGAAAGTTGGGAGCAAACAAGCCGTCTTAATCATCGTGCAATTACATATGGATACTACTGTATGGAAAATAATTACGTAATAATAATATTAAGGTTACTCGTCAGAACTCACAGACCAATCCATCGTTTCAAAACATATCCCGTGTGCCCCCTCATTCCTAGCCGACTATGAAATCGCCTCGGGCTCATCATAAACCTCGCTCATCTACACCGGATTCCGATTCTCGGTTCATCCATCAACTCTCAATCACGCTGAGGCGGAGCGCACGTTCACCTTCACGTTTCTGGAGCATTTATAAGTGAGTTCCTGGGGAAGAGAGTGGTCACTGTGGCTGGGGATATCTGTGAGGAGACGAATAAGAAAGTCTTGTTGTTTCACGATCTTTTACCTGCAACGCCCCGTTAGTTGAATAATATTCAACCAGGACGGATTATTATGCAATTCTAATTGACCTTTCCTGTGTCATCCAGGTCAATGGCCTCATAATTTTTAATTTTCATAGGGACCTCTCGCTACTTTGTTTTCGTCAAATCGGCCCCAGATTATAGTAGTGCTGATGTATCGACCTTAAATTGAGTACCTGTCCCACCGTCTGTCCACAAATTGTATTTGATTGCGTAAAATGCACGGAAAATGACTGTAATCCCTCGGCGAACTTGTTACTTTAATCCGAAAAAACTGGTTATCGGATATCGTCTCCCTTTTCCTCATCGCTTCAACGTTTTTTGTCGCCTTAATGTGCGAACAGTCGGTGGAAAAAGAGTCAAGTAAATAAGCGCCATCCCCGCCCCCTTCTGCCCTGTGTTTCGAGGAGTTTTTTTTTGAGGATGGGGGGTTTGGCGGATAAATATTCGAAATGAGGGAAATGGAATTCGGTTACTCGGTGAGCGCGACGACGACGACCAGTTTTGGTTCTTGAACGTTGAGAGATCAATCCAGAGAAAAGGAAGGGGCGTCGTTATGGGGGGTGTTACATAATCAAAAATAAATTTTTGTCTATAAAACTCTTAGGACAATGATTGTTAAATGTGATAATGTTGAATTTATGACGTTTTATTTCGGTCAGATCCGTGTGTCCTACCTCTGTTCCGTATTTTTTTCAAATTTTTGAACTTCAAATACTGTCCTATCAGAGTCTTTAATTGCAGAAAATGCGGGTCCTTTTGCTGTTCGGGACCGTATTATTGTCCATAAAAGCTTCACAAATCCCTTGTGGAAAGGCTTCATTCCCATGTGAAGACTCGATTGTCCAACCACAACAGCCAGTACGGGTCTATGGAGTTCCCAATCTAAATCCAAATGTGATCAGACCCAAACTACCCGAGTCGATGATCAGAACGGTCGCTCAGGAAGCCCAGGCCGAAGTCGAAAAGATTCTCGACGAGAGTTCGGCCAAGCCAACATCTCCCAGTACGTTCGGGATTCATTAGACAGAAAAATTGTGATTAGTATTGCAATAATCTTTTGGAATTCATATTATATTTTGATGTTCTAGGGCATTCCATGGCCGCTGCGATGGCCAACTTTATTCGAATGCACTCTGTGAATCATCTGACAAAAGCTCAGAGTATCCCCGCTTACATTTCTGACAGTATGACAAAGAAGTTGTTAAAGTAAGGCTATTTTTTATAATTACTTTTTTTAGGCTGTCGTGAAAAGATTGTTATAAAAATGTCATTAAATCAATTTCCTTTACCATTTCAGACTCGGTCTCCGAGAATCGGATGTCTTCGATGGCCTCGATGAATCTCTCCTCCAGTCCACTTACTTTGGTCGGACTTGTCATCAAGTGAAAAATGAGACCTGTCCTCCTACTTTCTACCGTAGTTACAACGGCCGATGCAATAATGTTCAGCATTCGGAATGGGGCGTGGCCTCAGGGCCTTATCAGCGGTTGAGCCCCGCTTCTTATGCTGATTCGACCTCCGCTCCGCGAGACAGTAAGACGGGAAAGGGATTACCAAATGAGAGACTTGTTTCCTTGGAAGTGTTCAAAGAGCCCAGTCAAAGGCATGAGGGATTAACTCATCTGGTCCCTTATTGGATGTATATTGTGGCCAGCGATTTGGCAGAGAGTGCGCCAAACCAGCTCATCTTGAATGGTTAGTGACATTCATTGTTTAATTTAGACTTAAGTCGATTTTATGTTCTTTCCGTATATTATCCATGACAAATATTTCGACCGGTACATTTTTTCTCATTATTATGGTATAAGATATCACATGGCGGATATTTAGTGATATCTTTTGCACGTTGCTTTCCTCGAAACGCTTGCGTAATCCCGGCTTGGTTTCGATCTTACTCAATCGCGGGAGAATCCAGCGAAAAACAAGATTTCCTCGCTCTCAAGCCACTGCTGGATTTATGAGTTTTTCCGCGACAAAACAAGTATTGCGCAATTGTAAAAAAGTCTTTGGAATAACACGTGTAGCTCGATTGCGTGATAAGAAATTGAAAACCAAAATTCGTAAAAATTTGTCGTCATAAATTCGTAATTCTATTCGTTTCACAGGTGAATCGAACCCACTTCCATGCTGTTCGGCCGACGTTCGGCATCCCGATTGCCTGTCCATCCAAATCTCGGCGGCTGATCCAATTTACAATGCCTCAGGCACTACTTGTTTGCCCATGTCTCGAACTCTCCCTGCTCAGCCAAACGAATGCAAATTGGGCCATAGAGAACAGGCCAATCAGGCCACTTCTTATCTGGACATGAGCTTCTTATATGGTTAGCTTATTCACCATCATCATCATGTCATCTTACATTTGATTACAATTGAAATTGTTTTAGGTAATTCCAAAGAAGACGTAACCAAACTCCGCGCCTCTGGAGGCCGATTACTTTCGTCTGGGGCTTCTGACTTCCCATCGCCCGACAAATCATTCGCGCCTTTCTGTAGATCCCATCTGAACAACAACTGCTTCCTCAGCGGATCCAAAGACGTAAATCTTTTGCCAGGGATTACCGGATTACACATTGTCTGGCATCGACAACACAATTTCATTGCCAATGGACTGCGAGTACGTGGGATCTCATATCCATAACACTTATTTTGATGCGCATTATCATCAGACCTTATTTTAGAAACTGAATCCCCGATGGAATGAGGATCGTTTGTTCGAAGAGACCAGGAAGATCACCATCGCTCAGTTTCAACATATCACCTACAATGAGTTCTTGCCATTAGTTTTGGGACAGGAAGCGATGAATCATTACAAATTGACCCCTTCTGCTAATGGATACACAAGTGATTATGACATGGATTTGAATGGGGCCACGTTGAATGAATTCGCGGTTTTGGCAACATCCTTGGCTTGCACTTGGATCAACAAACATTCAGATGATTTGGTGGCCGCCTACAACAATCCGGACGCTTTCTATCAACGAAATGGATTCGAAAGAGTCGTTTAGTAGGTTTCTTGTTATATATCGTTGTATGATGAGTTTATCTGTAAGTAAGTACATAATTTCTGTAAATTTTAGCGAGCTCATCACGGCCAACATGGAGACGACTGGCCCCAAGATGAGTGAAGGGTTCAGAGGTCGATTCCTAGCATCTTCTCCATTCCAACCCGGTCTGGATATGGTGACCATGGCCTTGAGACAGAGCAGAGAACATGGAATCCCGTCTTATGCTACGATCAGAAGACAATGTGGGTTCGGAAGAGTAAGTTGAAATACATTAGAATTGGATTTGGAATACTTTGAGTAATTTTTGTTTTAGATCTACACATTCAATGATTTGAGAAGTGACGTCATCAGCTTCGAATTGTTGCAACGAATGAGTGATGTCTATGACTCCGTGGATGATATTGACCTCCTGGTTGGAGTTTTGGCCGAGAAACCGAAGAAAGGAGCTCTGGTTGGCCCAACTTTAGCGTGTATTCTGGGAACCCAATTCTATAAGGTAAGAAGTGATCCGAAAACAAGTCTAATATAACAAATTGTATTGCTCCCTGTATTTTATTCTAATCCTAACACGTTATAGACCAAGAAAGGAGATCGTTTCTGGTATGAGAACTTCTTCTCGACCTCCTCATTCACCGACGATCAGCTGGTTCAAATCAGACAGACCACAATGGCCTCGGTTTTGTGTCAAGTTGGAGGTCAACAACAACTTCAACCATCGGTCTTTATGAAATCTGATCAATATGAAAATGCGTTTGTCAAATGTGACTCAAAAACCATTGACAAGATCGACTTGAGTGCCTGGAAAGATGATGACAATACCATTGAGTTCCCAGTGACCAAGGAAACCTTGATGAAAGTAATAGAATTGGCCAAGTTTAACGTCCAGGAAAGAGAACGACGGGAATCCTTGAATATCCAAAAAAGTGCGAGAGTTAATGACATATCTTTTTATTCGCCTGGAGTACTGTAACAATACTGTTTTAGATCAGCGCCAATTCCAAAAAGGAGATCCCCTCTATGCATATTCTAACATGATGAGGCCCAAAACAGAGACAAAGATCTTCAGCAAGGTCGCTGATGTGCTTCTGGAGTCCACAAGGATCCTGACTGAAGGGTAATCATTCAATTTATTCTTCTAAACGTTAACTTTAGACGAACATTGCCCGATGGAGAAGTTCTTCCCAAACTTTCCAACGATGTTCTCGTCAAACTATTGCCTGATGTTGGGATTGAAAGTCTGTTTAATAACTTCACCGCCTTCTTGAGTGAGAATGGAAGGGCGACGTTGGAAGAATGCCTTCCCAGGCAGTTGCCTTGCGATCACACAAGTAGATTTAGAACCTATTCTGGGTGGTGCAACAACTTGAAACATCCCGAATTTGCAAACGCTTTCACTCCTCTGCAACACTTACTGAAGGTAAAGTCATGACGCAATATTTATTTATGACGCAATTACCGTACCGCTATTTGTTAATGCTGATTTTTTATGATTACAAAATAATCTCTAATGCATTTCGTTGTTTGCAGCCCGCCTATGAAGATGGATTTGATGCTCCCCGTTCCAAAGCAAAATCTGGCAAGAATCTTCCATCTCCCCGGATCATCTCCAATGTTGTTCATGCTGATGTCAACATCAGTCATTCCAAGTTCACTCATATGGTCATGCAATTTGGACAACTCGTTGATCACGAACTTACACATTCCCCCGTTGCTCGCGCTGCAAATGACGACATCTTGAACTGCACCAGATGCGATTCCCCAATCACAATTTCCAAGCATTGTATGCCTTTGAGAGTCGAGCCCGGAGATCCACATTTCCCAACATTCTTGGATGGGGAACCTAGATGTCTGCCGTTTGCTCGATCTCTCCTTGGACAAGTCAATCTGGGATACAGAGCTCAGATTAATCAGGTAACCCCTTAGAAATAGTATTCATCTTGTCTTTAGTTGACTGCATTCGTTGATGGATCAGCTATCTATGGATCAACCACTTGCGAATCCAACAATCTGAGACTCTTCTCGGGCGGCCTAATGAACTTTACTAACCTCGGAGAAGGGAATCACATGGCCTTACCTCAAGGAGAACAAGAAAAAGATTGCCGGTCCTCCCCTCGAGAGCAATGTTTTGTTGCTGGAGATGAAAGAAACAGCCATCAGCCGGGCTTGACGATGATGCACACTTTCTTCCTAAGAGAGCACAACCGAATTGCGAAGCAACTGGCCAAGATTAATCCTCATTGGAATGACGAGCGACTGTTCCAAGAGACCAGACGGATTCATGTGGCGCAATTCCAACATATCACCTTCAGTGAATTCGTCCCAAAACTCATTGGAAACGAGCTCCTGAGTGAATATGATCTTGTTCCCTTGAAGAACGGATATTACACCGGCTATGATGACACATGTAATGCCGCTATTTCCCAGCCCTTTGCAACCGCTGCTTATCGCTTTGGCCACACTTTGGTCCGCCGAATGTTCCCTCGAATGGATCCCAACTACAAGGAAATGGCCGAGCCAGTGGATCTGGCTCAACATTTTGGTCATGTTGGTCCCATTTACAATCAATCGGCTGGAGGAATGGACTCAATGTTGATGGGATTGCTGGGCACCCCGGCTATGGCATTCGATCGGCATATAACTTCGGCATTGAGAAACCATCTGTTTGCCAAGAGAGGATTGGAAAAGTCAGGAATGGATCTAATCGCCATCAATATGCTGAGAGCCAGGGATCACGGAGTCCAGCCTTACAACGAATTCAGACAACTCTGTGGATTCCGAAAAGCACAGAGATTCGAAGACCTCCTAGATTTGATGGATTCCAGCGCTGTGAATTCCCTAAAGTCCGTATACGAGCATGTGGATGACATTGACCTTTTCCCCGGTCTTACTAGTGAAAAGCCCCGATTTGGAGCTCTTCTGGGCCCCACCATGAGTTGCATCATCGCGGAACAATTCCGTCGATTGAAGAAATGCGACCGATTCTATTATGAGAATGATAATCAGGCCGCCCGATTTACTCCTGCTCAGCTTCAGGAGATCAGGAAAGTAAAGCTGGCGTCAATCTTCTGTCAGAACAGTGAATATCTCAAGTTCTTGCAACCAAATGTATTTGATTTACCGGATAACATGATGTAAGTCATCGCCATATTATAATTACGTCTGTTGCGAAACGCTATGAAAGGGAGTGCTTACCTCATTTTTATTCAGGAACGCCCATTTGAGTTGTAAAGAATTTGAGAAGATCGATCTGGACTTGTGGAAGGAGACTCGTAAGTACAACGTATTCCGGGAAAAATCATCTTTTTTAGCCGAATGTGAGATCAATGGTCTGAAGATTCAATCAGGAGAATCCAGAAGAATAACCCCGTGTATGAACTGCATCTGCACTTCTGAGGGAGTAAGTTGGTCGTCGAATGTAACATATAAGAATATAAAATTAAAATATAATAATACTGTCTCGTTTAGCCCGAGTGTGCTCCAATTCGAATTCAAAACTGCGAGAAACTTCTCCAACAATACGATGTAAATGACATCAAAAAAGTAAGCAAAAACTTCTGATTTTAATAAAAAATATCCGTTAAGGATGCATCGTGCATTACGCAATGCGCTGAGATACTGAGCTCGGTGGATTCGAAAGCCTCGTCTTTCTAGAACACGTTATTTATTGTAATTATTGGCCATAACTTATTACGCAGGGTTGTATGTACATATAGATTAAACTGTTACTCATTATTAGTCATGGAACGTCAACCTTGATCTTCCGATTCAGGAAATCGTCCCGCTGATCTGTAAAATAAATCGGTAATCTAAGGCAAAATGACACTGTAAATTTATTCAAAAAAGAGATCATACAGGTCTTGGCAGACCAGGTGGGCGTTTCCTTTTCTTCGCCTGAGGTCCTGGTTGAGGAGGAGCATGTTGGAGGAGCTTTGGATTCACCGAATCACACTGAATGGGGACCTCTTTGGCTTCAGAATGAAGTGAAATTCCTTTGGAAGTATCTCTTTCTCCTCTTGGATGGTAGATTGGGGGGCCAGCCTGAGGATTGGTTCGGAGAATCACATCCTTCTCAACATCACAAATAGCGATGACATCATCCATCAGACGGGGATCTTGTTCAACCGTTTTGTCAGCCATTAATGCCAGTTTGACTCGGCTCAACGCGATGCTACTTTGTGGACGTTCAATGGCGACCTTACACTAAAAGAAAAAATAAAAAAAAAAATCAAATCACATACATATCTTTCCTTGCTGTTTAATCCTTTCTTAATCAAATCCTTGGCATCTTTGACTGAGGAAACTTCCACGTTATCTATACTCATGATGATATCTCCCACCAAGAAGGTTCTCTTTCCCAATGACTTGAAGCCATTATCAGTACTGGAGATGTAAACTCGACCTTGATAAGCTTTGATGTTGATTCCAAGAGAACTCATCGGGTACAATGTCAAGAATCCCAGGAGGTAAATGAAACCCGGAGTGAATTCAAATGCTGTTGACACCATGGTGGCTGCCTGTTCCTGGGTGATAATCTTCTTTCGAATCGTTCGAAGCACAGTGTATTTTATCTAAAAACAAATAAAATATTTTTTCCCAGAATAAAAATTATTCTTCCCCAGAAAAGACAATTACGGAAAAAACGCCATTTTTCCCAAAAAAAGAAAAATTTTTCCCAGAAAGAAGATTTTTATAAAAACAAGGACGGAACATAGTAAAAATGATAAGTAAATTTACTAGTAAAATCAACTAACAATAGTAATGTAAAATAGTATTGGTAGTAACTTTTTGAGGAAACGCTCAAAATAAATGTAATCGACAGTGCTGATTTTTAAAAATCTCATCTTTTTGTGATTTTTCTTTTTTATGGTCAAAAAGTGTAGTGAAGTGTAAATCGACAGTCTTTTTACCAATTCTCTTTTCTAGAGAAAAACATTTTCTATTCTGGGAGAGGAATATAGGCCCAAATGTCCCACTTACATCCATAGGAAAAGGTTGTTTCTCCAGTTCCATTACAACACTGAAATAATGCGCCTTATCTTTGATGACAACGTCATTGACGCAACATATCCAGTCGCCCAAATCAAGCTGATCTACGTCCTCTTCCGGTTGAACGCTGCCTTCATGATGTTCCGGAAGATTTACTACTTGCATCGTCTTGTAAACACAAACTTCTCTCTAAAAACACAATGAATAACATAAAAAATCGATAACTTACAGGGCGTCCGGGAGGAAAAGACAATGTGAATTCTTTCTTGATTGCAATATCCAATGGAACTCGGCATCTGGGCACTTTATTATACAATTCCAATGCTTCTTGTTCACCTTCTACAACCTTGGGAACTGATGGCTTACTCTCAATTGGATATGCAACTGGATCCTTATGTTTCGCAGGCTCTGCTGACCCTCTCTCCTTGCTTTCTTTAATTTCTTTGTGATCCTTCACATCTTCCTTTCCAACCAATTGATTATACAAGGAATGAACCTTATTGTAAATGGATCGTCTGCCAACTTTTCCCGAGGTATCCTTAACCGTCTCCTTTTCCACCGACCTTTTTGCTGTTTTGGCCTTTGGGGTACGCCTTGACCGGAGACTGACATTAGTTTCTTCTTCATCTCGACGGACGGCGCCCACACAATTCCCAGTTGCTGGCTGCTGATATAAAGAGGTCTAAAATTCAAGTTATTATTAAGTGTTATTACATAACTATAACCCACCACTTTATTCTTGGGGTCGTCGTGCTGCTTTCGCACCGTTTTTGGCTAAAAATATACAAAAATCATACAATTTGTGTCGAAAATAACCCTCCTTACCTTCGTTTGTGTCTTGCCATCTTTTGAATCTAAAAAACAAACACTTATATGACAATGCAATTCTACGTAATATACCCGACGATTTATCCTTGGACCTTCCTCTTTTCTTCCGTCTCTCTTCTTCATCCCCTTTCTTATCTTCATCCGAGCTTTCCCTTATGCGTTTCTTATCTTCTGGCAGATCTGTTGGTTCCTTGGCACCTTTCCTGGCTTCTAATTCCTTTATTGGAACCTTCCGTTTACTTAAATCAACTTCTTTCTTCTCCTTGCCATCAGCCTTCACTTTACTCTTCTTTAACTCGACATCAGCCTTGTTCACCTCCTCCTTTGACGGAGGTCGCCGTTTCTTTTCCTTGTCTTCGTTGCTCCCTTTGTCTTCTACCTTTACTGGCTTCTTATCTTTTACCTTCTGATCTTGTGTCTTTTGTTTTTTTGTCCGTTGTTCGGTGGAATCTTTCTTCAGTTCTCCAGATGTGCCCGACTCTTTCATCTTCGATTTCAGTTCATCAATAACCTCATTGTAAGAACGTTCGACCATCGGATCCTTTCTTATTTGATACTTTATCAATTCATTAGTTACCAGCCGCTTATTATCCGAAGTTGGTTCATCTTCAGACTTGCTTGCCAAAGCTTCAATGCTTTTACTCGTTTGCATTTTTTCGGCTTCTTTCTGTTCCAGTATTTCAAGGATATCAGGTTGCTTGTCCTTATGATCACTTAGATTTTCAACATCTTTTCTCACGGTCTTAACTTTCTCCTGAACGGAGGATTTATCTTCGCCACCCGTTTTCTCGGATTTATCGCTTTTATCGAAACTCCTCTCTGCATCTCTTCCGGATCGGTTCAGGCCGTCTTCGGAATCCGACTGGGTTCGATCGAGACCTTCGTCTTCCTAAAACAATATAATTAATTGCGCAATGACAAGACGGAAGCTCGCAGAAAGAACATCACAAGATAACGCCTGCAGTCTAGATCAAGTCCAGTAATGCCGCCAGAAATTACTGGACCACTACTGCGCGCAGAAAATCAATAAAACCAATAAATAAACGAAATGCCACAGAAATTATCGAATTATATAGTAGCAGCGCAAAAAAACGGGAAGTTGCACAAGAGCTCTTGTAATTACTCTTGCAAGAGTAATTACATGGCAGTATAACGAAGTATAAGAAGGGGTAAAGCACGAGCGTTTTAGTTTATAATGGAGCCCTAACAACTACGGCAGAAAATATATTCACCATTCTGTAGAAGATCTGTTCTTGACAGACGAGGAAGTAAAATACGGTTATGACCTTCTATTCCAGTGCTCAATGCAGCGACAGAAACCAAGATAGCAGCGACAAGTTTCCAGCCGACCGTTCGTTTGGACCAAAGTTGGAAAAATGACTATTCGAGGGTAAGAGGAGCATCGAAAATTATTTCCAAGATTAAAAACTTGTAAAAAACCTTATATTTTTGCCCCAAGTTCTGGAAACCTATTTCACGTTGTCTGATGACCTATAATCTAGACTTTTTCAACGAAAGCGCTCATGATCATCGATAACGATTCATCAAATTGCAATCCATTTGTCACGCTGTTGATGAAGGCGTCATCTACAAGTCGGAACTTTCGAGAATTCAGCAAACGATTGTGATATCGAAATGAAATAAGGTGAGCAAGTCAAGGGTTCGGCCGGAAATATTCTGGAGTTGTCACGGATTCAATTTTAGTATCTTCTGAGGCTACCGTAATCTTCGTAATTTTAATGTCATTGTTTTTATTTTCAACTATTTTTCTTAGGTAATCTTGCGAATTATTTTCAAACATTCCTTGTTTTTATTGGAATTAGATAGTATGTGTTTCCTTATATTTGCAGTGACAAAATCCCTGGTAAGATTGGTTATCAATTGATAAAGTTTATGTCCGGTGGAAGAAAAGACCTCGCGCAAATTGTTAAAACGTAATAGAACGCCTTCATATGATAAGATTAATTATGTGGAAGGGTTCTGAACTTTATTATCAGCTTATTTGCCGCATTCTCTACGTGACATCTGGTGATCGTTTTGTATGCGTCTTCATTCAGGTGATCTCGACGCCGTGGTCTTTGTTCATTTGCACTAAGTAGCAAGCAGTCATGCTCTCGAATGTGGTTTTCTCTGGTGAGGCCGAGCCCGTTCTCAAGAACGATCCTGAATTGTGAGAATAATCCATCTCTGATAAAGATACGATTTCGTATTATAATGTTATATATATTGTAATTACAGCTACGTTAATGACAAGGAAAAGAGAACTTTGGTGCTAGATGGAGAAAGTCTGACACTCGAGGATCTTGTGGATTGCTCCAAGGATTTGGTTCGCATTGAACTGTCAGAAGAGGCCAAACAAAGAGTCAGAGATTCCAGGGAATTCTTGCTGAAGATTGCTCGAGAACACAAGAGTAGGCAGTCCGCGTATTCTCAGTATTAATGGTTTCAGTTGTTTATGGCATTACAACTGGATTCGGGACCTTTGCCAATGTGGCCATCGAGCCTGCTGACATCCGAAAGCTTCAACTCAACCTTGTCAGATCTCATGCCACTGGCTATGGCCGTTATTTGGAACCATCCAAGGCCAGGATGTTGCTGGCTCTCCGGATCAACGTCTTTGCCAAAGGGCATTCCGGAATTTCTCTGGAGAACGTTCAGAAGTTGGTTAATGCCTTCAATGGTACGAAGATTTCATTATTTAAATCAGCACTTTTTTCGTAGAAGATTCATCTCCCTATTTCAGCGTTCTGTGTGAGTTTTGTTCCTCAACAAGGTACTCTTGGATGCAGTGGAGATCTGGCTCCGCTTGCGCATTTGGCTTTAGGAATGCTGGGCGAAGGACAGATGTGGTCGCCGAAGACCGGCTGGGCCCCAGCTGATAAGGTGTTGGAAGTAAATGGTCTAGAACCTCTGGAATTGGGACCTAAGGAAGGTCTCGCTTTGATTAATGGAACCCAAATGGTCACCGCGATTGGCGCTATGGGTAGGATGACGAAATGTTTTGTCCAAATTTTTCTTAATTATTTCAGCAACAGTGCGAGCAGAGAACTTGGCCAAACAAGCTGACGTTATCGCTGCCTTGACTTTGGATGTGCTTAAAGGGACCAGCCGTGCTTATAATGCCAGTAAGAACAACAAGTCTGTACCGGTACTTATGTAATTCAGATATTCATCGAGTCCGTCCTCATAAAGGTCAGAATATCGTCGCCAGCCGTCTTAGAGCTCTCTCCCATTCCGAACAGAATCGTTCCGAGATTGCGGAATCTCATCGAAACTGTGGTCGAGTCCAGGACGCCTACACTCTTCGGTGTGTTCCTCAAGTCCACGGGATCTCTCATGACACGATCGAGTTCGCAAAGAATGTGCTCACCACGGAGATCAACTCGGCCACAGATAATCCTTTGATCTTCGCCGAAGAGGAAGAGATCATCTCCGGAGGCAACTTCCACGGAGAATATCCGGCCAAAGTCCTCGATTATTTGGCGATTGGAGTCCAGGAGCTGGGACAAATAAGTGAACGGCGACTGGAACGGTTGGTCAACCATGAATTGAGTGGCCTTCCCACTTTCTTGACCCGTGATGGCGGTCTGAATTCGGGCTTTATGACCATACAATATTGTGCTACCTCGCTGGGTACGATTGCAGTCTCCGGTTTTAATGTCTTTTTGATGAATTTACAGTTTCAACGATAATAATTTTTCAAATTTTAGTCTCGGAGAACAAAGTTTTATGTCATCCATCATCGGCTGACAGTATCCCCACCAGTTGCAATCAAGAAGATCATGTGTCCATGGGAGGATTCTCGGCCAGGAAGGCCCTCAAAGTCGTTGAACATACCGAAGCCGGTGAGAATATTATATTTAGACTTCTTGGGATACAGGAATAGGAATGACAATCAATCTTTTACAGTTCTTGCCATGGAATTGCTTGCTGCTTGTCAAGGAATGGAGTTCCTGAAACCGCTAAAGTCTACTGAGCCTCTTCAAAAAGTCTACGATCTCGTCAGAACTGTTTCTCCGTAAGCAATCCTCCCGTTTCCTATCAATGTCACGCGGAATTTATTATAAAAAATGATTTTAGAGCGTTGGAAGAGGATCGCTTTATGCATCCAGAGATCCAACTTGTAATCAAACTAGTCCGTGAAAACAAAGTTTGGGAGGTAGTGGCCCCACATTTGGAGAAGATGAACGAACTCGAAGAAAAAGACCCAGACGCCCTGCGGCAAGAATGCGCGTCTCCAACTGGGGGCACTTTTACTTCCAAAGGATTCGAAGAAGCTTTGTAAATTTACTGATGTTTTGACTATAAAGTACTGATTACAAATATGTGCTTGGTTGAGAGGCGTGTTTTATAGTTTTTGAGAGCAAACCCTCTCCCTCTGTCTAAAGTCTCTCTGCGAATGGTCTTTCGAAACAAGAGAGAGCGAGCCGCGGTTCCATGGTGTAGCGGTTAGCACTCAGGACTTTGAATCCTGCGACCCGAGTTCGAATCTCGGTGGGACCTAAGCAAAACATTTTTACCATTTTTATAAAGTAGGCACAAATTGTAGTTGAACTTTGTTTTGCACTCACAACGCAAACAAACAAGAGCGAGTGACACATAAAATAAGTCCTGACGATCTTTTAAGACGGTGTTATTTGTCCGATTTCAAAGTTCACTACGAAAAGTAAATAAAACCCTCAATTTCAGAGTTTATTTCTCTGCAATAAACAAGCGCGTTTACTGTCAAACAGTCAAGTTTCTCGTGTTCTCTGCAGATTTCCAGTCGAAAAAACAGCCTCGTTTATTTCCTCTTTCGGTTTTATTTTTTGGCGCTCAGGTTTTATGACGCGGAGGATTGTTCTGGTGGCCACCTTCGTCTTTTTTTGTAAGTTTTTAATTTTTCATTATGGGTCCCACGTGATTTGCATTCTTTTGGAATGGAATACACAGTTTTTGGGCTTTTATGAGTCAGGAATTTATTCATGCGAAAAAATTGTCTTATTTTTTAGTAAAACTAAAATTTTGGGATGAGTTACAACGCAAATCAGCTGAAAGAACGAGGTTCCGGTAAAACTGTTAACCATGTAACCTTGTCATTATTATTTCAGATGGTTTCGTAACGTCCGAACCGCTCTATGAATACGAAATCGGACTTCTACAAAAGACTTTGGATAAAAACAGTCAAGATAATGTTGTCATCTCCGGATTTTCCATTCTAAATGGTCTGGAGTTAGTTTATCGAGATGCTCAAGGACAAACAAGGCAGGAATTTCTCGATCTCATTGGGAAAGGTAAGTTTTTTTATCACGGATAACTCCGAATTTAATTTTTATTTACTAAATATTGTCTTTCCATAAGCTAGGAAAGTTCCTTTGCATCTATTCAGTTATGTTTTACAGGTTCATCATCTACTCTGGTTTCCCAAAAGACCCGGGCGCTTCAGCAACTTGATGGACGGAATTTGACTTTGAAATTGGCCAACAAAGCGTACATATCGGCTAAAATAACGATCAAAAAAGAGCATACAAGGGACAGCAGAGATGATCTAATCGAACAGTTAAACTTTGAGGACTCCAAAAGATCCACAGACCTCATTAACGGGTTTGTGAATTTCACAACCAATGGTCTCATCGACAAGATTGTAACCCAAGATGATGTCAACTCGAATACGAAGTAAGTGGGTGTTTTGGTTTTATTAAAGTTTTGAAACTTTTAATTATCTAATACCTCTTTTCAAGCCTTGTCATGGTGAATGCCCTTTATTTCACTGGAGAATTTGCCTCAAAGTTCAATAAGAACAAGACCAAGAATCTCGTATTTTATCCAAAAGCTGGAGTGGACAAAGAAGTGCCAACCATGTACAAGAAAGCCCCTTTTCCTTATAAATCAACCGCAGAAGCAGACGTTGTGCATGTTTTATACAAGGGAAATGCTCGATTAGTATTGGTGGTACCCAAAGAAAAGTTCGGATTAGACAAATTGGTAAAAGAATTGGATTCAGAGAAGTTGAAGGGCTATCTGAATGGTCTGGAATCACGGGGAATTGAGGTATGCTTTTTAAATATTTTGGACGATATAGTAACGATATTTCCAATGTACGAAATTGTCTTCTTTTCAGCTTTTCCTTCCCAAATTCAGCATCAGTTTTGAAGATGACGTAAGAGAACAGTTACAATCTCTCGGCTTGAAGAAGGGTTTCAGCCCGGAGGCTGATTTTGGTGGATTAACGGATCAGAAAGTTCCAATCGACAAAGTCAATCACAAAGTTGTCTTCAAGGTGGGCGAGTAGAAGACTATTGATTAGGAATTTGATTATTTTGCAAACTAAAATATTTTAATTTCAGACCGATGAAGATGGCACCGTTGCAGGGGCCTCAACCGCAGTCGTCTCTTCCCGATCCTTCTCGCCGGTCGTTAATGCAGATCATCCGTTTTTATTCTTCGTCGTTGCCGATGATGAGATCATTTTCAGCGGAACCCTCAGGGATATCGAGTAAATTTGAATTCACTGTTCATTACTATGCTTTCTCTGAACGTATTACTATTAACAATCATGGTGTAATAAATCTTCGTATAATATTTTTTGGCCCTCGGATTAGTATGTGTCATAATTTTCTTTATTTCACATTGCTATTTTTCTATTTTGTTTACATACTAGGCGAAGGTGACTAACAATATGACGTAGCATATTCTTTTCTACAGCTGGTCTTTAGGTGGTTTCCACCCCCCAAATATATCATGTATATGCTCCTGGGTCCTTGTCAATAAGAAATCGTTTCCTCTCTTGGCAGCCAACTGCACTGTCACCGGATATCCCTGATTGTCCAAACCAATGGGCGCTATGGCTGCAGGCAGTGCCAAGACATTGAAGATACCGGTCAGGAAGAAATCTCTTGGAGTAAAGAGTAATTCTCGATGGAAATAATGGTTTCTGGGCAAGCTTGGAGCTACCACGAGGACGTCGTCGCTAAGAATCTGGTTGATTTTTACCCGATATTCGAGGAGTTCGTTGTGAATTCGAGTATATTCTTGGAGACCGCGGGGCTGATTGAACATCTGGAGACATTCGACAGTTCCGGGGTTCACTTGGCCGATTCCAACCAGAGATTTTAGCTTCTCGGCGATTAAATTTACATTGTCATCAAACTAAATTAAAGTAATTATAAGATTAAGACTGTAAAATAAGAAATGGAAACGTGTTTTAGAACTCACGGGGAAGACAGCACCAGTAAAGGTTCCCAATTTGGGATCATTGATCTCATTGAAGTACCACTCCATGATCTTGTTCTGCTTAGGGATCTCCAATTCCTCGACTTCCACCTCAAACTTCTCACCCAAAGCATTTACGACTTTTGGAACAGCATTTCTTATTACGTCGGATAGCTCATTGTGCTCATCCGATATGCAAATTACAGTGTATATCTTGGTTGGCTTCAGATTTATGTAGTTATCGGGGATTGGAATATACGACAGAGCCTAAAGGTATAAAAATTTTGGTTTTTTTTGCAAACTTATGGACTTACACTGTAGAAGATGGCCAGATCATGAGCATATCGGGCCAAAAGCCCAACTCCAGCCATGAGATGTAGGTCGTCGCCTTCCCCTCCAGGGAAATGGCCATCAAGTGGAATGTCATCAACTGGTTTCAGAGAGAAGATTCCATTCAAAATGGCGGGCATCCGAACTGATCCTCCGATATCAGTCCCAATCCCGATAACCGATCCCTCGGCCGAGATGATGGCCCCTTCTCCACCGGAGGATCCTCCACATGTGGTTCGGTTGTCATAAGGGGAAGACGTTGTCCCAAAAACTTTATTAAAAGTTTCGATCCAAAGACAAGCATCGGGGACATTTGTGTGACAATGGGGGATTCCGCCAGCTGAACGGATCCTGTAAAGTCAAGATAAAAGATGTCAATTTATTGGGTGGTTAGGCTAAAAGGGATTAGTTCGTGGTTGAATTGATTCCAAGGTTTGTGTTTTACCTTTCAACGGCAACTGCATCATCTCCGACTGGTGGTAAGTTCCTTCGCCATGTGAGGCCAGAGATGGTCCGATGGCCCTTCACATCGAACGAGCTTTTTACTGAGACTGGAACACCCAAGAGTGGCTTCGTAATTTCAAGCTGAAATTCGATCAATTTATTTCTCATCCGTAAACGAAAAAAGAGGCGAAATAAGTAACACTTACATTTTTATATTCTTCCGATGCCTTGTCCAACTTCTGGATGTAATCGTCAACTCGCCTTGCCTCCTCCAACGCTTCTGCTTCAAAACTTTCCGCCACTGCATTGATGAACCCGTTAACGAATCGGATTCTGTTAAAATAAGCCTTCACCAGGGCGTAGGATGACAATTCTCCTTCTCGAATCTTCTTTGCCGCTTCAGAAGCGGACAATTTGGTCAGGTGATTATCACTTTCTGGGGTTACGACCCTCGCCTCCAGCTGACAATACAATTTGTATAAGGCGGCCCCGTAGACTTGAAACGTGCTGGGCATCTTGAATGCTTTGGTCTGATCGTTCCTTCTATTTTTATATGTACTTTCTGATGTGTCAACTTTGTTTAGAGTGGAGCTGATTTAACTGTTTTGATCGCTTTTTCAATTCCAAATCATTTTTGCATTCGAATTGACCCTGAAAAGGTTTCAAATTTATTCGTTCCAAAAAAGCGGAAGTTTCGATAAATTTTGTTGAAAAAGTGACGCATTCAGACAAAAGAAATTTTAAATCATGGGGTTCAAACTTGATAGCTGCAGCTATATTATAAACATTGCTTGGGAACTTTGATCTGAAAAATGTCAAATTTTTTAAAATTTAAAATGTTTTGTGACTTGAAAGTACAGTTTTATAGAGCTGTCGTTAGATAAGACGCATTAAAACGGTTCGGATTACGGTATTGAGGGTTGGTTTTAACCCTCAATATCGTAAGTTTTCTAAGTTTTTTATTATGAGACCTTGAGTTTTTTAAGTTAAGACTAAGTTAAAATTTGTTTTGAGATGATGTTTTTGACAGTTGCTAACTTTTCCAGACATCTTGCCTACTTTTGACTCCAAAAACGAATATTTTGAGATTAATCTCATGTGTGGTTTCAACTTCCAAATGAAGGCTGGTTTCTTTTTCCTAAACCGGCATCAGATTCCGGATCAAAAGAGAAGAAATATCCGGTTCCGTTGATAAAAGTCGCGCTTCACGGAAGAAGCGGGTTCAGTCTTGAACGAGATGCTTCCCAATTTCTTGGGGCTTCTGCTTCTCACTGCAACTGGTCTTGGCTTTGCCGCTGAGGTCAAACAGGTGAGCAAGGAGACTTATCTCTTTTTTCATTAACTTCTAAGACAAGGATCTCACATTACTAAACTTGGAACGTCATCTTTTTAAAGTTTTATTTTTAGTCCTATTGTGAAGCCTATTCCACTTGTCGCCAAAGTGCGTTAAACCGTCTGAAGTCCTGTAAAGATGGATACTCGGCTTATTTCTTTGGCCGAATCTCCACATCAGATGTCCAAGTAGATCCATTAGATCGTATTCATTGCGAAATGTGTAAGTTTAATTTTTAAATTTAAAGGTTCGAATTTTAGCCTTCAAACGAGCTATTGTAAATCTTGAAAATCTTTATTCGACCATCGAAAGAAACGTTCCAAAATGCACCGAAAACTCAGATAAAGGATCAATTGAAGACTCGCAAGTTCTGACTTGTGAATCCTTGAAGATTGAACTCCCATCCACTGGGCAGAATGACTATTGCGTCAAGACTTACGAAGAGGATCTTAAATTTTGCCAACAGTTGGAACGATGTTGTCCCGGATATAACAAGTAAGTAAAGTGATGATTGAATAATAAAATTGCCTTAGGTGTTACGCTCAGGTGCATGATGAATCTGGGGCTTTCCAAAAGGAGAGACTTCTGACTGAGAAGTACAACGAATGTTTGGCCCATCCCACCAAGAAGACCTACTTGGCCGATGCGCTGATTCGAAAAGCCTTGGCAGCTACAGCACCTCCACCAACAGAAGCGCCTTTCGCCCAAGCCCCTGCTGAAGAAGAAAAGAAAGAAGAGAAAGTAGAGCAAGTAAAAGAAGAAACTAAATTTGAGCAGGCTCAAGAACAAAATAAAGATGACGACGTCAAAGAGGACAAAAAAGAGCAACCTCAGCCAGAAAAAGAGGAAAAATCTGAAGCCATTCCTCCTCAGGAAGCTCGCCAAGAACCGGAAAGTGCTGCTGAAGTCTTCGATGACAGACCGCCAAAACAGAATACGGAGAAAGATGTTGACTTCAAGGCGGAAGAGCCACATCTCAGCTTCTCTCACGACAAAAAGACCATCAGACAAAAGAAAGTGAGATATGATGAGGAAGAAGAAGATGATGAGGAAGAGATTATCCAACTTCCATTACCCGAAGGAAACAACTCATTGTCGAAACTAAAGCCAATCCTTCAGATGAATCAGACCGAATTGGAAATAGTGGAGAAGGCCCGAGTGAAAGCGGCTATCAAGGAATTAAGAGATTCGGCCAAGAAAAACGTTCAGAAAGACGTTGGAAGAAAGGAGGAATTAACCACTGAAAAGGTAAAGGGATCACTTGAATTGTAAGCAAGGTCTTTCAGAAAGTAATCCACAACATTATGTGCTCCCAATTCTTGGAATGTGCAGCTGTCGTGGAGAAGTTTGATGACGATTGCGAGATTCGCTTCCCGGTTGACAGAGAGACCGTCAAGGGAATTCCCAACAGACACATCCGATGGCATTTCCTCAACACTTCGACCACCACCGATGCCCAAATCCAACAACACTGCCTGAACAATGTTGATCCTATCAGTCAAGCTCAGGTAATTACTATTTGTATTATACGTTCTTCTCCCGTCCAGACAGCGTTGTTTATCTGCCATAGCCAATTCGAACTTAAATTCCAGATTGAAGCTCTGCAAAACGTAGTAAACGCTCAAAACGAAAAGTGCACACGAGATCAATCCGTCGGGCGAAAGACTGCGGAAGTAAGTCGATAAGAAATATTTCCAAAATTTTGTTTTTTTAACTCCCAATCTCTAAAACACTTCTCACAATGCTTGTATTCCAGTTCGATGGTTGTGAAAACGTCGGTCTTGTAAACGAATTGGTCGAGTTGGCCAAGATCCCATTAGATGAAGACCCAAAACTAACTAACGCCGAGAAACAACAAAAGTGCAAAGCGAGACATTCGGACTTTGGTCGTCGTTGTCGTGCCTTGAGATCGTGTTGTCCTGATACGCTTGTGTAAGTACAGGAACTTTTTCATTCACGTCTGTACTTTTATTTTTCGCTTCGCTTATTATCATCATCGTTTTAGTTGTGACCAGACAAACCAGAGTAAAGAAGCTAAAGAACTGAGACAATTGAAGAATTCGTTGAAGGCGGAACAGCGATTATGCGAGGCTAGACTCCATCGTACACAAAAAGCAGCACAGTCTGGACTGGCCGGATTGGCTGGACTCAATCTTTAATTGCATTTATCAGTCTGTTATTATGGTGAGCACTCTGGCGCATCGAAAATCGGATCGCCGCCGAGAAAATGAGTTGTGTCGCGACAAAATCAAATTACTTTTGACTTCAGCGACGCGATTGGCGCAGCGACATTGTGCTCACTACTTTCCCGACAGACTGATAATGTCCCTAAATTAATATCTGTAAATAGCTAGAATAATTATTCTCAAGAGCTCAATATTGGTCGCATACGACATAATAAATATCTATACAATGTCAATTTACCCATCTAGTTTTTTAATACTAGGTGGGCCAAAAGTCTTGATACGTTACCGTACAAATCGGGTGTCGTAGCGGGAAACCGCGATTTCTTGCCTGTTAGGCCTCCAGACAAGAAATGCGTAATTGTCGTCTCAAATTGCGTAACATTGCGCGAATTTCTGCTCTCCCTGCGGAGATTTTTATCCTTTTTTTCTCTGCACAGACAAGAATTGCGCTTTTCTTGTCTAGAGGCCAAACAGACAAGAAATCGCATTTGTGGTACCTTTATGGCATCTCACCAATCATAAACGTTTTTATTTTTAGTCGTTGAAAGGAGGATATTTGCTAGAAAAAATAGGTGCATGTTTCAAACCCTTTGGGCAAAAAGTACAAAGATACCGTCTTTGATTAGACGCGGTTTTACTCGTTTCTCGCATTAAAAACGACTTACAACATGAATCGACAAAATATATTGATTTAGGGTAGCGGGCCATGTTACAATAAATTAGTGTAAATACACGGGAGATAAGAAAATGGAGAACGGGTCATTTTCAACTGTAAAGATCATCGTCATCGTTTCCTCCGACGGGTTGGGCAGCGGGCTGGTTGGGGACTCCAGCGGGCTGAGCTCCTCCTTGGTCGGGGAACCTGAAGTTATTGCCGAATCCACGTTGTTGTTGGAGCGTCTGGGCAAACATCTCATACTTGACGATGTCGTTATCCGACACAGATCGACGGGCGAATTTCATCGCCTGAAAAAGTTGTTGAAAACCATTGAAACAAAAACAAACAAAGTACATTTTCAAAAACCTACCTCTTCGAAATGCAGACGAGTAATCTCAGGCACTGGATCTTGTTCTTGATCTTCCATCAGCTCTTCTCCCTTGGCCTGTCTCTTCTGTCTTTCTTTTTCCAAGGTAATCTCCCGTTCAATGCTTTCTCTGATGGCCAACTTACAAGCTCTTTGACAGATTTCAGTGATGTCAGCACCGGAGAATCCGACGGTAGATTTGGCCAGGAAACCGAGATCGATGTCTTTGGCAACCGGAGATTTCTTGAGATTGGCCTTGAAAATTTGGAGACGAGATGGCTCATCTGGCAGAGGGATGTAGATCAACTGGTCAAGACGGCCAGGTCGGAGGATAGCGGAGTCAATAATATCTGGTCTAAAAACGAATGAATAATAACAAAACGTTCTCCTACCTGTTGGTCGCACCAATAATGAAAACGTTCTTCTTGGCACCCATTCCATCCATTTCAGTTAAAATCTGGTTGATCACACGGTCAGCGGCACCCCCAGCATCGCCAACATTTCCTCCACGAGATTTGGCAACCGAGTCCAATTCATCAAAGAACAGAACACAAGGAGCAGCGGCACGAGCCTTGTCGAACACGTCACGAACATTGGCTTCGGATTCTCCAAACCACATGGTCAACAGTTCAGGACCCTTGATGGAGATGAAGTTGGCTTGACATTCATGGGCAATAGCCTTGGCCAACAAGGTCTTACCGCAACCGGGAGGGCCATAAAACAGAACACCTCGAGAAGGTTGCATTCCAAACTTGAGATACTTTTCAGGATGCTCCACTGGATACTAAAGCAGGCAATTGTAAAAGATTAATTTGAAGAAAGTCAAAAATATTAGGTAAACCCACCTGAACAAGCTCTTGAAGTTCCCTCTTGACGCTCTCCAAACCTCCAATATCACTCCAGTCAATGTTGGGAGTCTCAACAACTGTCTCACGGAGAGCCGATGGAGTGTTCTTGCCCAAAGCAAATCTGAAGTTCTCCATCGAAACGGCCAAAGAATTGAGAACCTCAGCATCAATAGTATCTTCCTCAAGGTCGATCAACTCCATCTTTTCACGGATCTGTTGAAGAGCGGCTTCAGAGCAGAGGGAAGCCAAATCGGCACCGACGTAGCCGTGGCATTCGTTGGCGATCTGTTCCAGATCAACGTCCGCCGCAAGCTTCATGTTCTTGGTATGAATTTTGAGAACCTCCAGACGCCCTGGAGCATCCGGAATTCCAATGTCAATCTCTCTGTCAAATCGACCGAAACGACGAAGAGCGGGATCAATCGAGTTGGGTCTGTTGGTGGCGGCCATCACAACGACGTGAGAACGTTGCTTCAGACCATCCATCAAGGTCAAAAGTTGGGAGACAATACGACGTTCAACTTCTCCATGAGTCTTCTCTCTCTTAGGAGCAATAGCATCAATCTCATCGATGAAAAGAATTGAAGGGGAGTTCTTCTCACATTCTTGGAAAGCCTTTCTCAGGTTAGATTCGGATTCACCAGCCAATTTACTCATAATTTCGGGACCGTTCAACAAGAAGAAGAACGCTCCAGTTTCGTTGGCCACAGCTCTAGCAATCAGTGTTTTACCAGTACCAGGAGGCCCGTAGAGGAGGATACCACGTGGAGGCTAAAAATAATTTCATTAGAGACGGAAGTTGAAGACAAATATATTCAAAATTATAAGGAAGAGAAGCTCAGAGTGTGCTTTTACTCTGCGAGAAGAGATCGGAGACACCGTTGCCTCTCCCTTCAACCCGCATTGGATCACATGTTGGCCAATTTCAGGACCCCTGCACAATTCATCATCGCCATACATAAAAAACTATGGAAACCCTGCATGAAAAAAGGCTCACTTTGATACCAATGGACTTAAATAGTTGAGGATGGCGAAGTGGAAGTTCAACCATCTCCTTGATCTGAGCCAACTGCTTCTTGACACCACCAATATCATCGTAGCCAACATCATTAATGTTCTCTTCTTCTTCCTCTCGCTTGATGGGCTCTCCTTCGTAATGAATCAGAGTGTCAGGAGCGACGATACAGCATGGAGATGGGTCCGTCTCAATAACCTAAAGAGGATAAATATAGATATCATCGCGTTCGTTTGCCTAAAGAACAGATGAATCCTTCAAAAATACCCACCTTAAATTCGACGGTCCTCATAGCAGCCTTGATAGAGAAAATGTCACCTTTATGTACCGGACGATAAGTTTCAACGAAGTATGGCTTCAAGAAGACTTCAAAAAGGTTTCCGGTGAGCCCTTCAATGGTGTCATCTATGGGCAACACCTGGATTCGCTTTCCATAGCTGATGCTTGGAGCCGCGGTGATGCTATAAAATAAAAAATGTTAGAATGTAAACAGCTTTCTAATTTACAAAACTGCAACTATAAAGTTCTGATTTTTTTTGTATGCCCCGCAAGTAGACCAGATCGGCTTCCTTTTACCGAAACGCTCTGTTCTGGGAGCATGTTTTTTGTTCGAGGGTTGTATCAACGCATCTCCAACCATCATCAAAACACGCTTTCTTATACCTCGATTTCTGTCCAATATTAACCACAAATACTTACCTGACAACATCTCCCAATCTAACTCTCAAGTTGTGTCTAACCACACGATTCATCAAGATCTTATCGTTAGTGCAGGACTCATCGGCGAGGACAATAGCGATCGTTTCGCGTCTCTTCTTTCCCTTCAAGAACACGTTATCTCCACGGAAAAGTCCGAGTTCGTCCATCTTGGCTTGACTGAGTCCAACAACAGAGTTATCGTCCTTGCTAGAACCCTCAACGATCAATCGGTTGGGCTTGTGTTTGTCCTTAAGGATAGCAGTAGCCAGAGCCTCATTCTTCTTCGTCTTCTCGTCTTGTTTTCTAAACCGAAAATATTATATTGAATAATTCCACTTACGTTGGAACCGAGGCCATATTATCCTTGTTTCGGTTAAAAGTTAGGTCTAAACTCTGCAAAGATAGAAAACTGGCTCTGGCAAGACAAGGACACGTCGAATTATACGTATACTTCGCGAAAAAATCCAACAAACTTTGAAAAGACGCGGAAAACAGTGTCCGCAACAATAAAATCGGCTAGCAAACTATAATTTATATGATAAAGTGTCAAAAAAAATACAGGCAACAGCATACGGACATCCGAAATAACCGTCCGTCGCTGGAAAAACGATGATTTCGAGAGAATGCCACATATAAATTGGGATGCTAAACGCGGGAGTTTGAAATAAATTTTTGTGGACATTTTATACGAGGACTTTTTCAAGTGATGAAAGACGCATAAAGTGGGAAAAAAATGTTTCTATGAATGAAATCGTAAGGATATAAGTGTAGAATATACCAGTCGCGCCGCCATAAAGACCGTAGAATTTGCACAGTGCGTTTTTTCGCCGGAGCCGCTGCGACTTCCCATTTTTGCACTAGCGACATGCACTTTTCTGCGAGCGTACCCCGCGACGTCGCCGAAAAAATTCTGCGATCTTTACGGCGCGACGAGTAATCGTATTAAGATTTAAAACACTCTTAAAGTCAACCCGAGACAATACTTTATTTATTCTGTTCAACAGACTGATAGTTACAACGCAAATCAGTTGCGGTTGAAATAAGCAGTCAGTTAAAACCTATCCCACACTTCTAGAGGGCTAGAAAGACATGGGAAACATCAAATAAACAAGCCAGAAACAATGTCTCGCATCTCTTCGAAAGCGCCTCGCACCTTTATTGACTGTTAGAGCATGTGTCCAGTGCTTAAATACATTTGCATATTCCTGTTTTTTCTGTCTTAATATTGGCTTGGGCTTGATTGGTCTTTGGGATCTCATAGTGATTGTGTAAGAGTACGTAACTTAAAAGGAATTCTAGTTGTTATTATGGGGTCTACAATGTTCCTTTGTTTACGGTATCGAGGTTGAAATGACTATTGTCACTACAAAGTAGCTTTATCTTCAATTAAATTACTCACGAAAGGCAACAATATTTATAGCCTCACACGTCATTATCAATGTATTTGTGGTCATCCCGACCCCCTTAACTTCTCAAATTCTTTAATCTGAGAGTCCATAAAAGGACTTTAAATCATGAGTCATTTCTCATCATGTCATCGACTTCTGAATCCTGTTTTCTCTTTTTGAACCATTCGTCTTTTGAGTGGATATTGAATAAAAGAAAAGAGAGGCGTTCTTTGGAGGTTTTTTGGTATAATTCAAAAGAGTTTATATAAATCTAGTTTAGTCGAAATTTGGCCCAAAAAACGAAAAGAGCGGCCGAAAAAGGAAAAAAAAGGAATTTCTGGCAATCTTTTTTACAGAATTAAATAGCGATTATTTAGTTTAATATAAGCGTATTTGAATGGTAATATTCGTTTAATATAATCGTATTTGAATGGTAATATTCTTGTATTTGTTTGTCTGTGCGGGGTTTTTGTAGAACAAACAACTTGTCCAAACGATATTTACTTTCAATCCCAAAGTTCACAGCATTTGGAGAAGCTTCCAGCGTTAAAAATGAAAAATTATACCCTTGATAGTTGAAGTCTTTGGACAGAAGTATTAGAATTTATACAAGGACCCTTATCGGTAATTGTAAATAACAAAGGATGAGCAAAAGGAACGCTTCGGAGCTTATAAAGTTGCGTCTTTTTTATGACTTTGCACTGTCTACTCCTTTATTTTTGTTATTTTTACTCTTTTACTCATTGCAATGTATATATTTATCATTAAGAGGCTTACACAGTAGGCTTTGGACGGATAAATCTTCCAGTTCTGTTGCTGCAATAAGTTGAATTTTCCAAAACTTTGTTTTATTGTTGTCTGCGCGCTCTTCCGTTTCTTCCATTGTAATAAAAATAGGCAGTGAGTAATGTATTCGATAGATTTTTCAGTGAAATTCTGTATCCCTTTATATTCGGTTCACCCACTTTGAAGAATCTCCGTTAACGTTCGCTTTTCATTGAAAATTTGATGACTTTTTTGTTAGCCTTAGGTCCAGATAATATTCTGAAATGAAAATTGTAATTTTTTTGTACTTTATGACTTCGTATACATATAAGCATGTTACGGGCTCCGAATGGGGAATGAGTTTCCCTGGAGAAAGCAATGCTTAAAGTTTTGTCGCCATAGCAGTAATAGTAACCGGCATTCGGCTTCCAAAGAATCTGTACAAAAAGAGAATAAATTAGATTTCGTGCCAACGATTTCGCTCTCTTATTTTTGATTACTTCTGATTACCGGTCGATTAGTTTTAGTGGATGTAATGTCGGTCGATGATGACTCAGAACTGATCCAACAACTGAGAAATAATCTGGCTCATGAATTGAGGTTATATCCCGAGTATGCAGATGACTCCAGTCTTCGGAGATGGCTGGTCGGATGGGATTATGATGTCGGTAAGCCATGCTTAAAATTGAATTTCTTAAAGTTGTTAAAAAGGAGTAATTAATACAGCCTTATTGATCTCTTAGAAGTGATAACTCCGAAGCTCCGAGAAGCCATCCGATCCCTCCATTCCCTCGGACTTCACAAAAAGAAGTTCAACAGCACAGATGAGGTGAACCAGTACTGTGATTCTCTCTCCAAACATCCATCCCTTCTTCCTGGGTCTGTTTTGGGATGTGACAAGGAAGGAAATGTCGTCTCCATGATTCCTTTGGGCCGGTTAGATGGGTATGGACTTCTTCGAGCTGCCAAGATCTCCGATTTATACTTATCCAAGATAGTCGAGAGCGAAGGAGTGATGCAGATTTTGAGGAAAATGGAGAAACAGAAAGGAAAACAGTTGGGTGAGCTTTATTTTTATTTGGAATACGGATATGTGTATAGTTGTTTGTTCTGAAAATGTATTTCGTCATGATTGCAGGTACTGTAGTCATCATGGATTTGGATGGCCTCAGTCGAGATGCCACTGACATCACCGCTCTCAAGGTCGTGAATAATGTACTGGCAAGGCTACAAGATCTTTTTCCTGATGTTTTGAGAAAGGCTTTTGTTATCAACACACCAAATTTTGTCCAGATGTTTTACATGGCTATATCTCCTTGCTTATCGAAACAGACCCAGCAGAAGATTGAGATTTGCGGGAGTAATTGGAAAGATAGGTTAAAGGTAAGGACCGCAAAGCAAAGCAAAGCCATGGTTTGTTTCAGGAAGTGATCGATGAAGACGTCCTTTTCCCTCATTGGGGTGGCACCAGAAGATCTTCCCAACCAACAGGACACATCAGAATGGGTGGGAAAGTGGCGAAGGATCATTATCATTCCGAAGAAGATGATAACGACAAGGAGAAGATTACAATCCCGGCGAGAGGATACAATTCTGTCGAGATCGAAGTAACTTCGCCGGGCTCAAAGATCGAATGGTGGTTCAAATGTGACGGTGGAGATCTTGATTTCTATGTGGAGCGGGTAGAAGAGGAGGAAGAAAGTCATCTGGTCTGGCCAAAGTTCAGATTGCTGACGCAATATGTCCCCGAGACACGAACGGTAGCCATTCTTTACCATCATTTTACTTCAAATTTCTGCATTAGGTTATAATGTAATTGATAAATATGTCATCTTTAGATTGACGCTGAACACCCAGGCCTTTATCGATTGGTTTTCGAGAATTATCATGGGAAGATCTGGTCGAAGACTGTAAAATACTACGTGAATGTTTTCTGTGACGAATGAATACGGGCAACTTAACATGATCTTACCTTTATTTAACATAGGCTCCATTAGGGAATCATTTTTTATTTTTATGACAAAAGATTCCTGGAGAAAAATCTATCCAGTTTCAACTGTAAATCCTGTGAACCGTTAGCAGCTAACGTTATCAAAGTTTATGTTGTAGTTTTTGTGTGATGATTACTGTAATCTAGAATTTTGCAAAAATTTATAATTGTCAGATTAATTACGTAATTTATTTTTTTTTCGAAGATTCGGGTATTCCTCTGATAAATAAACTTTCGAAACCCTAATCTATGATTTCCTCAGTTGATAACAACATGAAAGTCCCGTGAAATGTGAGCGACTATCACTTTCTTCCTTCTTTCCCAAAAATGGTTCGGAGAGTGTTTTATGAAACGAATCGGGAGAATTAGATTTTTTGCAACCTTCCGTTTAGGGGAGACCAGCTAGCCAAGGAGTTAAAATTACAGCCAATTTTTTAATGGCTAGCCAAAGAACAGGATCGGCTAGCCAAAGTGTCAAATGGCCGTCTAAGGTATTTTCTACTGTTACTTTGATTGTAAAGGCAGAGATATCCGGCTAAGAAGCCGGACGTTTCTTCTGTCCACCCTTGGTCAGAGACGCGAAAAGATTTTGCATTAGCGCGAGAGTCTGGCAGAAGCCGCTCGTGTTGATCCAAATCAACATCGATTTGGTTTGAAAAGGCCATCTAACAAAGACGGCACCTGGATGGGCACTGGGTGCGGGCACTGTGAGGAAGAAACGATGTGGTAAGGGGGACCGAGGGTGATAAAAACAGTTTTTTTCGATTTGGCAAATAGAAAAGATAATTTTTTAAACATCCTCTTACCATAGAATTTTTTTTGGCAAACCAAAAAACGATTTTATTAAAAAATCGGCCTTGGTCCCCCCTTACCACATCATTTTTTCCTCAAGCTGCCCACTTCACCCAGGTTTCCTCATCGCCCAGATGCCCCTTGTGTTAGGTGCCCTTTTCGGACCAAATCGATGTTGATTTGGATCAACAAGTGCAGGTTTTGGATCAACAACCCAAAACCTGCACTTCTGTCGGACTCTCTCGCTAATGCGAGATCTTTTCGCGTCTCTGATCAAAAGTGGACGAAAATAATGTCTGCCCTCTCAGTCGAAGCTAGACCTGATGATTTTATTTTGCTTCCTGGGTTTGGAAATGCTCTTGTTTACTTCGTGATAATATTTGAAAGGAGAAGATTGCACGTATAATCGGACCCATTTAGGTGAACCATGTCTTTCCTCAACCCAATTTTAAAGGTCCGAAAGGCTGTACAGGTAAATCAATTCTTAAAAACATACAGTAATCCCTAAGATTTACGTAACTTTTTTGATGACTATATTTTTGCAATTTTTAGCCTGCTTTCCGTTGCCTTTCGACTGTAAATGAAGTCTCCTTCCAAACCAAACCGTACAAGCTTCATCGTTTGGATTACGGACCAAATGCAGAGACTGTTCTTACTCGGGATGAGGCCATCGATTATTACAAAGAGATGCTGGTGCTGAGAAGAATGGAAACTGCGGCTTCCAATCTCTACAAGGATAAGAAGATCCGAGGATTCTGCCATCTCTATAATGGCCAAGAAGCTGTGGCCGTGGGATTAACGGCAGCCAAACATCACGATGATACCTTGATTACTTCTTACAGATGCCATGGATGGACTTATCTGATGGGATCCACCATCGCTGAAGTGCTTTGTGAATTGACTGGTAAGTGGATTACTATGCACTGGATTCCTGTTTGCATTTCTATTGTTGCAGGTCATCTAAATGTTTTCTAAATTTATACTATTATTATAATTTTAGGTCGTATCTCCGGAAATGTTTATGGCAAAGGAGGTTCCATGCACATGTATGAACGCAACTTCTTCGGTGGCAATGGTATTGTTGGAGCCCAGATTCCTCTGGGAGCTGGCTTGGCCTTCGCTCAGAAGTATCGAAACGAAAGAAGCGTCTGCTTTTCCTTATACGGAGACGGTGCTGCCAATCAAGGCCAGTTCTTTGAGACCGTGAACATGGCTCAGCTCTGGAAGTTACCCTGTATTTTCATCTGTGAGAACAATGGATTTGCCATGGGAACTTCGACTACTCGTGGCTCAGCCAACACTGATTACTTTACTCGAGGAGATTTTGTTCCAGGTGACTTGTACTCGAAATGCGTAATGATCATCGTATTTTAGGAATCTGGATTGACGGTATGGATGTGCTGACTGTCAGAGAGGCCATTCACTTTGCCCGTGAACACTGTATCTCCGGAAAAGGTCCTCTGGTTTTGGAGTTGGCCACCTACAGATACGTTGGCCACTCCATGTCTGATCCCGGAACAAGTTACCGTACTCGTGAAGAGGTTCAAGAAGTACGAAAACATCGGGATGCGATTGTCGGTTTCAAAGACAAGATCGTTACTGCTGGTTTGGCTACCGACGAGGAGTTGAAAGTAATAGAACTTATTGAGAATAATTTGGTTTGATTTTAGAAAGTTGAGAAAGATGTTCGCGTAGCTGTAGATGACGCTGTCAAGCAGGCCATTTCTGATCCGGAACTCCCCATGGAAGCTCTTTATGCCGACATCTTCATTAATACCGAACCTCAGAAGGTCAGAGGTTGCATTGTTGAGGAAACCGTGGTCCAGCCCGAGCGATATACTGCTGATATTGTCAAGAAACTCGGAAGAACTCCAAAGGTTTATCAGCAGTAAATAGGATCAGTATATTTAGATTCAATAAAAAGGTTACTATTCAACTGCATTGTTGATGAAGCCATATAATCGGCTTTATTGAAAAATTCATTGGATTAAAATGTTGCATTTGTTGTGATAAACAACACAATGCCTGGAGGCTATTTACGTGTTGTAACTCCTTTCCCCTAAAACTGCAGTAAAATTGAAGGGAAATGCATTTGGCGGGCGCCCCTTGGGAATTCCGAAAGGCCAAAGACGACCCAAAATTGCAGTAGGAAGCGGGGAGTGCATGTATAGTCGGCTCTCTGCCTCCTTACAACTCAATCTTTACTGGTTACAGGTCAATTTTTTGCAACCCCTGTATTCCGTCCATTTATTTGGCGCCATGAATAATTTGGGTTCGCTTTCCTAATAAGTGTAACGCCAGTAGAAAGCCCAAAAAAGGGAAAGTAATTTTGGGATCGGAGGGGGGACTGACATCTGCCCCTTCGCTCTCATTTCCCTTCCATGAGGCCATTGACCCCGGCTTCTCTTTCGCTGGATTCCGGCTTTCCAAACCCCCGATAAAACCACAAATCTGCATACTAGATTGGCGTTGAAACGCGGCTTGTTTCGCGGGCCTTGCAATCTTTCAACTGCGGGGGTTCGATGTTGTTGTTGTTTATTAACTTATCGTCAGTGTAATATCTGTATTACATATAAAGATAGGGTTTCTTTCATTTCGAGGTTAACCTCAGCACTCCTCTCTCTAGGAATTTGCGGATCTGATTATTTGTGTGCCTTAGAAGATCAGCACGATAAAACTTTGTTACCTCGCTTATCATAGCCAACATCTTGTATTTTTTGATTAACTAATGAGTTATCTATTCAATAATGGCCTTTCCCACAGGAGAATGGCCATGACACACTCTGTGCACCCAAATCTCTGAATGATACATCAAGGGTCTTTTTTCGATAAATATTGCCTCCAAAAAACGAACGGAGGCAATTGCTCCAAAAACGGCGGCCGACGAAACATTCATTCCCCGAGGCCGCGTCGTCTTCGGCCGCCCTCAATTTTCCCTCAACGGGCCGAAAAAAGCCCGGTCATGGCTGCCGGCGATTTCGCAATGCGGGAGGGAACGCTATTTTGTATTTCTCGGCCATTGTCCTTCTCTCTCCTCGGGGCAGGACGCTTTTACTTTCAAATTTGAGAATCTTTTTTTGTTTTCCCCACAAAAAAGTTTTAATTTCTCCAGATCCGTCGCGCACTAAAGGTCAGAGGGGACACAGGTGTGGGGCAGGGGAAGGGAAAGGAGAGCACATCGCCCGCACTGTTCCGTCCGATTGCGCAATCGGGTGGAGTTGCGTTATTCTTCGGACCGAAGGGGGAAATCCGCCTTGGAGGCCGTTTTGAAATACTGAGTAATTCGAGCGTCGTTCTCATTACTTTGTCGGCACCCCACGGTAATTTTCGGATTTTTTTAGAAGAATAGCGGCAGTTGTTTTTTTTTTCAAAACCACTCGTTTTTTGAAAGCAATTCTACACAAAATTCATAAACGTAATGTCCAACATACCATCCCGACTTAATCTGTTTCCTTTATAGTACATCTGCCTCTAAAGGCCACGAAAACCCTCTGCCCATCTGGTTCTCATTGTTGTCCTTGAGTTTGTTGTTCTGAATCATCCGATATTGCATTAGACGTCTCCTTATCTCATCTTCAAACTTCCGCTGCTTGCTGGAAGGTGCGAACGCGCGATTAACAATTTTCGAAAAACAGCTATGGCATTCGAAAGTGGCTATTCCGGCCTCTTCGAGTTTTTTGCCAGCGGCCGAACAGTCGTTCCATATTTTTTGGTAATTTTCTCTTCCCGGAAAGTGTTTTTTTCGTTACGTGGCCTGATTTCCCCTTTCGGTTTGGAAGGACCGTTGGAGAGAATTCCCACAACTGGACCGTTCGCGAACGCGTTCGTCACCGTACCTTAGGTAAAACTGTTTTCCTAGAGATTTTTTACACCAAAATCTAACTTCGGTGGCGCCTTTCAATATTTTTTTCTTCAGAGGAGTTGACCAAAAGCCCTTTCTTTCTCGAAATGACAATAGGTGTCAGACCTGAGTCCACGTCAGATAAGACAAATGCCCCTAGGACATTGGCTCTGACCTTTTGACGGGTTTTCAGTGTTATAAATCTCCAGAAACACCTCTATTTTTGGCAGCACTAGATCTTTTATAGGTTTTACCATGGTAACTTGTAACCAGCCACAGAAAACGGCTGTTAATAGGTCCGGGGATATTCGAGCGGGAATTTGAGCTACAAACCAGGACTTCCCTGAACTTCAAGGGGGATTTTGGCGTTCTGCACTAGGCGGGGAACCGTCATTTTCCTTCGCGCGCCTCTTTTTCTTTGTTTCATCATTTTTTAATTTGTGTCCTAACATACGACTACGATTTGTATAACGCTTCTGCGTTCTCAATTAGCATAAACTCCGTGTTCTTGCATTTTTTGTTGGTTTACGTGTTGATATTGTGAACTTTTGGTTTGTTTCAGCAGTTTGTGCCTAACCTAAACCTTTGAGCCTCTGAGCAAAGATGCGCGAGATTGTTCACATCCAAGCCGGACAATGCGGTAACCAAATTGGAGCCAAGGTAAGAAGTTACAGTTGATTTGTAGTGTTTAGGAAGGAGTTTCGACCGGTTTTATGACGAAATTCAATGACTGATTCAATTTTTTTTCAGTTCTGGGAGGTTATCTCTGATGAGCACGGTATCCAACCCGACGGATCCTACCAAGGAGAGTCTGACTTGCAATTGGAGCGCATCAATGTCTACTACAACGAGACCGGCGCCAAGCGTTACGTTCCTCGCGCCATCTTGGTCGATCTAGAGCCTGGAACTATGGACTCTGTGAAGAACTCTCCTTATGGAGCGTTGTTCCGCCCTGACAACTTCGTGTTCGGGCAATCTGGAGCTGGAAATAACTGGGCCAAGGGACATTACACCGAGGGAGCCGAATTGGTTGACAACGTCTTGGATGTCGTCAGGAAGGAGGCTGAAGGATGCGATTGTCTTCAAGGTGAGGAATATCTAGATTTTAATTTATCTTATTTTTTGACTTTTAGGTTTCCAACTGACTCATTCTTTGGGTGGTGGAACCGGATCCGGAATGGGAACCCTTCTGATCTCGAAAATCCGCGAGGAGTACCCGGACCGAATCATGAGCTCCTTCTCTGTGGTTCCATCGCCGAAGGTGTCCGACACGGTCGTCGAACCTTATAACGCCACTCTTTCCGTCCATCAGTTGGTCGAGAACACCGACGAAACCTTCTGCATTGACAATGAAGCCCTTTACGACATTTGCTTCCGTACCCTGAAGTTGGCTAACCCCAACTACGGAGACCTTAACCATCTTGTCTCCATGACCATGTCTGGAGTTACCACTTGTCTCCGGTTTCCTGGTCAGTTGAACGCAGACTTGAGGAAGTTGGCCGTGAACATGGTTCCATTCCCTCGTCTCCACTTCTTCATGCCTGGTTTCGCTCCTCTGTCCGCAAAGAACGCTGCTGCCTACCGAGCTTCTACCGTCGCCGAGCTAACCCAGCAAGTAAGTCTTTTATGCAAATGTTTTTTAGGTTGAAAGGATTTGAATTATCTTATACTTTACAGATGTTCGATGCCAAGAACATGATGGCTGCTTGTGATCCTCGTCACGGCCGTTATCTGACCGTCGCCGCTATCTTCCGTGGTCGCATGTCGATGAGAGAGGTCGATGACCAAATGATGAGCGTTCAGAACAAGAACGCCAGCTACTTCGTTGAATGGATCCCCAACAACGTTAAGACTGCCGTCTGTGACATCCCACCAAGAGGTCTCAAGATGTCCGCTACTTTCATTGGAAACTCCACTGCCATTCAAGAGCTTTTTAAGAGAATCAGCGAACAGTTCAACGGTAGGGGTCATAATACTGATTTTTGTCCAAGAATATTTTAATTTGCGGGTATTTGCACCGCTGTTTGTGTACTGATCCAACTGATGTTGTATTTTTTAGCTATGTTCCGCCGCAAAGCCTTCTTGCATTGGTACACTGGTGAAGGCATGGATGAGATGGAATTCACCGAGGCCGAATCCAACATGAACGATCTTATCTCCGAGTACCAACAGTACCAAGACGCTACTGCCGAAGATGATGGTGAATACGAAGCCGAGGAGGGTCATCTTGATGCTGAATAAGCTCGCTCAAGTCCACTTGAATCCCCTTTGTCCGCTTGTCTGTCCTTCCATATAATTTATCGTGGCCTATGCTATGATTTCCCCTAATTTTATTCATAAAACCTTTTACATGAAAACTAAAATTGTAATGAAAGGATTGTTGCTTTCTCCTAATGCTTCGAACAAAGTTAACTATTATTAGTATATCTGAGTTACTTTAACATCTATTTTATGGCATTCGTTCACATTTTTACAACGGCGAGGGCACTTTGGCATTATAAAAATGTTTTTTGAATGTGTTGATTGAAGGGTACGATGTACTAAAAAGGAGCGGCGATTATGCTCATGCTCAAGAAGAGTGCTCGAATTTGCATACACTGGATTATCAAATTCGGGGTAATGGGAATACTCATATCGAGTCCCTCTTGCGTCTGTCGGTCGGTTGTGTTCGTTCTGTTCATCAATTTTTCGAATGCAGTGGTCACTTCCGGGATGTGTCCTGGGACTGTTCTTGTTTCTGGTACCTGTGGTGTCGGCATCGAATGAGATCCTCGTCATTCACAATAAACCGAGTGACACGCTCATCTTGAAGACGGTAAGGTTACCTTTAATTTAAAGGAATACTGTATTATATTTCCGAAATTATTGAAGGATAAGAGCAGTTATGTTTAGGTAAAAAGAATTTTTGGCGAAAGTAATCTTCGATTCGTGGAAGAAGAGCCGGGATATTACCATTGTGCTTCCACCTCGAATTCAATTCAAGCTGCCAAGAAGGTGAAGTTTATGATCTATGTGGCTGAGTAAGTCGATGAAAAATTGCATTTGTAACCGTCATTCCTCTCCAGAGGTGAATTATCCCGATGCTCCTTCAAAACCGTTCCCCATGTCCAGATTCTGACCTATCGTGGAGAAGTTGTTGTCCATTACCAAGATGGCACAAGCACGGATAGAGTATACCTGAATGAAGGAACGCTGAACGCCCTCATTGAACTGGCTAAGAATAAGTTGGATCGAAACTTTGGTGTTTCCTTGAACCTCTTTTCGTTCAATTCGATCTTGTTGTTGGCGATTGGAGTCGTCTCGGGATATATTTATGTCAAGAAGTTTGAAAAGAGGTAAGCCTACTGTAGTTGCCGGTTATCATTGTCCAGAGTGATGCTCCGTTCTTTCCCATCAACCAAATACGGTAACCGGGAGGATGAGTTGCTCCCAATTACCACCAATCACTTCCGTCTCTACATGGACAAGTTGTGCGACTTCATTGTGGAATATGTCAGATATCCACAGAAATATCGAGTCACTCCCGCGGCCAATCCTGGCTTTGTTTATAATACCCTGCCTTTGGAGGCTCCAGAGAAGCCGGACTCTTTTGACCAAGTCATGCATGATGTCAAGAATCTGATCGTTCCTGGCGTAAACTCCATTTTGACCACTTATTAAATATTTAATTAACACGATTAATCCTAGTGTTATATAAATTTTAGCTCCTCCATTGGCAACATCCCCGTTATCATGGATTCTTCCCGTCCGGTTTCTCCTTTGCGGATGTTCTTGGCGAGGCTCTCGTCTCCGCTCTGAGCGTTCTCAACTTTTCCTACGAATCTTCACCTTCTCTCACCGAGCTCGAGATTACTGTAATGAATTGGATGGGAAAGGCGTTGGGATTCCCCGAATGTTTCCTTTACAATATGAATGATGTTGAGGGCAGCAAAGGAGGTGGATGTATTCAGAATTCGGCATCAGACGCAATCTATGCGGCAGTTTTAACCTCTAGACGTCTGGCCATTGTGAGACATTTGGCCAAGAAGTATGGCAAGAACTTCAACAAGGTATAAAAGGGCGACTGACGATTTGGAAGGTAATGATTTTTAGATTCCGAAGGAAGAGAGGAACGCCGAGGCATTTAAGATCATGTCCAGGCTGGTTTGTTACTACTCGGATCAGGCACATTCATCCATCGAGAAGGCCTGTATGTTGGCAGCAGTTCAGCCAAGAGCTGTCAAGACCAATCCAAACACCTTCACCCTTACTGGATCCGCCCTTCAAAGAGCCATGGATGAAGATGCGGCCAAGGGGCTCATCCCTTTCCATGTTCATATTACATTTGGAACCACCAATCTGGGAACTTGTGAACCCATCGAAGAATGCGCCAAGGTCGCCAAGAAGTATAAGGCTTGGGTAAGAGGTGCTCATGTTGTGAATTGAGAAGAATGAATGAGAGTAACTGATGGTTCTCCAGGTCCATGTCGATGGCGCTTACGGAGGTCCGACCATGCTTCTCCCAGAATACCGCCAATTATTCGACGGACTCGAGAAGGTGGATTCGATCGACGTCAACATGACCAAGATCTTATTGATGACTGTGTCGTCTACCTTGTTCTACACCAAGAGAAAACAGGATGTGACCCGTACCTTCACAATTGAACCGGAATATCTGAAACGATCGGGACAGAAGAGAGGTGTGCAGGACTTTAGACATTGGAGTATCAACCTGAGTCGTCGAGCTTTTGTCATCCCAATTTGGTTTACCATCAGATTGTTTGGATTGGAGAATATGAGAAAGTATATCAGAAGGGTAAGGGCCTAGTATAATGTATAATTCTAATGGCTTAGCTCATTGCCTATCGCAAATACTTCCAAGGTCTGATCCAAGACGACCCTCGCTTTGTGATCGTTGGAATACCGTCGATCTCCGTTGTTGGCTTCAGATTGAAGACTCATGATAAGGAGAGAGGAGACACCTTGACCAGAGCTCTCTGTGAATACGTTAATCGCAGTGGAAAACTCTACTTTACCTTTGCTGCTCCTCAGGGTGTTTCCACCATCAGATTTAGCCCGGCCCATCAGCTGAGTAAAGAGGATGACATCCGAGAAAGTTATCAGATTCTCAGCGATCTCACCGACGAATTCTTGAGCTCCAAACGTAAGGAAATGCGGGGAAGCATTAAGTCTTCGTTTTTTAGAAGGCCTCGTCAACGAATTGAAGTACGCCACCAATCTGGTGAACACTCCAGTTAGAGGATCCCGCAATTACATGATGAACATGTCCGCTACGGATTTGGTATGTTAAATTTGCGGACAAGTTCATCCTCGAGCTTTTAGAAGTCCCTGAACACTCCTACCAGACAGTCCAGTCTTTCCAAGGTCTCCGACATCAACACCGCCCAGCCTATTATTCTCTAAAACACGATGATTCCCGTAATACTGACTGTATATGGCTATAATTTATGGTGATTCTGAAGATAAATTTCTTGTGAATTTCTTGGACTATACAAGTTATTATTTAATCATGGAAGATTATATAAAATTAGAGATTATGTAGAATAAATCTGCATATTCTAGAAGGGTTTGAAGTAGAAAACTGCAAACAGAACGGCATCCAACATAATCATCAAACAATTAGTCACAAAACTTGAAGAAGAACAGGGCAAAATCAGGGCTCTCATTGAATAAAAGAGGATAAAGAAATCAGCACGGATTCGACAATATAAAACCCGTATCGAGTATTTAGAGTAGAATTTATAGCAGGAACTACCAGTGGTTACGTCTGAGTATAGGTGTGTTCGAGTAGTTTCAGCCAGAATATTCCCACCCGCATTTCACCGAAAGCGTGATATTTTTCCGATCAAATTCTATAATCCCGGAAAATTCTGTTTGTTTTTTGATATTTATATTCACATGTTCAAGTCTAGATCCGATATATAATGTATTCGTAGCTAGCCTTAAACTATCTTGCAATCAGATTTAATTTATTTTGTTGTAACCGGGAGAGGGGACTCCTTGACTAGATCGTAATCATTTTATTTTATGCCAATTTTAACAAAACATTTATGATTAAATTTGCTAATACATTTCTATAATAATTTTTTTACACGGTATTACGCTGAGATCAGGCGATGGCAAAAATAAAAACGTTTTAGTGAAAGACAAGATTAGTGAGGTAAACAATAAGTTTTGATTTGAAATTAGATATCCGAAGCGTGTGTTTGAGGTCCAGAAGTTCGTCGTTGTTCCAGCATCGGATGCTCTTCGGTGTGTAGGGTGGATGGCCCTAAGAGAATGGAGAATTTGGTCTTGAGTTGGGCTCCAGTCCAACTGCACCATTCCGTTTCATGTCTCAGTAATCGTCGGAGAGATTCGAGTAAAAGACCTCGGTACCTTTTCGAAACGAGGCAGTAAATACAGAAATTGAGGGAGGCATTTAGGAATACGAGCTGAAATGTTTTTAAAGTTATAATCGTTTGTATAATTTTGCGACTCCAAAAAGTATCATAATTTTGGTTTTTGCAGCTTTTCTCTAAAATACGGAAACTCTTCAAAATAATTTTTTGGGACATCATTTCTAGTAGACTGATGCCCATTGGCGCCAAATATGACACATTTCTATTCACAATCACAAAAGTTACACTCATTTTTAAAGTGCGGTTATAATTATGACTCACACTGTATAAGGCTTATTTTAAAGTATGAAATCACTACTTACCAACTGACTAATGCACATGTATATGACCACAGTTGGATGATATGGCCCCAAGTAGTCGTATAATAAGCGGGCTGGCGCTTGCGGGCCGATGCAAATAAAGAGAAGTAAAACAACTGCAAAAAGCATTGCATTCGCATTGAATTTATTGTGATTTGGTTCTTCAGACGGCTGTAACATGGTCGTATCTGCTCCACTTGATCTTCTTTTGTCTGATTCGACCACTTGCCGCAAAGTTCGGACTAGTAATGAGTTGAGGATGAGAATAAGTAAGATCGGGAAGATGTTGAACATGATCAAGGAAATCAAATTGGTCATACGGTAGTACATCTGCAAATAAACACAATAATAGCTACTTGGATTTGTACCTGGCCTTACCTGCAAAGCCGGTTCTGTTTTCATCGTGATTACGTAATAATAATGATTACTGTCACCATCAAGACACTCCGTTACTTTATAAACTAATGGCCATTGTAAACTACAGCCAAATGCGATGATCAAAGACGAGGTAACTGCTAATAGAGAGGTCTTGGACGTGCAAACTCGATGAGCCCACAAGGGTTTGCAAACACAGACATATCGCTCGATATTGAACGCCACCACTACTCTAAAACATAATGAGAATATAATTTCAAATTAAATTTGATGGCCATGAATAAGAAGTGTTCAAACTTACAATATAGAGGCCCTGAAGAAGGTAGAGGCCAACGTTCGAATATACAGCACCATATTCGTGTACAATGCATTCAAAGTTGAACTGCGTATAAAGAAGTGTAAACTAGATGGAGTCACATCTAATGTAGCGAAAATCAGAAAAAGAGAATCGAACAAAGCAAGGGAAACCAACAAATGCCAGGAAGGGATACGTCTTGCCGCCTTATTTGAGGTCAATATGTACAAATTGAGGAGATTACAAAGTAATCCGAGCAATGCAATTGAAGGAAGAATAAGAACATTGGAATACCAAACGAGATCAAGGGCATCTGAAGGAGAATCTACTGCAAGATGAGGTCGGATCGAACAAATATTGAAGATTTCCGACTCTTCTAGGAAGGCGAGATCTTCATCCATGGCTGAAACATGTTGTTCATTGTTTAATTGTAATCAATTTAAAATTTTTAGAGCCCGTTTCATTGCAAGAAAAAATTATAAAAATGATTAAATAACTCAACAAAGTACGATCTAAAATTGTGATTGAGAATTTATTCCTACCATCTTTCCGATATGACAAAGCAAATTCTGACATGATTTCTAAATATAACTTTCAATTATTTACTACAACAAACATAACATTTGTCTACTCTACAGACAACTGTAACATAAACCACCAACCCACAAACATATATATCCCCTCCGGTCAAAGAATACGTTCCAGACATTGGATCTCATAAAAACAAAGTTTTGGGGCGGAAAGTGCATGAGTGAGATTTCTTTGGATTTGTGATCGAAAAATGGGCGCAGTAAAAGAGGAAAGCGAGGGGAGGGAGTTTGGACAAACAACCAGATCGACCGCGGAATCGAGAAGCCAAAAAATATTTAGAGACTTCTTTAAAGTGGGTCATACGGGCTAAATTTGGACACCAGCTGGAATTGAAAGGGAAAGAGGTTTTGGTGAAATTACAGTATCCTCCTTTCAACGATTAGACTTTATTTTAAGACTCCAGAAAGCAGATCTACCTTGATTTTACAAGAGTCAAGTGTATACATAAATTACAATTATCACTCGAGATTTTTCAAAAATCATCATATCGTTAATGTCCCTTCAACTTTTCACTATCTCTTAGCCCCTTCCCGTACTTTTACAAACAGAATGACCACCAGTAAACTGAAAACAATGACGAATTCCCGCATATATTTATATAACTGTTTGGACACCATCTTCTCACTTTTTCGACGTCCTGCACTCGGTAAACGAGGGAAGTCGTGACCTTCGGGGACTATAATATAATGGACATTGTCCCGGGTCAATAAAACGAACGCCTCAGGACATGATTTATAATATTGGAATGTGGTCGGGAGAAGGAAGAGAAAGGGATGCAAATTAGAAGATTTGAGGGGATCTATGGGATGAATTTAATGGCGTTTTGAGAAAAGAGATAGCCGGAGTATTCTGTTGGGTGCGTAAGGCTGAATTTCACATCGAATAATTTATTTTTTACTTGTCTATTTTCCCCAACGTGATGTCTCACCAAAGAAAACGACAAAACTCTTCGAACAAAGTGTTTTGAAAGCCATCCCTCATGTATTAATACAAAATAATGTGTTGCTGGTCATTGTCCGGCGAAGAAAGCAAAGACAAATACCGAACTGTTTTTTGGGTTCCGACGGAAATCTTCTCATTGTTCAATCTTATCGTATTTATCCGTTTATTAGAAATTTAACCAAGCTCTCAATAATACTAAATATCACAACATATGGGCAAGTGGAATACAACCGATACATGAACTTAGTGAGCTATAATAAGGCACTTAAAGCAAAACAGAATCCAAAAGATTATAGTGTTTTCGGAAATAAAATATAAAAATAACTACAACGTACTAACTATGTAAATGATATAAAATAATTACAAAATTAGCCACATTAACCTAACAATCGCTGTGTGTCCTTCGGGGAAGTGGGTTTAATTGTGATTTCTCGTTTGGCGACAGACTTTGTTCGGAATGTGACGTATGTATATAAGACCGAACCGAGGACACTGATGTTGACACCGACGAAATTGGCCCATTGGAAGACGTAATCACCACTCGAGACCATACCAGCGTATGTTACGACCAGATTCTGAAACGATAACCATTAGAAATTGAATTACATCACCATTCTTCTGATGTAATCAAAGTAAAATATAAATATCTCACCTTGATGGGTCCGACACAAGTCGTCGTCAACGCGGAGTTGTAATGAGTACACAGTACTAACGAGTAGTTGAGAACGAAGCCACAGATCGATGACAAAAGGAAGCACAGCACAACTGATGTAGTCATATTCCCGGCCTCCACATAGGCCCTCACTTTCTCGGTATCTTCGGTGTAGAAGGCGAGAAGTGTCGCTGGGACAATCATGAACAAGGAATTGTAGTAGAGAAGACCCCACTTCCCGAGATCTTTCGAATCCAGCTTCTTTTTCATGTAGACTCCATTGGCTGCGGTGAAAATGTCATTAATCAAGATCAGGAAGTACCCATAGGCGTCGAAAGAGAGGTCGTATCTAAACAAAAGACATTAAACACCACGAACGTGAATTTTAAAGTACTAATGAGGGATTGAACTTACATGGCTGCAATAAAAGAGCCAAAGATCATCAAAAACACACTGACTTTGGTGGCAAATGGAACATTCACACTAAAAAACACCTTCATATACTCATTCATAAGATAAAAATATCATGGCGCCAGGGAAAACAAGACATTCAGAAGATCTTACCCCAACAATAGATACTCAAAAACCATAGTCAAGAAGATGGAAAATCGCCGAAGAACAGTGAACATGGGCAAACTGAAATAATTGTTGGCGTTAGGACAAGCTACACATCAAAAACATCTATTAAAACTAATTATTACTTCAATTTCTGTGTGGAGCCAAGACCTGAGACCAAATTAACGAAATATATCAATGGCAATGGGAAAATCCTTCGTGGAATTGAGTTGTCGCATCTCGGAAAATCAACAATATTACATTTTTGAGCCGTGAATAACACCAGCACGGTGGCTGCCATCTGTCCCAACCCAACATAGAGGAACGAAGGAAACCTGAAAGAAATTATTAAATCAAAAGGCCAACTATAACATCAATTGGCACGTCTAGAAATATACAAGCTTATCGCCTAAACACGAATAATAATAATCAAAAAAAAGCTTACTTGAGATTGGTCAACAAGATCTTGTTAACAAAAACGATCAGCACCGAGGTTAGGCCAAAGAAGACAGCTGATCCAACCCGGGAAAAGAGGGAATGCCCTGGCTTTTCCACGCCCATTTCCCTGAAAATTGGATCAAATTAGATCACGAATACTTACTCGGCCATTACAACGTCCACGCAGACAAAGAATTCGCAAAATGCTTGTTTCAAAAACTAACCCCCATAACTAATTTGGAATTCAAATCCTATGGAGACTGTAATTTAAACCATTTTTGGAATCACCCACGTTTGACAACCCACCAAGAAATCTGTGTATCTACCTTGAAAATATTACAATCAATCATTTGCCTCTTATTTTAAAGCCCTGAAAATTACCTAAACAATTCAACTATAACTGCCACGTCTATTTGACTCGCCCCTCAGCTCGCTCCCCCCTTTTATGGGCCTGAAAGACAAAGATATGATTGCTTTTGCTGCAATTGCATCTTCAATATTAACATAAAGAATAAAGGATGGTGGGGACAGAAAAAAGCAAGAGCCATCAATCATGGTAGAAGAATCACCATGACAATCGGATTATAAGCTGATAATTCACAAAAAAAAATTGGCAAAAATTTAGAAAATAATTTTATAAAAAAGAAAAACCTGACTCAATGCGTCAAGTATCTCCCTGAACAGGAGTTTCCAGGGGTGGTCAGCGGACCCTATTTTTCCGATTTTCGGCCCGCGGCCCGGCCCGTCTAATTACCGGCCCGGCCCGGCCCGTCTAGTCTTTTTCCAGGCCCGGCCCGGCCCGGCCCGTGACGGGCCTGGCCCGGCCCGGCCCGGCCCGTGCAGGCCCGTTTATAGAGGGTTCTGCGAACTGCGCCCAAGCTTGGGATCTAAACTTAGGCAAAAAAGGCGTTGATATAGCTAGTAAAGGATCAATGTGATAGTTTTGTGGTTTTATAATGGAACTATAGACTTGTAAACGTTTTAGAACTTGAGAAACAGCAACTATAACAACATCAATTAATTTTCCCGGCGCGAAAACAATGAATGCCAACGGTTTGGCATTGTAATTTAGACGGGCCGGGCCGGGCCGGAAAAACCCCAGGCCCGCGGCCCGGCCCGGCCCGGCCCGTGACGGGCCCGGCCCGTTTGTAATTTTCCATTTTTGAGCCCGGCCGGCCCGTTTGGGCCGGGCCGGGCCGGCCCGTCACGGGCCGGCCCGGCCCACTGACCACCCCTGGGAGTTTCGAATTCGTCAAGAAAAGATTTTGGTCAGAAATCAGACTATTGCCATCGAGGCCATCGAGTTCCCAAGACAAGCGAGTTGAAGATAAATCGTTCGTTTCAATGGTAAGTTCGCTAATTTCTCATCAAGAATCTCGAGATGGGAAGAGGGCAAAGCGCTTGACCCGATTCGCCACAACGGTTCGATCACGAGAATAAATTGAATTAATTGCGTGAGAACGATCAACTGGAACATTTAGGTTCCAAGAATTCACAATGGTTACAGTCAAGAAAGTCGAATATTTTAAAACAAAAAGATGAGCATATAGTTTGTGATTACAGTGAGTGGGTGTTCCCGGAACCCTGTTACAACTTTTCTGCCTAAAGTTGAGAAATGTTGTATCTAAAAAATGATATTATACTAGATCAAGTCTATGTTTTGGGATCTGAGAAGCTGAATATCCGCCACGGCTGTCCATTATCTGATTTCGCCCTGAGGTCTTTATGCCGCCACGAAATCTTGATTCGTTTATCTAATCGAAACGTGAATTAGGTTCTCCTCATGATGAATAACAACAAAATAATATAATAGCATTTATTCCGAGAGTTCTCGAAAACCCGTGTAAATGGCCAAGTTGTACATTTACAATTTTTGAAGACATGTAAAAATTGAGTGTAACAGGAAGATAATAATACAATTTGAGCTATCAAAGACAAAATTAAACTCGTTCTACGTAGAGGTTACAGTATAAAATCTGTGTAAAACAAGATTACATATATTATATTGCGTAGAGAATGTTTCAGTCATGGATTGTAAATGATACTATGGAAGATACGATCACCGGTATATGTGTTATGTACAAAGAGCGAGAGTAAATTCTAAATTCCGATCCCATAGGTGAGGGACGATTCCAAATTGAAATTGAACTCATCCAGAGCACTTAGTAATCGGCTCAGTGCTTGTAATTGGGATGGTTGATTGAGAATGGAGCTGTCATCGTAGAATTCTTTGGTCACTGGGGTCTTGGCCATTAATGGCAAAAGAGCTGCGAGTTGATGGTCTCTGGAAAGACGGTGATATAAGGACTGACGACTTACCTCAGAGTCAAAAGTAGAAAGGCATGGAATTTCCCTTCCTTGCCAACATTTGCATTAGAGGCGATCTTTGAGACCATGTCATAGGCATATATTATAATCGATTTCACGTCTCTATTTAACGCTTTGCCTGAGGCAGTGGGGATCAGACTGGCGAACCAGGCAAAAGATTTCTCTGCAAGACTTTTATCACGCTTGTTGCTCCCTTACCAATATAATCCCAAGGATAAGTTTTGCCGAAGAATCTGAAGAGCGAATCTTTTCTTCCCAGTATAAACACTTGCTCCAGATACTTGATTAATCCTCTTTCTCCACATAAAAGTTGAGTCAGATTAGCTGTTGGATTCCCCACTTGTCCTTGACTGTAGAAATGCTTGACTAATGCGTTGACGGCCTCTCCAATTCTATGTTGAAGTTCATTTGTGCGTTGATCCCAGGATTTGGAAGGGACTTCACTCACAGATGGAGACCTCTGATGACGAGAACTTTCTCGAGCTGAGTAGTAATTGTATTGGCCTGGACGAGAGAGGGATTGGTTGCGGGAAGAGTGCTGGGGGTACCCGACTTCTGAGCGAGATGAAGAGCGACGGCGATGGGGTTCTTTGATGGGGGTTGAGACTGGACTCTCCGGACGGCTCATCGCACCTAAAATAGTATTTGTTGGCTTGACTTACGATCAAAAAAAAAACAACTACAAAAGACTCACCAGAAACCAAAGTACTTAGACTCCCTCCGTGAGCACTGGCCAACTTATTCATCATGGAAGTGGACATGAGATTCTTGACCGAGTTCAAATATTGTTGGGGTTGGCTTTGTTCCGTCGGACTTTCATCTTCATTCCTCCGTTGACTAACCATTTCAGCCACCAAAACCCTTTCCAGAGCTCCGTCTTCTACTGATCGACCAAACCATTTTTTGCAGTTGAATTTGTATAACTGTCCTGTAATATTATTCCTGACCAAAACATAATGTAACAGCCATTTCGAAATCTTTTCGCGATGACCAATTCTCAGCGTCGTCAAGATTCCCAGATTTTTATGGTCGAATGTAAACTGTAGGTTATTTGGAGGTAAAGGAATCTTTTGAGTGGACCCCAAGGTCCCAGCACACATAATCCAGACACCTGCTGATTGGAATCGATCGAGGGTACCGACTAATAACACTTCATATTGCATTCGAGTCGATCTGAACGTGTTTGTGAAACAAGTGAAGTCCACGGCATTGAGGGATAAGATGTGGTACAGAAATTGTTCCCTCTCGTCTTCTGATCTCAAGAACGCGGATCGACGATATAATTCACGGAGTAGTCGTTGGTCCGAGAGGATGGTTTTAAGATGGGAATGGAGAAGTTTTCGTTCGAGGGCTAAGCGCACAAAAGCGCGGGCATAGCCAATATCCGTTCGGATTTCGGTCATTCGGAAGATGTTACTGAAAGATTTAGATTAGTTCATATAGATAAGACGATGACATAGTGAGAAAGTTCTTACTTGAAATCAAATAATAAACTTGTCGGTAATGGGGACAGTTCAGCCAACTTTTCATCCGCGTCTCTACTCCTCGACAACGATCTTTTTCTTTCTTTATGAGGCCCTCTGGATTGATCTCTCCCTCTTCTTTGTTGACTAACTGAATGATCTCTCGGTTCACGTGCTGATTGAGATGGTGGAGGTTTGTTTTCATTCAATTGAGGAGCAAAATCTAAAACGTATTCAGTATTAAAAAGAGATTTTCTATTAGTTAACAGCTCATAGCAACATGAATCAACTCAGAGTTAGCATTGCAAAGCATTCTTTCACCTAATTTAATCTAATCAGCAGCAGTGGATTAGCATTGTTATAACGCAGCGCGTGAAGGTAGGTCTCAAACCAACAAAGAAACAGCAGTGAAACTTGTGCAAGTAGGCAGTATAAGTGATATTATAGCAACTGTATGGCTAGATGTTAATCATGATGATTGTGTTAGTCAAAGATTAGTGTTGACTTGATTAGTGGCTGATTAGTAGCAAAACAGAATTACTGTACAACATCTTACCACTAACGGAACTTGATTTATGAATACTTCGAGGCAATGGAGGTCTAGCGCCAGCTCTCGATATTCTCCTAGCCGGCTCTGGATGCTTGTAAACATTGGCTGAATGAGGGTGATTCTGAGGAATGGGTGGCAACCCGACTCTGTCAGGTCGTCTAATTTCCTTTTCTTCTCGAACCACATCATTTTCCCCCTCAGAAGGCGCAACAGAATTCGATCTCCATCCAAAGATCTTCTCCATGGGGTTATTATTGGACCTCTGAACAGATCTCCCTCGGGGCTCGCGATTGAAGTTGTTATCCACTGGATTAATTTCGTCTTCAAGACCGTTGGCTATCTTGTCGGTGATAAAATTGGCTACTCGAAGAATTGATTTACTCCATGCAGGGGCTTCAGAATCCGGCTCTTTTACCGTATCCGCCAGATTTCGAATCTGATGGATGATCTCGCTGAAGGCGTTGGACTCCTCCTCGTCTTGTTCTTGACTTTCCGGGTTGTTGTTGATGGTATTGAACACTTCTATACGCAACCGATAAGAAAAGGAAAGACAATTCAGATATAACACTAGTCTATAGCCATCCAAAACCACCACAAATCTCTTTGCAACTCCACAATTTCTTTCTCAAACACATTTTACGCACTATGACAACATTTACAACCAAACCGAGGCCTCAAAAACGGTAGCGCGCAAGCCCAAAAATCAGCGCAAATATTCTAAATTTTCGCTTACATTCCATTCGCTTTCGGAATATAATCCACATAAGGGCTAGAACAGAGTGATATAAGAGAGTTTGTGTAAAGATAAACGTAGGGCAACTTGTAAGTTGAATGCGGGCTTACCTGGAGACACATTTGGATGGCTATGTTTGGCCGCTCGGTCCAAATCTGGCTTGTTCTTCTCGCAAAAATGGAAAATATTGGTCCATAAGGCGGATTTTCTCTGAAAACATTGTAAATAATAGACTCGGACAATGAATGGATACCTGGATTCATAAAATAATAAGTCATGTTTGAGCAGGTGACATTGGTTCTATTTTAATAATGTCATCTTACAGTATCCCTTACCTTTTTCTCATCCTGCGACATCCAATTTCGATCGTTGATTGCCGTCTTTTTCTTCAAATCATTGGCCCAAACTCGGTCCAACAAATCGCAGAATCCGGCGACAATAGTGTTTTCCTCAACGCCTTGAACTGCCGAGTCATGATGTCCAAGATGTAAGGCCTCTTTGCCCATTTTCATTAAGAGTAATCTGTTCGTCTTGACTTTTGTCTCCTTCAGCAATTGCTTCACAAACGCATAGTTCTGCTCTTTAGAATCTGTGGTGACTAAAACAAACAAATTTAAGGTAAAATACAAGAGGCTACGTTCAATTTCTCTTCCCTGCGATAAGAATTTCCTTATACTTGCCTGGTTCCCTTTTTCTCCGTTGTTTTTTCCTCGGCGATGCTATGTTTTGAGTTCTCTTCTGCTCATCCAATTCTGCTGCCAGTAATACTGCTTTGTTATTGGGTGCCATCCATGGTAAAGCTTGTTCGCCAGAAGTTGAAGGGATCTCGAACAGATCTGGGTCAAGGTCAGGAAAGCAGGACAAATTGTTCTCTCGGTGAGTTGATGCCAAATGGGATGAAGGCGGCGGTACTTCGTAGTGATATCGAGGAGTTGGCAGGGTCACGGCTGAAGATATGGATAACAATTGTCATTGTGAAACATAAAAATGATACCACTCCTAAAAACTTACCGTTTGCGTTAAACTCTGGCATTTGGTTGATCATGGACACTCTGTTGACTCCATTGCCTTGTAACTGGACTTTCAAATCGCTGATTCTTTTATCGAATAACAGCAGATTCTCATCAACCTCATTAAACTGGGCCTTTAATTTGGCGTCGATAAAACTGGTAAACATTTGAGTCTCCAAAAACGCTGCCAGGAATGGTAAATAAGAATCAGGCTGGTCCGAAAGAAACGAAGCCTTGTCGAAATCCACCACCGAATCCCTGATCTTGTCGTTCATCTTGTTGATTACCACAAATTGTTCGTAATTCGAAAATAATTGAACAAAATGATGGAGGAAGAGCTCTCGGACTGCCGTATTAAAATTCAGTGCGTTGAAATACTTTTGGATATTCTCTGTCGGCTTGGGTTGAGGTACCGTGTCACGGATGGGATTGTTATTGTTATAAGTAGGGTCATCCGCCTCATCGAAATAAGTGGTCTCGTCTTTGAAGGCATCCAGAGAATCTGAATTGTCGAAGGAGCGGGACATCCGTTTCGAAGTCCAGTCCGAGGCCGCTGGAGGGGCTTGACGGAACGCAACACCTACGAAAATAAATACATCAGGCGCAAGTGTAATAGGTAGGATAATTGCAATAGCATGAGCAAAAAATGGATTTCAATTGAAGTTTAAAAAACCCAGCCTTACCTTCAGGCACTTCATCGACGATTCCCTTCCGATTAAGGTTGTTTCTCCTCTGTTGGACGGCCGGATCTCTTCTCATCACAACTTTTACTGGGCTCATCTCCTTCTTATCCTCTTTTATCTCCTCTTTGACACCATTGTCTCCATAGAAGTTGTTTGGATTTGTTTGGAATCTAAAAATTCAACAATAAAAATATAAACTTCTTACCGTAGATAGAGCCGTTGTAATTGCCTCACCAATTTGTCGTGCTGAGGGAACGTCTGAACTTCTTCTGGGGTGTCCAATTTCTTGGAATCAATATCCAAAATGCAAATATTACTCTAAAATGCAAGTAGAATTAAGCCAAGTCTCCCAAAATTAATAAGATGATCTCTTTATAGCGAACTTACTTGGAAGATCTGATCTGGAATTCTTTCTTCATAACAGAACCCCAACAAATAGGCGACAGGAGCTTCAATGAAGTTGAGTTGAGAGTACGGGACAATGGGGACATAGGGAAGTTGCCAGCGGAAGGGGAAGAGCAGAACTGAGAGACATTCGGCCACCAACATTAATCTATCCATATCTGAAAATGATGACTAACACGGGTTCAGAATTTGAAGTTCATGATTAAAAGATAACGGCCTTAGGCTCTTATAAGAAACAAATGATCAAAATAAATGAAATACTTACGCCTCGAGCATAATAATATCTGATGTTCTAGCATGAATGACGTGAATAGCCTCACAAATGTCTCCACATCCAGCAGTCCAAAGAGGTCACACATTGGGTAGTCAAAGAAGTGCAGATCCCCAAAAGCCGGTCTTCTCACCGCCAACTCCAATCCTCCATAATCACACTGTAAACTGGTCCCCGGAATCGGCAAAGGGACTTGATGGAGAGCCCAATAGATGAGCTGTTCCAACGAAAACTCGGATCGTTTCGGGGTAAATCCAGCAATATACAGAGAACACAAAAGATGTTGAGTCGAAAACAAGATGGGCAATCTCTGGATGACACAAATACTTTTGGAGACAAAGATATTCTTATTCGTCGAGTCGTAATAACTTTCTCGATGCGAGAAATTGCGACGAGAAGTGGAGGATATGTTGCGGGGGAGGGTGTGGGTCTGTTGATGACCGTGATTATCATATCTGGATGGGATGTCCGACTCCACCTTCTGCTGGATGTATTGATGATTCAGTTCGAGCATTTGTTGACGGACCCGGATATCAATAACGGGCTAAAAACGAGATTGGATGATATAAAATGCCATCAAAAAAATTATTTTAATCATTTCAATGTATAAAATGAAATTCTTACCTCATAGAAAGTAAAAGCGCATCCGAAAGTCCTGCTTCCGTCCTCTTTTGTCAACACAAATGAGTGGAATTCGGTCTGAGCGGGCACCTTCTTCTCGGTGTAGAACCTCAGACCCTTAGGCATACATAATTGGGCGATCTCGGGAGTAAATGGATACCCGACTCGATCCGAGGGAGGGAATACTTGCAGGATGGAGGTTTGATAAGCTCTATCTAACGGGGCTTTGGATAAAATTGATCCACTAAGTTCAGCTGCTGATTCTGCATTTCTATCAAGCTGTAAAAGGATGATTTATACAATTTATGACACAATGTGTGTTTAGACGTTTTAGATGAGATATAATTCCTACCTCTAGTCCCTTTTCCTTGTCGAATCCGACCAAGGCCAAATAATCGACCAAGGTCAGACCGAGAGCGGCCGAAACGGAATTGTTTTTGGGATCATTCATCCCTTTACTTGAAAGCCGATAAGCAGAAACTTTACATAGAGGACTACTGAAGATTATTTGAGCATCGATCCGAGTTCATTCATCTGGAAAATCATCAAAAATCAGTGAAATACCATTAATTCTAAAATACGAAAAGAGCGTTTCACATGTCACGTAAAGCATAAAAACGTGAATTGAAAGGACAGTAAACGAGCTCTCATGCGCTTCGGCTTAACCCCGGCTCGTAAAGCGTTCAAAAATATTTGAATTCTGGCCTTTGGGCCGAAAGTGCGAAGAAATTCGATCGTAAAACAAAAAAAGAGACGGAACTACTAGAATTCGATCTGCCCATTTAGTGGTATTCAATAAAAATGAATGCAAACTTGGATAAAACAATGGAAGAAGGATCTGGAAGTGTGTACACCATAAAATTTTGGTAATTTTGCTGGATAATAAAGAATATTATTTTCCAAAATAAGATTTAAGACTAAATTTTGATGACAAAATTGAAAATGTTGTCAGTTGGATGTTGAAAATTTAATTTATCAAAAAAAAAACTTTTTCAGGATGATTACAATTACTAGTACGAATAACAAGAACAATAGAGCCCCTTTCCAAAATAACTGTACGGAATGAGGTGTTTTGTTTTCCTCCGGCCTTATTATTCCTCCCTCAGGAGACTCCCAACAGAAAACAAACTCCAGAGTTCTCTCAGAGCCCCAATTTAAAGACGCTCAGACGGCGTTTCAAAGGAAAGCCGATATGACTAATTCGATTAAATCCCGTTTAATGCGCAAAAATGCAAATAAAACCTATTTTTATTACAATTACTTTCCAAACCTCGATTCGGAGCAACCATGGCTCAGAAAATATATCAAAAATATATTCTAATAGATAGATGTGCGGATGGCCGAGGAAAACGGCGCAAGAAATTTAATAAAAAATTTGGACTCTAACAAACTAGAGAGTAAGTTTTCCGGCTTGCAAAGTATAAAGAGCTAGTAGTATTGGATATTTGTTCAGAAACCGGGGCAAACCCATGTATAATATGATTAGATGACGTTTTGGGGCAAAACCATGATACTTTAGGCCAAGATATTATTTTATAGTGGACAGAAAAAAGACGAAAAGTAACTGGAGAAGAGAGTAAATAAAAGAAAAGCATAACAAGTGATGATAATTGATGACCGTAGACTGTCGTCAAACAATAAACAAAGCGTTCCACGAATAAACGCATAAAAAGTTGATGATATTTATATTATACTGGCCATCTAATGAGCTAATTCCCACAAAACTGTAGAGTCGAGGAGAGTAAAAAACGGCCAAAGAGAGAAAAATCTTTTTTGAAAGACAAAACAAAAAACTTTGGGCCATTTTTTGGCCGGTCATTAATTCCCGCGACCTTAGGGCATTTAGTATTAAACTGAGCTTTCATATTGTTAACCCCCAAAAAGAGCCCAACACCAACTTTTTTAGGCCTTTTCAATTTCAAAGAAGGCCTAAATTGTGGGGAGAGAAGATTTGGGCAAGGGGGGGGGGGGCAATGAAACATTTAGGATCTTTTCTTCCGGCATCCGGTTTCATTTAATGCGGGACCCCCGGGCGTCTTATGACAAAATATTTATGAGAAACTGCCAAAATTCAACTAAAAAAGCCATGGCCTCCACTCCATTTGGCTGATTTTAGGGGTTTACAATTAAAAAAATAGTACAAGTCTGTAAAAAAGTAATTCTTTGTGCATTTTGGAGGTCCAAAGGGCAGCTGAAACAAGTACGAATAAGATATCAGAAGCACTAGCCATAAACCCCTTAGGGGAATTTAAATATTTCAGTGTGTGAAAATAATGGCATCTGTTTTTAATTCAATCTCCCTCTTTTGCTGATGTTATATCTCTCTAATCTTCGCTAATCTCTCAATCCGCGAGCAAATTAAAATACGAAAAAGAGAGTTTTCATCCGCAAAAACAATTTCGGAATGGTTATCGCCACAGGCTATCCGCTACAATCCTTCGGAAACATGATGAGTGGTCGGAAAGAGAGCAGTTTTATGTGGACAGGGGTCGAATCTCATAAAACCCCCTTACCTGGCGCGAAATAAAATAGAAAGTCATTAAATTTATATGGTCCCTAGCTTTGGAAAACGATGTCACAAAGCTATGAAACAACATAAGTAAAGAAAAACGCCTTTAAAGAGATTATTCATCAATAATACAAGAAATCTGACGAAATTCTAATTGAAAGATGACTAAAAAAAGCAATGAAATGTCAATCCAAAACAAAAGCCTATCAATTCTTACTAGAAGTCATAAAAAAGTAGTGTAAAAATTCCATCTCATTTCTAAATTTTAATCTCCGAAGCAAGAGATCTCTCGCTAATCTCGTGGCCACCAAAGAAAACCGATCAATCTTTTGGGGAGGGGGGCTCTAAAAACGTTTTTATTAGAGACATTCCAGTCGAAGCAAGTACACCCCATCTTCACCACATAAAGCGAATAAGGAAAGAGATCCTCAAAAAAAGTCTGGTTGACATCGCCCTTCCTTTCCATAACCTTGGAATGCGCCTTCTTTATTGTTGACTTCCATATCGACAGAATAGTAGGGGTATGTGAAACAAATAAAAAAGTGAAAACGCCTTCCATTCCCTCAAAAAGAGACCAACAAACATGTAATACACAACATTATACGTTAAATCAGTATTTCTTTATGTTTCTATCTATTTTTAAACAATACTAAAAAACTTTTAAACCTAAGTAATCTTCATAAGATTGGTTAATTCTTGTCAGAAAGTCCCACTTTTGATTCCTAAGACAATTTGCTAAGGGCTTCTCGCTTTAAAGAGCGCCTTCAGAGTCTAGCGCAATGCAAATATTGATTCATTTTTATTTATTTACAAAAAAACTAAAACTAGATGCGGAATTGTAATAGAGTGAGTGAAGATTGCAGTTATTATGAATGCCGACCTCTTGTGTGAATACTTTCCATTATGAGAGATATCAGAGATGCTTATGCTTAAGCTTATTGACGCTTTTTCTCTAAATATCTTTTCTGTTTTATTTCTTTGATTTCGTCTTGTCTCTCTTGGCATTGGCTGAAATTTTGATAATTAAGAAATTAATAGCCACAAGAGGAAGTGTTTATGTGCCATTCCGTATTCATACCTGCATCTCAAGTGCTTTTCCGAAATAACACTCGGGCATGATTCGCAAAGCTTTATCGCGGCGTCATCCCCAGCTTGACGAGTCGACTTTCTACCATTCTAAACTTCGAAATAAACCTCTTTTTTTAAAAATTACCGTATCCGAAGGAGTGCCATCAGCCAGAAGTCGTAGAGATTTGCGTGCAGATCCCCTTTCCGAATAACTATCAGATTTTTCATGACTTAACTCCCGCGTCGGCAGGCTCTTTCTTTCAGCCTTCTTTGCCAAAATCCTGGAGATCAAACCTTCGGCTGCTCGGTCGGCTTTAGTTGGCGTTGTGGTTGCCGATTTGCTGGCCGTGTTTGACAGTGAGTTCGGTGTGCTCTTGACCTCTTCATTGTTTGCGGCTGAATTTCTGGTGGTCCGTTTGTTGACGTCAGCCTCTTCTGGTGCATCATGCTTTTGGAAGGATCCTCTCTTTCTCATCTTTTTATTCGGAGTGTGGTTATCGTGAATATCGGCAGCTCCTCTTTTTGCGGTTTTCTCAGCACTGGCAACAACGACTTCCATCACCTCAATATCTTCACTGTTGTCTCTTGTGTCAACAAATTCGGTATAGTTGATGACATTTATTGGGCTTTTTGAAGCCTGTCCATTTTCTTTGGCTTCATTCGACAAAGATTCCAAATCCATAATAACACTGTTAAGGCCTCTTTGTAGAGTAACGATAAGATCATTAAGTGGTCTGTTGAGCTCCCCCGCATATTTGTTGATACATAATGCAACATTAGTAAGCAATTTTACGTTGTTAATTACCGTTTTAACGGTTAAGTTTGAGCTCATCTAAAAATATTATATAAGGTAACAATATCAATAGAAATGGCTGCTCAACTTCGAGAAAGGTACCGCGGAAAAATACACACAGAGAAAGTGTTTAGACAACTCTTCGGTCATTGCCACGATCATCGTAAATGAAATAACGTAGAGATACAACCGTGATGATTCTGCAGAATCCACAAACTGCTCTTAAAAAAGTATAACTATTTATCACAACATAAATTTATTCGGATCACTATAGAAAAGCAAATGCGAGGTAGAGAGATCTTGTCATTTTTAAACTAAACATGAATGAAAATGTTAAACAAATCGGGCACATTTCCCACATGAAGCTTCGCTACTCTTGATGACCGCGCGCCCACAGAATTTGCAGAGGGCATTATCCTCCTGAGTATCCAGCACACGAGATCTTCGCGGAGGCGGGAGTGTTTCGAAGAGATATGAAGATGAGCTCGAGTGCTGTAAAGACAATTTACATGTATATAATAATTTATCCTACCGAACTTGATCGTCTTCTTTTTGTAGAAGGTCGAGCTCCACCACTTCGCGTCCTCTTGCTCAATGGTTCGGGCTCATCTTCAGACTCTTGCACAGTGCTTTCTGACTGGACAGTGCTCTCTGATTGATAAGTGGAAGACCTTTGGGTTTCTGTGTATTCCGCATCGTTGTCCTGGGTTGCATCTTCATTATTCCCAGTATCTTGGGACTCAACTTCGACTGGTTCCGGGAATGTATCTAAAACAAAGATGTGAATTGTACTGCCCAAGCCAAGTATATTAATGCAAAAATGTTAAAACACAACATACTCGACGTCCTGGCCGATCGGCGTTTTTTCTCTGCAGATGTGGAACCGTCCGATTGAGTGGAAATGGCCCTTTTTGGACGCTCTAAAAAACAAAGCATTACATTTTGTTACATCACTTACGGATAGGAGTTAGGGATCGGACGGGGCTTGACGAATTGGTGGAAGAGGGACGCTCAGCATTATTTACTGGACTTCTGTTGAAATTCTCTGCGCTAAAATAAAATTCTTTACACAAAATGGCAACCCACTTGTCCTTCACTACAAGCTTCTCCAACTCGGTCATTTCTTTTTTTACATCCTCCAGGCCTCTGCTTACACATGTGAGGAGATCGTGAACAATTCTTCCGGATTCCTTACAATGTTGATGAAGAAGCTGATTCAAGCTCTGTAGGATGTCTACATTCTTCTTAACCTCATTTATACGAGGCGTGGCAGAAGATTGCATAGCCTAAACCAAAAATTTCCGAATAAAATTAAAAACCGACCAATTTTTAAGCCAAGAACGTTGATAATTATCCGAACAAACGGTTGTGAAAATTTTACGTTACAGCTTTTACACAAAAATTACTAATAATTTATTGTATTCTAAGTGAAGTTACGAATTCTCAGTCCTATAAACTATTAAACACATATTGGATATGCAAAAAAGGATGTATACATAATAATAATCACATAGGTGCCGATGGTTTGCGTCCCCTCTTGATTTTCGCTTTACAGTTGTCGCAATACCATTTGCCTCTGGGAGTACTGGTTAGACCGACACATTGAAAATGGAACCATTCGATTGTACAAGTCTTGTTGTCACACATAATCATCTGCCCGAAAGATACTTGATGGCAATAACAATATGTGGGTTCATTCGGATCAACGGGCATTTCTACCAATGGACTGTCGAATTCTGAAACGTTCAGATTAAAAAATGGTATGCATTAATACAATCCTTGAAATCTCAACGTTTTTTCTTCTAACAAAGTTCAGAATCTAATGCGAATCTAAAAGGATAAAACAAAATTATCTTACCAAGACTTTCAGTTGCTGTTCCATCAGTCTCGGCCATCTCTGATGCTTTTCTCTTCTTCTTCCTTCCAGATCCACTCGCTTTTTGATTAGATCTCTTGTTGTCCATTGGAGCCGAGAGGTTTTGAGTAAACTTGAAATAACTTTTGTCTAGATCATTGATATATTTGTCAACTGTTTCATAAGAAGTAGACGCCAATTCTAATTTCCTTTTACAACTTTCTTCCATTTCGTCGAGTATTTTCTAAACTTTCAATAATAAAAAATGTAAAAATAAATAAGCAATGCACTTGCCATCAACTGTCTGTGACGCTCCTCGTGCTGATCTCGCTTTTGCTTTGGTGATCTGGATTGGCTGGAGCCAACTGTACCACAAATTCTCTTCAATTTATCTTCATCCTCCCTCGCCTTTCTATCCAAAACCTGGATTTCGGCAAAGTTCTCGGTAAGTTGAGGGGCTAGACGATCCAACTTTTTCATAAACCGCGATAACGGTTTCTGAATTTTGACGTCCATCCCTAAAAACTGTCGTTTCACAAGGAAAGTACTTCTATGGGGTGTGGAGTTACAGGTCGAGTCATACATCAAAAAATTCGCAAAATTTTTCTGATTCAGAATATGTAAAAATTAGCTGCCCAATTTTGGTCTGTAAGGGTGAAAAAACCCTCGGAACTTTTCTCGAAACACCACACAAATGCCTTTTTGACCAAGTTTTTACCAAATCAAAAGCTTGTTTTTGAGTTAAAGTAAACACTGGTATCTTTACAAGCTTTAAAATATCAAATTTAATTTATACTACACCTTAATTAGCAGTTGCAATGTAAAAAATGCGCATTTTCATGGTGTTGCGAGAAAAGTTCTGAGGATTTTTTCGCCCTTACAAACTAAAATTAGGCAGCTAATTTTTACATATTCTGAATCAGAAAAATTTTGCGAATTTTTTGATATATGACTCGACCTGTAACTCCATACCCCATAGAAGTACTTTCCTTGTCAAAAAGATTCGTAAGCAAAACAGAAAACAGGTATTGGTATCGTTGCGAATAATATACAGAAACTACCGCCGCTAAGAAAGAACGACTTAATGGTTATTAAGACTACATTACCAGTGGATCTTCAACAAAAGACAAACATTTTATTACCAAACGCATTTTTTTTGGCGCTAATGAACGAGAACAATTGACACGTTTGAAACGGGTCGAGTGTTGCACTCAGCTACAAGAAACAGGGGTGGTCAGTGGGCCGGGCCGGCCCGTGACGGGCCGGCCCGGCCCGGCCCAAACGGGCCGGCCGGGCTCAAAAATGGAAAATTACAAACGGGCCGGGCCCGTCACGGGCCGGGCCGGGCCGGGCCGCGGGCCTGGGGTTTTTCCGGCCCGGCCCGGCCCGTCTAAATTACAATGCCAAACCGTTGGCATTCATTGTTTTCGCGCCGGGAAAATTAATTGATGTTGTTATAGTTGCTGTTTCTCAAGTTCTAAAACGTTTACAAGTCTATAGTTCCATTATAAAACCACAAAACTATCACATTGATCCTTTACTAGCTATATCAACGCCTTTTTTGCCTAAGTTTAGATCCCAAGCTTGGGCGCAGTTCGCAGAACCCTCTATAAACGGGCCTGCACGGGCCGGGCCGGGCCGGGCCAGGCCCGTCACGGGCCGGGCCGGGCCGGGCCTGGAAAAAGACTAGACGGGCCGGGCCGGGCCGGTAATTAGACGGGCCGGGCCGCGGGCCGAAAATCGGAAAAATAGGGTCCGCTGACCACCCCTGACAAGAAAATACAGTAACGGAGTCGCGAGTCGGAAATGAATCAGTCTGCGATTTGTCGACTTGCATTGCAAAAATATGCTCTGACGGCTAAAAAACACTGGCCGAATCTTATGCATTCCACTTGGATTTTTTCCAATCTATCCCGATAAGCGCCAAAATTAGAGCAAAGTAAGTATTGTTGTGGGTCGTCGACAGATGGCGCGATCGCGATGGCTGTTGGTACGCTGGATGAAATCTCTTCTTCGGCTATAATATCTACATCCTTTTTCCCGCTTATTTTCGTTTGCTCCCGGGATAAAGGAGCGGAAAAAAGAGCCAAGGGTAATAGCGGGCGAACAGCTTTTTTGGCCCAAGGGCTTTTCGCGGTGAAAAGGCCAAGAGATGAACATTACAATGACGCTTGGGAATGATTTCTTGCCGTTTTATGTTTCAGTTTTACAGTATAATTTTTTTTTCTTGGATTCTTTGTTTTCAGGCTCAATCAAGGTGGATAAGATTGGGATTTGGCAAATTTAAGCCTTGTTTTGACTTGTTTTGTGCCATCGTTTGTTTTTATGCTTCTTTACGCAGTTCTGCGACAGGATTAAGGTTTTAACAACATTTTTCGATGGAGCTTTCAAAAATTATAGTTGTACATGCAAGATTTACGTTTTTTCGAAGTAGATTTGGTGGGATTTGATGCCATTTCGACCAAAAGTTAGCAGATTAGGTTTTTATACTTGTAGAGAATGACCTCGCGTTTATTTCGCGGATTATGTTAGCCATGCCGAGTTTTAGACCTAAAAAAGACAGAACCTATTTTATGACAAAACGAGAATGCTTCCTTCATTTTACACTCTTTTTGCATGTCTTTATGCCGAACTTTGATGGCATAACTGTTTGCATTTATATCCGGCACATGTCTCTTTGTAAATTTCTGGTTTGTGCTCTCGAGTATTTTTTCGTAATGGTATTTGTTTTGTCCCCAACACTTTTGGACCCAAAGCACATCGAATTCCGCCTTCATCAGTCGTGGATAATATAATTTTAATTATGAAATTGTAAAAAAGGACGACGTTTTTATTCAGGATCGAAGCAAATGTGTTAATCTTGAGTGTTTGCTTAAGGTCCACAACAGTTCTAGTTTGAGTTTGGCCGGAAGGAATGAGGTCGGAAGAGAAGCGAAGTAATTCTTTTGAAATCAAAGTAGTATTTTAAACCGTATGAAGAAAATTGCCGCAATGTTTCATTGGGGCAAGTTGAATTTCTGTTGCTGGTATTCAGTCTTAAATTGCGATAAAATGGTTTAGCTTGACTTTGGTAGCCTGGGTTTAGCGACGTACCCGTAATATCAGATAATCATGAATTTAGATTTTTTTTGGCATGTCAAGGCCTTGTACCGAGTCTAGTTTCAATCCAAAGTATTCTTGAGTTTGTGTCAACAGTGCTGCGATCATAATTCCCAATTGTCCTCCAAATTCGAGTGCTTCCTATGTTATATTATAGTTGCATCCAAAGTATTGCTTCTGTTTTCGAATATGAATATTGTCGGACTTGACGTAATCCCCGCGTTTCTGTCCTGTGCCCGACTGATTGTTGTGTTTTAGGACCGACTCGAGCGAGGGACCAGGATGAAAGCGGGCCCGGAGATGGCGGAGCAGCCCCTTCTGGGGTCGGACACAAATTTTATGCAAAGCACCGATCATCGCCGGACCTTAAATAGTAATGGAAATGGACCCAAACCCTCATGGATGGAGTAAGTTATCTTTTCCTTCGGTGGAAACAGCAACATTCAGTTTTGTTGGTCTGCATTAAGTCTAGGGGTGCAGAAAAGATTTAAAAATGCTAATACGATAGAATTCAATGGTATCGCTGGTATTTTTCTGATTTTACAGCAACACCATTTTGATTCTATAGTAATAAGTTTTGTTTTGATGGTTACAGTAACCCAAGAAGAGGATATTTTTTTAAATTTTTGGTTTTCTGACCAAATTCGTGCGTAAATCACAGATATCAGTGATTGTTGGGTCTTTCCGTGTGTTTTTGACTACTTTTTATCCAAAAATTATTCAATTTACGTCTGAACTCGGGGATTTTTGATGTTTTTATCACCGGAAAAACAGGAGAAATGATACGATCTGTGATTAATGTGCAAATCGCTGGGTTTATAAGGACCCTGGGGTCGTGAAAGTGAGGGTTGAAATCGTCGAGGAATAACTTTTTTGATCATTTTTATATGGGTGTCGTGCACAACAAAAAAAATTTAGATTTCTTACTCAATAATTCGAAATATTTGGTGCGAAATGTTCTTATCCTGGTTGGTCTTATCTGCAGGCCATATCTTTTTTCTGTTTTTTAAAATACGTGCTTGGCTGTGTTTGTTCAGATGGGTAATGTAGGGAAACAATGTAATGTTTGCAGTTATTTCCGGAAGTTTGGTGCCAAGAAGGAGAAGAAGGACTTTGTGGTCGTCATGGGTCGCAAGCTTGCCAAACGCGACAACAAAGGGAATGTCGCTCTCGATTACAATCAGGCTTCATTTCACGAAATGGTGGGTTACTGTAATTTTGGGATTCTTGATTGCAAAATAATGAAGAATTCTCAATTTGAAGGCGTTTTGGGAATAACGTCTTCTGATGATCGCTTTAGGATTGATTATGGTTTAATAGAATGTGTGGTTGTATGGTAATATACCTGGCACTTTTTTAGATGCGTTATGCCAGCAAATTTGATTGGTTCCTCTTCTGGACTGGAGCGATTCTCTCCGTGATTGCTGGCGCTCTTGCTCCTGTGGGTTCGGTCATATTCCGAGGGATTACGAATACTTTGTTGATTGCTCAGAACGAATACGATCATGGTGGAATAAACTTGGAGCAGTTCTCTTCCGACGTCCTCTTTTATGTCCTCATGTATTTGTTGCTGGGTGTTGTTACGTTTGTTTTTAGTTATTCCGCGGTGAGTTGTGTCTTCTTATTGGATTACGTCAAGTGTGACATCTTTTTAATGTTTTGCCTTTTAGACTGCTTGTTTCTTTACTCTTTGTGAACGACAGTTGGATATCTTCCGGAAGAAGTTCCTCTACGCGGTGTTACATCAGGATATTGAGTGGTTCGACTCGAATGAAATCGGAAAGCTTACACAGAAGATGTCCTCGTAAGTAATAGGGTTTGTTTTAATTGCGGATGTTGTTGTGAGGTGTATAATCTGGTATGTCTTTTCAGAGGAATTGACCGTATTCGAGATGGAACTAGTGATAAGATTGTGATGATCATCCAGGCCTTCGCTTGTCTAATTTCTGGACTGGTTGTTGGGTTCTGTATGAGCTGGCAGATGACCTTAGTCATGTTGGTGGTTATTCCATTTATCATCCTTGTCATCTGGGGATCTGCTTGGGTCAGTTGCCACATATCAGAACTATTTAAATTTTCATGTTTTTATTTGTTCTTTACAAATTTTTTTCTTAACTTTAGACAGTACGATCGTCCCTTCGAAAACAGAACGAAGCTTATGGAACAGCTGGTGCAGTCGCTGAAGAAGTGATCAATGGAATCAGGACTGTCGCCGCTTTCAATGCACAGTTCTTTGAGATCGAAAGGTACAGTAAATACCTGCATTTGGGATGTCGGAACGGAACGGTGAAACATCTTTTGACTGGAGTCTTCAGTGGAATGTATCTTTTGATTCTGTTTGCTTCGATGGGCGTGGCATTCTGGTAAGTTAAATTTTGTGCATTCCAAGCCTTTTGGGTGTTTATAAAGTATTTACATATTTCTTTTGTAGGTTTGGTACCATGATTGTATTGGATGGAGGAATGACCCCAGGTACCGTATTCGCCGTCTTCTGGGCTTGTGTTATTGGGGCAATGAGAGTTGGACAAGCGGTTCCTCAGATCTCAACTATCATGGGAGCCAAGGTCTCGGCCGGAGAAGTCTTCTCCATAATTGACAGAGTAAGAGTCATAATAAATAGTAGTCTGATAAACGCATTCTACATTTTTTATGGTAATGTTTTTAGAAGCCTAAATTGGATTGTTCGACAGAAAAGGGAATCAAACTTGCGAAGGTGGAGGGCCGGATCTCCTTCGACGACATTTATTTCCATTACCCAAGCCGGCCAGATGTCCCAATTCTGAATGGAGTCTCTTTCGAAGTGGAACCAGGACACACCGTAGCGCTAGTTGGACATAGTGGATGTGGAAAGTCGACGATGATCTCTTTCTTGATGAGATATTACAGTCCGGAGAAAGGCAGTGTGAGCTTTTTTATCGACTTTATGTCATCATCCGTATTTGGTGATTAAAATTTAATTTTAGGTCTTGATTGATGGAAAACCAATTGAAGATTTGAATGTGAACTGGCTGAGGAATGTAATCGGCATTGTCTCGCAAGAACCAATTGTATTTGCTGCGACGATCACCGAGAATATGAAGATGGGAAAGGAAGATCTGACCGAAGAAGAGATGATCAAGGCTTGTGAGGCGGCCAACGCCCATGAATTCATCTGCAGATTGCCTAACGTAAGTTTGGAAGGATTGAGGACCGACGACTTTTTACGTTTTGCCATAGTTTCCTGGATGTTTTCAGGGCTATGATACGCAAATCGGCGAAGGCGGAGTCAAGCTTTCTGGAGGTCAAAAACAGCGTTTGGCCATTGCTCGAGCACTGGTTAGAAATCCCAAAATCTTACTTCTGGATGAAGCTACCTCTGCCTTGGATACGGAATCAGAACGGATCGTCCAAAAAGCAATTGATCAAGCGGCCTCGGGCAGGACAACAATCATGATCGCCCATCGACTGAGCACTGTGCGAAATGCTGATAAGATCATTGTATTTGATCATGGAAAGATTGTTGAACAAGGAACTCATGAGGAATTGATGGAACTGGGTGGTATCTATAAAGGATTGGTACAAGCACAGGAGATCGAACAGTACCGAGAAGTGGACGATGTTGTAGTAGAAGACGAAGGAAGTCCTAGCAAAGCTCTCAGCAGATCCAGTTCAAGAGGATCGAGATCCGAATTCAGTGATTCGCAGAGAGTGAGAGCCAGCAATCGACTGAAGCAATCTATGGCTTCGGCTGCACAGAATGATCCCGACACGGAAGAGTAAGACTTGTTTTGTAATTGATTAAATATTTTAGTCAAATCGAAGAGATGGAAGAGGAAGACGCCGAGAAGGCCAGCTTCAAAGATATTTGGGAATTCGCGAAGCCAGAGCGGGTGAGGTTTGTCCTCGGATTGATCTGCACCTTCCTCAGAGGGGCCATCTTCCCGGCCTTTTCTCTCATTTATGGTCAGATGTTTACCGCATTGGAACAAGCACTCAGCGAAAATAAACATGAAGAAGTCACCTCAAAGAACGTCGTGAATGCATTGGCGTTTGGAGGTCTTGGATTGTTCGGATGCATATTCACCTTGACTTCTGGTTATCTGTTGGGTCAGGTGGGAGAACGAATGACCATGAGGTTGAGAATTGAAGTGTTTAAGGTGAGTAAATATAAGGTTTACACTTTTTGACGGATTGGAATTTATATTTATTATGTTGATTGTTTTCAGAACATTCTCCGTCAAGATGGTGCTTATTTTGATGATCTTCGTCATTCCACTGGTAAACTGACCGCACGCCTCGCTTCTGATGCTCCAAATGTTCAAGCGGCTATTGATCAGCGTCTGGCTGAGGTCCTACAAGGCTTGGTCTCTCTGATTTGCGGTGTTGCTATCGCGTTTTACTTCAGTTTCACCATGGCTCCAATTGGGTTGGGGTCAGCTGCTGTAATTGTCATCATCCAATTGTTCTTGACTAATGTCCTCAAAAAGAGAGCCCTAAAAGACGTTATGGTTGCTGAGGAGGCGTCTAGGGTAAGCTTTTGTTCCTATTGGTTGTTTGATTATAACTTTTCTTGTTCTTATTGATGGTATTTTTAGATTGCGTCGGAGTCTATCGAACATGTGAAGACGGTCCAAGCTCTCACTCGTCAGAATTATCTCTACGAATCGTTCTGCCGAGCCTCGGTCCAGCCTCATAAACGTGCCATCTTCCGAGGCCTTCTTCAGTCTCTTACTTATGGTCTAACTGGTGCTTTCGTCTCTTTCAACTTTGCTTCCGCTTATTTCTTTGGACTTCTTCTGATTCAAGGCGGATATACCACTCCATTCATTGTTTTCCAGTGGGTTTTTTAAAAGTTTTTCTATATGATTTGTCATCTTTTTATGTTATAAAAATTGATTTCAGAGTTATCGAAGCCCTTAATATGGCCTCGATTACCGTAATCGCAGCAGCATCGTTTTTCCCAGAATATATCAGAGCCAAGGTCGCTGCAGGTCTAATGTTCAAGATGATGAGGCATGAAACCAAGATTGATTCGCTGTCGGATGCTGGAATGACACCTGTAATTTTTCTTATTTCTTTCTTATGTTTTTACTCTATGTTTTTATCCTCAATCCCATTTTTAGGTGATTGAAGGGAATGTGGAATGTGAGAATGTGTTCTTCTGTTACCCCAACACTCCGCATTACCTGATCCTCAACGAATTCTCAGTCACCGCGCATAAAGGAGAGACCCTCGCTTTCGTTGGACCGTCGGGATGTGGAAAGTCGACTACAATTCAGTTATTGGAAAGGTATTATGATGTGATGGCTGGATCCATAAAGATTGATGGCGTCGATATCCGTCAGATTTCCATCAGGCATCTCAGAAATCACTTGGCAATTGTCTCCCAAGAACCGACCTTATTTAACCTTTCGATTGCTCAGAATATTGCGTACGGATTGGATAATATTGACATGAATGCTGTGATCAGTGCAGCCAAGACCGCCAATGTTCACGACTTCATCGACTCTCTGCCTCACGTAAGGCATTTTTGGAATTTGAGTACTTATTTATTATTATTAATAAGCATTATGAAAGACGTCTGGTGTGATATAAAAATCTTGGAGATATACGGTTTGTATTTTAGAAATACGACACTCCGGTTGGAGCACGAGGAGGTCAACTGTCTGGAGGTCAGAAACAACGAATCTCCATCGCCAGAGCCATGATCAGAAACCCGAAGATCCTCCTTTTGGACGAGGCTACTTCCGCTTTAGACTCCGAATCCGAAAAGATCGTGCAAGCAGCGTTGGATAAGGCCAGTCGAGGAAGAACGGCCATCACCATCGCTCACAGACTTTCCACCATCCAACATGCTGATCAAATTGCAGTAGTGAAGAATGGGCATGTGGTGGAAAACGGAAAACATCAACAACTTTTGGCCAGGAAAGGTCTCTATCATCGATTGGTCCAAAAACAAAGTGGATAGAAGAGATCAAGCGCCTTCTCTGTATTCTTTTGTCCGTTGTTCCCAAAGTTCTAGTTATTGTTTGGTTTTTTTAGCTCTAACTCTCTAAAATACGCAGTCCTAATATGTTTACACGTTGTATTCTTCTCCATCCGGTCTATTTAATAATGCTAAAGTCTTATCTGTACATTTTTTTCTAATATCATGTGAAACTAACCATAATTCGAGCGGGTATTCACGTTAAATCACCTTAACCTTCGAAACGAGTCTCTTTTCCTATTTGCTGAAAGAGCCCTGATGCATAATCTGGTGCCTTTTATAAAAATAAAAACTTTATGAAACTGGGATTTATTCACTGATTTTTTCAAAAACTTCTATCACTGTCGGTAAAATAAAGAGGGTTTGCTTTGAGCATAAACGCGGTTACAACAGAGCCCCCGTTGAAAATCTCGCTTTAAAACAAGGATATTTTCGCCGAGTGCTTGGACGAAAAAAAAGGCCGGGCCCCCTGAGGAAGGTGCAGATCAATCCGAGGATAAAATTTTGTCTCTGTGACGGTTTCGTCCCCGAGATGGTTGTGGCTGTGCACATTGTGTATCGATCAGAGGTCGTTATTGCAAAAACTACGTCACTCTGGTACGCCCCGACTTACGTAGTTGTATGCTATATGGTACGAGGTTAAAACTGAGATGGCACCACGTAGATAAAACGTACGCCAAAAGGCGTGAACTCCGTTGATTTGTTATTGTATTTAAAAAATGTTGCACTTGGTACTATTATATTAAATTTTTCCCACAGGTAACTGTGCCCCCAAATTCCCAATATTCTCGGAATTTACTTTACTTTTTCAAGAAAATCAGTATAAAGGCGAAATAAAGGCTGAAATTTCAGCTAAAGAACAATGAATATAAATGAAAATGTAAATAGTGAAATGGCATTAACTACTCAATCTATGCGATGTCCAAATCAAATATGATTAGTGGACTGTTAAACTCATAGTAGACAAATTTACATTTGGGAGCTCTTCAATGTATATAATATCAGAAGTAGATTAGGGGAATTCTAATGTCTGAAGACGTTTCCAAACATTCCACGGCGACGTTTCGAGGATTCCATCTCGGCTTCTTCTTCCGAAAGTTCACGGATAATGGGACCATCCTGAAAATAATTTATTGTACCAGGGATTACCAAAATTTAACATTAGGATACATACAGTTTTATCACCCAAGAATCTGCCGGGTTATCAAAAAAAAAGTTACCTGATTTCTTCTGGAGTAATGTCTTCTCTCCTGTTCTTCTTCATCGTCATCCGGAATCTCAATTATCGGAGCCGTACTGGCCGAAGAGCCTTCTGCATGACCCACTTCTCTTCTGTGTCTGTTCTGTCTGGATCCTCTTCCATCTTCAATTGCCCTGCGATCATCCTGATTTCTGGAAAATGGATCAAATGCCAAGTTTCTGGTGGCCCGGGTCTTGAACTCCTGATTGAAGGTGTCAGCTTCTTCTAAAAACAAAAAACTAATCAAGTTCAATATATATACTCACCTTCTCCCAGGTTGACAAACTTCTGATTCTGTCTGATTTTACCATCGCGGTCTCTCTTCTTTTCGATTACATGGGCTCTGTCTCCAATATGATGACCAATTGAGACGTGCTCTTCTTCTCCTTCACGGACAGCACTGCAATTTGAATACAATAAGAATATCGAAACTACTAAATCTTACACCCAATAATCCTTGGTAAACTTTCTTACCGTCTGGTTTCTTTCACGTCACCGGCTTTTCTGGTCGAATTCTGAACAACTCTTTGTTTCCCATCCGGACCCATTGTAATACAAGTACTCTGGCTGAAGACCATCGAATTGGGATCATCCATGGCATGGTCCATCATTCTCATTAATCCACCTCCAATTCCGAAGCCTCCGAAACCACCAAAAACATCCAAAGCATTGGTTGGTTGAGATCTCTGACGCTGTTGAGAACGACTGCCATTCTGGAGCATGGGATGGCCATGACCCAACATGCTTCCCATCATTCTGTCCATCATCCCAAAGGGGTCAGACATCATGCGATCCATCTCGGCCATCTGATGCTGCATGTGTCTGAAATCAAAAAATTATATTAGACACACACGGTCTTTGCATAAAATTTGAGAAAATGTTTTTCCTTTTTCAGGAGTCTCACAATGCTTCTAGAAATTTCGACAAACCTCTGTGGTCTACGAGCTTTTTCACCGTTCCCGGGACCGTTCTTTTCCTCCGAACGTTCCGTTTTTCCATCATTTTTTACATTTTCTTTTCTAATTCTATTTTTCTCTTCTTTTAATTTCTCGATGGGTAATCTGCGGGCATCAGGCTTCAAGACCATGTTGATGTTCTTCTCCTGTTCATTCAGTTTCCTCCGATCTCCATAAGAAAATGACTTCTGACCGTTTTTCGGCCGTTCCGATGGCTTTTCCGAAGTCGAGAGACAGCAACCCATTCCATACAGTCTAAAGCCTACTCTACAATATCACCACCGCGACCGAGCAATGTTTACAACCGCATATTAAAAGAATTTTTACCACCGAATATAACCCCTTTTCCTCAAAAATGAACAAAGTACGCAGGATCAAGCAAGAAAACGGTCGTTTCCCGATCAAAACTTTACACCTAAAATAAAGGGAAGAAACGAAGATGGGTGCAACAAAAGTGAAATCTCCTTTCAAGGATATCAGTTGAATAAAGAGCGACTGATTCGACAAATGTTTTCATTTCAGCGCCGTTCGTTTTTTCGCTGCGCGCTGATATCATTGAGGAATCTTCGAAAACGTTAGTAAAAGATACCAAGCCATCTTTTGTCTATTTATTTCCAGCTATTTCATTCAAGGTAAATCTAGTGTAATATGGTAAGTATAATCCAATCCTTTTTTTGCTGTACAAACTTCTAAACCTTTCCTAAATTACATACTCTCAGCCCCAATTTCTTACAAAAATTGCCTTTAAACCGCGCTGAATACCAAAAGAAATAACATTAAACCGCCTTTTCGCCTCCGGAATTAACGGAAAAAACAAGTTTCCCCAAGTGATCAAAACTAAGCATCTGACAACCCATTACACTTGTCGTACCATTATGCACTTTCTGATTGTTTTTTCGGTATTAGTCACTTTAATTGTCGGCGCTTTATATTGTAATTTGCCTACAGTTACACCAGAAGTTATAAACCCCGCTTTGTTGTTTGCTGAGTTGTAATGGAAGGAAAAATAGTCTTTCCATGCTTTTTATTCTGCAATAATCGTCGACAAAATTATTTTAAAACGTTTACCCATTACGTTAATTGTTAAACTAGGTATTGATGTAAGACCACAGAAATTTCCTTGTATTTTCTCGAAATTTCCATGATTCCCCGGGAACGTTTTAAAGTTTAAAGTTTTAGAGCACACAGAATCCTGCTTTGTTTCAGCGTGGTCCCTCTATAGACCTTGTTCAAGACCAGTCTAGTTTTTCTTCACTAATTAACCGAGAAGACGAATAAAAATTGAACCAACCTGAATGGATCGAAGGGATCTCCACCGAACATTGTTTTCTGCTATGGTTTATTCGTGCGGGACACGAGCTGACGAGAAAAAGCACCCGAAATTTGAGGAAAATGCTGCAAAAAATCAATAAGTTAAACCCCAGAATTATGAAACCCCCGATACAACATACGATGAAAGAAAAATATAAAAATATAGAAACAGAACCGACCACAAAGCACCAAAACGTCCCCTAAAATGTGTTTACACCAAGCTAAGGGCGAACTTTTACCAGGAAAATCGAGAAATTTCCATAGAGAAAAAGATAAAACAAAATGCCAAAAAAGCAAAAATTCTGCGAAATTTGAATGCAAAGGTAAACAAAATAACAAAAAGTCAGCATTTCCCGACTACAACCATGTATTTATGAATCGTACAGTCTGAATACGAATTCTTCTCGTCTTGAAGAATCAAAAATATTATTCATGGCCAAAAAAAGAAACCTTTTATTTTAGTAGCTAATGTGCAGAAGAAAAAGAACTTTTCGCAGATAATAGCCCCATTACCCGCAGGGTTTTACGCTCTAATCCGTGTTAAATACCTGAGTAGGGAAGCGCATTTCGGAAGACAAAAGGTTTACTTTGCTCTCAAGTGCAATATCGGTAATGGAAATGGACCGATTTGGTCACAGAAAACCGCATTCGTATAGGGTAGATAAACATGCAGCTAATACGGAAGTTATTGTACCGGAAAACCATATGATTGAGATCCAGTCCTCGGTGGGTAATATTATATTGTAAGTACATGGGAGGGATGGAAAATGGGGGCGAGGGATAATAGTCAGAAAACTTAACCCAATTCGAGGTCGCCCAATGTTTGATGCGCACTTTTCTATTTGCGCCTGCATTTTATTGTAAAGTAAATTAACCGAAAAAACTTGATAATTGATAGTAATTTAATCAAATTGACTGCCAAAAAGTAGTCAAATTGTAAATAAATTTAAGATCTACGGGAAAGCGGGCGAGAGAGAAAAACCAAAATGGTAATGAGTATCGATAATCGAGGCGGAAATGCGCCTGATGCCTCAGGGCAAAAGGTGCGGTCTTTGGGAAAGGAAGGCTCATTTAGAAATTTTTTGGACGACGGATCGATTGTGTTGGTTATAGGATTGGAATCACATATCTAATGACTAGAAAAAAGGTCAGCCAGAAGTTGAAAACATCTCTAATGGCAGTAAAATGTCAGAAAACAATACCAGCACACCCCTTTTACGTTACACTCGCTATCTGATACATACATGAAAAGCCTGATACATAAAGTCTGTCGGGAAAGCAATGGCCGCTCATCGCATTGAAAATCGCATCGCCGCTGAGGAAATTAATTGTGTCGCGGCAAAATCAAATTGCTTTTCACTTCAGCGATGCGATCGGCGCAGCGACATTATGCTCATTATTTTCCCGACAGACTGCTATGAAGTAAACATTTATTGGGTTCCCAAAAGTTTTGAATGACCATTTCAAGGGCAACTGAAAGTAATTCTCTCGTTTTGGAGGCGTGTTTTTCAAAACAGTTACTATGGAAATGAATCTACGTATAAAATAATGGATGGAAATTGGTGCAGAAATAAAATTAAATAAATACGAAATTGGGTAAATTTAAATTGTAAGAGATTTTGACGATACAAAAGTAAGCTCAGATTTGTAGGAATAACAGGTAATTTGTATTATGACCATCCATAGCAAAAAAAAATAATTACTATAAAAAATGGTCTAAACCACAGTAGAAATGGGCAATTGTACTTATCATCCAAGTAAAAACCCCTGTAGGGGTCAAATTTAATTACGGAATCAAATCCATTAAACACATTTTTTAAAGAGAAAACTCGCTTGAATTCCCCTAACAATAGATTTATAATTTGTAAATTGATATTTACAAGTCTCCTCTCATAAATTGTGCAATCATAGATAAGAAATCCCAGAGAAAAAGAGAAAATTCTGGAAGAAAACAACTTGAGAATAAAGTTACTGTCATTTGACCTGAGGGAAAATGGAAAAAAACAAAGGTTACAAAAGTTTGAATAGATTTGAGAGTTATATAAATAAACCTTGGGAAAGAGATGGGAGAGAATGGAGATGTCAAAGAGAGAAATCGGATTAGAAATGGCTTCAGAGCCGTCGAAAGGGAGGCAGATAACAATAACACAGTAGAAAGCATGGACTTATGGACTTTGGAAAAAATGTGATTATCAGGTGTGTGGAATTCTTATTTGAACTCTTTAATGCATAATTTAAGCTTTGCAAAATTCTCTAATTTTCGGTTCACGTCGAACAAATGATGATTAATCGCGGAATTTTTGTAAAGTAGTATTGGGTGTAAGATAAAACTCTAGCCTCACGTCAGTCTTGAAAAAAGCTCGTCAAAACTGATATGCTACAGTATAAAAAAAACCATACCAAAATATCTCATACCAGTCTCTGGAAAGTAATGAACACAGTCGCATCGCCGCCTAAAAAATGAATTGTGCCGCAAACTGCTTTCTATTTCAGCGACACGATCGGTGCAGCGACATTATCCTCATTATTTTCTGGACAGACTGATATAGGGTAATAGAAAACCGACATCCGAGAGACCAGTTTTATTGAGAATCAGATCATAGCCATGCCAGCCAACAGAAGATAAGTCGAGGCGCCAAGTCCAAGCAAGAAGATGACCATGAAGACGGCAGAGATGATAATGCATTTCTTCCTCTTGGGATTGGGCTCAACACCGGTGTCCTGGGACTCCTTGTTGTTCTTCTTCTGACCCGCCTTGCCGGATTTTGCTGGTGTAGCAGCGGTTTTGGCAGCTAAAATAATTAAATTATCATGGAAAACATCAATGAAATAGAAGACAATGTCCCAGAAAGGGCAGTCAGTGGCCTAAAGTTTAGTTTGTGCGGGATCAGTAGTTTCTCTTTGTTTCCTATCACGTTATACATGGAAAAAGTTGTAAAAATCTAGGAAAATGACATCATTAACGGTCTATAAATCATCATAAGTTACTCGCCGGTCGATTGGCAGGTTTCGGTTTTTGATCTCGGTTCGCTCTCCACTCCGGACTTGTCTGGCTGAAGACTGTTGGTGACCACTCCACCTGGCGGTGGTGGTGGCGGCGGTGGAGGCGGAGGTGGGGGTGGGGGCGGGGGTGGACCTCCGAATCCGGGGTTGGGCGGGGGAGGGGGAGCACCGCCATTCAGAAGTGGGGAATCGAGAGGTTCGTAGTTGTCGCCCATCCTTCCACGCGCCTAAGGGCTTCGGAAAGAATCGGAGAAGTCCAAGGATCTGATAATCGACCAGTCGGTGGACAAACCGCGAGGGAAATTAATTTTGAAACTGAACAATTCACTTCCATGCTCCAAATTCCCAAATTATTTGACAAGGAAAGTACTTCTATGGGGTGTGGAATTACCGGTCGAGATATATATCAAAAAATTCGCAAAAATTTTCTGATTCAGAATATATAAAAATTAGCTGCCTAATTTTGGTCTATCAGCGAGTTTTTTCAATAAATGTTTTTCTCGAGGAAAAAGATCTGCGGCAACAAAAGCGCGCTCGGTCTCTTCCTTCGGAAGAGAGCGGTGTGGCCGAGTGGTTAGAGCGCTAGATTGGGAATCCGAGGGGAACGGTTTCGATTCCTTTTGCCACACTAGAACCCATTTTTTACATTGGAACTACTTTTAAGGTGTAGTTGTAATCCAATTTGATATTTTAAGGCTTGTCAAGGCCTCAGAATTTAGTTTAGCACAAAACAAAATTTTTTTATTGGTAAAAACACGGTCAAAAAGACACTTGCATGGTGTCGCGAGAAAACTTCTGAGGACAAAAACATGTCATTAGACCAAAATTAGGCAGCTAATTTATATATATTCTGAATCAGAAAATTTTTGCGAATTTTTTGATATATATCTCGACCGGTAATTCCACACCCCATAGAAGTACTTTCCTTGTGAAAAAAGCTGAGCCGACCACTCACACTAGTCGCTATGACTTCCTTTTCATTGTTTTACTAGGACAAGCTCCGAAAGCAATCAAGGGTGCATAATATCTGCAATATTCCTCGTATCTTAACGATTTTATGCGCCATTGACTGGTTTCAGAGCCACTTGTCCTAACCAGGTTCAAATTCCGGTCTTAGGAAGAGTTACATTTACAGAAAGAGAGGCTCTCGATTACAAGGTCGTACCATCAGAAAAGGCTAGCGGAGACTGGACTCGGAGAATCGAGACGGCCTCAAAATGGGGAGTGATAAGATAAGAGGCCTCGTTGTTTGCTGAAGCCCAATTATAATGAATTTTCGGCGTTATCAAGGCCTTCAAAAAAGCCCCGGAAAGGGTCTTAAATAACATACGACGACCGCGTATATATCAGCCAACAATTTGGCTTTCATGTTGATAAAAGTGGAAACGGGAGTACAGAAGCGGCGTTGATAAGATCGGGGAGTTTAGAATAGGTTTGGAATTAGCAGTCTTGGCCTCACAAAATCATCAATTCTTTGTCAATACTTTATGCATTACCTTGTTTCAGTTTCTCTATTTTGACACTCAGATCCTCAAGTCTGTGATCTTTACCTTCTAATGTTTCCGTTTTTACCATTAATTATCAATGCAAAATAAAGTTTTTATCAAAATTATCAAAAAACGAATAAAAATAAATATATTGCGTAATATTGAATGTTTATAAGAAAAATGGCAATGACTGTCAGTGTGCATCTCTATTCGGAGATTTGGAAAGACATTTGCTTCTAATTACAATTAGAATTTTGATTATAAAAAAGTTATTACCCAAGTTGAAGAATAAAAAAGTAACAAAAAATACGAATAAAACAACAAAACATACTATTTACAACTATTACATATAACGGGGCAAGAGGTGCCGGGCGTGGTAAGTGTGAAAACTACATGAGATGTAATTTGAGACCAGTTTCGAAGGGATTTGGGTGCAAATTTGGCTGTTATATCATGAATAATATGCCAAAACGTTAGTTTAACACAACGTGTCCTTTTGCTCGAATGGCGGCTGGACTGTTAGACTGAGGATTCCAGGCCTGAGCGGGGCAGGGTAGTGTTTCTGAGGTAGCCTTTGAGTATATGTCACAGTGGGGGTCTGAGGTGTCTGGGTGATATATTCGGAGCTGTTATTCACCGCAAATGAGTAATTACTGTGGTTCTCGTCGCGAGAAGATGGTGTGGAAGTCTAAAAAGTAAAATTTTCTTAATCTTGCACTCAATTTTCATATTACATATCGTATAAACTCACTCCTACCTTGACAGGGTATCCCATTCTCGCTTGCATCGCCTTGATGTCGTACTTGGCTTTGGAACGCTCTCTTCTTCTTATACTCGCCTTGTATTGGATACAAAAACAGATTCCAAGTAATCCCATCAGAATAATCACAACGCAACATCCCACAATGATAGCATAAGAATCAACAAATTCTACCAGCTCGGTTCTGATGAGTTCATGGGCTTCCGGATTTAATCTGAGGACAAGTTTACTTGTGGGTCGTTGGTCCTTTCCAGCATCCGATCGGCCATAAGCAGTGATTACATAAGTGGCAGTATCATTTAGATCGGTGATTACTACGGTATGAGAAGAGTCCTGAAAACAAAATATAAGTGAGTCCAATTCATATGCTCTCTGCTGTATTCTCACCGCATTCATACCTATCAACTGAATACACAACTTACCAAATTAACCATCTTGTGGTTGGGCCTCTGGCCATTGGTCCAATGAACGAACTGATCGCACTCTGGGGGATGCTTCAAATCCTCAGCACTCCATGTCAACAATACCAGAGATGAGTCCCTCATTGTGATCTTCTCTCTCATACTCAATTTAATTGGATCTTTCTGAGCGGCATAAATATTTTCAAGGAGAAGATCGTCTGAACAAAGAGGAGACAACACTTCGGCTGAGGCTGTGAATCCAAACACCTTGAAAGTTAAGATCTCCTTCTTGGGATTGGCGCCAGAAAAAACATGTTCAACGACGAATCGAGGAGAAAATGACTAAAACAAGGCCAAAATTATGTTACTTTAGGCATCAAAACTTACAAAATTTCTTTGGACAAATTCATTTTCAACCACCCCGTTGCGATTGATCAACGAGCGATACACTTCGATCACATACAACGTCAGATTATCTGTTTGAGGGGGAGTGAGAACATTCAATTTGGCACGGATTCGAGGGGGAGTAACGGACAAACGATCAACGCAGATCACTTCCAGAGGGCCAAAGGAGTCCGATATTGTGGATTCTGTGGGTTTAGGAGAGGTTCCGTCAAAGCCCGTGCCCAAATTACATCCCATCTTGCACTAAAAAGCCAAAATTTATATTAAAGCAGGACATAAACAATAAAAAAAAATTTTTTCTTACAGTATCAAATCGAATATCATCCAATTGCCAGTCCTGGAATGCGTCTCCGGAGGCCAGTGTTACATTTCTGGGAGTACCAAACTGAAGCCAAACTTATATTTTCCTTCCCAATTACTTACCAACTCTCCGCATCTGGCCAAACATTTGTAAAACCGATATCTGGGATCATTGGTGTCAACTTTCGGGTTTTTGGACAAGTTGGAGAAGGCTGACGCGTTCAGGATCACAATTGCCAGTGTAATTTTACCCAAGAACCTCATATCTGAAAAAATAGAATGATTTCTGACTCAAAGTTGATGATTAATAACAATTTCGCGACAAAACAAGATAAATTTAGGAGGAACTTAAAGAACTTTGCACAAAATACACGATTTTAACTTAGTCATCGATTAAAATTAATGCAAACAAATATAAATAACAGAAACATTAATCATTACACCTATTACGTTATGCATAACATAAAAAAAGCAGGCGAAACGTGATCCTTTGCCCTCAACCAAAGCCGTAAATATAATCTCGGATTCCCATTCCCCAGATCGCCCAATCAAATACGATTTACATCATATCCAAGGTATCGGCGGTCAGGTCAAATTAGCTCGGGGATCGTCAACTTGGCGCTTCTCAAGATAAATCTCTCCAAATCCGAGGGAAAAGAGCCTCAGGTCACCAACAGATCAGCGCCATAATACACCGCAGTCGATTCGTATTTTGGATTGGAATTGGCGGCATTTCGGAGGGTAAAAGGATAAACAAAAAGTGGCGACAAAAGCGGGCCATCACTTTATTTACGCACAAATTTCAATTCAATTCATTAGAAAAATTATTGATGAAGCCGCTGGACCAAGGTTTGAAGGGAAGTTCGCGATTTTTTTTTACTCCATATGGCCACCGTATTGTACTAGACACTATGCGGGTGAAAAAAAGATAATATCTCGTCAAATATTTCTGCACAAAAATTTCGCGAATTTCATCTAAGAATACTTTTAAAAAATGCAAGACAACACTTTCTACCGTTATCACCTCATTAACCTGCCCATCACTCTCTCGACCTAATTCAACCGCCATTTTTATGGCATTTTCCCACAAAAATTTATTCAAATGCCAATGCAAACATCCTTTGATCCGGCCGCCATATCACCATCTAGAATTCTATCACTTGAGAGAATCAGAATAACCTCATCTATATGCTACAGTAATTAATAAGACCCGCTATAGCTGTCATATCAGGTGTCAAGATCAGCAGATTATCGAACGGACCCATTAATCAAATGTTTATCCAATCAAATAAAGCCGATAGACTTCGGGGATAACGTCGAGATTCAAATACTCATACCATAGCATCGACATGACTTTAAATAAAGGAAGAGACCCTGGACAACGATAACATGGGTAATACCTTGTTTTCCCATCATTTCCGGAATGTAACATAACCCCAGCAAAAGTGCACCCGGGGGAAAGATGACTCCACAAGCCATAAATTGACCAGCAATTACGAGAGAAAAGCGAGCAAATTATAATATTTCCGCACCTATTCGCACAGTTGCATAATCCTCGAGTAACGGACGAAGCGCGTTTGGAGACACTTGAAGGAATCTCTAGTGAATCAAGAGAGAATGGCCTTATGTCATGTTTGAGCAAGATTAGGACAAGTCTTTTGAGAGGAGATAGCGTCCACTTTATGGGCCAAACCTTCTCTTTGATAGAACAATCTAACTCAAACCCCCAATCGTAAATTGTGACGCCTTTTTGGGCGCTCGATGACCAATCCTAATATGCAACAAGAGCCCGCCGCCAAATAAATCTGTAAATCCCGGCCGTAAACTGTTGTAATGTCGAGATCGCGCTGAAACAAATATCCATCGGAAGAGGGCGCTCATCTGGCCTTTTTTAGTTTTTTGGAGCCACAAAAAATGCCTTCAATCTGCGTTTTTATGACCCGAAATCGTCGATCAACTCCCAAAACATAAAGGCGCAGCATTTTCTGGTCATTACTCAACGGCCGATCTAAAGGTGGGGGCCAAGAAAAAAGGGATCTTAATATAGGTAAAGGGTAAATAAAGGGATTTTATAAAGAATGCTGATGGCATTTCGGGAACCCACAATTAATTTCGTGGACAACCCACAAGTCTGTCTATATGTGAGAAAAGAATGTGGTTTAACAAGAACCCAAAGAAACCCTTCGAATGTTAATCACGCTCCTTAATCCTCCCTAAAAGTCAATAGAAAAACAAAGAGAACTTGATCCGCCTAATCTGCCGACCCTTGGATCCACTCATTATGATCCAACAAGTCCATTCACACCGCCTCTTTCCCTTGGCCGTTCGACTTCTGATCTCAAGAGGCTCTTTGGCGGATCAAAAGAGTGCCGGAAGAGTGGATTTGGCTCCTTTTTTGGTTCGCCGAATGAACAAACTCAACTCTCAAACTTTGGCTTAAGTCGCGAAGAAATCGTTATTCAAATCTGCGCTGTCTTGAGCAAACAAACCGAGTAAGTAGAGGGTCGCTACCTGAGTTTCTTCCGCTATGGCAAGGCCTGGCCCCAACCCCTTTCCAATTATAAGCTTCGTCAAAGTTTATTAATCGACTCCTGAATAATCCGCTAATGCCGATAAGATATGCGTTGGGCAAATTACTCTCGTTGAGCAAACAACCCTGACCTAACCGTTAGTGGCACTTTTAGTGACTACCCCCAGCAGATTCGAATCTCGAGTAATTTGTTTGGAATGGCGGCGGAAGATGCTAAATAAATGTTTCCCTTTTGAAGCCACAAACATTTGCCGCAAAATTATTAATGGCATCTCGAATGAAGCGAGGGCAGGAGGCGATGGCATGATCAAGATCATAAAAAGGGAAGGCTCATTGGGGTGAACGATAGTTTCCTTATAGACGAAATACAAAAATAAAGAGGCCACCAAACGAAAAGGAAGCCGATCTTAAAACAGACACGGCAGAATGATTATGCCAAAAACAAGTCCACGATTACCCATTCCATGATACCATAAGCTGCCTCTTCATTGACCCAACTATCCAATTTCGGCGCCTCTGGAAATTTACATTAACCCAGATTTTGTATTTGCCGCAATCAAAAGAGATCGAAACAGATACCGAATACAGTAAATACCCGCGGGTAATCTGGATCCCTCCTTTCCGCAGGGTGCGGCAACCCTATTTATTGGGTAAGGCCTTCAAAGATAATTTCTGGCATGATTCACAAACAAATTGGTACGCAACAAAGAGGTATCAATAACAACACAAAGACTGCTGCAGCCATTACCCAAGAGTCGAAGCAAGCTACCCTATCCGTAATTACTTCTCCAAATTAAACATCATAAATCATTTTATATTCCCCATTTGTCACACCTTCCACATAATGGAAGTGGCTCGGATTTGAGGCTTCTAATTATGAACCCATACAAAGGAAGGTGGTATTTTAAGATGAGGCAAGAAAAGGCGCCGTTTCCTTTGCTCGATCAGGAAAAGGAAGTGACTAAATCATGGTAAAAAACATGACCAGGGAAACTGAGAATAGTTAGTAATCAGTCGGCACGATTCGAGAGAAAAAAGGCTAATGAATACAGTTGGGAAATCATTTATGAGTAATCTATACAAAAATCTTGACCATACAGGTTAATGACTAAATCAAAATGGCCAATCAGTTATCACGATCAGTACGATTACTCAAACTACTGCAAAATACGAAAACACAGAAACTTTTCTGAACTTTTTTCAAAACAGAAGACCTTGAATAAGATGTCCTCCAACTTGCTAACTTCCAAATTAAACCTCAAACCCAATCAGATCGAAGGAAAACCAAACAAAGTTCGCTCTGATCCCGAGAAACAAAAAAAGTAATTTGTCCACAGAGAAAGGAGAAGATCCGTGCTCATTCAACCGTTCCATTTTTTATATGCCTTCATTTGACCTCAACCCCCAACCTGACTGGCATTACTCAACCTCGAGGTTGACCTTTCAAGGCCTTAGAGTGCGAATTATTAAAACGCTTACTCACAATCAGCCAGAAGATCAAGCCGAAAGATAAGGGACTAGCTGATGGACCTACGAGACTACCTGTTTACCTTTGAGAAGCGTTTCGGACATCTCGAGAACCTCCGAAGAAAAATATCCAGCTGTGAGCGTGCCGTAAAAGGAGAGGAGGGATTTGATTCCAATCACAATGGCGACTGAATGAGGTATCAAGAGGGGACCCAAAAACAATCAAAGTGACCGATTCAAAGCGTCTCGTGTCAAGGATTTGAAATTGAAACGTCAAGCTTTAGTGCAATTTGCCAAACTCGGAGAAAAACTTTGAAAACCAACTCTCTGAACACCTCATATTCGTCTACTGTAAGTTCGAATGCGATTAGTGCCGTGAATATGCGAATGATCCAGACATTGAAGCCAGTTCCAATGTAAACAACCTTGAAACCTTCGAAAAGAAATTGTAATATCCATCCAAGAGTTATGTTATGGATCGAAACGGCCCATTGCCGACCTACTCCAGCCTAATGAGATTTCTTTTTTGCTACCGCAAAGACAAAAAAAACTTTCCGAGGCCATTTCCGTTTATTCAACAATGGAATGCGCGGTCAATGGGGGAAACTCCTTCGGGGGAAGGCACAATGAGCGGCTAAGGAAATGCAAATTCGATCAGAAGAATTCAACGTCTCCCCTGGATGACTTCAGGATCAAATAAAGGATCACATAGCCGATTGCGTAACAAGAATGACCCCTCAATTGGCCCGATTTGTCCCCTTTGAGAGGCCCACCTGCGTTGATCAATAAAAATTTTGGAAATCGGATTTATATGATCCCAAGGACAATATAAATCGGCGCTCTGACATATGTTTGAAAGTCGTAAAATTCGGAAAAAAAACAGTAGAAATGCGCGGACGGAAGTGGAATAAAAGGAAGAAGACGGCGCCACACTGTCCACAAAATTATGAAAAGGCGATTCGGAGATTCTGGTGTCCTTCGGAGGGTACAGGTGCATGCCATATACAATTTGAATGTCATATTTGACACAACGGACAGATAAACCATGGCCGAAGAGCTCAATAAAACATGACAAGGAATTTTGAATGGCCCAAAGGAATATCCGTTACTCAGAACCCGATTTACATTGTAAATCATGGTATTCTGGGTCAATCGACCCATCGGACATGTCACCTTCACCTTCCCTTCTCTTGGGCATTGGAAAAGGTCGTCCGTTCAAAAGATGGCCCGCTTTCGACACAGCTGCGAATTCAAATGAGTTCGTAACCCAATTCGAATACTATGAAAGGCAAGGTAATGGTTTTCATTATTATCTGAACCCACTCTTACCAATAAGACCAATGCAAATCATACAAGATAAGAATTTAGCATTGCCAACCAAATTGAATACGATTAAACTAGACCAAGAAGACTAAGAACAAAACCAAGGGTTCTCATCAACACTTCCGAAAGATTTCCCGGAATGAATAACTAATTCCGATGAAGATTCTCTGGCTTGGCCGAGGAGATTCCCATGTAGAAGATGACCACTCCTGATTCATTCAACTCATCTTACTCTCAACTCTTTATTCCACGGGATTGAGTCATAGGCTGAAGAGTCCAAACCCGTCCAGAAAAAGCGAAAATCCGAGAAGAATGAGCGAAAAACTTTTCCACGCATCGCATTCAAAAAGGTTCAGAGATTTGAATGAAGCCGGAGACAATATAAGAATACCGTATTGACTTTACTCATAGCAGACTACCCAGAATCTCAGCTCATCTCCATTATTTTCAGATTTTTCTCTGGTGACAATAATGCACAACAAATACCTAAAATAACATCGAAACCGTAAATAATGTGCTAAATTCAAATGAATATGCAAATCATTGACTCCATAATGGTCTCTGAGCCCTGATAATGCCTCTCTAAGGACAATGGCACCATTAATTCATGGCACGAGCGAAGAAAACGATTTGAGGACAAAAAAATTGGAAAATTATGTAAAACCCCGATAGAACCCATTAAAATCAACGCAAAATTTGGACAAAACGACGTGAAATATGAAAACCGCGGAAAAAAGACGGTATTCCCCATGACAAGGGAACAAAAACAAGTCGGTGATAGCCTGTTACCTAAAAAAACGGAATTCGAGTAAAAAACGGCGGATTTTGGAGTAAAATCAGATTGAAGCAGGTGAAATCTGGATAATTTGAGAGAAATGGGAGTAAATCCCTCGAGAAAGGGTCGAAGATATCCACTATCAAGATAATCGCTCAATTTACACCTCAAAATTTGGAAAATAAAAAAAATATTTTCCAGAAAATACGTGATTCTCAATGTCTTTATGACGGATTTTATGGACATTCCAGAATTCATTGACGAAAACAAACATAATTGTGAGGAGTTCACGTCAGGAAGAGATCCGATGAGACAATACTCCTTGAAATAATATTATTACAACGACCCTGAACCCGGGGAGGGAAAAACCCCTGAAACCCTTATTCGGAGTCCGTTGAATTGCGCAAAAATTACCCATTCAAGAGAGTAACCTCAATGTTGGGATGATGAGTTGACTCGTTGCGGTTTAATACGTCTTTCAGGAGTTGGCGAGCGGAAAAACAAACATAAATTATGACCGCATCAACGTGATTGAGGGAGGGGATCCAGGGGTAAGGTGAAGATCATGAGGTAAGGGATGATGGAAGGTATTATTATATTAGTGCGTAGTAAGATCCAGGGTGTAAAAAAAGCTAGAATAAAGAAATAAGGTGCATTAGTGAGATTTGTCGTTCTGCGAAGATAGATTTGAGTAATGGTCCTAGTATAATAAAATATAACTATTTTGTACCAACATACGCCGCATACAGGTAAAGTAAGCTCAAAAGACGATCCCCTACGCCTTAAATAGATCGAATGACACCTCATTGTATACTCACCCATGCCCGTTATATTATACTTGCCTCAACATCACCTCGGGCGGAATAACTCTCCTTCAACGGACGATGCAGATCACAGATTCGACCGCCCCGGTATTCAAATATTTACTTTTTGGAATTTCACTCCGAAATCCCTGCTCACCACACCTCGAAAGCGGAAAGACTTCGCTTGGAGATACGACCATGAACGGGAATTATTCTAATCCCGTCACCTTGGAAGGCGCTCAAGTTAATTTTGGTCAGTGAATTTGAATAAAAGTGGAGGAATCTACTCTTACTTGCGGAGTAATGCCCTCCGGGGGAGATGGACGGAAAGTTTGGCGGTTAAAAGCGCTTTACGATCTACGAAATTCAAGGATTTTAAGAAAATGGGGATGACTCGGTGGATTAAGGGTTACGGTAATCAGATTGGAGGAACTCAGTCATCTTCTATATTTATACCACAAATCTCCCAATGAATCGTCTTTTGGGCAACACCATTCAAAAAACAACTTACTGTTGCATTGGCCGAAAATTTCTAGAGAAAATTCGATGGAGATATGATCTAAAACAATACAATATCATGAAGGGTTGAACCTCCTTCGATTGTTTTACATAGGGTATACCTTATAATCCCCAAAGATGACTTCCCAATTACTACCCTTTTCCAATCTGAGAGTGGATGAGTAACCTCCAAAGTCTTCAAAAGGAAAGCCGGGACATTTTCTCCATTTCTTTTGTACTTTGATGTTGTAAAAGATGCGTCTAAAGATGTCATCCCCACCGCCAAAAGCCGAATTACTCTCTCAGTAATCCAGGACGTTTATTTGAAAATGACTCGCAGCTGGTGATCTTTTCCACCGATTTTATTCGACTTCCCATTTGGATCTGATCCGGCTTCGCAAAAAAACATTTAGGATTTACGACTGGACAACATGGAAACGATGTTAATTGCGGCAGGGCTGCCATGTCAATCATGAACATGCTTTAAAAGTTTTGCCATGCGACTACTGTATAGATTACTGTATAACAATATTTATTAAAAGTATTGCCACCAAATATACAAAGAAACATCAGGAGACATGATTATCATGGAAAACGTACCAGATCGGGAGGAAAATAACAATAACATTTCAATTATGTTATCACGGATATTGCTGACGATGTAACAATTCAAAAAATATGTTAAGAACTTAGCTATGGCCATTCTGAACACTCGGTAAATCGGCTTCTTTCAATTCGCCAAACTCATATCCCCCGTATCCATCGTATTTTAGAAGATGAGAATGGAAATGCCAGAGAGACGGACGATGTGAGATGGTCAACAGGGTGACTCCTGCATCTTTTATGGCCTGGTAGATCTTCCCTTCCACGTCAATCGACACGGCCGAAGTGCATTCGTCAAGAAGAGCATACAAAGGTTGATGATACAGTACTCTGGCCATGCCTAGACGTTGTTTCTCACCTCCAGAGAGAACATCCATCCAATCACATTGAGCGGAGAGGCCTGGAAAAAAGATAATAAAGAACAATGTAAATTAAAAAAATTATGGCAATCCTAGGCCATTTACGCCCGACCTAAAGTAATGAAATCCCTTACCTCCTTCTCTTTCCACAATTGGCCCTAAGGTCACAGTATCCAGAATCCTCAACAGATCGCGGTCTGTGAATCCCCTGCTTTTCATGACATGATAGCTGTCAGGATAGATGATCTGATCTCTCAAAGTTCCTAACGTCATGTAAGGTCTTTGTGGAATATAAAACATTTGATTCCTCTTCGGACATTTCAGAACTCCTGAATAGACGGGCCAAAGGCCTCCCAATACTCGGAAGAACGAGGACTTTCCACATCCATTGGGACCTGTGATGAAAACGTGAGTTCCTGGCTCAATCTGAAGATGGAGAATATAAATAGTAAAATTGGTCAAAGAACATAAACTATTAAAGATATTCACCTTCACATTGAAGTTCTTAACAATCAAGTCGCCATTTGGCGTGACAATGGGCATATTAACAGTCTCAATCAGCCCACTCGTCTCAATGATATTCCCCATGACCTGGCTGATGTCAAACTTTTCTCCTCTCTGTTCCACCTCTCCGGTCCTTTCAAACTTGTTCTCCTTCACTTCTTCGATGACTTTGAACATTTGATGGACTCGATCCGTATATCCAGCAAGCTCATTTATCTCCTTATACGAGACCATTAGCCTTTCGGCCGCATCGGCCGAAGAATAGAGAAGATTCTTGGCGGTCGCGAAGCCTCGAGTTCTCTCACTGACACCTCCATCCGGGTCGCTCTCGATCTTGGTGTTGTGGGTGAAGAGGATTGGAATGGCGATCATGGCCATTCCCGTGGCTGACCAGACGTATTTCATGAGGAACTGTTCGATGGCCACATAAGGGATGCGTTTCTTGAAGATGAGTAAGGTCTGGTCGTAAAGATCCCGGAAGGCCTTTTCGAGGAGGTTGTGTTCGACCTGAAAATATTAGACATCAAAGGGATTGGGTTAAAAGAATTAAGTCGACTTTTAATCAAAAAAAAATGACAGAGCTTACCTGTTGGCCTTTATAGAACGCGATTTCCTCGGAATTCGTGATGACTCTTGAATGCAAATATCTCAAATGTCCCTTTAACTGTGCTTCCTTTGCGATCATGTTATCAAATCTTCAAATTGAAATAAATTTTTTCGTTTCTGATATTACCCTTACCTTGGGGAAACCCTTTTCAATATCCTGGCAGTCGCTGAAACAATAACACAAGCCAATATGACTGGTATCATCACTGTGTTCCCGACCTCTCTCCGCCGAGCGTAGTTAATAAGGGTTATTCTTAAAGGAGTCAATGGTATCCAAAGTGTTATCTTACGTGATTAAAGCAATATCAAACAAAGGTTTGGTAATCTGCGAGTAGAGATGGGCAACTTGACTCGAAAACATCGAAATATCTTCGGTCAGGCATTGATCCACATTTAATAATCGAGTATCCACATTCGAAACTTTGTAATAGACATCATTCTGAAATTGGTGATATAAGAATGGGAAGCCAAAATAAAAAAAAAACACTGAGTAGGTGATAAGGCTTTACCTCGAAGTACAATTTGTAAGCATGTTTACTCAGTCGCTCCCTCAAGACCAATCCTATGTAGGAATCGAAGAATCGGATCAAAGAATTCACCAAAGTGGCCGGCACAGCTACCATAATCCATTTACACATAAGCCAGCTGAACTGCGAGACATTTGTTTGGACAATCGCCTTGATCATTCGACCTTCTAGAGCTGCCACATAAATGGATAAGAAGGTTCGGCTCATCAAAACGATCGAATGGATACCTGAAGATATTATACATGATAGTAATACAACAGTGATAAAAGTATATTCTTATGCTAGATAAGAGTGTAAGCGATCTGTAGGACTCACCGATGATCCCAGTTTCTCTGCAAAAGAATTTGGGGATCATAATTTTGACAAGATATTGGAATTGGTTGAAGAATTCGGGATTAATGGCATTCTTTTTGGTTGATTGGCGCTTTGGATGACGATCTACTGGAATAGGAAAATATACGCTTCTGATGTTATGAAAGTGAGAATGTGTTTTTGAAGTGCTTACTCCTCTTATAACTACAGCTTAAAAATATTTTCCTGATTATTTGACCGGAGATTGCACAAATTACCAGGGCCAGGAGAACCTTGGGCGTTTTCGACTGACCATACCGAATTTGGAGGTAAAAACGCGCAAGTTTGGATTGCACAGACATCTAGAAAAATTAAATATTGTAAGTTGGGGGATTACTGTACCACACTTTTTTTTTAGAATCAAAAAAATTTTAATTTTAAAAAAATTATTTGAATGTTGTAAAACGTAAGAATTCGGGAAAATAAAGGTACAACAGTTTAAAAAATAAGGCTGATAAGAATTTCGGTCATGCTAAGAACCAAAAAAAAGTAAAACGACGAAAAATATTGGCAGACTTTCGTTGAGAAATCAGAAATTATTTTTAATACAAGGTTAAAAGGGCTTGGAGAAAAAAGAAGTTGACCGATGAGCTAGATTACAACGATGACACGTGGGTAAGCATTAATATGTTTGGGAATAAAAAAATTTTTTTTAATTGTTAAAAACGCGCAGTAACAAGGCTGATGTCAAACTTTTTTGGCTCCAACATCGAAATTCAACACGAAAATTCAAGGATTTTGATTAATTTTCTCCGTAACCATTTTGAAAGATTACTTTAAACGCTCCACGTGAATTCTTGCGACCACAATAAACGTCTCACTTGAGACGCCCCGAGGGCTTGAACTCAACGCGGGTAACTCCCATCGACAAAAAAAAGGTAATGGTAATGTGGAACGGACATAACAAAGTAGAACGGAGTAAAAAATATATGGGAAAGCGATCAAAGAATTGGACGTTTGGGACCAGAGGAGGACAGTACGGTCTGGGAGAATAAAACAATATAAAAATCGTCAAACCTTGACAATAAATGTAAAAAAAAAACTTAAGAATCGTCTGAACAAGTCTGAAAAGAAAACATCTCAAGGAGAAAATGTCTTGACCACAAATTAAACCCGCTACGAATGCGTCTTGTGAAGGTAAATCAGGGGGAGGAAAGAGGAAATAAGAGGTTGTTATCTGCCACTTCCCCTTCCCTATGAACTCTAATCACATATTCGGACTTCACTTTCGCTTCGATGATCAGTCTGCTGACTAAAATTATATTCGAAATCCTTCGAAGCGATAAGAAATGAGTCTTAATTTATCAAGTTAAAGATTTTCAGGTTAGAAAAAAATAAAAACAAAGCGTCAACGCGTTAAAAATAAACGTAATGGCTTGAAAATAGGCGGGCTCCGAATTTTGTAGGCTTTTATGTAATATCGAGACTAGAACAATCAAATTTATTTATTTACAAACAAGCATACTATACAAAACTTTTACACAGCCTAATAGATGATATTGGTCATGGTTAATATAAGCAGGACGACTTCAATCCGGACTCCACCATTCTCCAATATCCCTGAGCTTTTCTTCAAAAGTTGATAACTAATTGTTTATATGGACTCTTGGGCGCAAGATACTCATTGCTCTAACATTTATTAAGTCCCGTTATCAAGTTTGTAAAGCCAATAAACATGGACTGATAAAAAGTTTGGATTGTCAGGAATGTAAAAAAGAGGGCACGTGTGCATAAGACAAGGTAACAAACGATCTGCAGAATTTTCTTTGCAATTGCAAATACCAGATTTCATTTTTTCCAATATTTCGAACGTTAGAAAATAATTCACCGTCAAAAAGGTTTGAATTTCAAGCGATTCCGCTGAATTTGCGGATCTTGGCATTCCGCCACAAGTAAAATTATTTTTGGAAATTTCTGCAATTTTTCCGTGAACTGGTAACTCTTTCAAGTCTTCATTAATCTTCGGGTCTTCGATTATGGCCCTCGAAATAAGAGATCGCGATTATGTATACAAACTGATTATTGGGTAAGGATAATATAAAATTTCTCTGATTTTTAGGCAATTATTCTATGACGGACATCAATCCTTGGCGGTAAATCTTGCTCAAGCCATTGGAGTGGCGAATCAGCTGCCTCCGCCTTCTGATAAACTATTCCGAGTTGTTTCTGTGGCCAAGCAATTTGTGGACAATCCGGATTCTGGAGATGGAGAAAACAAAAATAAAATCAAAGTGAGCAACATAGTTTTTCTTTTTTGTTTGTTTTTAGGTTTCTCTTAAGGTCGTGAGAGCCTTTGTTAGCGAGGTTGCGTCGTTTATGCTGCCAGATCGGCCGTCTACATTATTTTTTCTGTGGTTAATATAAAATTAACTCTTCTCCTTTAGTATGAATACGAAACAATGGGTCTGGACCTCGAGTATGATGCCGATGTTGTTCCCACAGCTCCAGAACCTTCAAACTACGAGACGATCTACGTTACAGCTCACAAAGGAGCTTGTCGAGCTGCTGCCTTTAGTAATGATGGATCTTTATTTGCTACCGGATCAGAAGATTCTTCCATTAAGATCTTGGATGTGGAGAAGATTATGGGAAGAAACGAGCAGGATATAGCCGAAGGGGCCTCCGATGCCCATCATCCAGTCATTAGGACTTTGTATGATCACATTGCTGATGTAAATGCAGTTTCTTTTCACCCAAGAGAACAGATATTAGTCAGTGGAAGTAGGGATCTGACAATTAAAATATTCGATTATTCAAAAACGGCTGTTAAAAGGGCTATGAAAACTATTCTGGTGAGTTATTACTATATTATACTTGGCAAATCGTATTTTTTTGTAAATTGGCAGTAAAATATTGTGATTTTTTGATTTCCTGAAGACAATTTAATTACTTCAGGAGACATATCCGATCACCTCGTTATCATTTCACCCGTCTGGAGAGTATCTTTTGGCTGGAACTGTCCATCCAACCTTGAGGCTATATAACTTTGAAACTCAACAATGCTTTGTCTCATCGATGCCTAGAGATCAACATGTTGGATCTATAGCTGATGTGAGTTGAATAATTGAGGGTTAAAATTAAAAAAAAAAATTTATTCGTAATTGGTGCAATATAATTTTTTTATCATTTTAGGTTCATTACAGCGATAATGCCAAGTTGTTTGTAACCGCTTCGCGAGACGGGGACGTGAAGATCTGGGATGGAGTATCGAATAGATGTGTGGAGACATTCCAACGAGCTCATGATGGGGCTGAAGTTTGTTCAGCAAGATTCACAAAAAACGCGAAATATATTCTTACGGCGGGGATGGACTCAACATGTAAATTGTGGGAACTCTCAACCAATCGATGTCTTATCGCTTATACTGGAGCTGGATCAACAGGGCCTCAGGAATTTCCACAGAAAGCGGACTTTAATCATAATGAAGATTATGTGATGTTTCCGGATGAAAAGAGTGGAAGCATGTGTGCCTGGGAGAGCAGAAGTGGAGATAGACAACGATTACTGGCTTTGGGTAAGTTGGTTGCATTGTTTGTTTTATTAGTCTATGCTTTTATGAAATATTTTTTGTATTATACTTTCCTTTGCAGGACACACCGCTCCTTGCCGCGTGTTCACCCACTCCCCAACCATGGCCGCATTCGTCACCGGCTCCGACGACTTCCGGGCTCGCTTCTGGGTGAAGAAATCACAAACTCATTAACTCGTTCACTTGTTGTTAGTGTTATCTGCCTATTTATATTATCCATGGTCTCAAATAAATGAATCCGAAGAATTAATCGTCCCAAAAAATATGAATTACCCATTCGCGACATTTCCTTGACGCAAATTCCTACCGTATCCATTTTAAGAGCTCATAAAAAGTAAAGAATTTAAACACATTTCTCTCTAAAAGTCCGAGAATGAAAGGATGGATAACATCTGATGGAGGATTAGATCTGTTATCCCCCAAAAAAGACATAAAAGTTGATGGTTGTCTCTCTCTTTCGGTAGATTTTTGTGCTCGAAGTCCGTGAAAATTGAAAGGAAGCGAAAGTACCGAAGTCGGATATCGATTCCCAAATGTTTTGGCGACCTCCTCCATAAATAATATTTTTACATTTGTTTGGGAGATTATTTCCGGGTTAGAAAGAAGTTTCTGGTGGCTAAATCACGCGTGTTGAAAAGCAAAGGTACTAATTGATAAAAACCCAAGGAAATTTCCCGACAATCAGTAAAAAAATTATTTTAGTCATCCTTAAACAAAACCATTTTTTTTTAAATCCCGTAATTGTCTTCACTTCGTCATAAATCTCATCTTGCTGTATTTTATGACCAGCTTTCTGCAGTAATCACAAACTCCATCCGATTAATTATGCTTCCTGCACAGAGTTGAAGGGCTTAACCTGCTTTCGTTACTTCCTCGATCCGCAAACTTATAACAAATATAGTTTCATTTGCTTTTGCCCATCTAATCCTCATACAGTAATTGTGGGAAGTTTTCCTTCAATTTTACTTCTGATTTGTGACCAATTCCAATTAATTCGACTCAATTCAAGTGCTCAAAGGTTGTGTTTGAGTTTGCAAATATCTCTCATTGCTCCTTGTGATCCTCAGAGAACGGAGATCTGACAATATTTGTTTGTTTTAACTTTGTCAACTTCTCAAGTGATATTGTAATCATTTTAAGTGGGGGTAAGAGGAAAGGGCGATGCTGTCATCTTTGTGGATCACCTTGAGCAAGACATATCCAATTTGTGACTTCATTCATTTTAAGGCCAAAGCTGAGAGAAAAGAGTGTTGGGGATTCCTGAAGGGTCACAAACTGGATCAGACCATGATTTTTATTTGCTCTTCGAATTAAAACTTCAAAATTTTGATTGGAGCATAAGATTATGGCGTTTGGTAAAGGAGTAGTATACTCTACGACAGTCTTCAGAAATTTGTGGCCCACTATGGATTTTTAATTTGAAAATTTTAACTTGCTTTGCAAACACACCATGTGTTTTTAGCGTTCTTTGTAACCTGAAAGAACAACTTTTTAGTGATTATAATTCTATATTCTGTTAAAGACAAAAGTTCCTGTATAAATGCAGACAGTTGGGTGTTTACTACCAGAATTAATGATGACTAAACCTCTTTTGCAGATAAAATTCCGTTCAACGGCCACAAACAATGCCTTTGATGACTTCTATTTACAGTGTTACAATCCTCGCTTCCCATAACCTCTCAGCTATTTTTTATTACTCGTTTCTCAATATTTATTGTACTCATTAGAAGTCGCTTAATTAGTCGCGGGAGAATTTTTGCGTGAACTTTAAAATAAATTAAAATTTCCGGTTCGAAATTAATCCCGTTAAATTGCGTGTCTAACGTGTTTTTTGGGTATGCAGATTCCTGGGTTGGTTGTACCCTTTACGTGAATATTTCCCATATTACTCATGGCCCTGAGCTAATGACAAGAGCCCCCAGAAACTTCCGGATGTTTACGATATAAAGCTATGAATAATACTAATAACTTTGAGGGATTATGTAAATTGCGTCAAGCCCCTAGCTCTGGGGGAACTATGACTGGGAACATTCATATGATTTTTCGGATTAAACGACAGTTTTGGATCGAAAAACGGTCAAGGTTAGCTGGAATTTGATGTAAATCTGTTCTGAAGGTGGTAACAATTAGGTTTGCATGTGAGAGGAAGGTGTTTTGCATAGGTGAGGCGGGCATAAATACGAATTAAAATGCTTTTTCAATACCGTTCACTCGATTTTTTTTTGAGTTTTTTGAAAAAATGTTAATGCTTTTAATCCCTAAATTAACGTCCCATTATGTCACGACCCCGGAGGGTAATCCAGAATCACATATTACGCCTTGTACATCTCCCAATTATTTGCTCAGTATCTGCATAGCCGAGATGAATAACGAACGAGCGGATTAAAATTCTTTTTTTTTTCGTTTCCCTCTCTTATCGAACAGGTAACTTTTCTGGAGGGCCTGAAACCGAGAGCCCGAGGGGAATTGCAAAAAACGCTTAATTATTTCTGATTCGCTTTTCGTCGGGGGTTTTGAGGGGGTTATAATGACCACAGTGTTTGCTCTTAATGAAAGAAAATTTTCGAATATTCTCCATGATGCCTTGAGTTATCTATTGGGCAAGTGATCGGGGTGTGAGGCAATGACTTCCTTTTAATTTTGTATTTGTGTTCTAGGTAGACTAGACTTGAGTCTCTGAAAATTATTTTGGCAAGTGACGCTGACGTGAGAGATTTAACAATCTCTGAAGGCGAGAGACTACGGAAAATTAGGAGTGACGGCCAAAGAGAGATGAGTTTGCAATATTACTGTTTTATTTGTGAAGAAATATTTAACGGTTTGTAATAGAACAGAATAGAAGTGCCAATTTTTTATACAAACATCGTAAAAAAGTTAAAACTTTTTTTGGCTTCCGGCCGTAATATCTCACCAGTTTCTGCAAGCTTTGAGATTAAAGTTTTTTCAAACATCTTATCAAATCCTACTTTTGATCTATGTAAGGTTTCACCCCAATCTATAAACTTTTCACCTTCTCCTAACAATCAGTGCTATAATGCATTACAAAGCTTTTTATAATTCCCTTTTACTGATAACCTATCTTCTAAAGATTCTATCTACTGTCGCTCCATTACTTTCGAACCTGTCACGTTGTTCCTGCCAATCTCTTATCAGCATTTTAAGCAGCTGAACTCTCTTTTTCGAACATCCAGCTTCTGATTTACAACATTCCAGAACATCGCCTTGCAAATTACCATTAGTCTTATCAGTAATCTGTTTCCTTTTGGTCGGAACCTTTGATAAATGCCCTGAGGCTATTAGATTTTATGTTCCACGCCCCATCTGGGAATAATTTCTTTTATTGAGGGGAAATGTTTACAAAAAAGGGTAGAGATGGGTTACAATGGGAAAAAGTTACTGGTGTTGGTAACCTTGTAAAGTAAACAGCCACCTTTTTGATGACACGGGTCAGTGAAGGGGTGTTTGGATGATTTTTTATGTTTAAGTGTACTATATTTTGATGTAACAGTAAAACTTTTTTAAATCCAAGTTTATTTACAGTAATCTTAGAGTTAATTTAGATGCCCCATATATGATAGTCTTCCTCTCTTTTAACGACTTTATTCAACCTTAATCAGCGTTTTATTGACAATTTCCAAAAATATCGGTGTCGTTGCACAATATACAATTAGAAGATTCTATTTATTTTGAAATTCCGATAAGAGTAATTGTAAATAAATTTTATGGCATTCAACATTTTATTCGAGAGAAATTTCTCGGAAAACAGTTTTCTATCATTATTTTTATTTTTTTTCAAAAAATTTCCGTGATCCCCTTTTTTATCAACTCAAATTTATTTTTGAGCCCGTAATTTTACCCTTGCGTCTCTCTGTTAGCCTACAACCGCTTATTTATAGCGGATTTCGAGTAATTTTACTCTCAGATTGCACCTTTCCATTTTTTTTATTTTTTTTCTTTTGCAAATATTTGAGTAAAAGTAGCGATTTAAAAATACAATCGAATTTTTAACTGGGAATGAGTCCTCGCAAAAGATGACGTCATTCGAATCCATTGTAATCGCCCCCATTTCGAGTATAATCTTATTTTTATGGAGTTTTATGCCTGTTCAACAACATTAAAAATAGGTTTTATTATATTCTGGATGTATTCTGCTTATCAAAATGCTCGAATAAATGGCTCTTGGGTCGTGTGGAAGGTAATGGAAATTAAACTTTATATTTTTATGGCTGATAATGTAACTGTAAGGGTCGTGACGTCATAAAGAAGAGATCTTGTCATCACAATTTTTGAGAGTGTTTAAAATTGAGTTTGTGATTGAAAAGGAGTTCTTTTTACAGTGGGTAAATGTCAGCGGGAAATTTTTTTTGCTTGGTAGGCTGTCAAAGCAAAAAATATTCGAAATTCTTTTGTGGACGGTAGAACTGATATAACATTTTTTTATACACAGAAATATTTTTCAGATCATCTGAATTCTCTTTTGTAAATATTTATTCAAAAAATTTTGCAAAAATGCGATGAATATCACGCATTTTGCAAAAAATGTTTACCCTTTGAATTTCCACTTTACGGTCACCATGTTTTGTAAATCCCTCGAGGCATCCTGATTGAATTTGATCATTTGATTTCCTCAAATTTTAGGGAGGGTTCCGGTTTCTTTTCTATTTCAATAATATACCATTAAGTATAAGCGTATTTCTGCCATAACTTGTAAGCAGGGCCTTGATGATGATTTTGTTTTTTAAATGATGATTTTCTTGGGTTTGAATTTGATGACTTTTAAAAATGTCTGGAAATTTAATTGTTTTTCTCAATTCAACGTCTTATTTCAATTTTCAAACACGTGTTAGTCACGCGACGAATCTAAAACATGATTTCATGGGAATCCAAAGCCTCGAATTTACTCATTAATCCCTGTTTTTTAAAACTTTTTAAAAATATTAATTTTGATCAAACTTGAGAAAATTGGGATTAAAATCATCTACAGGGTGGGCCACTCGAAACTGACAAGTTGTTTCTTTGAATTTCTCCGCGGAGGCTCTGCCGATTTTTCTAAAATTTAGATTTTTCTGGAGCTGAGACCCGCCATTTTCAACCGACTGAATTTCAAAAAAACATATTTTGAATTAACCTTTCCATGCCTTTTCAAAGTTTTGAAAAATTATTTTCGGGCCGAAACCGCTAAAACTTATAAAATTTTTGGAATGATTTTCAATTGACTTTCTCGGACTTGGAAAATTTTTGATTTTTCTTAGGGAAATCGTGGACCTTAAACTTGTTTAAAGCAAATTGAAAGCCACCAGAGGGTTGTTTGTATTACCATTAGGGCACGAACGCTCAAAAAAAAAAAAAAAAAAAAAATCAAACAAAGATTGAAAAATTCGACGTCAATCGTTATCGAGTCAGGCTTGGGGCATCTTGAAGCTCAGATACGTAATTAAAATTACGTATCCACGATACGTAATTTTAACTGCTCATGACTCTCAAAGCCACTACAAGGTTGTGATGCGAGAGGAGGTGGGCATAATAACTCAGATAGAAACATTATAATCAGATTGTTAAATAAAATTGTTTTTGGAACAATATTTGATAACTATCTGAGGTAAAACAAAGAAAATTTCACCCAAGAACTCGGAAAAATGACCAATTTTTCAAAATTATTCCAAAAATTTTCCAAGTTTTAGCGGTTTCGGCCTGAAAAGAATTTTTCAAAACTTTGAGAAGGCATGGAAAGGTCAATTCAAAATATATTTTCTTGAAAGTAAGTCGGTTGAAAATGGCGGGTCTCAGCTCCAGAAAAATCTAAATTTTGGAAAAATCGGCGGAGTCTCCGCGGAGAAATTCAAAGAAACAACTTGTCAGTTTCGAGTGGCCCACCCTGTAATGGATAGGATTTATAGATTGCGCTTTGCAGAGAGGGCAGATTTTAAGATCTAAAAAGGACAAAAAAGTTTGAATTCTTTAGCAAATTTGGGACGACAGATTTGAATTCTAATTGTCTTTACAACAGAAAAATAAATGCCCAAAAATGCCTGACCGATTACGTACCATAAGTAGATATAATAATATTATCTTCGTTTTCTGCTTTCTCAAATACCTGCAAGTTACATAAAAAAATTTTCATAAATTATTTTGTTACATAGATGGATCAGGGATTCCAAATTTGAAGAAAACTTCGATGTCCAGACTGGACTACTCCCTTATTTAGTGCAATAAAAGGTCATTCCCTCCATCGTATATGATTTATTCTAACCCTGATTTTCCGCCAATCCCCTTATCACCGTTTCGTCTGATCATTCAGACCAGTAAATTCTCCTTCAATTTAGAATTTCCTCAACCTTTCATGCCTCTGATTTTCGGCCGTTTACAATTTCAATTTTTGGTCACCCATTTCTTTTCCGGTTTTTCAAATACAGTTTAAAGAGGTCCTTTCCCTCATTTCAGATACGTGTTCCGACTATTTCCAATGATCGCTAAATAGTGAGAACTTGAAATGGAAAAAGACAGTAGTTTTTGGAAGCGGAGTGGCGGCAAAATCAATGGTAAGTACTGTAACTTACAACAATTTTATTCACTTTCTGTCAGCTTTTGGTTTTATTCATGGTTCTTCTCCATTTCTTTGTGGTTTTTGGTGGTTCTAGTCGGGCTTTTGTAATGTTTTTGACGGAAATTTTGTTTGACAGCCTCGAATACAAAAGGAAACTTATCTAAAGATCAAGGAAAATTAATTTAAACATGTTATTTGGGGCTCGGAAGTCCAGTCTTTTGATGAATTATTCGGTTAATTGAGCGCCTGACTGACTATTATCCGTTTGCAGACTCAAAATGCTATAGGATAAGGTTGTTTGGGGAATTGTCATGAGGTTTCGATCATCATTGAAGTTGTTTTGAGGGACTGAATGTTAGGAATTTATCTTTTAGGCATCAAAAAATTTTTTTGCAATTGGAGATAAGGTATTGTAGAACATGAAGAGAGGCGGTCAGAGAAAAATCTGAATTTCGCGCAGCAAAAATAAATATTTTTGGAAATTTTTTACTGTAATTTTGCAAAGGAATGCCAATTTTTCGCGTAAAAAATTGCAGATTTTTTTTTCATTTGGCAGCTTGAAGAGCCAAATTCTAAAAATCCGGCAAATGTCTATGGAATTGGCAATGTATATTTTTACCACGTTTCATCCAGATCTAACCCGCCATTACCAAAACTTTTTGCGATTTTTCTTCCCCCACAACACCTCTCCATTTCATTACTCATAAAAACAGTAACTTTACATCTATATTTTCCCCTCCCCGGAACCCCTGAGGCGCGTTGTCTGAGCTCTCATTTTCCCCCAAAATCAGCGGTTTGAATCCATTTTTTGTCGCTTTTGGTTTGAAAATATTTGAAATCGAAAAATAAAAACGATTGACGGCAAAGATACGACGCTCGGAAAGGTGAAATATAACTCTTGATGGGGTCAGGGGAAGAAACTTTTCGTGCTTCCGATGGTTATCATTACTTTGGCGGCCGTTTCACCGTTCTGTGGTTCTCTCTCCTCTTTTTTCGGGCTCAAGATCTTCTTAATTAGACGGTCAAGACGGAAAGTTTAAACCAATGATTTTCACTGTTCCATAATTTACCATTTTTTATATTTTTTATATCAAATTTGGAGATGTATAATATAACCATGTGTAGATCTTCGTATTTTGGACTCGCTCGGCTTGACTACTCGCTAAATAAGGAATGTTTTTCGATCTTTAGTATCTCGACGTAACCAAGAATCCGTTTGAAAAGAGCTCTTTTCTCAGATCACCTAAAGCAATATAAGAAAAAATACTTATAAATACAAACAATGTTTGTCATTGAAATCCGAGAGTAATGTTGAGGACATTCCCCGATCATAATTTTTCTATCAAAGAACTACTTTTACTACTTATTACTGCTTGTTTTTCCATTTTTTTCGAAAAAAGTCTATTTTTTAGTTCCGGAGGGGATATTACTTTTTCTGATGATTTGCATTCTTAACAACATCCTTATTGTTCCAGGCGTCTTCTGGAAATATTTGGATCAGCGACGGAAGGGAGCACGGCTACAAAACGTCTTCAGAAGCCTTCATTCCATCGTTCGGATGCCGTTGAAAAAGCGAAAAAATGATCTCAACAGAGGCGATTCAGAGGAGAAATGTGATGTCATACGAGGGAATGGACTGCTCAAGGTGGGAAACTGTCAAAAAATCTTTTTTTATAGTAATTTTTCTTACACTTGGCCTCAAAAAATTTTTTTGGAGGCTAAAATAATGTAAAACCCAAAGAATTTTGAGGTTTTTCACACTTAATCGTACCGTATTAAATGTGTATGTCTTTCAGGAGATTCTCAACTCTTGCCCATACTCGGAGCACTCGATGACTTTAACTCAACTGAATGACGTCTATCCCTTATCGCGAATCAATTGTCAGGATGCCCGAAAGAGTCCGGGGATGAATGACGTGAGCCAATTTTTCTTTATCAATCTTGAAGTTTCAGTTTTAATCTACACTATAAAATACATACTTTTTTTGACAGTAACCCCATTTTTATAATATGCAAAAAAAGGATGACAAAAAATAAATAAAAAATATCGTATTTTAGGACGAGGTGACCTCGTTTCTGATCGAGAATGGACGAAATCTAGTCCAGCCGCCAAAGAAGAAACTCTCCCAGAGGATAATTTTATTCGTTCTACAATTCCTGAACACATTCCGACTACTTTTACTGCTCGCAGCACTTGTTTGTTTTCTGATTTTCGTTTTGGATACGACAAGAAGAAGGGAGATGTTGATGGCCATCTTCTTAACGGCCATTTTGGTCATCATGTGTGTGGCCAGCTATGTTCAGCAAGGCAATATTAGCAGGGTAGGGGTTGATATTCTATAGTTTTTGTGTTCTTTGAGATTTCTAATCTTCCAATTGTCAAACAATTCGCTCTAATCAATCTATCCCCCTTTTCAGCAAATCCGCGGCTTCCAAAGTATCATCCCGGGAGAATGCACAGTGCAGAGACAAGGGCGCGAACTGCGAATCCAGGCAAACGGAGTGGCCAGAGGGGACTTGGTGTGGCTGAGGATAGGAGACAGAGTTCCAGCTGACTGTAGACTTCTTTACACCGACGATCTTCGCGTCGAGACTTCATGGGTGACTGGAGAAGTAGGTCTTTTATTATCCATGAATTCGATCAATTTCAACATCTTTAATATGTTTTCTATCAGGTTGAACCTCTCGAATATCACAGTGGCACCGCGGAGAAGAAGCAGAGTGTTTTCGAATCGCAGAACGTCGTGTTTGCCGGCTGCTCGGTGACCTCGGGCGAGGGATTGGGATTAGTGATCCGGACGGGGAACAATGCGGTGAGTTTAGGTGTTTTGTGAGGGATACCGCTTGTTTTGCAACCCGATTATCCCATGTTCGATTTAGCCCTTTTTCAAGCCCATAATACTCGGTTTGGGTGGTCAAAACACGAAAACTTTAATGTCTGGCATTCCAAAATAACTCCGTTTTTTGCTTAAAAACACGCAAAGTTAAGGCCTTGCGGATACTTTTATTCAAGCATCATCCTGTTATGTATCGTTGAACTTAGATCGGATATACAAAGCGATCATTCCCACCGTCCGGTAGAACAAGATCATTCCTAACATTATGGAAACATTCCAGTAGACCCCGCTCACTTCCGTCTGGAATCCATTGTATTCCAGGTGGGAGGTGCCATTTGTCCCGGTTGTGCATGTAGTCGAGGCGTTGTCATTGATATCACATCCTGAAATCAGATAACATTTCATGGATAATATGATCTTTGGTCTGTACCTAACAAATCATTGCCTCAGCATGAGAATCAAGTCTCTGCTTACCCGGAAATGTTCCTTGGTCGTGATATAAGTTGATCATAAAGCTCTCGAAAGCATATCTATACCAAGAGATGTATCTGAGCCAGCTCATCCATCCCGGGACCGTCGCTATGTTAACAAAAAGGCCTCCAAATATGAACAGCGGTAGAGTATACAAGGGCAAGAGTTGTACTGCCACATCCAATGTTCCCAAGATACAAGCGACCGCGTAGCCAACTGAAGTGGCCGTATTACACATCATGATGCAGATCAAGCAGAAATTCAGGAGTTTATCGGCTGTGATGGGCATGACTCCAGTCATAAAGTAGACGATCGTGGAGTAGACGAGGGGAAGGAGAAGATATTGGGGGAGTTCGGCGATGTTCTTGGCCAAGAAATAAATCGAAATCCGATAGACATAGGCGTGCGTTTCTCTCATCAAGATGGGCAATTCCTCCGTGAAAACCTGAAAGAAAATATTTAACAACATACGAACAACGGCTCTCGTCTGAGAGAATGACAACAATCAAATCATTACCTACCAAAATACAAGGGAATAGAAACATGAAATTCATATCTCTGACACTGTTGAACATGATCCCATCGTATGTTAGGATAGTCTCTTTTTTGAGCTCGGGTCGGAAGTAGACAATCCCCACGATAATGGCCGTCATCTTAAACACAAATCACAAGATCAAAGTCATCAACTTACCGCGGTTTGGACTAGTCGAAGTTTGAGGATAAATGGATCCCGAAGGAGACAAAGACCGGCCCTCTTGACCAAACAAATCAACTGGATGTACCAGGGAGCGGCGTAACTAAAATTAAACGTCGTTATAGCATGATGAAACACTTCAGCTTATTTAAGACTTCTTTCGACGACTACAAATGCCCTTACCTCGGTTTACTTCTCACATCATGATTCCCCAGCTTGACTCTTCTCTCGGAAACCGGGCCATTGATTCTGTCTCGATATTTCTCAGCCAAGGATGACTGCTCATAAGCCTTCGCCACTTCCTCGACTCTTTTCACACACCGTTCCTTCTCTTCTCCTTCTTTTATGGCCAAACATTGGATTGCATGTTCTGCGGGATTAGTGTAATCAGCCATCGGGTATCCAATATTGGTAAAGAATTTCGTGACCTTTGTTGAGGGTCCAAAGTAGATAACCTTGCCCATTCCCATGAAACACACCCTGAAATTTTTTGACATTAAACCGGAGCCTTCGTTTCCGATCCTACTTATGGAAGAGCTCAAAGATCTGACTGGACGGTTGGTGGATAGTAATGACAATAGTTTTCCCTTCATCAGCCATCTTTTTTAAAGCCAGGATCACCTGTTTGGCCATGAAAGCGTCCAATCCGGAGGTGGGCTCATCGCAGAACATAATGGCCGGGTCTGTTATTAATTCGGAGGCAAAGGCAAGACGCTTTTTCTCCCCCAATGATATTGATTTCTGGAACCGCTGACCAATCAGCGCGTCCTTGCAGTTGGTGAGACCCATCTAAAACAATATCAACGTTATCCGAATGGATTACATACACGTCATTGGGTGCCATTGCATGTAAATGACCTAAACTTTAGAGATGAAACATTAATCTTACTTTCTCGATGAGTTCCTCGACTCTCCGCATCTTTTGTTCATTCGAATACTTGGATCCCATCCTCAATTTGGCCGAGAAAATTAAATGTTCTTTGACAGTCAGATTCCCCACAAACAGGTCATGTTGTTGTACATAGGCACTCATTCTTTTCAAGTCATATTTAGAGACCCCTTCTCCATTTATTTCCACTTCTCCAGTTAATTGAAGGTTACTTAGGTTTTGTTGAGTCAACACATTAAGAAGAGTGGTCTTGCCGGCTCCACTGGCACCCATTATCGCCAAGATCTCACCTGGTTCAGCCACTCCGGAAACTGAAACAATTGCATAATATTACGCGATAAAGGGATTACGGTAAAAAAATATACTCCCCGCCAAAAGTTTTGACCCCCCTTCTAACTCGGCCCAAAGTGTACCAATTTGGACCAAATTTGATACGTAGTTTTCTGACAACCTAGTTGTAAAAAATATCATAGCAGGACAAACCATTTAGCTGTACTTCAAAATCCAGGGAGAATTTTCAAAAATCACCTCAAAAAAACGGGACAAAAGTTTTGACCCCCCTGCAAAAAAATTAAATATCGCCAGCGGATGTAACCAGAACCTTTTACAATCGATGCCCCATACCTGAATACAGATTAATAAATGCTTTTTCGTTGAATGCTTCGTTGCATTTGAGGATGCAACGCGTTAAACTGATTTTGATGTAGAGCTGCCAAAAATGGTAAAAATCTTGTACTGGCGCTTTCCAAAAGTTTCAAATTATGTTCACATCACGTGATTTTGACGTGTTATAACCTGCATTAATCTTTTCCTTCCGAAAAAAGTCCATGATGGCCTAGCGGTATCGATTCGGCCGATATCCAGTTGTCATGGTCAGCCTTGGTGAGCCATTTGCTCTTTGACTAAAGGTCTAGATGGGGTCGCTAGGTCCTCAATCTAATCCTGAGACTTGTGTCTACTCTCAAAACAAGAATAAACCCCCGCTGACACGATCCCAAATGGTTTGTAGATGCAACTTTACCGATCTGCACCTTAAAGAAAAACCCGCTTTTTTCAAATGGATTTTTTGCGACCAAAAACGGTTTTTACTTGATGTGCCAGGTAATTTAGGACGCTACAGCACCCGCCATACTCATTCGAGACGTATGGAACGCCAAATGGGCGGTGGGGATGGCATCGTACTCGGGGGTATCTACAGTAACGGCAAACTTAAGATTAAGGTGAATGAAACCCATTCCAAAATGTGTCAAATCGAAACCTTTGTGCATGCTGAGAGTAAATAGGAGTCTCAGGATTAGATTGAGGACCTAGCGACCCCATCTAGACCTTTAGTCAAAGAGCAAATGGCTCACCAAGGATGACCATGACAACTGGAAATCGGCCGAATCGATACCGCTAGGCCATCATGGACTTTTTTCGAAAGGAAAAGATTAATGCAGGTTATAACACGTCAAAATCACATGATGTGAACATAATTTGAAACTTTTGGAAAGCGCCAGTACAAGATTTTTACCATTTTGGGCAGCTCTACATCAAAATCAGTTTAACGCGTTGCATCCTCAAATGCAACGAAGAATTCAACGAAAAAGCATTTATTAATCTGTATTCAGGTATGGGGCATCGATTGTAAAAGGTTCTGGTTACATCCGCTGGCGATATTTAATTTTTTTGCAGGGGGGTCAAAACTTTTGTCCCGTTTTTTTGAGGTGATTTTTGAAAATTCTCCCTGGATTTTGAAGTACAGCTAAATGGTTTGTCCTGCTATGATATTTTTTACAACTAGGTTGTCAGTAAACTACGTATCAAATTTGGTCCAAATTGGTACACTTTGGGCCGAGTTAGAAGGGGGGTCAAAACTTTTGGCGGGGAGTATATATTGCACTTGCCATTATCAAGGACTTGACGGTAATTTGAGGATCTTTTGAAGAGACGACCAGTTTGTTGAGGAACCGAGACCTTCAAATTTCTCCAAACAAGCACTTTTGGGGTCTATAATAATATAAAAATTTTAATGATTACACTACCCGTGATAATGGAAGAGTTATAAAAGACTTACACTTCCGCCTTCATAAGGTCCGTCCTTGATCGAAGGAATAATCCTGGAGCTTGATTTAGGACCCTGTTCTGCCACATTCGCCGTTAAAGAATGAAATGTGGTCTGTTCTGTTGGAGGCCCTGGATTGGCAGGAACAGGTCCTGGGAAGGCTTTGTTCTTATCATCGTCAGGCCTCTGTTTATCTTCAGCTGCTTTTTGAGGCCCTTCGTCTTCTCCGGACTTGATTATCAAGTTTTCGTAGTCGGGGCCATCCATTTCTCGGTTCGATCGGCCGGTCGGAAATGAATAGGGATCATGGAATGACGCGCAAATCTCTTCCGAGCTGTCTTTCACATGATGGAGTATATATTATTCTACTTTATGCAGATTTTTGCTCATCTCATCCTTGATTATTTCCTTTCAGTTGATCGGAAAGTTAGTCCAAATAACCAGCCAAGAGAAGAGCACCCCCAGCTGGCTGGAGAATGAACACAAGAAGTTTGTGAGGTTCATAACCATCGTGGCACTGTGCATTTCCACCGTCACTTTCTGTGTGGGACTGGCCATAAAAGGAGATCAGCATCTAATTAATACCTTCATCAATGGATTCCTAATTGTAGTTGTGGCCAGTGTCCCTCAAGGTGAGTAGAACAGCAATTTCTCTCTTCTTTTCAGGGCATCTGTAGCCCTACCATAATATTAAAATAAAAATAAAATTCATTTAATGTCAATGTAGACCTATTATAATATTATGTATAATTCTAGGTCTTCCGGTGACTCTGACCTCTCAATTGATCATCGTTGCTCGTCGATTGACTAAGATTGGCATGTTCCTTAAAAGGGTTGATGTGGCTGATACCCTCGGGCTAACTTCTGTACTGCTAACGGATAAAAGTGGGATATTGACCTCAAATCAGATGAAAGTGGTGGATCTATGGTTTGAAGAGGAGTTGTTCGGTGTGAGTGACCTCAATTCATCCAAAGACACCGATTCCAAAAAGCTGATGAACAATCAATGCTTTAAAAGAGTCTTGGAAGTGATCAGCGTGTGTGATCGGGCTCAGATCCGGTCGCCTAAAAGAAGGAAAATTAAACAGGATCAGGAATGCATGACACCAAAATGGTCAACAAACAGCAAGCCTGTAAGTCTTACAATGCGTGTTGTAAGTAATTAGCAGGTCTGTGTCCCTCTTCATCACACAACTTCTCTTCGACAAAAAAGTATGGTCGGAAAAGCGACCGATGTGGCTTTGGTCAAGTTTGTGGAGCAGATCATCCCAGTTCATGATCTCCGAGAAGGTTTTGATATTGTCTACGAGCTCCCATTCTCTGCTCAAAGGAGATTCCAGTTGGTGATTGCCAGAGAAAAGAAGATCTACGACAGCGACAATGAAAGTGACACCAGCAGCGACAGCGGAAATCAGATGGCCAGGTTCGTTTTGATGGTCAAAGGAGCGCCCGAGGAATTGATTAGGAATTGCAGTACGGTCAGGACAAAGAAGGACACTGAGACTCTGGATGGGGAGAAGATCTTGGAGTTTGAGGTAAGAGATCGACAAGGAAAAAAATTGCGAACTTCCCTTAGAAGGAGAGACTTGACTCGATGTGGGGAAACAGTTGACACTTCTCGCAATCTTGTGCTATTTGCGGAGATTTCTGCTCGCCCAGATAATTTCCCTATTCTTGTATTGTTTCTTATTTAGTTTTCTTTCTTGCAGGACATCTACAGCCGCTTAGCGTCAGGTGGCAAGAGCTGCATTGCCTTTGCTGAATTGGAATTCCAAGATTTCTGGGATGCCAACTTTATCGATCGCCATTCCGGAACTCCCTTGTATCCAGAGAATGGCTGGTGTTTCCTCGGAATGGCCGCAATCTTCGATAAACCTCTACCTGAAGTTCGAGTTGCTGTAAATCGAGCCAAAGAAGCTGGGATCAAGTTGTTCATGGTAACTGGAGATCACCCGACCACAGCTGAGGCCGTGGCCAAACAAATTGGGTTCTTCGATGATGTAGATGTGGCCAAGGGATCGTCGGCGAGCACCTCTGGATGTAGTTCTGCGAGTGACTGTTCGTCAAGTATTGCTGGGAGAAATGTGGAGATCATTCATGGGGACACTCTGAATGATCTGACTGAAGTTGAATGGAAGAAATTATTGAGTGAAAGACATGTCATCTTTGCCAGAACAACCCCATCACAAAAACTGATGATCATTGAGGTGGGTATCTTCAATTTTTATGTTTGTTTTAGGTTACCGATTAATGATCTTGTGCTTTTTAGCAATGTCATCGTCTTGGAGAAGTGGTTACCATGACTGGAGATGGGCTGATGGATGCCCGAGCTTTGAAAAAGGCTGATACTGGCATCGCCATTGATGGAGCAGGCTCGGTCTTTGCCAAGGAGGCTGCAGATGTTGTGACCACGACTGCCGATCTCTCCAAAATTATGAATGCCATCTCCGAGGGTCGATTGTTATTCGATAATTTGAGGAAAACAATCGCGTACACATTGTCGCACTTACAGCCAGAGCTGCTGCCGGTCCTGTTCTCCTTCGTATTGGGGTTACCTTTGGGATTGACGAGTGTTCAAGTAAGTGAAGTTATAAGTTTCTATTGATATGGGTTTAGGTATTGACAGTTGATCTCCTAACTGAGCTCCCTCCGTCAATTGCGTTGATATTCGAGCCAGCAGAAAGAGATAATATGAAGCGTCCACCAAGAAAGAAGTCTTCTCATCTTGTTACTGGCCCGATGCTGTGGTATTCTTACGTAATCGCCGGTAATTTGATTGGGTTGGGGTGCGTTTTGGCCTACTTTACGGTCTTCTGGCATCATGGCTTCTCAATCAGCGATGCTCTCTTCACATCCGATCATCAATGGCTTCCGGGATCTCCAAATATAACAGCGTCGCATACTGGGCAGGTTTTCGATGGATCCATGCAGGTTACGGTATGTTTTTATATTACACTTGACATTAATCTCATGAGTAGTATAAATTCTGATCTCAATGTTGTAAACTCATTCTTTCAGGTTCATCAAGAAGCCTGTGCGGCCTGGCAGATAACTTTGGTGATGTCTCAGGTCCTCCATTTATGGCAATGTTCCACTCGTCGTATCTCCATCTTCAGACATGGAATAAGAAACTGGATTCTGGTGTTGGCAGTGCTGTTTGAAGTTGGATTCTTGATGTGTTTGATCTTCATGCCATGGCTTCAGAGATTAGTGGAAGTGAGACCGCCTCCGATGATCATCTGGGTCTATCCATTCGGTGTTGGGATCTGCTTGTTGGTGTTCAATGAGGCCAAGAAGTATATAATCAGACAGAATAAAAACAAAAAACTGATAAAGTTGGTCAAATGGTAACCGGTTCTGTATATACGGTGTTCATTTCTTAGATCTTATTTCGTTTTTTTCGTATGCTGCACTTAGTGTCTTACTGTAGCCAAAGGCATTCCGAATCTTTATGTTAGACTCCATGGTATCTGCTAGTCTGTTTGGTTGTTACATTATGTTAGTATTACTTTTGTTGACCTCACTCCATCCCCATGATAATATGCTCAGATTTAATTTATTATATTCGCTTCGAAAACGGGTTTTATCCATGAAATCTTTTGTTCCCAATGACATCACATACTCATTTAAAGTTTAATTGTTTCCGAATAAAGGTTATATCACAGAAGAGAGGGGATTATGAATCATATTTCAGGTAGGAGAAGGGGATTGAGATCAGATTTGAGGGTAATATATATAATAATATGTTGTTTGGGGGATGATCAGAGGGCTGGCTGTCTTCATGATGGTCAATATTACTCTTATGAGATGTTTGGAGACTAAAATTCCTAAAACTGGCATCTTTTTGTTTCTGACAGAAGAAGGGGAACATTGTTTTAGTATGGTGAGTGAACAAGTTTGTATTATAATTCAAATTTAGCTCTCGGCAAAAGCGAGAAAAGCATTTAGAACTGTCAGGGGGATTAAGAACTCCCAGATGAGGACGGGCAACTTCTCTGCGTTCGATTTCCATCGAAATCTTTACAAGATTTCGCCTGAGGCAGCTTTATGTTATTTGGAAATGAGTTATTCAATTGATGATAGAGTGAAAAAAATGGATGGAGAAGCCGCTGATTTTGTCAGATTGGTGAGTTTAATTTTAAACCTTCTATATTTTACTTTATATTACATATTTTTGATGTCTGTCATCTATATCAGGTAACGTAAAATTTTCAGATGAAAGCCATTTACATTGATGGTCCCTGGAGTGCCTATGAAAGATTGTCCCGAGTTAATGAGGTCCCACATGCTCTAAAATCGCTTAGTGACACTGCCAGAAGCCAAATATACAAGGCTTTTCCAAACTTTAAAACACTGAGCAATGGTAAGCATTTAAATTAATATCGAATTCTAGCCGAACCTGGGCCGTATTTGCCGTATTTCCCTTATATCTCTTCAGGAAACCCCCGAGATCAGTCTGCACGATTAATGCGTGAGATTTATTCGAATCGAGGATAAATTACGATAATGAAATTAGATTTATATTACACTTGGAAGGGAAAGATCTTTTTATTTGGCTTGACAATGGAATTACCGGTTTTCGTGTTCGTTTACAAAGATATAGTGTCCTAGCGAATATAAGAAACGGTATACCGTATATATACCGATATAATAACATTATTACTGTTTAAAAAATTATTTTAAATTCCTAAATTTGAGATCAAAATCTACAAAACTGTAAATGAATCCTAATAAATTCAGACTTCTAAAAGTAAGCTTGCTAGGGAACGTCCAGAAAATTGGTAGTAGTACCAGTGCTCACATTATGATTGTTATCGGTACCCGCCAACGGATTTGAGATAATAAAAGATCGGCTGTTCATCAACGAGTTGGTGGACCCGTCGATGGAATGGAATTGGAGTTGAGGGGCGCTGTTGAGACGGTCTCGGCGACGATGGGCAATGACCATGGCTATAGCGACTCGATCAAAGTCGGTGCCCATGTTGGGCATGGGCAATGTTTGGGTCCCTTGTTCCGTCGAATCTTCGTATAAACTGCAAAATTTACACTGTAATTATAAAATTTATAGGGTGATATTTAATTTAGAGAGTTCTTTATTAAATTATGCATCGATCAACTTAGAATTTCCTACTTATTTTACTAAAAAATATTTTTGAAGGATTACAATTTAAGAAAACCTACTCTCTGTCATTTCCCGGGTTCACCTTCTGGATGGGTTTGTAATCGTGACTTCCGGAGACGCTCTTCTTACTTCCTGAGCACACAAATTCTTTTAAGGCACTTCGAATTTCCTCGTTGCAAATCGCGTAAACAATGATTCTGGTAGCACAAGTCAGGACGTATAACATGGAAATGATATCCGTCAGGGTTTCGTACAACTGCAAATTGGTTTCCAATACAATCATCTTCATTAAAGCGAAATATTTTTATTTTTTTGCATGACGCAAAGTCAACTATTTAGACCGAAAAATGTCATCACAAAAGAACAGGCCACAACTCACTTCGTACATCCCTGCGGTCGATTCAAAATCCACGAACTCCCATGCAGTTATGGCCACGTTCAAAGTGTTCGCTATCAGATATCCCATGACAATGAAGACTAGAAGTCGGGTAGCCGACCGGATCTTTTGCTAAAATACGATTAATTACTTTCCAGGCACGACAAACTTATTTTCGGATGTTAAAAAGATAACATAAGTTTAAAACAGGCATTTATAATAACAAAAAAACTTTTTTGTCTAGAATAATACACCTTTGGCTCTCAAAAATAACGAAATGCTTACCTTATGATCGGTTTTGCCAAATCTGAACATACTATGGGATCTGCTCTGCTTGCTCAACTTTTTTACAATCATAATATTGAGTAATAACAGCAGGAAAAAGGGTACCAAGACAGTGCAAACAGTCCGAAAGTAGAATCTGAAGACGGTCCCGTAGGCCCAGACGTTCACAAGGTCCGTCAAGGCGACGTCGTACTCCATTACACCCGTACAATTGTGATTCTTTACAATCTGAAAACAATGATCACAAAAAAATGAACTTTAACTAATGTAAATACGTTTGGAAAAGTAATTCTAGCAACGTAGGCAACATTACTTACTTGGAATTCGAATACTGCAGTCCCTCGAAGAATGAGGGATAATAAAAACATTAGAAGAGCTAAATTACATCGATTCTGACGAAAACAAGTAAGCCATTGGTGTTTGACGGTAATGTAATAACGCTCGATGGTCGCCAGGATAATCATAAAACAAGAGAACGTCATCGAAACATGACATAATGACAGTAATGGGCCTACATAATGCCACCATAGTCGGGTTATCCACACCTGAAATTTGAATATTTTAAATTAAAAAATTTGCATCAATTTGAATATATATTTGGCTATGTTACTCTCTGTTTTCCACATAATTAACGTAGCCAAAATTACTTTCTCTGTACTTTCAAGTTTGGCTTGGATGTAATTACCCTTACCTCCACATTGTACCTCACAATTTCCATCGCAATCACCGGCCCATAACAAAAACTCAAAAAAGTATCGCTGACTGCCAAAAGACCCAGAAAGAAGAAATGCGCGTGCTTCTTTTGCAACAGCACTCTGGCAATGATCATGTTCGTAATCAAAGAGATGACTGATAAGGAAGTTCCGGCCACCGCCACCAGCCACCATCGTCTTGCCGGGGCGAACGATATCTCGCAGGGATCCCCTTCTTCGTCATAGAACTCTGTCACCATTTCCTGCGATGTCGTCGCCATTATGTAGGCGTCCTCCATCCTTGGGGTACTGTAATTCGGAAAATCAATCTTGAGTTCTGAAGTTGTTCTCCCGCATTTTAAATCAAGAATGTTTTGATATGGCAAGGATAATATAACATAAAATATGTAGATATATTGAAGTGCGAAATTCTTGGTGAAAACCTGGTCTATAAAAAGAGGGGGGGGATGTTTTTGGCCAAATTCAGGGTCCTCAAGCATTCTGAAATCTGATATGGACAAGGAATGCAAAAAAGTTTGAATGACCAATGGCGAAAAAAGTTCGCACGTGCCGCAAAATTTGATTTTGAATAAAAATAATGGTAAAATACGGATATAAAGCGTCTTCTTTTTTGCTTCCTGAACACGGACCTTCAAGAAAAAAATGTGTTTATGTTACCCTAAAATATATTTTTTTAAATATTACTGTAACAAAAAATAAAAACAAAAAAATTCTAAAAATAAATCGGCCTATTCTCCCAATTACTAAGTACAAAGTAATTTCCCGATATTTTTTCCGAACTTTATCCCCGTTTACAGCCCTTTTCTGATCTAATTTGGAATGTAACTCAATATCGAGATGTTCCCTGAGGCCATTCCAAAATAATTGTAATCGATTAAACTGGATTCGACTCAATTTTGGACAAAATTGATATAAAATACCGAAGAGATTAAACTCTACACATAAAATATTTAGTATGCACTAGGTACAACAGGTTATAATTACAAGTTTTAAGATGAAAAGTTACAAAAAAAGATTTCAAAAGTAGTCGTAGATAATGTAAAAAGTAGGATAATGACTACAGAGTAACGGGACTTCCTGGAAATTGCAAGACGTCCTCTGATCTCCTATCTTTCTTGCAAAAACAACTCGGAATTTATTAAAAGGCTTTAGGCGGATGTATGAAACCTATAAAAATCCCATATAAATGCGGGAGACCTGCCAAATTTGGTTCTATTGCTTTGATGTTGGGAGAAAAAGGGGATAAAATTCATAAAAAGATGTGAATGATGCCTAAAGTTATATAAATAATCAATTGTTTGTATAAAATTTCAATTGGTAAAAGTATAATCCCAAAAATGACATCATAACCAGCTCCCGGATGACCTAGAACCCACTTCCAAATTCGATTACAACCACTTTTTTCTTTCGTTTCTTTTTCAAGAAATCTCGGAAACGTAACCAATTTGAAGCCTTGAGGGCATCAAAGAAACATCGGATATGAGAAATGCGTAAACGGCCGTACTCCACCGCCTTTCCTCAGATGTTCGAGGTCTTTAAACTCCTTGGAATTACTAAGTAAGAGGTTGTTTCGGGACCGAGACTTTACGTAAGGACTTGAAGAGAAAATTTCAACGAGTTCTCGACTGGTCGGACCGTGAGGGTGGATTTTGTAAAGAGAAAAGATGTCTGGAGCGCGGTCTTTGCTCTGGGAAAGTTTATTTTGAATTGTAATCGCTCATTTTTTTATTTTTCAATCTTTGCCAAGTGTAATATAAATTTGATCCAAAAAAACTAAATCTTTTTTTTATGGTCAATTATGACAAATCTGAATTACTTTCCCGACAAAATACGCCCTATATTTTAGACTTATATAGATCAAGACTTATTTTTGGTCGAAAAAAATTTTCCCAATTTTTCCCAATTCCAAATCGGATGATAATAATCTCGATACTTCCAAAAAAAGAAAGATGTAACGATGTGGGACCTTCGGATAAGTAAATAAAATAAAACGAAGGAGTTGGCTGAGAAACAAATAAAATAAATTCCAGGTCAAGGAACTCCATTCCGAGAAAAAGCCGAAGAGATATCGCGGATGTAGTCTGTTATTGGTAAATATTATTCCGAAAACATTCCGGAATACACTTGGAGATATATTTCGAGGAAAGTTCTTTGACCCCAGACAAACATCTGGCCATTCAATGGGCTTACAATTACTTTGAACGGGCATTTGAGAAGTTGGGGATATCAGGGGATCGATGCAATATTATGATTGGATCTGATGGATTGGAATGGGTCGGAATAGGTGTAATGAAGAACGAATCAGCGACATTTACATATCTTTCCGCACAGCAACACTGATTACTATGGGCGACGTAGGCGACAAAATTCTACGGACTTCGCGTCCCGAGTAGTGAAAGGTGTAAGTAAAATCAAAAAAAAAAATATTTGGCGGGTTGTTTGGAGGATTTTTAAAATCTCAATATTTGTCTTTTTTATAATACAATTATAATCAAAACATTTCCTCTCCTCCGAATTATAAATGGGCGTAAAACTCGCAAAAATTAAAAAAAAATTTTGTCATGATGACATCGTATTCCCCCTCCAACAAATTCCTGACTTTGAAGACTACAAGTCGCCCTTCTAAACCACACCATCCCCTTCACCATGCATAAATTTACACCTTTCTTTTTTCTCCGGATTCTGTTACAAATTTCCTTGTCCATCAGAAATTCACACATCGGAATTCGGATGGGAATGCGGTAGAAGTAAGGGTATACAAAACTAGCAAGGTAAAAAACAAAGTTGAGAATGGGAACTCAATTTTAAACTCGGGATATTACGTTAATATACATCTAAATGTAATGTAAATATAGCTGGAAAGGTGGGAGATTTGAAGTTGAAGGGATCGTGGGAAGAGTAAAGTACAGATGCTAAGTAATCTTGGGTCACATACTACTTAGCACGTTCTCGGAACAATAATTTTGGGAGGAAAGGCTTAAAAGAACGGCATACGGTATGTCAAAAGTTGTAATTTATTTTATATCATAGGCGTAATTATGCATATGTTTATGCAGTTTTTCAAGTGTAATGTATAAAGAAAACGTTCCATAAATTACAGAGCAAGCAGAAGAGTAACTATATTATATGTTTTGAAAAATAAAATTGTATGGTAATTGCTGTGTAAATTCCTAGGCTACAGTCACGTGTAGTTGGTTACACGGGAAATGTGAGAAGTGTGAGCTCAAATTCTTATGAGGCTGGGAAGAAATTATGGGAAAAGTTATCCAAAGCACTCACGAGATTCTTTACACAAACCGACCAGAATTTTCTGAATATTTCGGAAATTGGATACCTTTTGAGGTTTTCTGGCAAAATTTATCTCATTTTTTCCACAAAAAAAATACAAATTTTCATCGCACAATTCACAAAGAAAATTTGCGATTTTTTTAAAAATTTCTTGTGGCCTATCAACTCTGAAATTTATATCAATCATTAGCCTATAAAGAACATTTACGTAAAATTTGACCTAAATCTGGGCATTGTTCCCCAGGCATTACCTTGAAAAAGCACCCAATTTTAATTATTCCGCAGTACCACTCAGTCATCGCAGAATTTAAATATACAGAAATTCATCCTACTGTATCTCCAAATTACCACCAAAGGCTTTAAACTCATCTCCGAATATTCAATTTGAATAAATTTAAAAATTAATTATTTCCAAAATAGTAAAAAGGTACTTTTTTTGAAAAATTAATGTGTCGGACGGCCCATCAGAACTGCGAGAAGATGGTTGTAATGTCCTCTAAAACTAGAGTAAAATAATATTTCAAATGTTGCGAATAAATAGAAGAGTTATTTCAGGTGAAAATTGGGGGAAAATGGATGAATACCGAATAAAAATAAATAATTTCATGCGGAAATAAATCGAGTGGAAAATTAAGGTAAAAAGTGGCGAAATTTTCATCAGCCGGTGACAACTGGCATCAGTCATCCAAATGACCATTTCCGGTGCAACTTAAAGTTCAATTTGGGGGGTTTAAAAGTGAATGGCAATCTGCGGACAGACGGATCACATAAACTGATATCCTCTGCGTATAAAACATTAAAGTTATTGGGTATTATGCCGGTTAATTTGTCGTTAAAGGATCATATTGGGCCAAGAGAAAGTTAAAATTTCTTATAAAATTTTATATTTGAGAACTTATGGAATATTAAATACGACGGCTTGTTTACTGTAGCCAAATTTATACTTCCCGCTGAGTGTAAATACCGTCCCGCGGGATCCCGTACATCCCCGTTTATCCCCAAATCCATGCAGTCTCCAGAATGTGATAAACAACCAAGGGTCCCTCCATGTTCAAATAAATATTATCTCTAATATTTCCGCTCAATAATTGCATGACGCACTAGACCAAAAGTTTAAAACAACACCCATACCCCTTATTTCCAAATTTTTTTATTTCCATTCCCCAATCCAAAATCTCATAAAGCGGCGTGATGACTGGCCCATTGCCTCAGGCCAAGTTCTCCATTGTTTATAAGGAATGGAAATATTTTTGTTTTACTTTTTTACCTGACGCCATGTTGTCATAGAGGAGTGAAAAGAATTGTAAATCAGGGAGGCGAAACAATACCTTCGGATGGGTCGAATGCACATTTGTTTCGAGTATATCAGATGTTTGTGCACTCGGCCAGATTTATGTGACATTTACAAAGTTTTCGAAGGGAGAGAGTGATGGGGAAAGGGATGACAAATCGACTAAAATACGGAGTGAAGTGGGCCAAAGTAGAGCTGAAAACTACGATTTAAATAAAAATAGACCTTCTGCCAAACTAACAATTTTGAGACAAAGAAATGACATCAAATAAATTCCCAATCTTTTTATACCAAACTTTTGTTACAATGAATAAAAAATGCAATAAATGTTAGAAAAAAATAGGAATTGGACAACAAAAACAGACCGTCAACTTGGTGAGTGATAGCTTTTTTAAGAGTAGGTGAAAACAGAAGTAACATTACAAAATTAAAAATTAATTTTATTTTCTGTAAAAGATTTACGAAAATTATTCCATTCTTCAAATCAATTTTATTCCCCCCAATTTCCCCGCAGGGCATCAGCAGATTTCTTTTCCTTTCCCAGTCCTTTTGTCTATTTTCCATTTTCCCATAAATACCGGATCCATTGGGTAGACATTCCCTCCCAAAACATTATAGATTGTGACGAACGCAACAGGATAAACAGAAAAGGTGTGGAGTCTTGCTGGATATCAATTCCTTCTTTCTGTGTAATGGCCAAAGAAATGTAATCCAGGAGGGAAACTTGGGGGAATTCGAATTATTATTTATCCCTTTTCAAGGAATTTACAGGTCAAAAGAGGATGCTGGAATGAGGGGAAGGTGGGGTTGCAAGTAGAGGTAATTCCGGGGAAACTTGCAAGAATTACGGTGCGGAAAAACGAGATTTTTTGATTTTGATGATAAGAGAAATGCGGGAAACGAAGTCTCGGATCTGCCTCAAATTTTGCTTGCCTCATCTACATAGATGACTTATTTATTTCTAAAAATCTTAGCTAATGCTTTGCAGCCGCCGCCGAGATATTCAACGATTTTGGTTGACTAGAAATTGTGGAAAATGAGCGCAGAAACAAATTTTTCAAACCTTTTTTGTCATAAAACTTTAAATATTATACAAATATTAGCTGTTTTTTTTTTGACCAAGACAAAACAAGTTGTTTGTGAAGCCTCTACAAAGCCCGGTAATCCCTCTAAACAACTCGTTATTCAACTTTTGTACCTCCCCGCTCCAAGAAATGTTGGCAAAAACATGTTCCCCGTCTAGAAATGGAGACGTCGGTGTCCGGAAATTGGAGAATAAAGTTCGTTTATCAATAATTTATTCGAATTTAAGCGTTTTTCAGAAGGCTATTAATTGATAATTTTCAAAGAATTTTTTTGTTTTTACATGCCGAATTTCTGTAAAATGCGCCTAGTTTATTAAATCATTTTTGGTGCTTCTGAATGCGACGACTATATAGGAATATAAAAACATGAAAAACATGGAATACTGTTCATCATTATGCACTTCAAAATTCAGAAATCTCACGTAAAAATTACAAAAAAATAACTAAAACTTTAAGCTTAAAATCGTTGAAAACCCGCAGGACCATAAATCCCAAGTTTCCAACATATGCCCTGAGGGTAAATGACGTCGGATGGATGTGTCTAGAGTAATATGTATGTCAGTCAATGTGTCAAGTGGGTATTTGAAAGTGTAAATGAGGGTGGCCAGGGCTGACATCACTCAAACAGACAATTTATATGCAGAAAAGTTAATTTTGAAAAATGTCAAAATTTGCATATTTAAAAAACTGCAAGAAATTGGTAGAGTCACAGAATTTTTTGAGAGCTTAGTAAAAGTCAGTTGTAAAATATGAAAAATATATTGGACCGGACATAAAAATCTTCAAACTCTTTCATGTTAGCCTAATTGACGTATTCAAATATCCGGAAGGCACATTAAATAGACGTATTTTAGGTCTAATTATAATATCAAATGCCTTCCTTTCCCTATATCTGCCTCAAAATAACCGCCAACTCTTCCTGTTTTTATTCAAAAGTTGGCCGGCAATCTTTTTCTTTTTTGAAGAGGTCATAAGTGATGACATGGAGCCTTTTCGAAGCCGGTTTTAAGAATTTATATTACATAAATATATACACACCAGACTAGATATTGTCGCATAATTTTATATCTAATCGGAGGTTATTGTGATGCAAAAAATAAAAAAGATTATCCTCCTACTTGAAGAGTACTGCAAAAAAATTTTTCTCTGTCCATCTCTCCACATTTTTCATAATCTCTCGTATAGAAAAATTGTTAAATCTCTGGTCCAAATCTACAAAGCACAAGTTAAAATTTGCAGAGAATAAAACGAGACCCAAACGGGAGACTTCCATAAAACTCTAATCAAATCAAGAGCCTGTGTCACCCGTCGGATAATCAAAGATTGTAAAGTACAGTAACCCTCCTGATTTAGAGGGATTGGGTCTAGTCGGGAATACCATTAAGCCTCCAACTAATTCTCGGATGAAGAACGAATTGGACGAAGGAAAGGAGGAACTCCACAAATTGAATCGACGGATCCATTTAAAAACAGACCTCCGATAACAAGATATCAGAACTTGGGTCCGACAACTTTAAATTAAAAATTCATGGCTATAGAGAATATACAGACGACTTTAAGTGGAATGGGTGAATGCAAAACATTATATTATACTTGGCGACGACTGCAAGAATCAAACAAAACTTTGCATAATGTGATGTGAGGTACAAGGAAATTAATTGTTTATTCAACTCAAAGTGCAGTGATTACTTTGTTAAGGGTCTTTTTAGCGCGGTAAACATTTGTCAAGATATACCGTGTTTTGTAAACGTCATTACTTTTCGGAAACGTTTTCAAAATGTGGATAGTTTTGTTAGTCAAAAAGTCGGGACATAATATTCAGACTATGAGACAGCCAGTATTATAAAAGAGGATTCTTGAATAAAAAAAAATGCGACAATGACTAAAGAAAGCGTCACAAAAAATTTTCACATAAAGATTAAACGCCAACACGATGATTAGTTCGTATTTTACGTTGTCTAATACGTGTCTAGCCGAGCCCTGATCCAAAGACACAACAACATCTCCGCGATAATCCCCTTGAGCTTAAAAAGAATCTCAAAACTTTGCCCCATTTGTCACCCCCAAAAAGGAAGCCGTTCTAATAATTTACCCCTCCGGGCATATCACTCCTCCCTCCCCTCCCTCTTCCGGCCAACAAAAGAAGACGGCCTAAACATTTTAAAGGGATATTCCAAAAGGAATTAATTCCCGCCCTAAGGTCATTTTCCGTTCACTTAATTGTCTTTCCTTTTCCTTTGATGCGCGACAATAGGACCCGGGTTTGATAGGCTGAATGACTGGATAATCAGGAGAATTTAAGTTGGTTTTGATGATATCATTTGAATAATTCGAAAATTTTTAAAAAATATATATATTTTAGCGTAAGCTCAGCCTTACCCAAAACAAAATAAGAAAAATGAAAAGTTCTTAAGGTGCAAAGCTCAGTTTTTTTCAAATTTTGCGTAGAATAATGGCCATAAATTAAGAAATAAAAAATTTAGCTTTTGCTTGTCATGGTTGGTCAGAAATTTTTACAGTTTTTAGCGGCTACAAACTATGGAGAATAAGGAGAGACGGTCAGAAAAGACATCGTTTTCCGCCTTTTCTTTGTGGCTGACGAATGAAATCTTTTTGAAAACGTCAAAAATTTGAGATTTGCAGCTGCGCGGTAATATGTAGTTATTGCCCGAACGGTATATGTAAAATTGCGTCATTTGAAGGGTATGGCGAGGAAAATTGGGGCAGAATTAGCAGAAATTGGTAAACGCCTGCAAAATGGCTCTATCTGAAACCCCCAAATTCCCCTTCCAATTCCCCCTAATTTCCAAAAAATTCCCAAGCCCTGCGGGTTTCGGGTCGTATCTAACAATGAGCAGGTCAGACGGTGATGGGAACTCGAAGAATTTTAGAGTAGTTCCCAACAATAGTAAGCGTACGAACATCGGAAGTTTGTAAACTTTTTTGACGGCCTCATTGTTATGGAGAATGTAAAAAATGGCCGTGTGTGTGGGATAACAGAGTGTAAGATTTGAACAAAATTGGTCGAGAAAGGAAGTCTGTGTTGGGACCATCGGTATCAGGGATCAAAGGTCAAGAAATAGATATTTGGATCGCTTCATTTATTCCCGAAAAAATGCTCACTCCAACAAATTTTGAAGATGGCACAAATTCGACTTTTTTTACGGCGGCGTCTCCAAAATAAAGCCAATGTAAATTCTGCAACTAAATCCATCAAAAATAAGCTGAAACAGGATGAGAGAGTTGTTTTTGCGATTAATTTCCATCTCCAGATATCTTCAATTATTGTAAACACTATTCAAAAGCAGATTCCCTGTACAAAAACATTATTTTTACTACGTTCTCAAAACAAGATTATGACTATTTACGGTATCTTTTGTCCCAGAGAGCAAGAAAATTGAAGACAAAAAACAAGTTACCCCATCAAAATTTAAAAAAAAAACTTTGTCATAAAAGCAAGAAGACACAAATTTTAAATAGAAAGTTTCAATTTTTTGATCCCTCCGAAGTTGAAACTAGGTGCAATAAACTCTCGGATAAACAAATACCCCCAAATTTATTCAATTTCTTTCCTTTTATGGACATGGCTCCAAAATTCCCGACAAACCCATTTTGTGTCAATTAATTGGCCGAAAAAGTAGCGACAAATGGGAATAAAAAAATTCAAAAGTAACGGGAAATTACTGTAATTAACAAATGAGAGACCAAAACAAACAATGTAGCGGTAAGAACGCTGGTATTTATGAGTCATGATAAATGAAATTTGTGGACCTTTTAAATTCGAAAATTCGTTCCGAGCATTTGAAAGAACAGGAAATCCAATCTCGGTAAATCCGTTTTCACAACTTTTTTTTTGATTTAACCGACATCAGAAAAAGACAAAAACGATGTAAAAAATTGTTTTATGCGGTAATCTTTGAGTTTTTACAGTTAGACTACACAGATTTCATTAGTTCGATGCCAAATTGTGAGGATCGAACCTTGCACGAAAAAAGTTTGATTCCTAAAAGCTCTTATACGAACTAGACCACTTCTTAACTTAATTTGGATGTCTTTAAACCGCCGTAAACATCACAAACTGGTCTTTTCATCCTTAAAAATTTCAAGCCAGTAAAACACCTTTTTCGACACAAAAATGCCGCCAATTCTTCAAAGAATCTGTTGTTATGTACAAAACAAAGGCCTATATTACACATCTTTTGGAACTCGGTCTCCAGGCGATCCTAAACATAATAATTAACAGCAACAGTACAGCCAGGCAATATTTGTTTTTCTTTTTCTATCACAGCCATAAATACAAACGTTATTTTTATAATATTTATCGATTATATCATCTATTACCATATAAAATAAGTTATGGGAGGACCAGTTAAAGCGAGACTAGACAGAAAAACCAATAACAAATCAGAGCTAGCCATCATCTACACCATTTATATTACACATCATGTCAGATATCACAATTTGGTGGAATTATCGGCAGATTTTGGAGGGATCACTGTAGTAATTAGTTGGGTCTTTACTTCGTTATCTTCGGACTTCGTTTTCGGAGCCTCTTCCTTCTTCTGCGTTCCATTTTTATCTTGTTTTACTTCATTTTTCTTCTCTTTTTCCAATTTTTTCTCTTCCTTTTTAACTGGACTAACTGTAGTCGGCTCAGCTGGCTCTGTAGCTAATAATGTTGTTGCCACTGTCTCTCGCTTCCCAGTCTTTACGGAGCTATTCTTCAGGTCCTCTGGCAGTTTTATTTCATCGTTTTTGGCGACCAATGCCTGAGGTTTTAAAGTCGCCGGAAGCTCGGTTTTATTGTCGATAATCAAGGCGGCCGGTGTTGGAGGAGGAGGGGCAATGCTGACAGCTCCACCATTCGGGATTACTGTATCAAAATACAGTTCCTAAAAGCAGTTTTAATTACATTATACATGAAACATCATGTAAGAAAGACCAAAAGAAGTTTTCGTAAAATTATTTATCCAGTAAATTACAGTACTCCCACAATAAAACAAACAAGACAGACTTCTTACACTAGACACTACTATAAGTCACAACAGGAGCCTCATCTACATGAAAATTCCAATTTAAATATACCTTGATTCCAATGGCCAGCAGAGAATGGAGAAGAATGACTCCAGCCACAAGTCCGAAGGCCACCAGTTTATTGGAATCTGTTTTTATCGCTCCCCAAACAGTGTTGGCCAAGACTGTTCCACTCAGCGCAACCGATACAACGATCAGAGTCCAACGGAAAGCTTGGTAATGGACAATCCACAAGACCTGAAGGAAGGATAATATAAGAAACAAAACAATCTCAAAACACTCACCGAAACGGGGACAAAAATGCTAAGACTGTATCCAAAAGCACACAACAGCTCGATGTAACCGTACTGAATGGCCGACTTCCTGTACCAGAGCACTGTATACACCAGAAGAGGCACAAAAGTGACGTAAAGAAAGATCAGAGTCGCGACTCCGGTCACTAAAAAGGAATAAACATCAATTACCCAGCATTACAAACAAACTCAAAAAATTATCGTAAGAAGGCCAAAAAAATACATAAAGTCCCAACTCACTGTAAAGTGGATATTTTACAATTGCAATAAACATAAATTTCTTACCCAGTCTGAAGTCATTTGCCGTGTATGTATCGCCAAGACTGTCAATGTAATGAGCAAAGTTACCACAAATTGCAGCGAAGAAAACCAACGTTACACTGATCCAAAACGGACCTAAAGTACGAGTAAATCAAGCAGCTTTAATAAAAAAAAGTAGCAACTTGCAATAACGCATTTTAAACCCCTTACCATACAAATCCGCGCTTGGTTGGATGTTATCCCTAATGAAATTTCCATTCATTTTGGGGATAAAGCTGCTCAAAATACGGCTTTGCACAGTATCCGTATCCACATCAAAATATTGTTTGTAGAATTGGAGGGAAAGGAAATTAGAACCGGCATTACTTACAGAAGTCTGGGAGTCACTTCCAATCAACTAAACCAATAAAACTCAACATTAATTCACCTACGTTAATATCATCTTTGGTGTTAGTGGAGTCTCTTTGGTCGTTGGATGAGTTAATCGATGTGAATGGTGAGTCGTGCCCACCGACGGTAAAATCTAAAAAAAATTTTGATTCGAAATTTAAAACAACCCAAAAAACGTGTAAAGCTTACCTTGAAATTGTAGATTTGCCATTTATATTGTTGTACCTTTAAACACGCATAATCAACCTAAAAGGTAAAAAAATCTTCAAAGGAACATTGAAATAGATATCAAATCGAATAAACAATGGATCCAAAAACTGCATTTTACACATGAGTGAAATTTATTAACCTGTAAGAGAAATAGGATGAGATTTTCTTTTGGAACATCAAACAAAGGACCATGTATCTTCCAAAAATCGAATAGACACACAAGAATAAAACTAAAACGTGATCTCGGAAACTAAGTTACATTAACAACAACATTTCTTGAACCCTTTCAAGTCCTTCCTAGCGATATCTCCGGCGTTCAATGGATCTGCTTCGGCGTCGTTCGCGGCTTCTTCTTCTCTCACGGCTTCGATCTCGGCTTCTTCCATGTTCTTTACTTCGCTCACGACGAGAATCTCGATGGGAATTTCGATCACGAGAACGGTCTCGAGAACGATGGGATCTGTAAATAACAACAAAAATAACAAAACGAGCTGCAATATTAGGTAATACTAATCAACAACCCCGGAAATACGTTGATTTCATTGCTCCGGGTAACAGATAATTTCTGCGAACCGAGTTTATAAAGGCAGAGGCTTTCAGAAACGAGTCATTCGACCTCACCTTATCCTATTCCAACAGCTCTAATTTAAACTATGGCCAACTACAGCCATTTTTCTTTTCCTTCCATGCCCAGCCAACATGATACTCAGCCATTGGACAAGGAATATCTGGACCAGATCAGTCGACAAGCTGAGAAAAGATTGGATCTTCTACACCAAGCTGCCGTCTATGATGCCCTCAACCCAGAAAAGAAGGAAACTCAAGTAATCCATCCCAAATTCGCGCAATTTATGAGTTGGCAAGACTGTTACATCTACAGCCAAGCCCGGAAACAAGCTGAGGACGCCATCAACAAAGTCCGGAAATAGTTTTTATACCTACTTGTCCAATATTTCAATTAATAATAAATAAATCTGATCTTATCCTACCTTTTATCGTGCTCTCGATCTCTGTCGCTTCGGCTTTTCTTGACCGGCGGTCGTTCTTCTTCACTCTCCTCACATGAACATTCACCTCCACTGCATGAACAAGAACATCTAAACCCAAAATAATTTTAAAAAAATAGTACTCACTCAGAAGAACAATCAGATTTGTCCTTCTTTTCATCTGAGGTCTTCTTCTGGAGTTTGGTGATATCAATGGAAACCTTGAGCTCAGGGTCGGCTGTAAGATCATACTTGGCCAGATCAGCGTCATCTCCATCATCCTCTTCTTCCTCCTCATCTTCTGCATAGCCAGGCTGAAATTAAAGGAAAATAAAATTGCAATACGATTTCAAAATTATATTTAAAGTTTAAAAAATATAATTTTGCACTTGCCTCAAGGGAAAACGCTTTATCAATATCAACATCTCCTAATTTCGGGCGGTCTTCGTCTCTGGACTCATCTCTTCTGGAATCTCCAGTCTCTCCTTTCCTCTTTTTCTTTCGTCCAAACTCATCGAACTCCTCGTCGTATTCTCGCTTTACGTACTCAACATTCTGACGATCGTTGTACCCACCGCCAAATCCTAAAAACACGACAGGCTTATGGCAAGAAGAATATTATTTGAAAGCACCTAAACACAGAATAAGAATGAAAAAGGTTTACCTTTGTACACATACCTGTGCGCTGTTCGGCATCACCTAATTTCTTGGCATTGCAGACGTTACAAGTATTTCTTCTGGCCCAGTTCACATTTCCGCATCTAAAAATTTCGAAACAATTATTCAAAAAACATGAAGGCGCATCTGATTCATGTTCTCCCGACAAAAGAGGTTCGGCTCACAATTCAAGGAACATTCGCTTACTTTGTGCACATCCAATCTTCGGCCGAAAATAGACCTTTTGATTTTTCAGCCGCTTGTTTCCCCAACTCAGCAGCAGCGCGACCCTTCGGTTTTGGTTTATCTAAACAGAGAATGCATCAAAGTTCAAAGTAACCTACGCTTTCCACAACCTTCACACACAAACGAGGATTCCTGATTGATCTGAGAACACCGTCCTTCCACACAAGCCCATTCCCCTGGCTTGAGTGGTCGTCTTGCAGGCAGACCAGTTCTCGAGTCAGTATTATGTTCGGGCATCTGGTTTAACACTGTTATTGTGGAAATGCCAGCAAACGTGGAAAAAATTAGCAAAAACGTATAAAAAGACGGAACGCCAAGATTCGGATTTTCGTGGTGGGACGCGACGCAAGAAGATGACTGTCGTTTTTGAAAGCGTTTCTCAACGAGCAGTTCTCTGTAACAATTTTCTAACAAACCCTGGTCGATCAATTTATTTTTGAAACATACGCTAATGCAATGATTTTACTGTACAAGAATGGATGAGTAATGGCACAATTTTTGGAGTTCAGGAATCAAGGGTATCATGTATGGGGCCGAAATAATCGTCATTATGCATTCACGGCTTCGTAATTTGGTGGATTTTGGATAAAGGTGGGGGGAGATTGATTCAGAGGCTGGGGTTGGGGACGATTTATAAATCCACTGAGGAGTTCCATTGGCAAGGGGAAGATGATCGTCGAGTTGTGTTCAGCGCTGAAAGTAAAATTCATTATGAAGGAATATGTAGACAGTCTTTGAGTCTGTTTTGATTATTACCTGATCGTGTTTAAAGTCTGGAGGTATCTCAACTGAATGGCCGTAGGGGTTTCGGAAAGAACGGTGGCAGCCGTCCTCAAAGACTCCGAAGCCAATCTCTCGCCGTCAGCAGCGATCACCTTGGCTTTGGCCTCTCTGTTTGCCTCAGCTTCGGCCGCCATAGCTCTTTGCATGGACTGGGGGAGTCTAATGTCCTTTACTTCCACTCTTTCCACCTTTACTCCCCAGTTTTCTGTTGCCTCATCCAAGGATCGCTGCATTTCAGTCGAGATTTCTTCACGATGACTGAGCATTTCAGCGAGGGTTTTAGTGCCCAAAACATTTCTGAGAGTGGTCTGGGCTAGCAATCTTGTCGATCCTTTGGCATTTTCGATATTAACTATGGAAGCGATGGTGTTGCAAATCCGGAAATAGACTACAGCATCCACGTTGACAGTCACGGAGTCTTTTGAGAGGATCTAAAGTAACATCTGTGTACTGCTGCTTCGGAAAAACGATTAATAATCAGCGAAATGTTACTTCTTGAGGAGGAACCGAGAAGGAAACAACTCGCAGATCAACCTTGACGTAGGTATCGATGCATGGGACGATGAAAAAGAGACCTGGACCCTTGGCTCCACCTTCTCTCAGGCGTCCCAGACGGAATATAACAGCTCGTTCATACTGATTCACGATCTGGAACAGCGGATATTAAACTTGCCCCAATTCTTACCTTAATACAGAACAAAAAAGTGATGGGGAATAAGAGAAAGGTGAAGAAGTAACTGATGACCACCAGGAATCTGGCCATAGAGCTCTCTTCTTGCGCGGCATCCAAATTCAAGGCGGTTTCATTATGGGTAGGGAGAGCAGTTGATTCAGATTGTGGCTGCTCTTCCTGCTTCCGCTCCGTCATCTCAAGACCTTCCACTGAATGAGGCTCCATTTGCGAGATGAATTTCCAACTCGGATAATAAAATAATACGAGTGATCATGAGGGGACAACAAAGCCTTTGCAGGGTTGGTCCTGGCAGCTGCAATCGGAGCGTTCGTTGCGCGATGCAGCCTTAATACATTAATATAAAAGAGCCAGCTACACTACAGAAAGAGAGAAATTAATTGAACAAGCCCTGATTGATAATGTAATTTAATATTATGGAAAACATAAGTTACAACAAAAATAATATTAGGCGAGGTAAGCGAGTCATGGTCAAAAATGCATAACGGAACTTTGAAAGGTGAGAGAGTAGGAATGCGGGGAACAAGATGGAAGTCCATGATTTGTTTAACCTGAAAACAAATATTATTACATTATAGATGATAACCAGAAAATAATAAAAGCCAAACAAAAGCCAAACCGCCATCTAGAAGATACTAGTACTTTGAAAGCGAAAGAAGCAATGGATCCACCAAGGACAGCACTACACTATATTATCTCAACTAATCCGAAACTTTACCATGTGTGGATGGACAAGTTAAAATAAAACTTGGTAGCTCTGGATAATAAGCAAAATATGTAGACTAAAAGCAATTCTAATCGTATGATGCACCGGCGAAGAATGCAGCCCAATTAGGCATCAGCCGTAAACAATTCTTCGTTTAGGCGGACTGGATCGGCCGCTCGCCCATGGCGCGAATGGATCGACCGATATTCGACACCCGGTAAATTCTCACTTTGTTGATTCAAGGCCTCATAATGGGGAGGATTCTGGATGAAACTGGGAGGGGATTGAGCTGTGGGTTGGGGCTGAGAACGATTCATAAATCCACCGAGGAGCTCCATTGGCAAGGGGAAGATGATCGTTGAGTTGTGTTCAGCGCTGAAAATTGAAAATTAAATTTATGTCAAATGATCTCACAAATCTTCCAAAATATCACTCACCTGATAGTGTTCAAAGTCTGCAGATATCTCAATTGGAGAGCAGCTGGAGTCTCGGAAAGAACGGTGGCAGCCGTCCTCAAAGACTCCGAAGCCAATCTCTCGCCGTCAGCAGCGATCACCTTGGCTTTGGCCTCTCTATTGGCCTCGGCTTCAGCGGCCATGGCTCTTTGCATCGAATGGGGAAGCCTAATATCCTTGACCTCAACCCTCTCAACCTTCACTCCCCAATGCTCAGTAGCCTCATCCAGAACTCTCTGCATCTCCGAAGAGATGTCTTCACGATGACTGAGCATCTCGGACAGAGTTTTGGTGCCCAAAACATTTCTGAGAGTGGTTTGAGCGAGCAACCGGGTCGATCCATTTGCATTCTCGATGTTCACAATGGATGCGATGGTGTTGCAGATACGGAAATAGACGACGGCATCCACGTTGACAGTCACGGAGTCCTTGGAGAGGATCTGAAATATAATACTCTTGTTAAAAACTGCATTTAATATTACTTGTGACCACAAAACTACATATAAAACATAAAAAACACTTACTTCTTGAGGAGGAACCGAAAAAGAAACGACCCGGAGATCAACCTTTACGTAGGTATCGATGCATGGGACGATGAAAAAGAGACCAGGACCCTTGGCCCCACCTTCCTTCAGACGGCCAAGACGGAAGATTACGGCTCGCTCATACTGTTGGACAATCTGAAATTCTCTATGCTAAATCTATAAAATTCGATCAGAAGTCGTCTCAAATAAGCGAAAACAATATTCGCTAACAAAACTCAAATATATTAAACTAGCCACTTACTTTGATGCAGAAGAAGAAAGTGATCGGGAACAAAAGATAAGTGAGGAAACAGCTAATCGCCACCAAAAACCTGGACATGGCATTCTCATCCTGCGCGGCATCCAGATTCAACGCCGTCTCATCGTGAACGGCCACAGAAGTCGAGGCCGGAGGGCGTTTAGGTTGAGCTTCAGAATCCTTGTGCTCTGTCATCTCAAGACCTTCGACAGAGTGAGGCTCTGTTGTCATTCCTAAAAGCAAAACATTTCTTCTATCCGAATTTGAAAATGTATTACACAGAAGCGTCGCACGTTGCAATATTCTTGCCTTATATACCACAGACATTCCATTTATAAATAAAACGAACTTATTCTCACCTATTTCGAAACCTACAGGCAGTTTATCTAAAACAATATACGTAATACTAAAACTGCGTCATAATGAGTGCTGGCTACGTCTTGAGGCAGCCTGTTACTTGTATTCGGATAGGAAAAAATAACTCTGTGATGAAATTGGCCTTTCTCGAAACCCACGGCATTATAAACCGTGATGAATATAGGAGATGACTGGAAACCTTATTTTAACGTAAAGATAACTCTAATTACTTTCCCTTTGCTTCCCACGAAACAATTCTTCAAAAACTTTTCTGCAAAAAATACAATTTAATAGTAAACATTACTCGTCAAGAGCCAATCTTTTGGATGACGTCATCTCCCTTATCTTGTAAAATGATGACCGTTACGACTTCAAACAGAAACTCTAACCAAAAATAAGCCGTTTTAACATTAGAGACACGAGGAAAGTAAGGTGATTACAAAACACCTGGAAGAACGGCATTTGAATAGAAAAGGTGGTAATAAGTAATGTAAAAAGTAATGGAATGTTGGTGTTTAAGATTTGGAAAGGCTTCATAATAAAAAAAGTGAAAAATTCAGGAATTTTGTAGAATTTCAAAAAAAATGACCGCACAGTGCAGTTTACAATGATGGATTTTTCACTATTTGCCCTACGGCAGTAAGGATGAAAATAAAAAAAATGACTAAAGCTTGGCAAACCCCCTTGAAAATCATATCAAGAAATGCAAAACAAACCCGTAGCCGACCCCCCTCACTTGCCAAAACCTCGGTTTTCACCTAGCGTGACCCCATTTCCTCGTATGTTCGCGTTTATCCGAAAGAACGCAGTCCACAAAAGAGAACGGGCTTGACCTCTATTAATCCAAAAATCTGCACCCTCCAAAAGAGATTGATGAGCGCCGATTCAGCTGTCGCCAGGCTTCTGACAATTGTGAGAGTTGCTGAACGCGCAGATATTAATGGCCAACATGCAAGACATAAGACATTATAAATGTTATATTGTCCTTTTTGCATATTCCGACCCAAAAAAGGGCATGAATTTCTCTACCTGAGGGAGATGTTTACCTATCATAATATTCATGAAGACGTGTGTGTTGTAATGTGTGTTTCGTAGACAGGAAACATGATGATGTGAAAGGGAAAGGTGCCTAAAGTTCGAGGTAAATAAGGTCATAGCGACTTGAATTTTGCAATTATTTGGATCTATCAATATCGGAACTGGGACGATTGGGGAAAAAGACGATTGGGGAAAGGGACGATTGGGGAAAAAGACGATTGGGGAAAAGTACGATTGGGGAAACCGAAAAGTATTATTTTTCTTCCATGCAAATGTCGAAGTTAAGATAATAGAGGGTGCTCATTTCGAAAATGACATTCGTTTTTTTGATTCTTACTTTTTTCCTTAAGTAGTACTGTTAAGTACTAATTTTTTTAAAACTTTCGAAAAATACTGGATTTAGGGGATTTCGAAGGTGCTGGTTTCGAAAATCATGTTCATTTTTCCTCTAGTACTAAATAGTACTATTCTGATACTATATAGTACGAGGTCAAAATATTGCTTTTGACGTTAATGGTGTTGTTTTGATGCTTAGTACTCTTCAAAAACACGTTTTAAAGACTTGGTGCTACATAGTACTGTCTGATACTATGTAGTACGAAGTAAAAATAGGCGTACTAAGCACCAGAACAACACCACGAACGCCTAAAGGCCAACTTTACACCTCGTACTACATAGTATCAGGTAGTACTATATAGCACCAAGTCTTTAAAACGTGTTTTTGAAGAGTACTAAGCATCAAAACAACACCATTAACGTCAAAAGCCATATTTTGACCTCGTACTATATAGTATCAGAATAGTACTATATAGTACTAGAGGAAAAATGAACATGATTTTCGAAACCAGCACCTTCGAAATCCCCTAAATCCAGTATTTTTCGAAAATTTTAAAAAAATTAGTACTTAACAGTACTACTTAAGGAAAACTAGTAATGTTCAGAAAAAATAAACCCGATATTCGAAATCAGCACCCTCGAAAACCCCTAAATCGAGTATTTATGAAAAAAATCAAAAATTACTACTTTACAGTACTACTTAAGGAAAAAAGTAAGAATCAAAAAAACGAATGTCATTTTCGAAATGAGCACCCTCTATTATCTTAACTTCGACATTTGCATGGAAGAAAAATAACACTTTTCGGTTTCCCCAATCGTACTTTTCCCCAATCGTCTTTTTCCCCAATCGTCCCTTTCCCCAATCGTCTTTTTCCCCAATCGTCCAACTCCGATCAATATCATACTGTTGCTACAAGACCTGTAGATACTTCACAAGTTAAATAATCCATAGAAAAAATGCAAATTACAGTACAAATAGCACTTCCATTGTCCAACCCAACATCAAGTAAGGTAAAGTGTAATATTCCTCCCAGCAAACGCCCAAACAGGATGTTCGACGGCAGAAACAGACGTTGAGGGACCTTTTCGAATTCATAATTCTAATAACATTGGATTGAATTTCGTTGTTTAAACAGTTACTCCAGTATTCAGAAAAACAAAGTAGATGGACGATAGATTTTGGGGAGGAAAGCGATCGAAACAAAAACAAAAACCATTGCAAAATCGGAAAGAGCCTTGCGCAATTTGAAGGAAGAGAAAAGAATGGCGATTAGGACACTTCAAAGTGATGGAGATCTTAGGGGAGATATAACATTGTATATGTGTGGATAAAGGAAAATAACGCGATTATTGCGGACCGAAGGTACGGGGAAACTTGGAGACAGAAGAGGTCAGAAATTTAAATAAAAGGTAAACTGAAAAACAAATGATCTCTTATTTGGATGAGATTCAAAGAAATGCGTCATGATGACACATTTTTACCTAGAAACAGAACGCTTCATTTCCAAGCAAAATTATCGATGACTGACGGAGAAGTTCAGAGTTTAGTTGAATTTGATGAAAATTAAGGTTTTTTTATTTGGAATACAAAACCGAACTTTAAAATACACCTTCTTACTTCGCGTTATATATATCTGTTTTCTAAAAAGTTTGATACCTTACTAGAAACAGAAGATGAAGGTTTTGGCAATTCCACGACCAAGCTGAAAAAAACAAAACCTTGCAATTTTCTGATGATTGTGTCGTAGAATCAAATTCCGATGACTAAAAATCTTCTGATGACATAAAAAATTTCCACCTCATACCATTCTACGACCATAAACAGAATGAATCATGTTTAAATTTGTTGTATTATATTGGTTGCGGATGCTGATCTCGTGTTCGAAATACGACCATCTGCATGAGCACAAATATCATTGAAGATTATGGATAATTGCTTTCCCCATGCAATTAAAAGCCAACTGTAATCGACGTAAAAAATGCCTTCTTTATTTGCTAAAGTTAGGTACTTAAATTGAGATAATTTGAAGGAAACTTTACTAAAACTTTATAGCTTATAGACGCAACATTTCTTATCCTACAATTTCTTTCATCAATCTGCCAACCTTTACTTCTCCTGTCAATTAAGAGTACCCAAATTGGGTATACTTTCTCTGTAATATCATCCCAAACTTTGCAATTCATTAACTCGGCTTGAATGTCTTCTCAAATGCCTTCATTTGGAGGCTATTTTTAGAGGATTAAAGAACAGTAGCAGGTAGATGGAGGAATGGTTCCCTCTCTTCTTTGACCAGATCATTTTTCAAAGTTAGTCGGATACTCTTTGAGGAAAAGAAAAGGACAGAGTTCGGGGGAAGGGAGGGTGATAAAAGGGTCGGATGTTAACTGGGATAGAGTTAAGATGTGGTGAATTTAAGGTGGGAATACTACTTTTTAAAATATGAAATGCTTTTTTATATGTTCTACAAAGCAGCTAGCTAAAAACCAACCCGAGATTTTCAGTTCTGTCCTATTTTTGAACAGTTATTGGACGGATAGATGTGAAAATCGACACCTTTTCAAAATTGCCCTACATTTTGATCTTTTCGTGTTCCCTAGGCCGCAAAGATCGTTGAATATATCGGCTACTCTTGCAGAGCGCGAGCTAAAATTTTCGGCAATTTTCCTTAAGAATTGATATCTGCCCTATGCCCGAACTGCGAAAAGCTTAAAGAAAATCTAAGCGTCGCACTTGGAGTATTTCCATCTGAGATTGCAAAAATTCTCATCACTGGAAATTGTAGTATCCAAAACTATCGTGTCAAAATGTACCCATACCATGTCCTCTTTTTGCCCGATGATTTGAATCTTTTACATTCTCCATAATCTCTAATAGACCCCATCTTCTTCCTCACCTGCCCAGGTATTATAATATTTCTTTTGAGATCGCGTTCAGAGATCTCTCCTTTCCTTTTCTTCATCGTCTCTCCAATCTCTTGGTTCCCTCTTCTGGAACGGGCTTTAATGCCAAGAATGCGTTGAAAGTCCCATTTTCCCCCCGAATCCTCTTCAATCGCCATTTGTTCTTTGTCTCTCTGCGTCTCTCGGATCGGCGTTTTCTCTCGGCTCGAGAATAAATTCATTATAACAATCTTCCTTATAAGGTTCTTGGCCATGTTTCGGGTGGCCAATTTGCATTTATGCAAATTTCTGGCTTTGTTTTTGTTTCAGTCTGGAGGTTTTGAGTGTTTATAAAGGGCAATTACATTGTACTTGATATGTTTTCCGATTTTTTGGAAGTAATTTGAAAACCCAAACCTATCTTATGGCCATGGAGAACACTGCCAGTACTCCCCTTTTCCATTTCTCCTCCGTTTCTCTCATTTTATGACTATTATCCATGGATTTACCTTTGGCCATATGGTGGGAAAATGGTCCAAATTAAAAGGTAAAAGGCCGATCCTTGGGCCTTTATTTGTCATCCGGACAGCTGTAACTCCAGAAGTCTTTTTGAGTGCCTG